AGCCACACCCGCCTGGGAATGTGCGCAAGGGGGGTCACTTACCTGCAGAGCATTCCAAGGCAAACGCTTTGCAGATGCATGCCTACTAAACACACGTCAGCCAAACAAAAAGGCGACAAACCTGAAGCAGACCTGAAGCAGAGACCAGGTTGTCCAGAACTGGAGGAGCGTCGAGCACACTGAGCAGCCTGGCGAGGTTGCTGCAGGCGCTGGTGGCTGACTCTGACTGTCGCTGAAGCTAGCGTTGGCGGGGATGGCACAGAGCTGGCTGGCCCAGATATTGACTGGCCGGCTGGCGCTGGCGCTGACGCTGAAGTTGGTACTGGCGCAGTGCACTGTTCTGGAGGCGATGCAGGCGCAGCGCTGGCGCCGCAGCCTCCTGCAAGAACTCAAAGGAACAGGCTTCAGCAAAAAGCTCAAAAGCACTTGAACCATGAATCAATGCAATGCGACGGGGCTTTCTGATCAAGAGAGCGCCCGATGCACGAAACTGCAGCCTTCAGGCTGTGCAGTGGAGCCTCTGCTGGCGGGTGCTCTACCCCTGCGCTGACATGGCGCGTATCTGCAGGCAGCGCTCTCTCATCCTAAGGAACAACGCACAACCAAACTCGCAAGCAATTTATGCGCAAATGGAAGGCAACACAGGCTGTGCAGAAAATGCATCAGAAGCAAATCTGCATGCAGTAAAAACAGAGGGACTCTGAGCCCTTGGTGGCCTTGAAGGCCAGCCTGCCCTGTGCGCACTCCGCACACTCATGTTGGTGTCCTCTCTCCACCTCGCACCCGATTCTTTGTGCGAGTCATGCGAGCTTGCGACGTCGGCACATGTGCAAGCTCTCGGCTGGGCACGGGACGTGGAGGCAATGGACATTAAGATTCTGCTGTGCTAAGTGGCCGCGGACTGGTTGCTGAACCGGAAGCCATGAAAAAGGCTGGCTGGCTATGCAGGAAAGCGCCTGGCGAAGTGGTCCATATGGTGCGACCACTCGCACAAAGAATGGCGAGAGGAATCAGAAAGTCCTGAAAGTCTACGAGCTATACGAAAGTCACTGGTGAAACGTAACGCTATCTACGAACTGAGTCTAAAAGCTATATACTGTATGGAAAGTGCCGTAACGTCGCTGAGGTCTCGGGGGACCGATCCAAAGCTATCGAACTAGAAGTCGTCGAATGTCATGGAAGAAGAGGAAGCGTAACGCTAACACTGGGTTCTACTAAGAAGGCTACAACTACGAAAGACCTGCAAGGAACGCCGTGTGGCCGCAAGGGCCGTGGCGACATGCTGGCGCGCATATGTCTAGGCGCTGCCAGTCGTGAGCCGTCAGATGCGGCATCAACGGTTATTATGCATAGATATCGTATCTAGATATTAGCAAGATTCGGCACAACCCGGTAGGAACCGGTGCGTACCGTGTGCTAGACTTGCAATCGAGGCCGTTGACCGGCCAATATCAGCGGCGCTAGGAGCCGTGACGTTATTAGAGATGCACGGTACATGCTAAGGGCGCTTCAGAGCGCGCATGATGGACAAGGGCCGCGGCGGCTTGAACCGCGCTTGGGCCGGAAGATTCAGGTCGCGCGCGCGGGGGCGCAGCGCACTCGATGCAAAACACACTCGATGTCATCGGGCATGACAGCATTGGGCTCTGGCTGCTGCAGTACGTCAGCCAGTCGAAGCAGGGTCAATGCCCTGACTGGCAAGGTATTCCTTTCTTTGTGAATTCCCGCGTGAAAGTTCCTCGTGTTGCTCAGGTGGTGGAATCGAATGATCTGGCGTGCTTGCAAAGCTTCGTGCTGAGGTTATTGAGACTTCCTGGAAGCTAATTGCTTTGTCTTCTGGGAAACAAGCAAGCTTGTCTTAGCGTGTACTTTTGAGGTGACACGCCCACTATTACATAAGACGTGTACGTCTGCTCTAGCAGGCAGGCGCTAGCCTCTCCACAGTTAAGCGCAATGACCGCATAATTTACCTTGATTGGTGGTCAAAGTGCTCTACTTGAGGATTATGACAGCCAAAGCTGCTCCAGTTGACGATCAATCGTTCTTGATTGACGTCAACCAAGGTCAGGGGCTCCTGAGAGCAGTAAGGGATAGGACACCAACTATCGCCTGCAAACTATCTTGGTTTGGGCTCTTACCCAGCTTTCACCTGGTTGACAGTACCTAAGATGGTCAACCAGTGCTTAACCAAGGCTCGGAACCCAGTGCTTAGCGTCCGTGCCAGTTAAGTGCCAGTACACCCTCTTGCCAGACTGACAACATACCAAATGTCGTCAGCTAGTCCGAAGTTCCGAACTCCTCCGTATCTCTGGGAACCGGGGTTGAGGCCGGGCACGCATCATCGATATCGACTTCGTAATCCGGATTCGGTCCGACCCTTTAGCGCTTGCCACGTGGATGTCGTTGACACAAACAGCCCGTAAAAAGCGGGAAAAGTCGTCGCATAAGTTATAACTTGAAGCTGCCGCATTAAAGGACGGGGGTACGGTTGCGATGCCGACTTCCGCGGCCCTTCTCGGCGCCGGACGGCCAACTTTGACGGCCGCAAACTTCAAAGCCCTGCAGAGTAGAGTAGCACAGCCTGAAATTGTCTTGTCAGAGGTACGAACGTTGCCGTATGCACTAATTAGTAAAGCGTACTACTCCAGTTCCAGTACTGGCTGATCCATACCCCCTGTACGGTCACGATATCGTGGCTTGAGGGGAGTATGGCCGGGATTTGAGCACATTCCAGCCGTAGTACCTACTACGTCATCAGTACTGGCATAAAGCTCAGATCTGACAGGGGCTGTGGGTCCGGTGTGTCGCGCGTTTGCCACTTGGCGCCTTTGTTTGTGCATTAAGAATTCGATCAGCGTCGTCACACTGATCACAAGGGGTGTCTAGCTGTAGAATCCAGATCCGCCTTCCAGCCTCCAAATTTGTCCACTGGGCCAGAAGCGCGCTTGTCAGGCAAAGGCATCAAACGACGAAGCGAAGCGACCGTACACCGCCGGCTCTGGAAAGGTTTCTTCTCCTTCGACCGAATCACAATCTCAGACCAAATGCGGGATTGCCACCATCCAGTTGTTTGTTTGTAAAGTGACCGTGTGGCTCGGGACTGTGGTTCTATATGTCGGGTTGCCAATGCCACTCTGATAAGGGCGTCGCTGTGGCCTGCTCGGCCTCGCGTCGATCTGATCAGCCATGCCTTGCTTTTCAAGGGCACCCAGCACCAGCGTCACAAGTTTTTCTTGTGGAGAAGAGAAACACTACCTCTCTGGTGATCTTCAAAGGTTTGGACGGTATCCAACTGCGTGCGTGCTGAAACCCAATGCTTGCTGAAGCCACGGTTACACTAGTGTAATTGATTGCAGCCATCGGAGACGCCGGGCGGGTGTCTCGATTCCAAAACTTTGCTGAATTAGGTGCCAGTTGTGATTGGGCTGGTGGTTGTAGAACACATCAACCTCAGAGAGTCAGTATCTGATGAAGGAAGCTTGGAGAAGAGCGGGCACCCATTGAATGCCGAGCCTGGGCAACAAGTTGACAACCTTGAAGGCAGTTCAATTCAGCTCTGAACTTCGTGGCTATCTTTGTCCTGGGAGGAAAAGTTTGGAGGACCTTCCACTGAGCATTGTCAGGTATGTTCTTCCAATGTGGCCTGCTCTTTGCATGCCTCAGGATTCTTGGATGTCGCACGCGATGCTACTGAAGTGTCATATTGCCTGGTTCAATCTCTGATCCGCGTCACTTAGATTGTCTTCATTCTGATATTCTTTTCTTTACCATTTGCGTTTGAAAAAGAGAAAACGGAATTGCTGATCAATGCCCATTAACATCATCATTCAGCGAGTTATGGTCCCATTGCATCTGGCGCCAACATGTCTATCTCATCGTCTGATTCTTCCTCTTGGCCCTTATAGTGGCTCGCTCATAGTACAGCATTGTACGCAGCGTTACAGATTCAGCCAAAAAACGGGTTCAACTGTCTTGGCCGGTGGCAGGATCGGATTAGATCATTGCCGCAACGCTGTCCAGTTGTGTAGGATTGGGTAGTTATGAGCTGCCTTGAAAGTTCCAAGGCTCTTCAGCATTGATTGCCCCAAGTTGTGTGTTAAGGCATCTTAGCTCCATGTTACTGAGTGCTCGAGTCAAAAGTCTGTTCTGCCCCACATTTTTGCAGGTTCCAACAATCTAAGCGCGTGTGTACTTGGTGTCGGTTATCCCCCAAGGTTCCCTGTCAAGGCCACAATCAACCTGGCGAAGGCCTGTTAATCCACACCTTTCAATCCCAATTGGTGAGCTGCATTGATGACACCTGCCGCTGTCCTGCAGAAAGTACTTTCACTGCAAGCGGAGGTTTACAGCTTTGGGCTCATAAAGAACACTGCAAAAGATCAGATCGCTTTGCTTGCCGCTTAGTCTGTAAGTCCTACTAGCTTGTGGACTGCTCCCAATGAAAGCAATTATTGTGGGTTCTATTCACGGCATGTTCTTCATACCTGTTGCACATGACAGTTGCTGAACCGAGCTTTCCTTCTGGCAGCGGACTGACCGCACAAATTAGAGCCAAACACTTTTGCAGTCCAAGACTTATGTTTATAGCGACGACAGTGTTTTTGACATCAGCACCTGATTTGGTCTGCTTTGATTTGGTGGTTTGGTAATTCATTCTTACACTGAGGAACGCTTTCCGTAGAAGTCTTGCCTTTCAGGTTTCGAAAGTCTACTGCAATAAAACTGCATTGTCTCAATCGAAGGCGCTCTCAATCCATGACTTCATCTGCTGGTCTTGGAGGTTCCTCCACTTATGAAGGCAAATCCACTTTTGTCTCAGCGCTTGAGTGGAAGTAGAACGGAGGCGTGCATTATATGAATAAAGCTGATCGTCTTTAAATCGTCGCTGACCGGCCCACATTGAAAAATTCAGTCCTTGGAGACTTTCGAAGATGATTCTGACAAGCTGGTTGCTCCTTGTACATAGGCTCCCCCGTAATGGCGCCCCTTTCCATGTGGGTATGGCTGCTGCTGGGAGCATACGTCCTGGCCGCTTCGCTCAACCTGGCCTCAGCTCAAGTTCCACCAACAGGTGAGCGTGCAAGTTGACACCTGTCTTGGAAGTGCCTGGGGCTGTTCAAGTAATCTAATTTGAATTTTCTACGTTTGATCATGGCCCAGGTGAAGCGTTCAATGACTTTAGTGCTGGGGTCCCTATGTAGCTACTAAGTCATAGATAAGCCAACTAATGAGTGCGGTTATGAGAACTTGCTGCAACTTGCTGCAAGCACTTTTTCAGACCTTGACTATTGACACTTTTTCTATGTCGACTTAGAACTGTTGATCTAACTCAACAAGCAGTCCCAAGCTTAACTCGAGTTGTGTCAGTCATGCATGTTACTCTTGTGAAAAGACTGGATTGTAAGGACTCATCTATTGGAAAGCAGATCTGCGCTCTGAAGAGAACTTACATGTGACCCCAAAGAAAACCTTCTGGTTGCCAGTGCATCAAAGCATTTTGTGAATCTGCTTTTACAGGAAGCCCCCCACCTCTGCAAGGCCCTCCGGTGACTACCCCTCCCGCTATTTCCCCTCCCCCGGGGACCAGCCTTCTCTCCCCTTCGCCTCCCCCCCTTACAACCGCGCCTACAACACCCCAGCCTCCTACACCCCCCCCTCAAGTACAGCTTCAAGCGGCTCCCCACCCCCCCAAAGCGGACAAGCCCAAACTCCTTTGCAAGCCAACTCCCCAACTCCAGTGCTCCAATCTTCCGTACCCTCAAGTCCTTCGACGAGACTCTCTCCTTCTGCGAGCACTACTCCCACTCCCCTTCCTACTAGCACCAGCGGCTCTCCCCCTTTGAATGGTAACCCGCCGCCTGAGGCTGTGCCCTTATCGTCACCTACCACATTGCCCACCCCCCCTACTACATCACCTACCATGTTGCCCACCCCCCCTACTCAACTCAACAGCCCCCCCTCAACTTCTCTTCCCTCAAATAGCTCCCCTCCTTCGACTTTTGGACTTGCCTCATCTCCCACCCCTAACACCAACCTGCCGCCTAAAATAAGCTCCACCCCCCCAACTCAATCCGCTTCGCCCTCTTCCGCTCCGACACTCAACATGCTACCGCTTTCTCAACCTTCTTCAATTCAAGCCAACCCGCCACCCCTTCCCCAGTCTCCCCCGCCCTCCAACAGTCCCGCGCCTTCCCTTTCGCCCCCAAGTTTGCCCACGAACCCGCCTCCGAAGGTCAACTCTTTCCTCGGAAGTGGATCCCCTCCTCCAATATCTGTTCTGTCTCAGTCTCTCCCCCTTCAAGCTAACCCTCCTCCTTTCGTCCCTCAAACCCCCCCGCCCAATCCTCCCCCCTTTCAAAGCCCAGTGCCTTCTTCGGCTTCCCCAACTCCGTCGAAGAAGTTGCCCCCACCATAGTCTCCTCCCCCTGTGAGCGATCCCTCTTTTCTCACGGTAGCGCTCTCTCAACCTCCCCCCAATTCAAGCGAGCCCGCCGAAGGCTTCCCCGCCTCAAAGTTCCGTCGCTGCATCTTCCCCGCCACCTCAGTTCAAAAGCCCGCCCCCATTACTTAACCCTCCCCCCCGCAGCGCCCCTTCCCCTCCAAGAGCCGTGCTTGCACAATCTCCGCCCCCTCAGGCAATCCCGCCTCCTCCGATCATGCGCCCACCATCTCAGAGCCCCGTTCCTCCCTCACCAGCTTCAGCAGGAACCTCCCCAATACGGCCCCCCGTAAATCCCCAACCCAATGTTCCCCCTATGCCATCTCCTCTCCTATCGCTCCCGGCCCCACCTCCACCCCCTGTTAAGCGGTGTAGATCCACCGCTGATTGCCCCGTGGGTAAAGGTTGCTGCACCGAACAAGGTAGCGACAAAGTCGGTAAGCGTGTCTTTCAAGGGTCATTTGGATATTCTCCAAAGGACCATTTCTGAAGTTGCACATATGTATCAAGAAGTATATCTGCCTTCGAGTTGTCATGTGAATCGAAGCCGAATAGCCACGTTGTACAGAGACGGACGATCTTCTTTCCACCTTTGTCAACTCAATCCGACTGTATTGTTTACATCATTCTAGACAGCCGATATCGGTCGCCCCTTTTGTGGCGATGAGGAGTTATCACTTCAGCCATATAGTAATCCACTTGCATGTGCAATAAAGTAAAGCTGTGCCTGGAGTGAAGCTTGCTATTCTCCAAGCCTCAAATTCAGAACGTTTTGATTTGATGTAGACATGTCAGACACGCCACCAGGCATTCGGTACAAACTTTCAAAGGGCGTCCGTGTTTCCTGCGTCTCGTCGAGATCCGATGTAACTTCCTCGCATCAGAATTTTCAAGGTCTGCTTGAAAGGGTTCAAAAGCAACTCCTTCATTTGTTATGCTTTTGCAAGTTCTTGCTCAGCGCTAGCTTTGCGTGGGAATCGGAACTCCCTAGGCCTGCTTATCAGCTGGAACTGATTACCCTGCTGTATCTCATCACCCTGTGCGCTATTGCTATTCGACTCTTCTTCTACCTTCTACAGGATACTGCTCGAGCACGGGCTTCTTCAGCAACGGCACCCAGGAGTGCCCGAACTGCAATGCCTTCAACGGGCTCAGCTGCCCGGCCAGCAAGAAAGTGTGCTGTCCAAGCGGGCTCTGCGCGGCAAACAACGCGGGCTGCACCTGTCAATATTCTGGCGAATGCCCATACGGCTTGTGCTGCACGGAAGAGTATTCCGGCAAAATAGGTGGGTCGTTGTATCGTCGGGTTGAGTCCGAGTTCGATCAGAAGTGAGAATGAAGGTCCGCTTCTGACTGGTAGAGCCATCGACTTGATGACGTGATGGTCGGGCTGGGTGTCTGAATGTCCCTTATACACTTTGGACCTTTCCTGTAGTCCGATCAAGGGACGAGACACGATCTTGATGCACTTCACGGGGTAGAATGGGTTGCCGAGAATCCCTGTCGATGCTTTGGAAGCTCACACGATTTGCATACAAAAGCTGTTGGCTTCAAGAAAACTCTGCGGATGGGTGCTACGACAACGTAGTTGCGCTTGAGCATTATCAGCAATCCGCTTGAGACGCACCGATATATTAGAACCCCAAATTCAAGCTTTCCCATTCATTATGCTTCCTCGAAGGTCGTCACTCAGGAGTCCCTGACTGTTGTCAACCCCCTTGGATTGGTGTCTAATCCGTCCATCAACAACATCCTCATTTGGCTTTCCTTTCTGGAATACGTTTCCATAATCTCAACGTGGTTTTTTAAAAACGCAAAACCATCCTTGCAGGAAAGTGCACGAACGCCCCCTTCGACAGCAGCGGCAAGCAGGTGTGTCCAAACTGCAACTATTGGGATGTGCTAAGTTGCCCCGCCAACAAACCAGCGTGCTGCGCAACGGGGCACTGCGTTGAGTCGGCACCCTCTTGCCCGTGTTCTTACGCCGGTGATTGCCCTTCAAACTATTGCTGCAGTTCCGAGTCGGATAACATGCTGGGTGAGCTTAAGTACACCCCCTTCGATTGCCAAACGTCCTTCACATTTCTCGCTATGGACAACTTTGATGTCTTGATGACCTGCTATAGGGGCGCCCCGCAAAGGATGCGATTAAGCTCGGACAAGGTGTTGTGTAGATTTGGTGACTCGGAGGTGACTCAAACCCAAATGGCAGTACTCACGGTACTAACGATTCAAGCGTCCACTTCTCTCTTCTTCGTCTATATCATCCGTAGCATCTGTAGGACCGACTCTGCTGCACTTGTCCTGGTTGCTTGTCTTGCGGACTGTCGAACCTTTTTGGCACGATGAAGTTGTTACTCAATAGGTAGATGTTTCTAGATAGCCAGAAAGAGCTCAAGGATCCCACTAAGCAATTTTTTCTTGGCCAACCCAGAATCGTGCAGGAGGTATCTGTGGTCAAAACTTGGGACTCGTTATTCGAGCGTACTTTACCTGTTCTCTTCAAATGTACAAACTTGAGTCTGGATTCGAGCCGCCATCTGTCGTTTGTTCATCCTCAGTGCAAGTTCCGAACCTTTTTGGCTAGTGACTGCTCGCTCTCCTCTGCTTTTTGTTTGGGCATGCTTGGTAAGACTGCCTTCTACATGCTTCAAGACCCTGCAGACAGGAAACAAAAACCAACGAGACCCGGGCAATGATTTTTGTTTGATTTTTGTTATTGGCCGTTCGTAGGTTCCTGTTACAACATGCCGATCCTCGCAAACGGCACACAGATCTGCCCAGACTGCAAGGACCTAAACGGTCTCAAGTGCCCGACATCCAAGCCAACGTGCTGCCCGTTGTTGGGAGACTGCGCCAAGAGCCCCACAGATTGTGGGTGTAAGTACGCATTCGACTGTCCGTCTGGGTATTGCTGCACCGAGGAGGGGAGTGGCCAGCTTGGTAAGTTTTTGGCGTGCTCACAAAGTCTGTTGCAAATGTGTGGATGATGGTAAACAGAGTTCTATCTTATAGTGACACCATTTTTACCTGGTTATTGGAGTTTAGAAGATGTTGAGATGTGAATACCGTTTGAAGCTTCCATAATCAGGGCATGTTCGAAAGATTGAATTGGACCATGGAGTTGACCTTCAAACTGAAGGCCGATGATCCTCTGCATTTTATGTAAGAATCTGTCTGCGGCGAAGTAGCTTGACGAAAGGAAAAATAAGAGGAATGCTTAAGATCTCAGACGTTTAGCGCCATTTTTGCCTCCTGCCCAACAGGATCGCCGGATCTCGATCTCCGTCCGGTTAGCGCACTTAGGCCGATGATCATTGAGCACGTCCTCGTTCTTAAGGGGGAAAATAAACGGAGTTCGCGTTGTTCCGTCCGTTTTGACGCGCCATCGAATACTGAATGTTGCGATAGGATTCAGTACTGATCAGTACTCCTACCACGTTGGATTGCACGTTTGGACATTTATACTGGCCGTTTCAGATGAACTGGTTCATTGCAAGCCATCAGGCGCCTGCAGCGCAGGCCATTTGCTAAAAGTGGAACCGTCAAGAGTTTTGCGAAACGGAGTGTTCCTTTTCACAGGCAAATGCACCCAATCGCCCGTCGACCCTGGCACCGGAGCCCAAATCTGTCCGTTTTGCACCGACCTTAACGGTGCCGCTTGCCCCGCATCCAAGCCGGTGTGCTGCTCCGCTTATGGGGAGTGTGCTGCGCCCAGTAAGAGCGCATTCAAGTGCTATTCGGCCAGTGACTGCCCCTCCGGCTCCTGTTGCACAGAAGAACAAAGCGGCAACTTTGGTAGGCAACAAATCCTCTTGCGCTCCTTTTATTCAAACTTTTGAAATTTTGAACATGGTTCTGGGATTCGGAGTCTTCTTTCTGTAAGATGAATTTTGATGTTTCTGATCGCATGCGGAGTGCGAAGGCTGAGAGGGTGTGAAGGCGCCCTTAATCACTAGCAATTAGGCTGGCGCGCAATCAGATGCTTTAGACTCTAGATAGTATCTCTTCCTGAATTTTCGTTAAAGCAGTCCAGCATTAGGGCGCGCCTCAAGAGGGAAGAATCGAGCCTCCAAGCAGGGCAGGATAATTTTGCAAAATTGGATTCTTGATAGTAATAGGCGAACCCAATACGAGATGAGGCGAAAAAGAAAACCTTCGTAGACGAGTCGGCTACTTGCGCCGTTGTGGCAGTTAACTTATGGAGCTGGCCGAGTCTGGATGGTTGCGCACGTTCAAAACGCATCGAGCATGTCGTGTGCTCAATCCACAAGATTCATGATCGAGCGTAGCCACTGGTGCAGGCGTCTGCACAGACACGCCCGTCCTTACCAACGGCACGCAAGTCTGTCCGGCCTGCTACTCTGCTACTTTCAATGGTGCTGCTTGCCCCTCATCCAAGGCGGTGTGCTGCAAGTACGGTTTCGGGGACTGCGCCACAAGTGACAGCGCTTGCAAGTGCCAGTATGGCGGAGACTGTCCCCCGGCTACTGTTGCACGGCCCTTGGGGACGGCGACTTTGGTAGGCTGCCAACTCTCTTGCGCTCCCTTTCATTTTCAGTTGCTCAAAGCTAAGATTCTCGGGCTCCAGAGTGAGTAGGCCTCTTTCCAATCGCTGACTGATTGTACAAACGAAGCATCTTAGGAGGGCCTTTCAAGCCCATTGAGACTGGCCCGCAATTCGACGGGACTGCAGCCGCTTTCTTTAGCTATTCCGCATGTTTCGTTTCGTCCTAGCAGCGCCTCCGGGAGGAAGGATTGAAAGCTCGTTACTCAAAAGTTCAGATCCCCTACTGATAAGATTGATTGCGGATCAACCAGATTAGGTTTAGCGCCCTTTCATGCAGGCAACGTTGTATCAATTCTACGAGCTCAGGGGCTCTCGGCTGAATTGAATTGAATTAGTGCCTCGGGGACGGTTGGGGTTAATTGACTTGGGGTTCTATAGTGGGTACGGTGCGGGGCATCTCAAATCCCGGTTTTGTGCTTGAGTTGTTTCAGCCCGGGGGACCAATCTATCTCAAAACAGGCCTAATCGAGAGATTGTTTTATGCAGGCGTCTGCACCAACACGCCCGTCCTGGCAAACGGGACACAAGTGTGTCATGATTGCATCTACACGAGCTGCCCCGCTGGCAAGAGCATGTGCTGTCCGTTGGGAGACTGCGCGGCAAACACCAGCGGCTGCAACTGTCGCTATGCCAGTGACTGCCCGCCCAGTTTTTTCTGCACTGAGGAGAACAGCGGCAACATCGGTAAGCGAATGGCCGTGTCATCAGGTGTGGCTTCTGCGAGCAATTTCTGGAGTTGCTGGAATACTGGAACTCGCCGACTTGAAAGCCAAACGGTTGCGGATACCCGTACCGTCCCGGTTGACCGCCTAATTACATTTTCCATCCTCGTTAAAAACGCATTCCAGATTGCATCAAAGCTGGATTCTCCCGCTGTTCGTTTTTGCCATCAGGGAAGGCTTATGATAGGAAAAGTCTCAGTAAGATGCAACTCAAGGAACGGAGTGCTCGTGACTCTATGCAAAGTGATTCGATTACTTGAAACGGTGTTAAATCAAAAGTCAGCATCGCCTTGGAAAAATAAGTCCTCACGGTTGGTACTTTGTCTTGCTTCAACTGAGATGTCAATGGTGTGAACGCAGGGAAGTGCACGAACAGTCCGACAATGGCCCCCCCTTTGAGCCCCGTGCCTTCTTCCTCTCCCCCAACACCGTCTAAAAACCCACCCCCACCTCGCAATCCTCCCCCTCTAAGCGGTCCCCCTCCTCCCAAAATCGCGCTCTCTCAACCTCCCCCACCGCAAGCTAGCCCGCCAAGCAAGATTATAAACCCCACCCCGCCGCTCAACCCTCCCCCCCGCGGCGCCCCTCCTCCGCCAAAAGCCGCGCTCACACAACCTCCGCCCGTCAAAGCAAACCCGCCTCCCCAAACCAAAAGCCCGCCCCCACTGCTGAACCCTCCCCCGCGCAGCGTTCTCCCCCCGCCAAAAGCAGTGCTCACACAACCTCCACCCGTCAAAGCAAACCCGCCCCCTTCTATTCGGCGCCCACCACCTCGGAGCCCCGTGCCTCCCCCACCAGTTTCAATCAAAAACTCCCCACCACCCCCCCAGCTGAATCCTCCACCCGCGGTTCTCCATACCCCAAATCCCCCCCCCGCGCGCCAGGCCCCACCTCCACCTCCTTTGAAGAGGTGCAGATCGTCCTCGGACTGCGGCGTGAACAAAGGTTGCTGCACCGAACAAAATAGTGGCAAACTCGGTGAGCGTCTCTTACGGGAGTCATCTGCATATATTGGAGGGAATTCGGCCTAGGCTTGACATGTCTATCAAGGTGTAGAGGTGTCTGTTCGTGTCATTTCAAGCAAGGTCGAGTAGCCACGTTATACTAGAATGGACGGACTCCTTTCTACGCTCCTTGTCCGCTCAGTTTGTCCGTACTAAGCCAAAGCCGCCCCTTTGCCGCAAGAACTTGTATCCTTGGCCATCATCCTGATTGTGTTTGTATGCGTAATCAGCTCTGCTTGAGGAGGAGCGTACTATTCCTTCAGCTGAAGAAAGGCACCGTCACGACGTTTCTAAAGTGCGTCGTTGTCCTCGGTTCTTATCGGAAAAACGTAACATACCCGTGGTCAACGAAATCGCTACTTTCGAAGTTTCCTCCTTAGAAGATGAAAACCTACTCTGCTCAATTGCTATAATGCGTGCAAGATATAAGAGCCCTTAGCACTCCCTCTGTGCGCGAACTGGGACTCCAGGGTTCCTCACAATTTGTATCTGGTTGTCATGCGCGCAATTAACATCCGACTTTCTTGTCCAGGATACTGCTCGAGCACGGGCTTCTTCAGCAACGGAGTGCCCAAATTGCAACCAGTTCAACGGGCTCAGCTGCCCGGCTAGCAAGAAGGTGTGCTGTCCAAGCGGGCTGTGCGCGGCAAACAACGCCGGGTGCACCTGCCGATTTTCTTACGAATGCCCCTCCGGCTTTTGTTGCACGGAAGAGTATTCCGGCAAAACAGGTGGGTCGTTGTAATGTGGATTAAGTCCGGCGAGTCCGATCAGAAGTAAGATTTGAATGTCGGTTGTGATTGTGTTGAGCCATCAACTTGATGACGCGACGGTCAAGCTGCGTTTGCAAGTGGGTGTCTGGTTGTCCTTTTGTACACTTTGGATCCGTACTTGCAACTCAGTGCCGCCAATCAAACTTGAAAGGATGGAACCCAATCCTGGTATACTCTACGAGTAAACATGGTTGCCGTTTGTTCCAAGCATACAGTGACCTGCAATCCTAAGCTGCTATCTCAAGAAAACGCTATGGATGGGTGCTACGACAACGTCTTGTGTGCGCACTATCAGATTTTCGTTATGAACGCACCAACAACAGACCAGTCCACCCAGATCCAAGCCTCAAAGGGCTTCGTGTATGATTCCAGACTTGTCGTTTTCCCCCTTGAGGTGGTGTCTTCGAACAATCGACACTGCTTTCATACGAGTCTCCTTACTTGCATTGTCTTGGGCTCGGTCCGACATGCCAGTTCTAAGAGAAGCGTGTCCTTCCAGGGAAGTGCACAAACAACCCCTTCAACAGCAGTGGCAATCAGGTCTGTCCGGACTGCAACTATTGGGATGTGCTGACTTGCCCCGCCAACAAACCAGCGTGCTGCGCATTGGGGCAGTGCGTCGAGTCGGCACCCTCCTGCCCCTGTTCCTACGCCGGTGACTGCCCGTCAAAGTACTGCTGCAGCCACGAGTACGATAACACGCCTGGTGAGTTAGATTACACCCCCGTTAAATGCCAAACGTACTTCAAGTTTCTGGCTTCGAAGAGCTTTGAGTCTGGCTGGCCTGCCGAAAATGCTGCCGAACATGCTGATGACCTTGTAGACCAAAAACTTGTGATCATCGGCGGCCCAATTGCGCGAAACTCGTATTCTCGGGTCCCGTTCTCTTCTCCATTCCGGGCAGATCTGTGTGCCGTTTGCGAGGATCGGCGTGTTGTAACAGGTACCTACGAACGGCAGGACAATGTTCAAGAGATTACTAGACACCGAAATCGAAACTCAAGGAAACTAATTTCAGAGTACATTTGGGGTGGATCAGAAAAGACCACGCTTGCAAAATTCCGCAGTTCATTTGGCACACTTACCTTCTCATCAGATCAAGGTTACAAGAATCCTTCGCATGAAAGCAATCTTCATCGTTGTGGGTCATTGTGGGGGTCCAGGAGTCTGTTCGTGAAGAAATATGTTTGGAGTTTGCCAACTTCTTCCGGGGGCTTTGAAGAAAGAAGTGACCTCCGGCGTTCCTTACTTCCGTTTCAGCCTTTCAAAGAAAGCTGTGGGATCCGGGGGGCTCATATTGGATAGCCGTGTCAAGTTCTGTGTCTTAGCTTATCTGATGATTCAAAAGTGGTGGGAGTTCACAAGCCCCTTTCACGGCCATTTGATTGACCGTCTGGCGCGCAATTTAGATGCTGACCTGGTTGAAACACCTACGGTAGGAATTGTTCTTTTCGGACGAGCCGTTTTCAAAGCCCACTGCCAGACGTTTGTCAGCTCAATAAGGTTGCCTGCGAACATTCAAACATACCAAACACTTTCACTGATACTTCAGAAGCTTCATGAGCCAACCGCTGATGCAGGCGTCTGCACAAACACGCCCGTCCTCAGCAATGGGACGCAGGTCTGTCCAACCTGCGGCGACTTCAATGGCGCCGCTTGCCCCGCATCCAAGCCGGTGTGCTGCAGCTCCGGTTTCGGGGAATGCGCTGCCAGTACGAGCGCGTGCAAGTGCAAGTCGCCCACTGACTGCCCCTCCGGGTTCTGCTGCACTGAGGAGTATAGCGACAACTTTGGTAGGCAACCCATCCTCTTGCGCTTCTTTTATTCCGGTCTTAGCTTCTCGAACAAGGCTGTGGGACTCTAGGGCCTCGTACTTGAAAGCCACTTCGTGTATCCTGGTAGCACTGAGTTTGTAAGCGCCCTTCACACCAGGCGACGCTGGCGCGCACTTAGATGTGTCCAAATCAGCGCCTTAGGAGACAAACAACAACCCGGATGCTTATGCCAACTTTGATTGATAGAGCGATCAAAACGGTTCGTTAGCCAGGTTGGAACACCTAGGAGAACGCTTGACTCGAACGAGTCGTTTTCAGGGGCCCTTTGGCAAACGTCAGAGGTTTAACCCGGGTTGCCCGCGCACATTTGAATCGCACCAAACAGTTTTGTCTGCTTACCTCGAAGCCCAACCGCTGATGCAGGCGTCTGTACAAACACGCCCGTCCTTACCAACGGGACGCAAGTTTGTCCAACGTGCTACGACTTCCACGGCGCCGCGTGCCCCACATCCAAACCGGTTTGTTGTCCCGGTTATGGGGAAGCTGCCAGTAAGAGCGCTTGCAAGTGCCAGTCGGCTGGTGATTGCCCCTCCGGCTACTGCTGCACGGAGGAAGATAGCGGCAACTTTGGTGGGTAGTCCATCCTTGTGCGCTTCTTTTCTTTTGGGTTTAGCCCTTTGAACAAGGCAAGGTTAGTTGGCCTCTAGCGCTTCATATTGGAACGGTGGGTTCGTGTACTTTCGGTTGCATGCTGATCATTTCCAAAGCCGGAGAGGTTTCAGAAGCGCCCTTCACGACCAAACGAATTACTGTGCAATCACATGAAACCTCTTCGCTACTCTCCTTCAACCAGCTTCTGTCCAGCATCAGCCCCTCAAAGGACAGAGCCAAGCCTCCTTGAGCACGGCGGATGATGCTTTTGCCAAACTGACTGACAAAGGACTGACTGAGTTGACCAGGCTGACTATATTGGATTACCCGGGAGCAGTCTCTTTCTTGAACGAGTCATTTTCGGAGCCCATTCCGGATGTTACAAACATCAATTAAGTCGACGCGCGCGTTCAAAACGCTCCGAACATTGTTGGATGGTTATCTTAAAAGATTCATGATCCTAGCTGCTGATGCATGCAGGCGTCTGCACAAACACGCCCGTCCTTACGAATGGAACGCAAGTCTGTCCAACCTGCAAGTACTTCAACGGCGCCGCTTGCCCCGCATCCAAGCCGGTGTGCTGCCCCGGTTACGGGGAGTGCGCCGCCAGTAAGAGCGCGTGCAAGTGCTATTGGGCCGCTGACTGCCCCTCCGGCTACTGCTGCACTGAGGAATACAGCGACAAATTCGGTAGGCAATCCATCCGGACCTCAGATGTTTGAACATAGTTGTGAAATCTTGGGCTTCGATCTTTCTGGACGCTTGCTGAAGAAAAGGCTGAAAGGGTTTAGAAGCGCCTTTCACTACCAACGAGGCTGGCGTGCAATCAAATGACTGGGACTCTAGCGACTCTCTCGAAGTTTCCCTTATGTCTTGCATCAGCCCCTCAAGAGAAAGGGATCGAGCCTCCAAGCAGGGACGGTCGATTTTGCCAGATTGGAATCTGGGTAGAATTAAGCTGTCTCGATACAAGATGTTTGATTGCCAAAGAAAACATCTTTTGTAGACGAGTCGGATCGGCGGCCCATTGCAGAATCAAACCGGAGTCTTGGTCGAATGCGCACTTTGGAACGCATCCGATACTGGCGTGTGCTTACCTCGAAAGGCTCATGAGCCCAGACGCTGATGCAGGCGTCTGCACAAACACGCCCGTCCTTACCAACGGGACGCAAATCTGTCCGGCCTGCTACGACTTCAACGGCGCCGCTTGCCCGGCATCCAAGCCGGTGTGCTGCGATTACGGTTTTGGGGACTGCGCCACGAGTGATGGCGCTTGCAAGTGTCAGTATAATGGAGACTGTCGCCCCGGCTATTGTTGCACGGCCCGGGGAACCGGCGACTTTGGTAGGGTGCCAGCCCTCCAGCTCTTGCGCTCCCTTCGATGTTTAACTGCGTTTTGGAATTGATATTTTGGGGCCCCATTTTGGGATAAGCAACTTTCAAATCGTTTACTCAGTGTACAAACCGAGAATCTTAGGAGGGCCCTTCAAGACCATCGAGACTGGCCCGCAATATAATGGAAACTGCTATCGCTTTCTCTCGGCGATTTAGCATGTTTCGTCCCAACAGCTCCTCAGGGAGGTAGGATAAAAGCTCATTATTTGAATTTTAGATCCCGCAATGATATGATTGCTAAATGCTGAGTTGGTACGGATCACCATTATAGGTTCTGCGCCCTTAAATGCAGGCAACGTAGTATCAATTCTACGTTGACTTTCGACTGTATTAAGTGGGATCAGTGCCTTGGGGACGGTTGGGGTCGTTTGATTTGGGGTTCTATAGTGGGCACGGTGCGGAGCATTTTGAGTTCGGGTTTCGTGCTTGAGTTGCTTTCAGCCTTGGGGAGCGGTCTGATACAACACCGGCCTAAATGAGAGACTTGTCGATGCAGGCGTCTGCACCAGTACGCCCGTCCTGGCAAACGGGACACAAGTGTGTCAGGACTGTAACTACGACTTCAACGGCGCGAGCTGCCCCGCTGGCAAGAGCATGCGCTGTCCGCTGGGAGACTGCGCAGCAAACACCGGTGATTGCAACTGCCGGTATGCCAGTGACTGCCCCACCGGTTTCTGCTGCACTGAGGAGAACAGCGGCAACATCGGTAAGTGGTTGGCCTTGTTCTAAGGTGTGGCTCCACTCAGTAATTCTGGGTTACGGGACTAACGTGCTAACTTCAAATCCAGCGGGGTGCGGTACCCGTACACGTCCAGCCTATCACCCAGTCACTTCTTTGCCCATGTCAGAAATTCGCGTTCTGAATGGTCGGAGTTCCGCAGATGCTCTTTCGAAGTTTCCTGGCGACTGTCTGCTAGCAGCGGAGGCGTCATGACAGTGACAACACTCGGTAAAACGCGACGCTGAGAAATTTGAAGTGGTTTCGATAGTATGCACAGTAAGCTGACCTCAGTAAAACGGTGCCGATCCAGCAAGGGACTGTCATCGCCCCTGGTGGGAACGGTCACTTAAATGTGGACTATTTGAACCTGCTTTTCTTTGAACGCAATCCAACGGTGCACATTGCAGGCAAGTGCACGAACAAGCCGGTCAATCACACCGGCAACCAGGTGTGCCCCAACTGCAACGACTTCAACGGACTCCGCTGCCCGGCCGACCGGAAGCTGTGTTGCAGCGGCACGTGCAAGGCGGCGTGCTAGCGCTGCCCTGAGCGCTTGGAGTTCCTTTCAGGGTGAGAGTTCACCGTCAAACTCAATGCGGATTCGAGAGAAGGCTTTTCATCACCCGGATTGAGCTCAAAAGGAAGCCAAGCTAAGCAATGCCCGTGTGCATTCGATTTTCCGTTTTGCTGCGACGGCACTCAGTTCGCGAGAGTTGTGGGGGGCTGAGAAGTTAGGCGGCAGGCCCCCTGCCTGAGGTGGATTAGCCAACTCGGCGACTTGGGAGTTCCGGGTTTCAGCATAACGATCTCAGGCCCAGATCCCTTAATAAGCTTTTCGGGCGTGTTTAACGTGGGCGGCCCGACTGCAAGAGTCTGCCTGATAAGAAGCGCCTTCTGGGTACTTTCTCGAGTGGGCTTGAAACCTTGCCTTCGTGCGGGTTCAACCTGACCACTTTAAAACCAAGTCGTCGAAGCTGGATACTAATGTTCATGCTGCTTTAGGTTTGTTTTCAGTGTTCACTTCATTCTTCCGCAAAAGCTGATCAAGATCCGGTGTTGAGCACCATTCAAACGCTCAAGTTAGCAAACGAGAACACATAGTGTCTGTCAGCTTCTCTACTCTTTTGGCAAAAGTAATCCGAGGTCCCTGACTGCTCGTATGTCAGCGTCAAATTCTTGACTCCTTCGAAGCGCAAACAGTATGTCGTTTTTAGGACCGACTGAATTTCAGCAGACGTTGGCATACATATCGTTCTTCGCTTCGGAGTACATCCGTCTGCCCGGCTCTGATCTGATGCGGCTTGATCGGCCGATGATCGTTTTGCGCAGATTCTTTGTGCTGATTCTGGCCGCCAGCAGCTATTTAGTGAAGCGTTATTTTTTCCTCGCAGCAAAGGGGCTTCGGCGGGGACTGGCTGGAGTGGCTTTGAATGGCAGCACTGCCTTATGAGTGTACGTGACTTGGATTCTTATACGACAGAAGCGGGGCTCCAACAGGACCTAAGGGGGTGTTGTTTGATTGACCGACCCCGAAAGTCAGGAGCAGATACGATTTGATGCCCTTTGTTGGTTTCGCACTAATCCAATTGAATATATGTATTTTACCCAATTGACACGTGAGTTATACTAAGGAAATGTAAAACTATCAGAATGACTGTATCATAAACCATGCGTGCCCGAATCAAGACTAAGGCCAACTTAACCATACGTACGTGCACAGTAACCCGCTTCCGTACAGAGTTCTGTTTCTAAATCGCTCTAAATTCAGATCGGATAACGGCTTGAGTTCAGAGCGGCCTTATTGAACCACAGGAGTTGCCGCATCGTAACGATCGTGATCAGATCTCAGCCGACAAAGCAAATGGACAACTTGGCCCGATTCGTATGAATGGAAAGTTTAATGCACTGCGGCAGCGAACATAATTATTCAAGGGTCCCAAGGTTGCATGCAGAGGTCCGATCCACGCCTGGCCATCGGCGAGGCGGCCTGTGGTTGGAATCAGCAACATGCATATAACGTCTATGCAAAGGCTGGGTTCATGACCGTCGCGTCCCGTGAATCTCCGTGGTTTGAGAGGAATGGGGAAGTTGCGCATGCGCCGAGGATGCCAGGCTCTTGTGCTATGCATCGTCGATTCCAACATTTTCGTGTGTTTGTGCCACCCTCACGTAAATCCCACATGGTGGCACGAAACATATAACATAGCAAGAACAACGACAAACTTAATGTGCTCGTACGTACAAAGAAAGATCGGATTGATGCTCAAACCGGCTGCCACGTTTCATGTAGGTGCGTGAGTCTGGTTGCAACAAACTGATGCATCCGGTCCTAAGGAACAAACGAAGCGCGGCCCATGCAGGATTCGAAGGTTAGTACGCCGGGCCATGCCCTTAGTTTTGAACACTGTTAACAAAATTCAACTGCGCAGCAGATAAACCAATGCCATGTTCTAGCCTTCAAAGACGCTCCAGGTCGACCGGATCCGCCAGAAAGTGACTTGTGCCGGCGCTGAGTCCACCGTGCAACTCAAGCCCACTTGAAACAATAAGCGCGTCAGTGCCGCACATCCTCTTCGTTCGCTTCACGGTAACAAATGACACCGTATCACATCGTATTGTGAGACGACAAAACGCTATTCTCTGTGAATCACCAATATCGAAGGAGCAAGGAGCCCATATTACATTTGAACAGGACTATTCAGACTCTTCCTCCAAAAGACTTATTCAGCTACGTGTCTACACATGCTGTATAAGCTCGGGGGGCAGAGCAGCCCGGCCGGTTAAAGTACCTCAGTATAAGCTAGGTGCGTTTATTCCCAAAAACATGCTAGAGACTAGTAGACGGACTCTGTTGCAACGTGAAAATAGCTGACGGCTTCTTGCAGCTCACACGAGCTTAGCGGAGGCGTCCTTCTCGTGCGGACAACTCATACCTCTCCCTGTTCCTACGCGAGCTTGCTCTTTCTTTGCAAAGTCACCATCTGACCCCGACCTGACGTCAATCTAACGTGGGTATCGGCATAACGGCTCCTTTCAGGAGCTTAACATTTGGCGCGGACGCATTTGTTTTCCGCTCCAGCAGCCGCGGCAACCGCACGGTCTGACCGTCCGGCTGACGGAAGTTGGCGCTCGGGAGCGGAACAGCTGACGTCGGCTTCCCGTTTCCGCTCCGGTGGGCGGTCACTTCGGAGACGAGGGCGGCCTTGTAGTTGGACCACAGCACGTTCCGCAAAAACTGCTTCCGGATTGCGTCGTCGGTCTGCGGCAACGGAAATGAGATCTCAGAATCGAGTTTCTATGTCGAATGCTTGAAAAGAGGACCCTGCTAAAGCAATCGACGCAATGAAGCCACGTCGTTTCTCGTCTCTGCTTGCTCCCGAAAAGTTCCTCAACCTTCAGTTGCTATGGTCATGATGTCTATGTATCTTGCTTCGAGTATTCCCGTGACGATTCCGTTTGAGATCTGCTTCAACGGAGGCTGCTTCTCACCGGATACTCCGGAATCCGCTGCTCCATCTGCTTGATGATATCCCGCCCGACGCGCACTTGGAAGTCGAGCTTGTTCATAACGTAAAGCTGCGGAAAGAAAAGTTGAACCGTGTTTCAGGCGCCTTTTGAGAACGCAAAGATTAACATCCGTGCCATCTGCAGATTCCGTACGCTTGCGGACAAATTTGGAGTTCGAAACCTCAGGGTCTCAAGTTCAACCAGTCGCAAAACAAAGGCTTGGCCTTTGTCTATGATACGGTTGCGCGATCGACACTTGACACTTGACAATCATATAGAGCGTCTGTAAATAGCGGAGAGCAGCTTCGAAACTCACAGGAAGAAAACACAACCATCTTGACTTGCTAATATCAGACCCGGAGGGCATTTGGAACGCTTCCTGAGTTTTCCGTTTTCCAAGTCCCCAAACTTCAAAAATCCAATCAAAATATCGTTCCTGCGACCCGCACCTCTACATTTGTCGCCGCCACAATAGTCGTCCACCGCGCCTCGTTCCGCAGCAAGCCTGCTTCGCCGAAATACGCGGGCGGGTTCAACTGACCCAGTTCTAGAAACAGCCGCCGCGACTTCTCCTTCCGCTTCGGCATCGCGCGCAGCATCTGCGTCACCGTCAGGCGCTTGCTCGAGTACGGGTCCGCGCTCGCGCGCGCGCGCCGCGCGCGCGGGCTCTCGGTCACGTGCGGCGGCGACGCAGAACGCGAGCGCGGGGTCGTTTTGGGCCACTTTTGCGACCGCTCCCAAGGGTAGATCCGCTCGCCGTGGCTGGGGTTGATTCCGGCCGGAAAGAACGGCTCGGGCGGAGCCCGGAACGACGGGGGACCGCTGCTCGTGCGCTTCGGGGATACGTTCTCCCCCGCCCCCGCATAAGCGCGCGCAGGAAAGTCGGTCCGCTCGCGGCCGCTAGTACTCGGAGCGGAATCCGGGGTCCGCCCAACCGGATCGGACGATTTCCGCCGGCTCTGGCTGGAGGTCCCGGACCGCCCCCGCTCGGGAGGGGTGCTCGAAGGCAGTTGAAACGAGACGCGGCTTTTGCGACTTTCCACTGTCTCCGCGCTTATGGGATCGTCCGCTCGCTTATCCACGCCAATAAGAGCCCCCTCCTTATCATCTTCTTCCGCTTCAGCTTCTCGTGCGGTCGATGGGGTTCCGCTCTCCTCTTGCCCGTCCTCAGAACCTGCCGCTTCCGCGGAGCTCCTTTGCCCTTCCGTCCTGGTCAGCGGAACGGCCAGCGACGCCGGTAGAGCGAAAGTTCCCGCGGCGGAAGTGGGCGCGAGCGGCAGCCCCAAGATCGTGTCGGGCGCTGCCGCATCGCCCGGCCGCCGGCGCCCCGCGGCCGCGTCCGACGCGCTGTCGATCGCGTCGCGGACGAGGGACAGGCTGGAGAGTTGGATGGACTCACGGGACGAGAAGGTGACGTCACGGATGACGCGGCACGTGCCCGTGACAAGGAAATAGATCTCGGTGCTGTCGCCGCCCTGGCGCTTGATGACGGAGTTCTGGGCACGGGATGGGGTTCTGTCAGAGCCTGGGTCACTTAAGAAATGAAGTCCAGTCAAAGGTTAATGCACTGCTGCACTGCTCGTGTATTCTTTGGTGGCCTTTATGACGAAAAGGAAAAAGAAAGAAGGAAACAGTGACCGCTCTATCGCCCCGATCGAACGCATGCTTTTAAGGAGGCCGTTGCAGAACAGACGAGCAGTGCAAGCCCCTAAAACAGGACGTGCTCAACCCCGTTTGACTGCGCGCTTTGGGGAGCCAGCCGTACGTGTCTACAGTTTGAATCGCCCATTGCCGTATCCAACGCTGAGTCTATTGACCAATTCCGCACCCGAATGCTCGAAGGGGCTTTGTCAGCCTACTTGCCTTTCACCCTTGCCGCAAAGTGATCGGGAGGCTCGATTGCGGAGGCGCGAAATCATGTGAAACGGTTTTGTGGATCCTCAAGTGAATTCGAGATCGGAGAGGGAGAGAAGCGCAGATGGAAGACAACTAGAGACGCGAGCTTACTTTGGGGCACGTGCGGGCCGCCATCGCCGTGGCGATCATCTGCAAACTAGACTGGGGCAAGTGCGCGAACACGCCCACATTCCTCAGGAAGTCCACTTTCTTCCGGCTCTCGTTCGACTGCAGATGCTGGTTGATGACGTCAAAGTTGTCCCTGCTAATGACGAGGAAGTCGCAGCGGCTCTCGAGGGTCACCGTCTCCTGCCGCGTGGCGTTTTTTGATTGGAGCCCCCGCTCGCCGAAAGACTGGTGGATGGTCAACCGGGCGACCACGGAGGCCTGGCCCGTGCTGGTGTTGATCGCCGAACACGTGACGATGCCCGAGAGGATGATGAAGAACTCTTTGCCGGAGTCGCCCTGCAAGGGAGTAGTCGGTAAGACTATATTACTAAACGAGTATAATCATCTCTTCTCTTTCTTGGGCGAGCGGCTACGAATGTCTTCGATTAGATGCTCTTCTAACATCAAAGCAATTGGTTTGTCAAAGATAGGACCAACAGTCCCCAATGACGGGTCCGTCGAAGATAGGACCAACGGTCCCCAATTGCGGGTCTAATGAGCCCACATTTCGAGTGTTTGAACGTCGAGGCCAGTCGTCCTAGGTGGTACGTAAGAATGTGAAGGAGACCAGTAATCGTATAACCCAAAGGCGTTCCGTTCGACTAGTCCGGACAGCGTTTCAAACGGCCAAAGCGGCCCGTCATTTGTCCACAAGTGCCAAAGGCTGCGAAGTGAAACTTCGCTCGGCCCAGAGCCGTCTGTGGCTTAGCTTGTGAAAACAGGAGGTCACAGATAGGGCTTTGAACACGTCCCCCTTTACAGCACAATACTAATCGAGCCACTGATTGCACCAACTGATTGTGCACGTCGAAAGTCCTGTCAACCACAGTCCAACCTCATCGAACTCGTCAGGCGTGCATATGACAATAAGTAGGAGCTGTCAGCAGCGTCAACTCATTATCCGAACCAGTGGAGTATACCGGGTTTGTCGATCACCTGGATTCTCTTGGCCAGACGAGACTCCAAATTAACCACTGATTGTTTCGGGGACCTGGCCAAAGAGTATCCGAACCGACAAGAAAAATCCTTCAAAAGAGCACCTGTTTGAAGAGCTCTTGGCCTGCGGCGCCTTGCTTGTACGTGCAGTTCTTGCAGATCTCAAGTCGCACTCGGAGCGGCAGTTCAGCGGTGAACTTGACCGACTTCAGTATGTCGTCGATCACTGCCAGGTCTTCGTCGGTCCTTGCCTCCTGTGATGACGTCAGCACGAAGGATGACGTCAGCCAGCTCCTGGTTGGGGCATGGGGGCTGCCGTGAAGGATGTTGATAGTGGGAGACTTACATAAAGACGGCCAAGCACTAGCGGAAAGTGAGAGGGGGAGGCTTTATGTCTATATAGTTTTTTGCCCATTTGATTCTTAGACCTGGCCCCAAAACCTGGCCCCAGAATTGCTTGGACTCAAGCCCCTGAAGTTCAAAGCAAATTCTCAAAAGTGTAACTAACGGTGCAATCACATCCGGCAAACGTCAAGGGTCCATCAGCTCAACTCAACTCAAGAACGGCCCAACCCCAGCAATCAATTTGAAATGTTGCCAGTTTGCTCGGCCGCAGCTTGCGCTCATGTCTGGCTGCTCAGGGCTGCAATCTTTGTATCACAGCTCTGCAGCGCCAATGACAAGCAAGCGAAAGCCAATCCATATGATGGAGTGATGATGCTTGGGTGGTAATGACACTTTCGACTCCGTGTAAGAAGGTACTCAGATCCCACACTCTGGACAGACCTGCTTGAGAAGCGGGAATACGTTTTCACTTTGATGCACCAGAGTGCTCACCGGCGACTTTTGCAGGATCGCCACTTGGCAGGCCACCAGCTCTCGCTCGCTCGCTTGGTCCGCACTCTTCTCGGCCGGCCCCTTGGCCTTGTTGAGGAAGCGCACCGCCGTCCGGAACTTTCTCCAGAACGCACTCATTTTGACTGGCCCGGTGCAGCAATCTGAAGCACTACGTCTGTAGCACTACCAATTGCTATGATAGCAAGGTGCGTCTGGTAATGGGCCGCTCAGCTCGTCCTAGAAACTTTACCGGCAATGTTGCGTGTACTCACTGCAGATTTGCCACATGGGCTGGGAGTGCACTGGGACGTGAATGAGTACTCGACTATAACGTAGCTAGCACCCGGTGCTCGTGACCAGCACTTCTCATGTTTGAAGATACAATCCAGCCTATGCTTGAGGAGGGCAAATGCCCCATGTGATCGGCCAACGTCGAGTGTCTTTCACAGTGGAGCTGTTCTCCCTTCGAGTTTTGGCTGCAAGGCTTGGCTCATGCCCGTTAGTATTGGTCTTTCTTGTAAAGGCTTGTCGAGCTCCAATGATCTGCTTGCCTCAGCCCTGTCCCAATGTCAAGGCCGCACACAGATACTCAATGCCCCATAGAGCATTCTATTTGGTGCTTTTGAGAAGCTCACTGACCTTTCCACCGACAGCTGTAGATTATGTGGCCCTTCACCGTCCTCTTAAGGCAAGGCTTGCACCACCTGAAAATCCTGAGCTCGAGATCGTGATCAGCAGCTCTAATCACAGCTCAATGTGCTCATACCTGTTACAGCAATCTTATACGGAAGTAAAAGTACCTTGACTCCTTACAACTTACAAGGACACTGGACATCTGGGGCATCCATAGATGGGGTATCCTCCATCTTCGAAGTACAGTACCGCACTAACGCTTTGCCCCAGGGCTACATGTTCAGTTGCCTCGGCCTGGTGCTCACGCTTGCACGGGAGTTGGAAACGGCAGCTTCGACGTTCGATGTGGAATACAGTTGGGTCCTAGCTTGAGACCGTACGATTGGAACGTATGTGCATTCTGAACGGTCGATGCACTAACCGCGCGCACAGATTGGCACGGCATGGAATCCTCCAAGTCGTCCGCTGGCCAGTAATATTGACATCAGCTGATTGAATTTCTCCTCATACCAGTACCTTAGCTTTAAGTTTAATCCCAAGTGGTACATCCTTGCGCTTCGATACCATATTGTACAGAAACTGTGCAGCAAACGAAGCGCCACTGCAAGCGGTGGCTTCTGAGCTTCCTGCCAAAAAGTGGATAAGACGCTTTTGGAGAAAGTGTTTGGGGTTTGGCTGATGAGCGGAAGACTTCTCTGCTCGCGTCTGCTCGGGCATAATGTGGGCTCTAGCGCCTAGAATCATGGCACTTTGGGAGCTCTTGCAGCCTGCAGGGAGCACTATTCTGATCTGCTTCTGAGCTGAGCGAACCACCATTTTTAGCAGCAGGAAGTCTCGCGCTCTGCACCTGAAGTGTGGATTGAACGTCAGCACTTCACAGCACTCTTGCTTGTTTTCCAGTTGTTCACTTTGACAAGTTGACATTTCATGCACAGAGGGGATGCCACTATCTGAATTTCAATTACGCGTCAAATGATCCTAGGCGCATGAGTCCGTCCCTGATGGAGCTCGGCCTACCGAGCAGGGCCGCACTGAAGGCCCGGCCAAAGGAGGCGGACCTGCCGTCCCAGAAAGGCAACGCCAAGGCGCTTTCCAAGCTCTTGCAAGATGTCACCACCATGCGGCGAGCTAGGGTTTCGGTCTGGCAGCGCTGGCTGGCGGACACGCTGGCCGCTGCAGAGAAGGACGCCGCACTGTTGCTCAGAGCTGGCCTTGCACAGGAGGCAAAAGCGCAACTAGGCGCAGGGCGTCAGCCCAGGCAGGCCATAACAGACAGGAGCTCGTCGGAAGCGGAGCCGAAGAGCGAACCTGCGCAGGGAAGGGCAGCGGCGTGTGTCAATGAGGTGACTTGGCGGAACCTTATTTCAAACCTCTCTCAGTTTGAAAGCCTATTCTGGTGTGAACATTCTAGTTCCGCCTCCAATGGTGGATGTTTCTGTTTGTCATCTGGAGTTGGCGGCTTGCATTCTGTATGTCGACTGGAGTTGGCAGCTTGCGGGAACTCCTCCTTTGGACATCATTCATTTGTGAAGCAATCAAGCAGCTAAGGTTGTTAGCGTGGTGTCGGCCGCCGCATGCAAATCTGATCTTATTCCTGCCGTCAAAGCAAAACTAATAGATTCCGAGCACCACACATTCGACGTGGTTCCTAGGCGGTTCAGATGCTGCAGCAGACTTTTTTGCAGCTTAATATAGCCAGAGTAAGCAAGGGAGCATAGAAAATATGACCCCACTGCTATGCACACATCCTTTCCTCACACAATGTTCTGGTGGAAAATTGGTCATGCTTGATCTGAAGTATGGATCCCCTCACCCAACTCAACATAGTCATGAACAAATGGAACTTTTCTGCCAGTTCCAATTTTGACCGCTGAGTGAAGCCCCATGTTATTTTTTTCAGAAATCTAGCTGACTGGACAGAAGTAGTCATAAAGCACTCGAATGTTGACACACTTTCTTTGAGGACACCAGAAGTGACCCAAGATTGTACAGTTATCTGCCAGATCGTATGGCTGCATTTCATGCAACAGAGCACATTTGAAGTGCCATTGTGCTCAGCGAACCTGAGGTTTGTTGAAGCGTCATAATGCAGCTTTTACTAAAGGCAACATCTGTCCTTTCATGGCGCAACACGCTTTGACCGTTTCTCAGAATCCCCTGAAAAGCATCACTGTGTTTAGGACTGAGAGGACACTTCTTCGGATGCTGCGGCTATCTGTGCTGTACGTTGACAATAAGCAGCCAGTGTTTTTGTAGGTTGCGGCGTCTTCTGGACAGTAATGGGTGTCAAAACTGGGCAGTGGCTTGGATCAAGGTCTTTACATTCTGATTTGGACTTTTGTAGCGAAACCTCCAACTTGCTCATCTTGCAGTTGTGTCCAGGATCAGGCCCTCAGAGAGTCTCAACTAATCTGCTGGCTGGCTCTGACAAAGTGCATGCACTCTGAGTACTTCAGAGCATTCAATCATGATTCTCTCGTGACATGCTTCACATTCACATCTGAAGCCTGACTAGCTGTACATACTGCGTCACTCCTTCCACACTCAATACCTTCTACTCCATCCTCATGATGACAATTAAGTTTCATGTTCCGCAGATCCCATCCACCGCAGTTGCAAGATTGGGACGACATCCAGAATACTTGTGCTGTCCTGTTTCAATGTAGGATTATCGTCCATCCTACAAATGGCCTGTGGCGGGATCCGCATCATCTTACCAAGCATAATACACTTCTGTACAACATCGAGATTTGAAAGCAGGAGAAGCATCACTGACGAATCTTGCCCTGGCTCGTCCTCCCAGATCGCTGTCAAGGCCGGGCTGGAGCTCTTCTTCGGCCTGCTGGAACAGAGCGGCGAGCTGCGCACGCGCATGCTCAAGAGCGCGTGCGGCATCCTCTCCGCGCTCCCCCCGCTCTCGTTCTTTGGGGAACTCGCAAGCGTCCAACTAGAGGGGATCGAGCGAGTATGCAGTTACCTCATGGAAGTCGTTGCGAGCCAAGGGCCGGGGGCGCGCATGGCTGCAGGGCTGCTGATTGAGCTGGCAGCAGCGCGAGGGTCGCTGGTGTTCACTTTGAACTTGGCGCTGTTGTTTTCGAGCCACCCGGGGCTGATGGACGCAGCCAACTTGAAGGCGTTGCGGCGCTTGGTGAGTCACTCTTCTTTTGCAAAATACGTGTAAGGCACTTGAAATTACATGCTTTGTGTTTCACGTTCTGTTCCCGCTGCAAGGACGTTGGGTGCGTGAAACTGCGGGGATACTACAGAGGGGGACGGAGCGTGTGTTGGATGGATCCAGGGAGATTGGTTCATGCATTGTTACTCTCAACGTCTAGAAACACCTTATGGTCGTGGGGTTGCAGTGGCCCTCGATGACTGCTTCTTTGATAGAGGTGTTTTCTTTCTTCGATTACTTGCCCCGTCTGTTTCTGCACAGGCGCACGTACTAGCGAACTCTTTCTGACGCAAAAGAGCTGTTTGTATGCACCTTCTCTTTGAATGTCTTTCGATCCCTAGGTCTTCATCAAGGTGCTGCTTGCCCCGTTTCTCGCGGAATGCTCCAAAGACCTGCAATCGAGGCGCTCTCGTCATATCTTTTGAGGTCGCTGCCCTGCTTGACAAAGCAATGATCACCCCTTCTGTGCGTTCAAGTCGGCTCATTTCGCTTTGGCTCCGACTCTGCGAACGCACACAAGGCCGCATATCATCCTCCACAAATCTCTTTCTCTTTCGTGCATTTCTCAAAAGTGGCAGGCCGCCCCCCTTCGGCACTTTGTGGCGTCACAAACCTTCCTTAACTTCGACCATATCTTCGCGTTTCCAGCTTTGTAAGATTACCTGCTGGTTGAAAGCTTTTGAAAGTTTCGTCGTCAACCCTGAAGCGTTCCGACGTATCCTCAGCGGCGCCAGTAGCTTGATGACTGCCGCATACGCCACTTGGCATGCTCGCATGCGCGCCACAACGATCTTCCAAATTTGGAAGGCCTCCTCACTCTTCCTGCAATGCTTAGCTTTCAGCACTCATTCTCCTCCAACTCCTGCTCTCAATTCCTGGTGCAGTCTTCCCTAGACGGCGCCGACGCATCCGTGACCGTCGAATTCGGCCCCGAGCAGCGCCTGGACATGACCATCACCGAGCGCCCGCGGCCGCTGTTCTTGACCTCCCTCGACTCCCTCGACAGCTCCGTCATCTCCCAGCCCGACACGGCACGTGCCGTCGGAACCGTCCTTCCCTGCGCTGACGACATGCTGTGTCTGCTCGAGTCGCATGATGACGACATCAGCCGTGCGGGGAGTTTGATTTCCGCCCGGGAGCTGTCCATCCCCCGGAGGTTGGAAAGCAGTCTAGAACTAGAGGCGGGACAAACGTCCAGGGCGACGACCCCTGAGCCACCACAGACGCCCCAGCTGAGCCGCGCGCCGAGCGAGGCGCCTGCGGCAGGGGGGGAAGCGCTCAGTTCCCGCAGCGCGTGTGCTGCGGTGCTGGCGCATGTCGATCTTCTGGTCACCCGGTTGCAGGCGACCGACCGGAAGGGGGCCGCCACGCACCCGCCGCACTGCGTGGAGCCGGGTCCCGAGACGCTGCGAATCATCCGGAAGATCCTGGAGCAGTTCCCGTACACGGCGACCCCCCAGAAGGGGACACGTGGCGGCAGCCCCGCGGACGGGCGCGCGCGCATGAAGGCCGTGACGGACGACATGGCGCGGCTGTACGTGCCGCTCGCGCTGCTGCGGCTGCTGAAAGTGAACCTGGACTGGATGGCGAAAGCAGGAGGGGGGGAGAAAAGTGGGGCGAAAGCGGGGGGAGAAGAGAAGCAGGGAAAAGGGCCCCCCCGGACGAGTTTGGCGCCGTCGGCCACCACGGAGAGTCTGTTGGCGACGCTGCTGGGGCTGGTGGAGGCGGGCCCGGAGAGCGCGGGGGGGGAGCGTATGTTGCAGGTGCAGGCGCTCGCGGTAGACGCGCTGCGGAGCGGGCTGCCCATCTTCCTGCCCGACGTGAGACGCCTTTCCTCGCTCCTTCGCTCTTTCTTCTTCTCCTGTATTTTCTCTTTCCCGACTCTGCCTCCTACGTCATCCTCAGACGTCAAGCGGGGACCGAATTCCTCTGATGAACTTGGTTGTGGGACTACTACTCGTTCAAGTAGTAGACACCAACTTACCCAGAGGCTCTGACGGGTCTTTCAGTGAACGGGTGTCTGATATTTGCCAGGGCACCCTTTTTTCAGCTCTTCATTCTCTTTCTTACGATCCTTGTCTCACATGAGGGTTCGGACGTCTGCTCTCGGCGTCAAGTTGCTCGAAGCTGTCAAACCGGTCTTTCTGGAAGTTCTCAACTGTGATTCGGCACTGTCTGCTAACTTCTCATTGTCTATGCTCTTCTATCGTCCCTTTAGTCGTCTAGTAGTGCCTTGCTTTTTGCTGTTTTGCTTCTTACATGGCACACGACTTCGAGTTGTTATTACGAAGGCCATCTTTTACTTTGGCAATATTATCATTGACGTAGTAGAGCGCTCGAGATGTCTTCTCCGATCTGCGGTGCCCATCCTAAGTGCATCTCGCCATTGCCACATCTTCTATTAAACCCTTCTTAAACCGTGCAGGCCACCGCACGCGCGCTCGCGCTCGCGCAGCTCCTGAACGCGCAGGCCTCACGGCTGCCGCACGCAACGCCCGCCGAAAAGGACCTCCTCCAGTTCATGCTCGCGGACGCGTCCAAACCGTCCGTTCTGTGGAAGACGCTGCACCCGCTTCTGGGGCTAAAACCGGACGAGAACCGGACGCTGGGAAAGGAACCGCTGCTGACGTTGTTGGACTCGCTGCTGGGGTACTCGCTGCGTTACTTGTCTGGTGAGGAAAGGGAAGCGGCAAAAGTGGCCGTCGAATGCTTCGCGTGTTCGAAAGCTGGACGGCGGACTATGGTACTTTGGCGATTAACGGACTCCGGCCCTTCATTACGAAGATAGGACAACGATCTGCTGTTCTGTTACTCGAGTGAATCTACTTCTCTTCGCTTACTTTTGACGGAGACGTCCCCCTTAACCCAGAATGTCTGACTTGGTCGGGATGTACCTCAAGCGTTCCAATCCTAGGGTTTCTGCGAATCAAGATTCTTCAGCAAACAAGAACTGCCGAGTTCGGAAAATCGTCACGCTCGTGCACTCGTGCACTCGTTCTCTTTTACGTTGCTCCTATGTCCAAAGACAGTTGCGACTACTTTGTGCGGAGGCGAAGTTAGCCAATCAGTCCAACATAATTCTAGAGATGGAGTGCAATAACTGATTCTCAAATCGCTGTTCTCCTTATGGCAGCCTGCGTCGACGCGGTTTCCAGAAACGAGCCCCTGGAGGCTGCAGCGGAAGACGCTGCCTCGTCATCTGACGACGCCGTCGAAGTGGAGGAGGAGGAAGAAGCGTGGGTCTGGGGCCTCTGGCACACAGCGAGCGTGGAGGTAAGACGAATGTTGCGGGACTATACTTGACCGCACATATAGAAAATGCTGAACTCAACCATCCTGAAGCATGCTCAAGCTTCTTGCAAGCGAAAAGAGTAAGTATTTTTGGATTCATTTAGACTCGCGGAAGTTCAATTAAAGAGTATGAATAGACCCAAACATGGGAGAGTCGGCAGTGCATTGGCAACAGGGTGGATGACCACCTTGAAATGTCAGCGTTGGCACCAAGTAATAAAGGCCCCTCGAGTCATCCAGCAAGAACGTCAGCTTCTGCGCCTCCTTCTCACATTACTTCTAGCTGACGCTACTTGACGAACATCAGTCTGACGGCGCGCAACAGCCCACCATTGAGAGCGGTAGCAAGCAGCAGATTTGCGATCAGGGTCTTTTGACGTCTCTTCTCGTTGCGCTCTGATCTGCTTTCTGCTGACGTCACTCTTTGCTGACGCCAGGTGACGAACATCAGCCTGACTGCGCGCAAGACGCGCAACAACCCCGGAATCAGCACGGTGATGGGCAACAGGTCAAACACCACCATTTCTCAAATACTTTTCGTTCTTGCGCTCTGATCTTTTTAGCTGACGTCAATCCTTGCTGACGCCAGGTGACGAACATCAGCCTGACTGCGCGCAAGACGCGCAACAGCCCTGAGTTCAGCACGGTGATGGGCAGCCGGGGCTTTACGGCGGGGAAGCACAGCTGGGACGTGCGGGTCGACCAGCACGCGAGCAACATGCGCCTCGGGGTGGCACGTGGCGGCATCCTGTTGGACGAGAACCTGAACGACAGCTCGATCGACAGGAACACTTGGGTGTACCACGCGAACGGGCACCTGCTGCACCACGGCATACACCACAGGTCAGCCGCGGGAGATACTCAGAAGCTTCAGCATCTTGTGCCGTTGTGTGTCCAAATCTTCTGGTGTGGAGGGTTGCTCTTGGACTTTGATCCGGAAATGGGTTCAACTTTTATCTTTGATCGGGTGTTGGGGGACCTTCAGTTCCGTCCAATTCTGTTCTTGCACATTACCAACGCTCTGGTAGAGTTGCGTCTCTTGTAGAGACGCTATTGTTCAGCCGACGATAAGCGACAGACATCGTTCTGTAAGCTGATTCATTGCCCACCCTAAAGGCGCAACGCAACGCAGCGCGTAAAGCGTGCAGCCCGTGTGTATCGTGTGCCTTGCTCGCGTCGTTTCTGTCTCGTCCAATATATCCAGTAGGATCTGGCATCTGGCATTCGCTGACGACTTCCCCCCCCAACAGCCTTGCTGACGTCAGCTCGGCCTATGCCCCGCAGGCAAATCCTGGAGTTCGACGCGGGCGACACGATCAGGTGCCACCTGGACATGGACCGCGGCACGCTGCGCTTCAGCAAGAACGGCATCGAGATCGACAAGTTCTTCACCAACATCACCGGGGAGGTCTTCCCGGTCGCCAGCTTCGACCACGTGGACGACCAGGTCACCATTACCAAGCGGGTAAGGAAGTTGGATCTTGGGCCCCTGATTCGCACCCAAGATGTTGCAACGGCCAGTCTGCAATCTATTCGGTGCGAACGCAGTGGACTTTGACAATGCACTGTACTCACCGCCTTTGGTGGAAATATCGAACACTCGGTCAAAAACAACATCTTAGGTGCGAGGGGCCTAAGATTGTTTCTCGTTGCGCATTTTTGCGTTCTCGGGCTTTTCCAAGCCCTTGCAAAAAGTAGTCCATCTTGAAGCTTTGACCTGATAGAAGGAATAAGGTCACTGAGGAGCCCAGAAAGAAGCAATCGCAATGTAGCTTTGACTGTGTCACGACAGTGATCTGCAACAAGAGCCACTCCGCATAACCAATGCCCCAGGCTAAGTCCTCGGGCCGAGGTACCATCCTCCAAAGCTGGGTAGCTTAAATTGAGTAGTCCTTTATAAAAGGTGGTGGTGTTATTATTCCCTTTGATGAAGCGGCTTCGAGGGTGCTCTAACCACGCCCATCTGTAGAGATTGCTGAACCCCTTTATCTCGCGAACCCTGCAGGTCCAGATCGTGGCGGAAAGCCCCGCGGTGCTGCCGCTCATCCCCAGCTGCGCGCGCATCGTCGTCGAGACCATGAAGCTCCTGCTGACGCAGCTCAAGGACTCCCCCGCTGCGCAAACCATCTGCTGCCACGTGGCGGCCTCCGTGCTGAACCACGTCAGGGACGCGCTGCGGCTGCTCGCGAGGCTCGAGGGCGGTCCCCTCGAGCTGCTGACGTCACTGGCTGACCGCTCGCTCCTGCGCGCGTGCCTGCCGGTCCTCCTCGTGTTCCTGCTCGCGCTCTCCCAGTTCTGCAAGACCGGGGCGCTCCTCCCGACCCTCGCCGAAGTGGCGCAGCTGCTCCAAGGGCTGTCGGGGCAGTCACCCGGGCACATGACGGGCGGATCCCCCTCCGCAGCTCTCTCCCTCCACTCCTCCGAGGCCCCGTTCGACCCGCTAACGCAAACAAAGCTCGCAACCCGGTTGGTGGAATCGCCCCACCGGTACCGACCGGGCGACTCGCCGATCCAGGACGTCCAGTCTGCGTTCGTGCCCGGTGCAGACTTTTTGCTGGTGCAATTCGACCCCCGGTCGGCGATGGGGGAAAACGACTTTGTGAAACTGCAACAGGCGGACGGGGCGACCATTGCCGGGCCGCTGATGGGCCCCGCGGAGCACCGGTGGTGCGTCGAGCCCATTCTAGTTCCTGGGAACACTGTGACGTTTGTACAAGAAATGGACGGCGGGGCGGCCGCGGTGCATGGGGGCGACTGGGGGTACAAGGCGGTGGTGACCGGGTACCGGGCCCCGGGTTACTCGTTCCAGGTGCGTACGGTTGCTTTATCTCCTAAAAGGCACTATAAAGCTTCTATTGATGAGCTCTCAAAGAAGAGTCGTGTTGGTAGCCTCCGCTAAATGCTGCTGGTTTCTTTAGATTTGCTTGACCAGTCCTTTGCACTGCTCTTCCTTCGTGTGACCCTGTCTTTCACAAGCGCTGAAGATCGAGAATTGCGGTCACCTCTTTCTCGTGCTTGAACAGTTTTGATGCTTCTCAAGGTTGTAGTTTCACTTTCTCAAAGCTCTTCGTCTTCGATATGACTCGAACAAAATCCGCAATCAAAAGAGCCGGTTATGTTTTACAAGCAGTCCGAGTGGAAGAGCTGCTGTACGCTCGCTCAATTTTTCGTTCTTACTCACAAGCGTTCTCTGTGTCTCTGCGCAGATTGAGTCAGCTGAGTCGCGCCACCCGTACCACGAATACTCCGATACGGTGACCAAGATCCACAACCTGAGCGCTTGCCGCCTGCTTGTGTCATTCGACACGCGCTGCCAGACCCACCCAAGCTGCTCCCTGGAGGTACGCACAAAGTAGCCCGAGCCTTGAGCTGTTTCTCATCCCGGCTAGGATGGGGAAGGTCAAGACTTTCGTCCGGTACCTGCAAACGGGAGCCGGGTCAATGTTTTCTGAAACTCAGGGCTGCATAATGATCCAAAGGGTGGGGTCACATTATCAGGAGCGTACGGATTGGGCAAAAGGCGCCAGCTGGGAAGAGACCTTGTGAGAATGTTGTTAGAGGTGGTCGATTGCGCTGGCAGCAGATCCATTGGCGTGAAGCAGAGTTACAGATCAGAGATTCAGCAACATTGGCTGGTTTGATTGTTCGAAGAACATGGCCGGGTTCTGCTTGGCACACACTGCTCCGCTTGGAGAGAATGAGAGAAAAGAAATGAAAAGAAAGAAAGAATGAATGCCCGCAGCAAGGTTTGAAGGAAGTATTGATCAACGAAGCGTCAATATCCGCCTGTCTCGTCAACGAAGCGTCATAGTTCGCCTATTCTCGTTTCTTCTTCACCAGCGTCCTCGCACACCAAGCTGCCAGATCCATTTCAACCTTATCTTAACAGCGGCCAAGAACCTGACTTAGCAAGTCATTATTCCCCCTTGCAGCTCTTGAAGGGCAACAAGGTGGTGGGCCGTTACTCGGGGGAGAGCGGCAATTGGCCGGTGACACCTGTCACGATCCTGGGCAGCAGCCTGACGCTGCGCTTCAAATCGGGCGGCGCTGAGGCCATGTGGGGCTGGAAAGTGGTGGTCGTTGCGGTTATTCCTGCGTTGTCGTCCCATTGGCTGTTCCAGTTCAAGAACGTCGCGACAGGGCTCTGCGGGATGCTGGCTGGTGAGTGAAGACTTGTTGAACTCAGGCTCTCAGTCGGGTCAAGGCGGCTCTTTTCGAACAGTCTCCTTTGTGAAGCGGCTGTCGGAGATTTGGATACTGTGGCCTTCAATATCTCACAGTCTCACGTCTCCGGGTCGCTATTCCGACATCTGCACGTCTCGCTTATTTTGTGCCACAGTATTGTGCCACAAAATTTTCTTGATTGTGAGGTTGAAAAGTTTAGATTGCCAAAGTTCCTGTGTATCTGACGGTTTAAAATCTGTAGTCAATCTTAAACCAGAGAAGGCCGTCTCGGTAAGAGTAAGGGCCATCAGCATCTGACATTGATGGACACATGAAGAACCAGGTCGAGGTTTCGCAGCTGAAACAACAAGTCCTTACTCGCAAAGGGCCGAAGGATTATGAAATGACTGGTTTCAATCAAGGACTAGATCGAACTTATGCAATCGAACCAACGGACCCCTCTCCCTCGCAGGCAAAGCGCTGGCCGGTCCGGCGTTCTCCCCCAAGACCGACCCAACGGAACCGTGGGTGCGGGGGGAGCTCCTGAAGAGGGGCCTCAGCCGGTCCACCCCGAGCACGTACGTCCTGAAACTGGTGGAACCTCCGCCCGCGGACCGTCCGAAGGACGCCATCGGACTGCTGCTCGCGCATAAGGTGAGCAACACCTGGATATTTGGGTTTTTCCTCGACCCTGTCCGTACAATTTAAACGAAACGCCGTGTTGTTGCGTCGGGTCTGTGTTGGAGTCATTGGGAGGTCTTCCAGGGACGTGTGTTTCATCTTTGTTCTTCCTTCCATTGTAAACTCAGTCTTCTATGAAGCTTCTCAGTAGTTCCCATCAACTTTTGATCCGGAGCTGGTTCTTTTTCTGAGGTTGCCTTCAGTCCTGGAACTAGGAGGCAAAATAAGGAAGCACCCCGTTGGTTTGTAACAATCTACGGAATTTTGTACCCCAACGCTCACCCATATAAAACCTTTCCGCAGACCATGAACTCCATTCCCAACGGTCTGCTCGACGCGTGCGACCGCGCCGCCGTGGTGTGCTTGCTGTACCACAGCGGGCTGCTGGACGTCGTGGCCGCGTTGAGCCGGGACCCCCTCCTCCCGGTGGAAAAGAACGACCAGCTCGTGCAAAGCCTGAGGTGAGGCTCCCCGGTGATTCATACTATGCCCCGACTAACCTGACTCGATTTTTTAACAGGTTGAAAGCTTTGACAAACGGCTGGTTTGGAGACGCGAAAAGTAATCGGACCCCGTTCAACTGGTTTCGAAGAACAACCAGCTTGCGCAAAGCTGAGGTGAGGCCACCCGTTGGATTGGTAACATGCTCGGATGAAGATCCTGGATCTATGGAGAGGCGAGCACTGAATCTGAGTTGTGCAGCAGTAACATTACTGCGTGTCAATCTTCCTTGGCTCCTTTTTTTTTCACTGAGCGAGCTCCTTACAGCCGCTTCTATTCTTTTGCAGTTCCTGTGGCCGTGGACATATACAGAACGCTAATCCTCTTGGAGCTCCTTTATCTTTAAAAACTGGTCAAAGCAGCGGCTTCAACCTCTTTTCGGTCAGCTCACTACGTCGGCAAATTCTACAATCCAGATTATCCAGAATCCTCATCCCCGAAAAATCTGCTGAATTCTGTACGTGTACAAGATTCGAATGTCGCTTGATTCTTCTCCCCCAGGGTCGCCCTCCGCCTGTCGCAAGAGCTGCGCATGGAGCTGGTGCGGCGGCGCCAGGTGGCGCAGCTGGCGGAGGAGGGTGACGTTATCGTGACGTACGACAGCATCTGCCGGCCGTTCCTGGACAAGTGCCGCATGCTGCTGCGCTTCGACCCGCTCTGCGAACCGGGCACGCCACGCTCGCCCTCCACGTCGGGAGGTCAGTCTGTGCATTCATCATTTGCCCCTAAATGCGTCCTACTCTTTGGCTCCAGAAGTTCCTTTCAACAATAGTAATATCTGTACCGCCTGGTTTTGTTGGCGACGCGAAACAAGAGGCAACTCTCGCGGCTCCAGATTGCTTGAACTGGTTAGCAGATGGCGAAGTCTTGTCCCGCTTCCTTAGCCGACACACCCCCGACGCGGAAAACTACTTTGGCGCCTGAATTCAGAGCTGAGTTTTCTACTACGATCGAATAGGCATCTGCACGAAGAGCCCGCCCTTCGCTTTACGGCCGGCAAAGCGGCCCAAAGGGACCTCTCAGATCTACTGATTCAGGGCTTGGACTCCTTTTTCCTTCTGCGGAAAGCACGGCTCTTTGATGAAAACAGACCGGAAAACGTACCTCATCGTTAGCAGCACACTTCAATTTCTGATTTACATAGAGAGGGTGTTCATGATTTTCCTACTAGGGCTTCGCAGCTCTAGTGCAAGAGCGAAATATTGGAGGAATGGTCAAAGAAGATAAAGAAGCGCAGTCGCACATCCTACGATGCTGAACCGACACTGACCTTCTCTTAGGACTCGTTCCCAGATTATGTCTCCCCATTCTGTCAGGTGAGACTTACACCGTAGTCAAAGCACTAAAAGGAAGATTGGTTCCTACTTGCCTGTTCGGCCAACAAGAAACCTGACAGCCGCTTCCGTTCTTGTTCCGCCAGCGTCAGACCGGCTACGAAAGGCCGCGCTGAAGATTCTGAACAAGAGCACCAAGCAGGAGGCCAAGTCACAGTGGACCAGCGTGCTGCAGCTCATCAAGATCCATTCCGTCCACTTCCGGATGGAGAAGCAGGTGCCGGAATCCGCTCTGCTCCGTCCTTGTTGCTAGTCTCTCTGTACTGCGTAAAAGTCGACCCAGTGGTGCTGAGGGCTCGCTTTTTAATCTGTTCAAAAGAGAGAAGGATCCGTCGGGCTAACGAAATAAGGCTTCCTTCCTTCACTAGTATGCCAAAATAGCGATTGGCACTACATCTCTACATCCAGAAGCACCTGGTGAGGCTTAGCACCTGACAATCGGTGCAAGTCTGGCCCCTGGTGTGCGAATGAGGTTCCACGTTTGCTCCATCACAGAATTCGTCGTCAAAAACCCTTAAACACCCACAAGAAAGAGTTCTCAACGCACTCTGTTGAGAAAGACCAGAAACACCGACAGTAGAGAAGTTGTCACGACAGCCCAAACTTTTACAGTCGGAGATTTCTAGTTGCTGACACGTTTCCAATGCAGGCCCGCTCGTCGATGACGACGGTCGAGCAAGCGATGGCTGAAGCAAAGGCCTTTCTCTACTCCGAGGTCCCCGTGGCTGAGGTTGAGCTCCACTACCGTAAGCAAGAACTCAGGATAGGTAAGCCAGTCAGATCACCGCTGCTGGTCGTCGCTGTTGCTTTGCAAAAAATGCTACGAAGCAACTTGGATTGTTTACGAATGCAAATCTCAGACATAATCAGAGCTCTTCAAAGAGTGGCTGGGTATGAAGCGGGTTACCAAACAAGACCTTCGTACCAAGGTTTGAGAACTGGATCGGGCACGAAGACTCGCCAAGTTTTAAAGTGGCGACTCGGAGCGAGCACGATAGTCCTACCAAACTTCAACAAAGAAGAAAGCAACGATGTTCAGTAGCAATCTTCTGAAGTCAATATAAAGGTCTATTTCGGGAGCTACATTCAAAACGCTCCCTTCTCCAACGAGCACAATTTGAGTGCTGAGAAGTGCGCTTCTGGCGCTACATATATGCCCATCACCGTGATTGACAACATACAAGATCAGAAGCAGGAAAGAGTTCATGCCGTCTTCGTGCCTCGTCAGGCTCATAATCGCGCATTCAGACGCCTCGCCTAACCGCTCAAGTGCTTTTCCCCGGTGCAGGCGAGATGGAGACCGGGCTCCAGACCGTGCTGACGCTGCTGGGCAGCTCCGACAGGGAGGTGTGGGCGGGGTGCCTGGACGGACTGGCCAGCGCCCAGCAGCGGATGCAGCACTACCTGCAAAATGTGGGCGGGGGAAAACCGGGCGCGGTTAGCCATCTCAGACAAATCAACAACGAGGTCCTGCAAAGACTGGTGGGCTTCTTGCGGTGAGGTCATGGGGGCCCTTAACCTTCAACTTGTGGTTCTAGAGGCTTCTTCTGAGAAGGTTCGAAAGGCGAGTTGGTATCAAAGACGAGATGGTGGGAACAAAGTAAATTGCCACAGCTTCACCGTGAATCCCCTTCTTTGCAATTGTAAGGCTGTCTTCACCGTTTCAGGACAACAGCAAGGCTGCGTGCCCTTGAACTTCCGACGGGTTGAGCTCCTACGACAGCCCGGATGATTACCACAGAAGATAATCGCACTCCTCTGCACATGCCTAGTGCCAAAACCTGAAGTTCCGATTCCCATTTCGCCAGGTCCTCCGACACGCCCGCGATCCTGCGTCTCCACGCGATTGACATCCTGACCACTATGTACGACCCCACCGACCTCTCTTTCCTGGCGACCATCGAACTTGGCGAGGCACTCCACAAGCTAGTCTTGCCGCTCGCCCCCGTGTCGCCCCCCGCGGACGCATCTACGGACGCCGCCTGGAACAGCGTACTGGAGGCTTTTCACACTGGGGCCATGCAGGCCTGGTCCGAGCGCAGCCTGGCGCCAACGCTCTCGTGTGAAAACGCGTTCAACGAGGTAAGGACGACGAGGAGATTTTTCCTGCCTGCAAGCGGCGCTCTACCATTGACAGTTAGTAGAACTCGGGATGGCATGAATGTTTGTGCCCAAGGAGTACGCATTTGGAGGAGAACGCATTTCTGTGACTGGCTATCTCGGTAAATCTCAGGTACAAAACCAGTCAGACAAGGACAGCTGGCTTGAAAGACGTTCGTTTTGCACCAACTGACTGGTCATTCCCTTGGATGCTAGACCAGCTTGTTCAAGGCCTCTCGTCTACAGTCTATTCTGTAACAGAAACAAGAGGTGGGCCAAATTTCCCCCTGCAGGTGGCGGCCGAGTCCGAGGAATCCGCCGCGAAGCAGGCCATGCAGGCGGTCTGGCGCCTCGCGGCCGCGCTCATCCTCCACCTGGGGCTGTACGGACCGTCCGCGAGCCCGCGCCTCGTGTCCGAAATCGTCGAGACCGCGCACGCGGGCGCGCTCGCGCTGCTCACCAACATCCGCGGCGTTGCGACCGCCGAGAAGAAGGATCCGCCGGGCGGCGTGAGCCCGGTTCCGGTTCCGTTGACGGTCAACCTTCTGGGGCCCGGAGCGAGCAACCGGGCGTCCACGAGGGTGACCAACATGGGTGGCAGTGGCGGGGGAATGGTCGCCGGCGGAACCGGAACCGGAATAGGGATAAGCAGTAGCCGAGCGCTGACAGCGCGACGGTCGACGAGGTTTCGGACGACGCGAACCGCCCCTGCGGCGCCGGCACAGGTGCTGGTTCCGTCCCGGACGACGTCGATGGAGGTTCCGCTGGTCAACCGGAATGGGGACAGAGTGCTGCCAGGAACCGGTAAGTAGCCTGCCAGCGCCAACAATAACCTTGACAGATAATAATACGCTCGTTAAGCAAGATCGTCAGCTAATAAGGCCTTTCACGGATGAGGAACTTGCGGGGTCAAATGAGTCGGCTAAGTTCGTGGGATTGAAACACGAGACCAAATTTTCGAACCCTTTCGACGTGAAAGTTGCTGAACATGTAACTCAATTGATCTCTTACGTATTCTTACGATCAAGCCGTTATAAGAGACGTCCCTAGAGGCTTCCAAATCATCTTACTTGCTAGTTACCGATGCCCTGAGGAATATTTCCTCTCAAGTGGTACGTTCCTTGACGCCCAGAAATGCAAGAGCCTTCAGTCTGACGCCCCCGGTTCTTTCCCCCAGGCGCCGGCGCCGGTCGCTTCTACTGCGGGCAAAGCTACACGGAGGCGGGCGGGTGCGCGTGCGGCGCATGCGACGGCGTGTGCGGCCCCTCCGAGGGCTGCCCCTGCCCCGCGTGCATCATCTACGCGCGCGAGCAGGCCGACGCGGCGCTCGCGCGCGCGCTTCAGGAGCGGCAGAGCTCCCGGGAGGGCAGCCTGAGCTCGCGGACGACGAGCATGCAGGTGGTGTCCGCGCCCGGGGCGGACGGCCGGGGGGACGGGCAGCTGCAGGACCGGGTGTGCATCGACAAGGTGCAGGTGAGAAGGGACGTCAGAGGGACGTCAGTGGAAGCAAAAAAACGTTGGGCTGAACCAGAGAGGAATCCATTTGTAGGCAGTTTATTCTGGAAATAAGGGACGGAAAAGATCGAGAAAGGTCGCGAATGTGGCGTCAAGGAAACACACTGATGTCTGGGTTGGAAATGAAAGCTTGACGGCTCGAAGATCGGTAGCATGTGGACAATTTCAACACGCCGAAATGCTGGGGTTTTTCTCGAGCAGCGAGATGGATGCTTTCTGCAGAATGTAGGGGTACCTTGAGCTCCAAACACATAATTTTGGGCAGTCTTCGCTCAATCACACGATTTTAAAATCAAACCTGCTCTTTGAATCCGTGCTCCTTCCTGTACCGCTACCTTAGACCTCTTTGACATGCCAGATTATTGCGGCTGCCCAGGTGTCGTCCAACCCTTCCAGCGCGGCGAGTCTGCTCGAGCCCGGCACCGAGAACTACTGGCAGTCCAGTGGGCCGGAGGCCACCCACTGGATTCGCCTCCACGTGGCAAAGGGCGTCACGCTGACGCGGCTCGCGATCCTGGCGGACTGCCGGGAGGTCAGCTACTGTCCGGACAACGTGATCGTACGAGGAGCGTCCGATAGCACCACGATGCACCAGCTGGCGGACGTCAGCCTGGCGGGGCTCGCGAAGCGACGGTGAGACACGTGGCGTCTGGACAGGTCTTGAATATTCCTCGGTAAAGAAGGGCAGGAAGAAGGCTTGCAAGGCTGAATGCAGTGCTCTTCAGGCGGAGCTGATTTAACATGGCGGTTCTGTATTGATTCACAGTCTTGTAGTTTCTCGTATTGCCTCTGACCTGGATGGCGCGGAGTATTCAGGGTTTGGTCTTTAGATGCTTTTCGACCTGAGTGTGCTTCAACGTCTGTATCATAGATCAAACCGCCAAATACAACGTAGACGCGCAAAACGACCGGAAGTTTTGTACCATATGCCCAATTTGGATAGAACGACCACGAAAGAACGAAAGAGCTTATCCGCGGGCATCCAATCGACAAAGCCGTCACAATTGGCCGAAGACCCTTTTCCGTGAACGTTCGTCTGCGTTTACCAAATAGTCTTTCCAAAGCTCTCTCAGGCCTCTCGTGCAAAGACTCTCTAAAACTCCTCAGCTCCATTCCGCAGTTTCGACGCGGGCCGCCCCGTCATCCTCTTTCCGCCCAGCTCTCCCGTCTAAAACCTCTCTAAAACCTCTCTGCTCCGCTCCGCAGCTTCGAAGCCGGCGGCCGCGTCATCCAAGCGGACCTAGTGACGCAGCCCATGGAGGGGATGCGCGTGATCCAGATCAACATCAAGAGCACGATCGGGCGCGGAATCGACACCCGCGTGCACGGAATCCGCTGCTGGGGGGTCACCGCGGCGGGCCCAATCGGCGACAGCCGCGCAACGCTCAAGTCGCTCCTCTCCGCAATCTGCGCCAGCTGTCACCCCAAGAGCGTCAGCTTACGTCACCTCTACGCGCCCAAGTGGCTGTCGCTGCTCCTGCGCGTCGTCGCGACGTTGCAGTGCGGCGACGGGTTGCGGTTAGAGGGGTTACGGCTGCTGACCGTGGTTCTCGGCCGGTGGGACGGACTGGGGGAGGAAGACCTCAAGCGGATCGTGGATGAGATTCTCCAGATCACCGCGGAGAACTCTCCTGAGGCGCGGCTACTGCATCCAATCAATCTCGGCGCCGACTTCCCGGGCGTCGTCTCCGTGGACACGTGTAGCCTCGCGGTTCGCTCCGGGCTGCTCGCGCTCCTCCGGGAGCTTCTGGACCGTCCGATGTGGGCGCCCGTCATCGGGCGCGCCCTCCAGGCGTCGATCCAGCAGCTCCTGCCCCCCCTGCCCGGGGCGAACGGGTCCGGCCAACCGGGCACTTATGACTGCGTCTCCTTCTGGTGGCGCACCGGAAAGGAGAGCCTTCCGGCGGACACCGACCGCGGGCTGGTCACTCTGTACGGGGCACGTGCCGAGCAGGAGCTCCAAACGCTATTGAACGCGATCGTCGTCGGCGTGCGGTCGGGGACCGGGACCCCGACCGCCTCCCGGCCCACGTCCCCCGACCAAAACGCCCAGCCTAGTTACATGTCGACCGGGGAGTGCCGGACGTACTCGTTGGAAACGTTCGAGTACCCCGAGGGGCTGATGCGCCTGGTTTCCGAGGGGGAGGAAGTTTCATGCCCGCTTTCGACGCTCTTTGCGACCGGGCAGCAGTGGCACGCGCAGAGCATCGCCCTGCTCAAAGAGAGCCTGTCCTCGGTTCATGCCCCCGGGCGGCGAGGTCCGCATGCTTCCCATGCTATGGTCCACCCGAGCCCTTCTCCCGGTTCTCCTCCACCGACCACTCTTCCGGTTCGACCGCACGGGGTGCTGCTGAGCGCTTTGCCTGCGTCAGCGGGGCTGGTCTTCGTTAGATACGGCACGATCGGGGATCCGAGCCGGGCCACTTCCTGGCAAGAACTGCCCCGCACCGACCTGGAAAGCACGCAGGAAGTGGTTCCTGAGCCGCCTGCGGTGGCCCTCCCGGCCGTCCTCATGCTGGGGGGTTGCGTGGCCCAGGCGAACAAGCCCCCCGGGGAGATCGTCCGGCCCAAGGCGCTGGCGGGAGAGCAGGGAAAGGAGGTCTCTTGGAGCCAGGTGGCGGCACGCCTGCCGTCGATCTTCCTCGAGGCGTGGGTGAAGTCCGCAGCGCTGCACTCGGAGGGCTTCGATTTGGGCGCGCTTCCTTTGGGCGCGCACGTGATGCGCGCGCGCATGATGAAGGCGTTCTACGAGCTGCTCGCCACGTCGACCGAGCGGGAGTGCCTCCTGAAAGACCCACGTGTCCTCCCCATACTGGTCGCGGCCGCGTCGCAGCTGACCGACGTGCCGCTTGAGCTGACGGTCGATGAGCTGGCGGCCAAAACGCTCGCGCTCAGTCTGCGCGCGTCGCCGCTCCCGAACGCCCTCGACGAGGTGAACCGCATGGCTGACGACCTGTGTGACGTCGGCTTTGCGGAAGACCTCTGCAAGCGGGCCGTGATCAAAGCTGGCGGGAATCTTGGCGAGGCCGCGCAGTGGTTGACGAGTCAGGGGCGGAAAGAGGAGGACCAGAAAATAGGGGGACGGCGGAGGCGGTCCAGTAGTAGCGTTGCATCCCCCCAAAGCGGGGACGCGGAACTCGCGGAGTGGTTACAAGATCCCCCCGCGTTTGAGAAACTCGGCGCGCTTCACACTCACGACGAGGAAGAGAGGCACGCGCGCCGCAGCAGTAACGGGAGCGGTTCCGAGTCCGGGGGGGTGTCAAAGGGCGACCCAAAAGCGGAGAAGGCCAGCTGGGTGGACGCCGCGTATGCCAACAAGCAGCTGGCGGTGCGCGACCCGCTGCAGGCCGCGGTCGAAGTCGCGGCCGCGGAGGACGCGCTCTTCGTCTACTACTCGCGCCTCGCCCTGCTCCGCTACCTCGAGGCGGAGCCGGAATCCGCCGGAAAGCTGACCGTCACGGAGCTGCTCGCGGTGACGCGCCCCATGTTCTTCTCGGCGGACTCGAAGCAGCGGCCGCGCGTGCGCGACCTCGCCGCGGCTGCGTCGCCCAAGCAGCTAACCCGAACCCTTAACCGGCTGTTTACCGCGTGGGCCCAGAAGCGGGGCCAGGCGTTTGGCAGCTTGCAGAGCCTGAGCGGGGACCCGACTCTGGGGTCAAGTCAAGCGGACGCGACTCTCAAGGAGCTGAGCCGGGTGTGCGAACGGAGTCTGCAGAAGATTGTGGAGAGCGGGGGCGTCGCGCACGCGCCCGCGGTGAACTCTGTGACGATCGAGTCGCAGCATCCGTACGAGGCGGCCCAGCGGGTCATTCGAAAGGTGGGAAGGCCGAGTTTGGCTTCCAGTTGTTGGTTGCAGTAGGGAAAAGTTCACTTTTCTGGAAGCAAGTTGAACTCACAACATCCTGATCAATATTGAAGGGAGGTTCTAAGGAATATTTGCCAAAGTTCCTGGGAAGGAAGTCGATGAGCGTGCAGCTGGGAAGAGTCAGAACAGAGGATTCTCAGAAGCAAGACGCAGACTCCAGGTTGGATAATTAAGATGTTCAGCAGTGTGGTACTCAGGACCGCCGTTCAGTTTACGCCTCCTTCCAGGTTATCTGGCCCAGCAGCAACTTTCAGGTTTATAGGGAAGTTGCAAGACCACTTGAATCACCAATGGAAATTTCTTCTGACGTGGATGTTTGATTTCTTTCCAGGAATAATTCCTCAGCACTTCTGCTCATTCTGAATTTCTGGATTGACAGCCAATTCAAAGTCATAGAGGCCCGTCAGTGTGAAGGACTCGTACAACAAGGTCTTCTATCTCAACCTTCGATCAAACGCGGCTGATTTTTGACTCCTATTCCGCCGCCTGGATTTGAAGTTACTTCCGGCGTCCCGTCTCCCTGGAGAATCCGCACTTCAGACGGCTGTCCCGCAAAATGGACCCAGACGATACGGTGACCTTTTCACAAAGCTCGTTTAACCTGTAGCAATAAATACCGTCGCAAATTTTCGGTGTGTAGTATAAGACTGATCCCGCTGGCCTGTGTCCGCAGGTCCGCATTCTGGGCGCCCAGCATCTGCGCGTCACTTTCAACTCGCGTTGCAACACCGGCGCCGACGTGCTCGCCTTTTTCAAGGACTCCGCCAGCCTCAGGAGGGCGACCCCGCCGCTGCGCGTGTGCTTCAAAGACTACAACTCGGGCAAAGCGGAAGGAAACGAGCCCGCAGCTCCTATGTGGTCGGAACCGCTCATCATCAACGGGAGCTCGTTCTACTACAAGATCAAAACGGATTCCCGGGGACCCAAAAAGTGGGGCTACGCGTTTACCGTGGAGGCGATCGGGGCGCCGACCGCGGCCGCGGCCGCGCAGCCGATCAAGATGGTGACCTTTGAGTCGCTGCACGAGTATACGGACAACGAGCGGGGGTTGGAGAACGTGACGTTGAATGGCGCGACCGGGCTGTCCGTTCACTTCGACGGAAAGTGCTCCGTGGAGCGGAACTCCGACGAGCTGCGGATCAACGGCCAGATCTTCTCCGACTGGATGAACGGTCCGTGCTGGGAGCAGGAGTTACAAATCCCGAAAAACACGTTCCACTTGGAGTTCGTCAGCGACGACAGCGAGACCGCGTACGGGTACAAGTTCGTGGTGCGCCCGACGGCCGACGAGAGCGGCAAGGGTTTGGCGGGTTTGAGCGAGGCCGACGCCGCGGCCGCGGGCGCGGTCCACGTGGGCTATGTCGAGTGGCTGGTGACGTCAGTCCTGGGCGTCATCTCGGCCCGGGGGGTCCCCCCGGGCACTTCATCGCTGCTCGAGGCCGTGGTTTGCGCGCTACCGAGCCTCCCGATCCCGTGCCGCACGCGACTCTTGCGCGCGCTCGCGCGCACTCTGTCCGAGGGGGTCAACTGGGCGGAGAAGGGCGACACGCTGGCGCCGTCCGAGGGGACGCAGAGGGCCGTGCGGCTGATGTACCGGGCGATGCTGAAGCAGCACGAGATGGAGCGCAAGAACGTGGGCAAGAGCCGCGTGCTCTTCTCGCCGTACCTCCAGGTGAGGCCAGGGGCGAACGCGGGCTGCTTGGAAACCGCACCTCGAAAAAGATGATGACGTCGGTTCTGTTGAGGTGTGCTTGATGTGACTATGGCAAGTACCGCTGCTTTTCTGGTCATCTCGTTGGGGGCTGCGTAGCTGTGCTGCTGAAAGGTGCTTGAGTTCTGATCAAACGTTGCTGTAATCTGGTTGTGAGTTGTGAGGTCAGAAAGCCGTGACTCATGTTCAATTTTGGTTTCCTACTCCCCAAGCTTGAAAGCAATCGCTTTGCAAAACTATTCGCGCTTTTAGAGGGTGCACATCATCATTTATTTCTTTACCCTCTGGCTGTTTCGACGGAGCCTTTCCGTGATCCAAAGTAGCCAGCCTCTTCCTCGCAGCCATAATGACGCCTTCAAACTACATAATGTCGATGCCAGATGGTCAGATCCTTTGTAAATTTTGCCGTCAACTGACGCTCGTTAAAAAGACCCTTACTCCCACGGAATGGCCACTCACAATGAGCTGGCTCCAGTGACAAACGTAAGCTAACCAAGATTCGGATGACAGGCCTTGGTTGAGCTGTGCTCCATTCTGGAGCACCGCAACACTCCGCTGGACCCGAAGACCGCCGACGGCCAACTGGGTATCACGCTGGCCTCCCTCCCGCGCCCCGACTGGCTGCAGAGCTACAACCGGTTGGTGGAGCTCCTGGAATCCATGTGGAAGATGGAACCGTTACCGGACTGGTTCGTCGCGATCCTCGAGGGGCGGGCCGGAACCCAGGCGCTGACCACGCAATCGGTGGAAGTGTTCTTTGATCCGACGCAGGCTGGACGGGGCTGTGAGCTGACCGACTATATCAACGGGGGTTTCAAAGGAGTGTTGTTTGGGGGGCAGACGACGGTTCTGTGCAGTAGCGAGATGCGGCACGGGACTGGACTGTACAGCATCGAGTTTGAGGTGGTCGGGAATGATCAGTGCCTGGTCGGGGTCGCCGCTTACGGGGTCGATGTGAATACTTATTTGGGCGACCACGGGGAGGCCTGGGGCCTGTTCGCGCAGACGGGGCGGATGAAGGTCAAGGGCGAGTGGCAGAAGCACCCCTCGCTGAAGCCGTTCACAACTGGGGACAGGATCGGGGTTCACTTCGACTCCGACGACGGGACGCTGCGCTTCTCCAAGAACGACGAAATTATGGCGAAGGTCTTCCACGACATTCCGTCGGGGGTCGTTTTCGCGGCCGGGGGGTCTGTTCTTGGCGCCGTCCGAATCGCGTCTGCCAGCCATACCTTCGCCCACATCGCGCCCGGGGGACAAACAGCCGGGCAGTCGGAAGCGAACTCCGAGCCCGGGAGCAGCGGGGGTTTGCGCCGGCACAGGAGGCGGGGAATGGACCCGGGGATCGAGCACGCAGCGCGCCAGCTGGCAGCTCTAGGGTACCCCCTCGCGGCAGCGGAGAAGGCGCTGGCCATTGCCGGGAATGACGTCAGCGCGGCCGCGTCGTGGCTCGTGAACAACCCGCACGTGGTCGAGGAGGAGCGCGCGCGCGAGGCCGAGGGGCGCGCCAACAGCCGGGTCCCGAGCGCGCGCTACTCCGCCGGGGGGGGCGTTTCGCGCGACGGCCGGCCCCCCAAAGCGGGAGAGGGCAGCTCGTCCAGCAACTCCAACCTGCTGTCCCCGCTCGCGCTGCCTCCGTCCGCGGCCGCGGCCGCGAGCACGCTTCGAGCGGCCGCGGCGCGGCTCTCGAAAGTCGCGGAGGACATTCACACCCACGAACGGCAGCGCGGGGGGTCCGGCGAGTCTCGCCGCAGTCTAGTTACACCGGGCAGTGGGTGGGAGAATGAACACTGGTCGCTCGCAATGGACGCCCAGCTGGTTCTGTACGTGTGTGAACGGGCGGCCCTTCGGGGGGTAACCCCAATGCTTCTGAAGCCGGACGACTTGTTTGGGAGTGAGGGAGAGGAGGACCTGTCCGAATCCGTCCTGGCACGTGCCCCGTCCGGCGCGCCGGAAATCGCGGACAAGGAGGTGCAGCCCGGGCCGGCGACGACGGCCGCGGCGACCAGGCAGGTCAGCGCGGAGTCGCAGCTGATGCTGCTGAGTCGCCGCTCGCGCACCGCGCTCCGGGACCGGTTCGTCGTGCTCAAGATGCTGAACCGCATGGCGAAGCCGGTTCTGCCGCTGATCGATCTGCGACTGGTGGGGGATCCCGCAAGCACCGCCCACCGCTTGGCGACTTCCAAGGGTCCGCTTTTCCCCGAGACGAAGGCGCAGATGATCGACCGGGGCGTCGCGCTCATGCACGAAGACGGGGACGTGCCGTCGGTTGTCGTAAACCGGGCGCACGCTACGGCGGCGAACAGCAAACCGGGGCCAAAGGACGGGAACAACTCGGTCTTTGGGCAGCTGTTTGCGGGGCTGGAGCGGCACTCGCTGAGGAGGACGCAGGCGAAAGGGACGGGGCTGGTGTCGTGGCTGGTCAGGTAAGACTGACGAAGTGCTGACGCAATCTGCTGATCAATTCCCTGCGATTTTATCTGTGCGAATGTCAGTTTCTTCCTAGCTCTCTGTCCTGGCTGGAAACGCGTTTGCCCGCATGGAAGGAGACCGTTTCAGGGCTTTTGCAGAAAATTGTTGGATAAGCCTCCCCTTTTGACTTTGACGACCATTGGGCCAGTCATAATCTTCCGTAAAGTTTTAATTACAATCAGGTGACAAAACGCGCACCCTTAATCACCAAAAGAGTGTGCCAAAGTCTTCAGTCTCTGTTTCCCGCTTGTTTTCATCTTCCGCTCAGTCTCTGATCCGTTCCGCTCGGTTGCAGCTTCGAAGGAGAGGGCGGAACCGACCACGGCGGACTGTTCCGCGAGTCGCTGCACGATGCGTGCGCGGAGCTGCAGAGCGATGCGCTTCCGCTCTTCATCCAGTGCCCCAACGGACGGAACAACGTCGGCTTCAATCGCGACACCTGGGTCCCTAACCCAGCCTGCACCAGCTGGGAGCACATGAGGAGGTGCGGGCGTTCGAATAATCAAAGATGTTGCAAATTCCTCCTCTCTGTGGTTTGATTGTTGGTGTGCTTTGAGTTTGGAGGATTACCTGATCAATCTGCAGAGCAGCTAGCACATCCAGCGTTTCCAAACTTTGGGATGCTCTTACTGTCTTTCGCAAGACTGTTTATGGGCGCTCGTGGATAGACCGTACAGATTCTTTTCAGCAGTGTTGAATTTTCCGACGCTTTTGGTACTCTCTGTGGTTCGTTGTCGCCGGCAACTTAGAACGCACAAGCTGTAAAAGTAGCATGTCACACATGACCGTAACCAGGGAAGCCCTCACGGTTTCCCCCCGAGTGCTGTGTCATTGGCATGTGATCGGGCCCGCGATATCCCGCTGTAACGCTCCCGCTGCTCCCCCAGGTACCGTTTCATCGGCACGCTGATGGGCGCTTCGATGCGCACGGGCAGCAGCATGGAGCTCGACTTCTCGGCGTTTGTGTGGAAGCAGCTGATCGGGGAACACCCGACCGTGCGCGATCTCGCGGGCGTGGACGAGCGGTTCGTCCGAATCCTGGAGTTTTACCGGACGCATGCGGACGCCAAAGCCTGGGCGCAGGTCCGACAGACGGAGGGGGGCGTCAAGTACATGGTCGCCACGTCGGACAGCAAGACGGTTGAGGTGGGAAGAATGTGGTCGACAAAACGTTTTGAGGGGCGCTTTGGTTGCTCTTTGTGATTGGATTTATTTTCGCAGTTTTAAAGTTGCATATGTGGGGGAAAACAGGAGACCAGCCACTATTCTTGATATTGGTATAGCACTCTGGAAAGGCTTGCTGGCAACACTATTCTCCTTTTGTATTTTGCCAACATTGGGACAGGGGGTTACAGGCATCTTCTTGAGAGCCTCGGTCTCCTTGGTTGCTCCATTTCACCTTTCTGAAACAGATTACAACATTCCTCCGCTTACTCTCACCACCATTTCGTCAGGGTTATGAAAGGTTATGCTAAACCCGTTCCTCAAACCCTCAATTTCAAACCCCGTGCAGCTCATCCCGAACGGCCGCGCGACCGCCGTCGCGTTCGAGGACCGCGAGCGCTACTGCCAGCTGGCACTCAACTATAGGCTGCACGAGGTGACGCTCCAGATCGCCGCGATGCGCGAGGGGTTCTGCCGGTCCGGACCGGGCCTGCTGCTGCCGATCCTGACGTGGCGCGAGCTGGAGCGTCGGATCTGCGGACGGCCCGAGATCGACGTCAAGCTGCTCAAGAAGAAGACGCGGTACAACATGCCGGGGGGGGAGAAGAACAAGGTGGGTACCGTGGCGGTTTATTGGCAAGAAAGATCGGATGAACAGGGGAGCATCTCTTTGCCCCAGTCTAAAGCTGTCCTTGCGCTTTCTACCTTCTATTGGAACGTCGGGCTTACATCTGCTCAGTACTTCCTTCTTTCTCCTCTTCTTCTTTTCTTTCTTATTTTCAACGCTGTGCGGTGCTGTGAATCGTATGCACGAAGCTCCGCATAAAGAGACGTGTAAGCTGAAACATTCACCAGCTCTTCCATCGATCCCAGGGCTAAATTCTGAAAACAAAAAGCCTGCACAAGTTAGCTTCGAGCCATGTTTTAGCTAACTCATTATTTCTCTCAACCTTCTAAAACCTCAAGAGCATTGCACAGGTGGCGGTTTGGTTCTGGAATGTGATGGAGAGCCTGACCAACGAGGACCGCGTCAAGTTCCTTGTCTTCACGGTAGACCCGAAAAGCAGTATCTTAACCTCAAATTCAACGCTACTATTGCGGGAGCCTAAAGCCCGTAACCCGTCTTGACAGGTGGCGATCTGGTTCTGGAACGTGATGGAGAGCCTGACCAACGAGGACCGCGTCAAGTTCCTCTCCTTCGCGTGGGGCCGCGGCCGGCTGCCGCCCCACAGCAGCAGCCTCGAGTTCACGCTCCAGCTGGACGCTAACCGGGCCGATTCACACCTGCCCCAGTCCCACACGTGCTTTTTCACACTGGATCTGCCCAACTACTCGAGCGAGGCGGTGCTGCGGGCCAAGCTGCTGTACGCGGTGCACAATTGCAAGGCGATTGACACAGGTGGGAATAGGCTCGGTGTCTGTGGGCTGAGGATTGAGATGGGATCTGGAATGCAGACGGGATCTGAAGGAAGAGTGGGTTGGAAAATACTAGTGGATACTCGATTTGAATTGACCGCGAAAACCAGAGACAAAGTGCCCAGTCAAGCCTACGAAACTCACGCCTGAAAAAGCGTTCCTTGGATGGGGTATGTCATGTACTTTTGAAAGCGCATTGAGAATAAAATAGAATTAAGCTAAGATTGTCAACTTTGAAGTTGATGATGCGGCAGAGGGGGAAGGACTCTGTCGCTCTGGAGCCGATTCCATTGGATTCTGGAAAAAAAATTGATACCATCACAGATGGCTTTCAGTGTACCTGATATTAAAATCGCGAGGCTTTCTTCCAGGACCCTTAACGCCGTTTGATGTTGTCAGTCTTTAGGCCTACGAACAAACACGTAAGTTCTAGCGGTTGAGACGAACATACAGAGCTCCAAACTCCTCTGACGCTTCGAGCCTGCCTTCCGCTTACCGCAGACTTTGCCGCGAGCGGCCGGTTGGGCGACGACGGCGACCCCGAAGAGGACGTCATGAGCACAACGGACGCCAGCACGTACGACCCGTCCGAAGATTTGAACGGGTTTGGGCTCAGCCGCGTGGGAAGCGACGCGGCCTTCGAGGGCGCCTTCGATGGTGACGCGACCGCGGCCGCGAACGCGGCGGGCGTGGGTTCGAGCGAAGGCGCGGCCGCGAGCAGTGGGTTCAGCGCTGAGGAGGAGGACGAAGCGGGCTTCGACGTTGACATGGGGGATGACGAGTTGGAGGTGAGGGGAAAGCTTTGAGTGGGCTGCTTATCGTGTTCGCTCACTTGTTTTGCCGTTGCCCTGGTTTGGAGAACTTTCTGAAAAAGAGACTTCGTTGATGGCAGGGGACACCTTTCGGCACTGGAAAACTTTAGAATTAAATTTCTGCCTGGCAGCAGAACCACTCTGCGCGGAAAATAGGGTGAAAAAACTCTCTGCTCCGGTACGTGATCTCTTTTTCCTACCCACTTGCCCGAATCTTCCTGGTGATGGAAATGATTGACGCTTCTATTTTATCAGACATTGTGCTGAGTCCACCTTTCGTATGCTCTGCTCAGGAGGAAGCGTTGTTTGTGGATGAGGACTTTGAAGAGGACCTAGACTCCGATATCGAGAGCGATGGCGAGATAGACGACACCGCTCAAGACGAGAATCGGTATGACGAAGAGGTTCGAAGAGTGACCGGCGGCCGATCTCGGCTGAGCTCACACAGCTAGTTGGGCCGGTTAGATGTGTTGCTAAGCTACGCGTTGCGCCTATTGTGAATTTCCTTGACTTCAATCAGGTTGGACCCATGTTACTTTCAGTGACGAGGTGCTTGTCAAAGCTTTGGGAATGCTGCAAAAGCATTGTAGTGTAGACTAGAAGGGCATTGCATAAACGTGCCTGCGGCGTTAGTTCTAGATGCTCCTGAGCACGTGTTTGATTGCTATAGGAGCAAAGGATCAAGTTGCGGTTTGTTCGATCTGGAAGATTGGGGACTATGTCTTACGGGTTGATCGATCGGCAAGGTAGAATATTATTGGAAATCTTCGAGGTTTATACCATACCAGTTAGCTTAAACACTTTTGGAAGGTTTTGAGACTTCTTGATCCACTCTTGAACAATTTCTAGGTTTAGCCGCGTGGCCGCGAGACATCAGCATGCATGGGCAGCGATGCATGTAAGTGGGTGCAAATGAGAACACGTCAGGGCCGGGCCATTATGTACGTACATGACAAATCAAATTGTCTCGAGCTAGCTAGCACATACCGTTAGAATGTTCGCATATATCGCGCGGGCCGACGCATGGTCATATACCCTTCCGCTGGGGACTCATTTGCCATCATCATTTGCGCAATATCTCATTATGTAATCAGCAATTGATTATTTAACACGTGCGCGCTGTCTCTGCACTTTACTCAACCCAGTGCGCTGGCAAATCGATCCTTAACTTAGGCAGCTGTGCAGATTCAAATTGGACCTAGCTATACGGAGCTCGTGACAGAACCCGCCCTAGAAATTCTAAGCTGCACGCAACATATATCTTGTGGCCGGTGTGCAGATTTCCGCGGAGTTCTGCTGATCTATGTACCTAATTCGAGCATCATGTGCACACGATGCGCTGACAAGTTTCAAATGCATCATCAAAAATTCTCAAATGCGACCGGAGATCGAGAATTGTGTCTGATCAAACCTGTTATTTCAACCTGAATTGGACTGGATCCAAATCGAACCTTACAAGTCGCTTGCGTTTTTTGTTGTCGGTCGCGTCTTCACGGAATATGGGCCGCAACCGTATTCTTAACATACCCAGTTTCCCCATGCTCATTAAACGTCAAATCTACCATTATCCTAGCAGACTTCGTTTGGCTCGGTGCATCCGTAATCTTGCCGGCGTGCATGAAAACAGCTTGCACCTATCGTCGGTCCCTGGATTCGCCTATCAATTCACCTATCAGAAATTTACGCATGTCGGCACCCCAACCTGTATGAGCCATGATTAATATTCCCCTTCGGACACCCTATCGTGATTCATATTCGTTCTTTCAAAAGCACGTGCTGCAAAGTCGGATTTCCGCCAAGTATTGTCACAGTCCGGCTGTCGAGGTCGAACAAGGCGCTGCATAGAGTAACCAAAAGAGGCCCTGCAAAATAACACGGCGACGATCAAGCAAGTATCAACGAAATGATTTGAAATGACTGTGAGACGATAGACGTTCCAGATAAGACGCCACTTTCAACCTGTTACGACGGCCTGTTAACGATGAGGGCTGGACCTCATCGTTTTTAATCCATGCCCATGCCGTTGCTCTTAGCTAAATTTTGAAGCACGTACTGGTCTTCTTTGTATATCTGCGGCCCGACACGGTTCACTTCGCAGAGAAATTCCTCCTGCGTCCCACATTGTAGACAATTCAACGGTAAACCCTGACCCTAAACCCTAGAACCCAATTCTTAAACACTAAATTTGGACCAGAGCGTGACCTACCTGTCATGTATATTGGAAACTCAGCGTCCGCAGCGTCGCCTAGAATGCTAAGGACGTCCGAAATGGACGCCGGCGGCCGGAGGACGGCCGCGCGTTCAAGCCGACGGACCGTCGTAGGAGGCGTGCGCTGGGGAAAGGCAATGATTGTGACGTCAGCAAGGAAAGGGCGCGTGACTTCAGGAACGAAGGAGCCTGGCGTCAGACAAAGACGGCACTTTGCGACCGAGCGGTCAGGGCCAATGCGAAATTCTACAACGTTGAACCTGCCATACTCGTCGTCTTCTATTGTTGTCCGCGTTTTTGAAACTGAACTACCCCGGAACATGGTCGAACAACGAGGGCGAGGTAGCTCTTTAGCTGCTGATCTTACGGGAGAGTTCCCTTTTCACAAGGCATCGCGCAGCAGTGTTGAGATGTACCGTAGCCAGGCTTTTTATGAGGACCAGTCGACTCTGCTAACGACGGTGCATCAGGAGCTTAAGCCTGCGGTACGTACCTTATGCTCGTCCCGTTCATTTGTTGGGAAAAAGTAGAACATCAACAAGTCAGAAGCGCTTCGAGAGGGTATTGACAATGCGTGACGTCACCTGGGGTAGGGGCAGCCTGAGGTAGTGGTTCGAGTGGAAGTACGGGTGCGGCCCGATCTCCAGGACGGAGCTGCGGCCGTCCGATGCGGTCTCGACGGTCACGATGCGCCGCTGGTTGAAGTCCATGATGTTGTAGTTGTGGCCGACCGCGATGGGGACACGTGTCACTCTCTTGGAGAGAAAAATAGAACAAAGGTGTGAGGATGGAATGGAAAGGGAAGGGAAGGGATGAACACGGGAGGCAGCTCAGGAGACGTTACGGTCTTGCCTGTCCGCAACGCCATTCTCGCAGCCGGGCTTAGAGAGAACAAACGAAATACTTGAACGTCAACTGCAGATACTAGAGCGAATTTCGAAGGTCCAGCCTCTTCACGCCTAAACTTTGGATGTGGGTTCCGCAAAGTAAGCGCGCCAAATGCCGCCCACTTTATGCCCAGTGCAGAATATGCAGAACCAAGGGATGCCACGCGCACTGAACAGGAAACAGAAGCAGCAAAGGCAACGCGGAAGAAGTACACAAGCAACATGACGACGTGGATGTCTCAGACTTTGGGCCTATCAAGGTCTCACAGAGATATACGAAGCCGTTTGAGGTCGCACCGAAGCTCGTCTGACAACGGCAAATTCGTCACCAAGAACCTCAACCGGGATGGTCGTACCTCTAAACCTCTCCATCTTCTCGTTGGACCCGCTTCAAAGTACGCCGGTTCTGACGCATGCTTCCTATTCCTACTTTTCTGGGGTTGGCGGAGTAACAGACAGGGCGTCTGACCACCCGGATTCCCGGCGGCCCCTTCGCAGCATACTCTGCCCTTAAAGTCGTCGAGGAATCGATCACCCGGTTTAGCAACTCAGAAATCTGGCATACGGGCTATCTGGTCGCGGAGCCGTTATGGGTAACACGACGCCTTCCATACAGAATTTGGGTTTGATCAGATTCACCTGAACCGCGTCCTCTAGACTCCGTGCTTCCAGCAGATCCCTCGAGACGAAGTTCCGGGCGACCCCGCCCGGCTTGACGCCCGTAGGGTTCACTGCGTTCAAGGAAAACGCCTGCATCGATGCGCTGTTCGTGAGCGAACCGGGTCTTGGCTTGAAAACGGAGCCTGGTTAGAGGCTTGCCGTCCAGCGCGTACTAAGCAACTGAACAACAAGGGATGTTTTGCCCATCACGAAGTCAATCAAGCGGTGCTAACCCGTAAAAGTGGGGAGAGCAAGCTCCAAAAAAGGAAGTTCGCGGCTTACGTTTGGCAGCCCAGCCCACACTCAACCTGCTCCGCTCCTTATCCATTCTTAACCTGTACTCTAACCTTACCCCGTCTCGAGGTGGTTATCCAAGTAACCCTGCCGCTCGCTCTGTCTTCTTGCAAAAGTCTTCAATTGGTGCCGAGACTCACCATGCCGTGCGAGTTGAACCCAAAGGCGGGGCAACACAGCTCCCCCGAATAGGTAAAGGCGGTATAGGAGGCTCCGTCAGGAAGCGTGGCATAAACGAGGTAACTGAACCGAGACGGGAGTGAAGTTGTTACTTTCTGTCGTTGGATAAGGTCCAGATACTACAGCAGAGTCTTACGGCTTGAGCCGGCGAAACAGCGACGACTTCGAGCTAGGTTTAGATTGGAAGCCTTTCAATCGCCACAGATTGAGCCGCAAGAAAAGCGACGACTTCGAGCTGGTTCTGAATTGGAAGCCTTCAAATAGCTTCAACGAGTCTTGAACCGTTTGATGTCTCTGGTCGACAAGGTCAGCACGCAAGATCGAAGTCGTGCACTCCAGTCTCTAATAACAGAACTTCAAGAGCCGCTCAAGAAAAGAGGAGCGAGCGAAAGGTAACAAGGAAGCAGGTCCTGGATTCGAGCGACCAGGGCATCATTTCTGCAGTTCGATCCTTTTGAATGATTAAAAAACATCAAAGTCAGATTGTTGGCGTCGAGAGGACCTGCACCGTTGTTCTTCAGAACACGTTCGAATCCAGAGTTCGAGCCAAGAAAGACCCTTCGATGACTTCGATCAGAAAACTGCGGGCTTCGCGAAATGTCCACTAAGACCCCAACTAGTAAGTCCAAGCCTCGACCAGCCTCGAATCCACCGCATGTATTCAAGCAATGCTACCTCAGTCTACGTGCCTACCCTTTCTGCCAACATATCCGATGAGTTGAAAACGTCAGTACTTCCCCTTGACAATCCGTCAGGATGTCACAACGTATATCAAACGAGAGATTTATGGGGATCTTTTCCCCTGAGCAAGATTGACCACGTCAAAAACCGAAAAGGAAGAAAGACAAAAGGATGGTGCTTCGCATCAAGTCAAATCTGCAAACACTCCTGGCCGCTCCAGTCTTATTCACGAGTCAAGAAGCAGTACTTACGTGTGGCCCCTTACTGAGGCGGCAGCGTCTTCGTTATGTCCCACGACTGCGAGATTCTCGTTGCATATGAGGACGTCCGAACAGTGGTCCGGCTCTTCGGCAACAGCCTGAGCGTCCGGGGGTGGTAGCAGAAGGAACAGCTCTTTCCAGATGTTCATTAACAAAACCTGCAGGGTTTGGACCAAACTCCTGCTATCTGCCAGGGGTATCTGCACCCATATTTAGGTCTTCGCTTCTAGGTTAAGAAGCGTTTGCACCTTTTTCAAGAATTTCTGCAGGATGACTCGGCAAAGAAACGTACAGAAGGTACCGTGGATCGATGGAGGTGGCAGCAAGAGGGAGAAACGACTTGCTCAGGACTATCCCAGGTTGTCACGACGTTTGACAGAGCTCGACTTGATGGTCCAAAGCAAAGTATGCATTTAACTGCATGGCACACCTACAAGTACTGCAATGTTTCACGAAGCATCGCCTGTATCATATCCTTGACCTAGCAGGCCCCAAACAGTGAACAAGAAATAGGTGATCAGAACTGCAGGGAGTCTACCTTGATGCTCTTACAGAAATCAAACAGACTGCAGGTTGAAAGGTGTACGTACTGTACCTTGAGCAAAATCGATTGAGGATTCTGATTGATTGGTACCAAACTTTGAGGTGGCAATACTCTGATTGAATCACTGTGGACTCAAGCTCTTGCAATTCCGGCCCCCATGGTTGGGAACATAGCTCAACCGACGTAAGTCCGAACCGATACTAAGTAACACAGCCAACTGCCATGGCGTAGCAGACAGTTGACCATGCAATGACAGGACCGACTTGTGCTTACTTGCTGAAATGCTATGCCACTCCCATCTGCAAGGCCTTGGAGTTCCTCCCAGTACCGTGGATAACATTTTCTGCATATTGTGACGTGTCTCTCGTAAGCAGTTAGAAGTGCCTGGTTTTGGGTCTCTGATTCAAGAGCAGAAAGGTCGTAGTTTCAGAACTAAATATCAAGGGCAAACAAGATCTCCAATCAGGAAAGTTTAAAAGTGGCAGATGCTTACAACGATGTATCAAACCCTAATTCTGATTCTTGAGTGGAACCGGGTGACAATTCTACCAAAGTTTAAGGGGTTAGAAAAAAAGGAAGGACTCGATGAGAGTTGTACGCTCAGCGCATCCTATGGAAAGGTCTCTCACTTGTTTTCTGTGCTCAATTCATCAACCACCGTGCGCCCTGCGTCGGTGGCTGCATATGGTAGCAGGATCTCGTTCAGCTTCTCATCTTTCTCAAACCTGCTCTTGATCATCCCTGCAAATCGCTCCCCTATTCCATGCCCTATCTCGTAGTGACTACCTGATACATGTACAGCTGGGATGACTTCAGCAGTAGCAATCTTTTTGCTGTCATCAACAGACGGCAAATCCCTTTCTGATCCTGATGACTCTCTCCTACGTGCTTCTGGTGAGCCTTTGCTGCTTGCCGTCCCAAAGTTTGTGGTTTCCAGTACAGGGTACTTTGATTGTACTGTGGACTTCTCTGTCCCATTTGAGGCAGCATTGGTGGAGACCATTTTGAAAAGCAATGGGGGGCAATGATGTAACGAAGCAGGTGCCGTTTCATTCACTACCTAAACTTTCAGGTGATAGGCCTGTTGCAGTCTCACTTGAGTGAAAGCTGCTGAAACAGGTACCTGCTTTCTGCTGCTGTTCCTGTTATTGCTGGTGTCCTGAGCTTCTGCTGTTCTGCGCAAATGTGCTCTTCCTGCTCCTGGCCTCTCGCTTTCCTCCTCCTTGGCAACACTTTGTGTAGGCCCCGCCGTGCCATGCAGTGGGCTCATGAGCTCTGGATATACTACATAGCTTATGCGCTCATGGTCATACCACGTGCAAGCTCCACGTGCTGTATGGACGGCTACGGGAGTTCTGTTTGCAAACAGAGGACGGCTCGAATTCTCTCGAACAACGGTTCATGAAATTTCAAAAATTTGTGGCACTGTAAATTGGTGTCAATCGACTCTCGCTTCGGCGCTTACGCACACACTGACACTCCGGTCGCCTTGGTCAACCTGACGGGAGTGCTCAGTCAACAGCAACGAAGCAGTCAACTGCTGCACTGAAAGCAGTCAAAAGGAGAAGTCTGCAGAGGGCGCAAGGGCTCCATTATTGTTGTTTTTTCTGCAGGGCAGACCTGGCTTGCGCTCTTCTCACAGGCTAGGTACCTTCTTCCGTCGCTTTGATAAGAATCTAGTTTGGTGGCCGAGAAGAGACCGCAGACGGTGATCTTTGGAGCAAACGTATTGTGGAACATCACGGTGCTTCAAAATCTGCTTTGGCGGAGACGGACACTATCATACACACAGCGTTGCTTGTGATAACTTACTTGGCAAGCGGGATGCAGACTTGTAGGACGGGAGGGAGAGGCTTCTGGGGGGCTTGTCTGTGAACGCCTGAGGGTGTAAATAGTGGGACAACGGGTTTGTGGTATTTTGCAGAGGGCTGGGTAGTTACTGACAGTGACTGCTCTTCAAAAGCAGAAGGGAGGATGGCTCAGGCAAATCACGTACAAACAGACATCCCCCGGTCTCCAAATGCAAAGTCCAGGGTTGGAATGGAAGCAAAGCCCGTGGACAGCCACTCTGTTGCCAGGCGGTGAGTAATACATTCCTGGGTTCATCAGACTGTTCACCGCAATTTTCACAAGTACAAGAAGGGCAGCAGACGCTTGGTGCTTTGATGCATGCTAGATTGCAAGGCCCTGTAAGCCTTTTCTTAGGCTCACACCAATGCTAGCATGGGGGCCTGCATAACAGAAGGGTGAATGCAATGCTTGCCAAACTTCAGTTTCTACAACAGTGCCTCCGTCTGGGCTCGTTCATGCTTGTCACTTACTGCTATAGAAGGTGCATGTATCTTTAGAACTTGGGAACTGCAGCACACATTTGTTGGCTGGCCATGCTCTGCATTAACAAGATGTATACCCATGAGGCAACTTTTAGAAGTTGGCACAGAAGGCAAATGATCGGTGTTATTGAATAAATTGATGAGGTTCAGACAGAAGTGATGCTGCGGAGTGGAAATCTTTCTTTGCGGTAAACTTTTGTGCTGTGAAAAGAAGCTCTTTCAGTAGTCAGGACGGAAAAGTTTGATTGGAACCTTGGCTGCGTCTTGATTCCAGCTTTGAGGTTTGTGTGCATGCAGAGCAACCCTTTCTGCTCGCTGTCTTCGGAGGCAATAACTGGCATTTGCCTCAAATCACTTCTCAAGCAGAAGTGCAAGAACGCGCTGCAAAAAGTGTGCCTCCTCACTGATTCTTCTGGCATGAAATATCATACCCGTGTTGCGCAACATCTAGGCTTTTAGCAAACAAAGCAGAACCAACTGGTCACCTGCATAGCAGCCCTCCAATCAGAACAAGGCCGCCGAAAATCCAATCTCAAACCTTCCACTGACATCCTCATCCAGGTTACAGAGCGAGCTGATGTCCCTCATGACGAGCGGTGATGCTGGCATCTCCGCGTTCCCTGAGGGAGACAACATATTCAACTGGGTGGGCACAATAAAGGGCAGCGTTGGGACAGTCTACGAGGGCCTCAACTACAAGCTCTCGCTCAAGTTCCCCACCGACTACCCGTTCAAGGCCCCCATGGTGCGGTTTGAGACGCCCTGCTTTCACCCAAACGTGGACCAGTACGGCAACATCTGCCTAGACATCCTTAAGGTCAGCGACGCCTGACTTTGTGAGACGCAGCTTCTGTTGGGTTTTCAGGGTTTTTGACACCAAGTGAGGCATCCGTGCAAACCTGACCAGAGGTATGGAGAGGTGCTAAGCACGTGAAGTGTATGGAAATCGATTCTCTTGGCTTTCTAATTTTGCTTACTTCAGCTGGGTACTCATACGCTGAGTTGGAAGTACCCGTAGGGTCAGATACATGCTTGCAATTGTCAACTGGTCTGCAAGCTAGGCTGAAGAGCAAAAGGGAGTCAATATTGTGAAAAGAGGGACGTGGATACAGAGCAGGACATGGGTTGTGCCAGGTCGCCTCAAATTTGAGGTGTTCAATGAGTGTGATAAGATGGTTTGAGCCACCGATGCTTTTCCATATGATGCCAGCATTCCGCAATATAGTGGCTGATCTGCTGGTCTCACGGCTCGGCGTAAAAAAGGATGGTAGTAAAAGGAGAATGATCGCTGTTCCGAACAGTTGAACACCCAGTCGTTTGAGTGTGGGTTTGGCTTGGTGAAGCAAGATCAGAACAGTGATCCATTCGTGTTGAGTGAAGGGTCTTCAAAGCAGTCACTGAACAGACTAGACTCGTGTTAGAGCAGGTTGTGTTCCAAGACACTGGCCTGACAGACCTGTTTGACCTTTGCAGGACAAATGGTCCGCAGTCTACAACGTTCGGACAATCTTGCTGTCCATCCAAAGTTTGCTTGGGGAGCCGAACAACGACAGCCCGCTTAACGGCTATGCAGCGGCCCTTTGGCCGAACCAGGAAGGTGAGCATGGTCGCGTCTCAAACCGTGCTCCGTGCCTACTTTCTAGTTGCTGGTTTCTGTGACTTGAGTGCAAGACGTTGCAAGTTTCTTTTATCTTTCTTTGTCAGAGTCTAACAGACCACTACGGGCTGAGAGCCTGAAAACATTCATGCAAACTCGAAAGTCCTTCACGGGTGGTGGAAAAATGTGTTGAAACGGAATCTGCATCAGACCTTGACGCACACCATTCATTCTGTTTTGTTAGTGGCAGACATCCGAAAACCTTTGACAATCGGATACGGGTGAGCACGTACAACCGGACATTTGGTATTGTAATGTACGTTGCACTTGTTTCCTCGTGCAAACATCACTATTCTAAGCCTCGGCTTCTGGTCTTTCCTAGAGTACAAAGTGGTGCTTCAAAAGAAGTTCAGGGAGACAGAGAGCGGCGGCGTCTCAAGCTGAGGGGAAGGAAACGGATCTAGGCCCGAGGTCAGTCAAGCTCGTCAGATTAGTGAGACAGACGGGATTATGTATCCCTAGTTCTTCCAACATATTCTTTGTAGAGCAAGCACTTGAAAGCAGAGATTGGATGGTCATAAGCTGAAAGTAAAGTTTTGCACGCTTGGAAGGTCTAGGTATTGGCTCTTTGTACTAGATCAAGCTTTAGTACCCAGAAGACCGCCTTTCAAGGTTCAGAATGTTTGAACTGGCGGAAACTTAAGCTGATTAATTTATCTATCCTATTATCCGATGTTCGTTGTAAATGGAAAAGATACAACCAGCGGATTGTGAAATCAGTGCTGATCATGCATGCATCGTCACGAGGAACTCTTTTTGAGCAGCGAAGCGGGTGAGTGTATATACACGATGACCATAATCCAGACAGCAGCCCGCAGATTGAAGGTTATTAACACTTTTGGATACATGTGAGATTGTATTATACGGACGACCAAGTACAGGATGCATGGCGGCCGCAATTTTCATTCGATCACACTCTTGATCAAGGCCCGGCAGCAATCTGCGCACTGGCATGCTTATATTTTGTAAGAGAATGGTTTTTCATGTGAACCCGGTTTCTGATAACTTGATCATGCATGACCCGGTACATGCTACTCGAATCTGCAGCATTGCGGCCTGATGCAGACGTACGGTGGTCCTGACGAGGCGGACTATTATCGCGACAAACCTATACATATAGTCAATCAACATGTTAGTCATATAGTACGTAAGTTGGGTGCCAGACTCTGCAGAAACGCGTCGATCTAAGCACATGCAACTTGCCGCTGGTCCCAGGGTGGGTTACTTGGACAACAGTATAGCTAAAATTCCAGTTCAAATCACAAAAAGAGTTACATATTAGTACCGTACATTGATAATCCTGATCTCTTTCTTCAAACGGTCCTAGTCTATATTTGCAAGCGTGCTGTTAACTATTAGGTGGCTTCCTTCTCATATCAAACATGCCCAAGCTGACTAATATTTGCCTCGTTTGACTTCAAAGCCCTTCCCCACATCATCCTTGTATGGTTCAACATCTACCTGTTCGACTCTGGCCGACTTCGGCCCCCTCTTTGACAACGTGAGCATCTGGTCGACAGATGAACTTGGCCCTGAAAATACAGCTTCGACACTTCCGTCTGGCAGATTTCTAACCCACCCGTCAAGACCAAGACTGTCCGCAGTCTCTTTTGTCCATGCACGGTAAAAAACACCTTGCACCACTCCCCGGATGCTGGCGCGCACCTGGGAAACTATGAATATTTGAGTACCAGCATGTTTGAGACGAGAGCTGTAAGGCCTAATTCGGTCCAGTACGAGAAGAACCTGAAGCGTCCCATGCGGCAGACATCGACCACCACAGCAGTGAAGCTGAATTGATATGTCATTTGGTCCCAAAAGGGCACTGCATTGCAACTTGATCGAAGTTTTTAAGTAACAAAATATCCTTGATTTGCAATCAGATCAAGAAGCGCATGGGACTGTGACTTTACAACTCATTGTCTTTATTCTTGCCAGACCAGATTTGATGAAGATCTGCAAGCAGACCGCTAATTGAGAGTGGCCTGTAAGACTTCACACTGACTCCAATCATTCTATGAAATCGGGTCTGAAGTTCTAGGCGCTTTGGAAGGCAATCAGATCAAGATCGACTCATATGCATTGCATCAATGATCGCAGCTGATCAACTTATGCACTCACAATTGCAGGTCAGGTTGTCCAGAAGTTGATGTCAAAAAGCCAACACAAAATGTGGAAGACCGTCGTACTGCTCACCGTCTGCCGCTCACTTCCGCTACCATCACGACCACTGGCGCTGTTGCTGGGCGCTGCGGCCGCCATGGTTGTTTTGCAATCTGTGGTCCTGAAATATCTCGATTGCTCTTCTGAATCTACTTCCCGCTGGAAATCCAAGAGTGCTGCCCCGTGAAAGGCAGCTGATGCTAGTGCCAAAGCTCGTGATTGATACGAAAGGTCGCTGCTTTGTGTTGGGGCCTGTGCCCCTCTAGACCGTGTCCAACTGATGTTTCCAGAGTATGTCAAGATAGGCAGGTGGAATCGTGGGGCAGGAAGAATCTTTGCTGTCCCTGCACCAAGATGACCAAAGATTGTGATGGCCCGAGGACCGCAGAGGGTCTGCAATGCCAGCATTGAAAAGCAAGACGGCAACTGATTTACCCTTGATTGTTATAAGTGGCGCCAACGCCAGTAATATGAACACCACCACCCCAATCACAAATCCAGAAACGATGCTCCCAAAGAGCCAGCTTGTTGGACCACCTTTGAGCTAATACACCAATCAGGCAGAAAAGAATCACATGGACGACTTGGCGGAAGACCCTGATCTTCGCAGCATGATTCGAGGAGATTTGCGCTCAATCTCAAGGAGGAAGAGCAGAAACTGGAAGATCTCACTTATAAATTTATGAGGACTATTCAGAAAAGACAATACTGTCATCGTCATAAGCTAGATTGAGCTAGATTGAGCTAGATGTATGCTGATATATCACGTCCATATATCCAACGATCGACGGATTGCGGCCTCGACTTTTTTGGGGCATACCTACTTGACAAGTTGAGCCTCGATACTTAAAAAGATAAATTCAAGAACACGTTTGATCATACGCCCTTTCTACGGTAGGCAAGATTGTCAATAATTTAACCTTGTTGAATGTGCTCGAAATTGAAGGAAAGGCGGATAGAAAGGGGAAGGAGCTTCCCTTGCATGCATCTTGAAGAGTCGCGACAAGACACTGGTTTGGAGCACACTCCACAGCGGTCAGCCATCCACCAATTGATTTGATTACAGGCTTCTGTGATAAAAAGAAGTGGCCCTCTTGTATTAGAGGTGCTCAGCATATTGGAAGGGCCCTGACGATTCCCCATACAGCACACCATGGCAGACGAGGAGGATGAAACAACATTGACGGAGGAGGAGCAGAGGGCCCTGGCTCCTAAAGCCACTGGCGCGCACATCTTCTTTGGTTCTCTGGAGCACCGGGAAAAGGAAAGGCTTGCAGCTTTACAAAGGCAACCGGCCAAGGAGCATGGAGCGGGCGAGGAACCTGCAAGTGTTGTTTTTGAGGGTGGTGCAATGGAAGAAGAGGACGAAGAAGAGGACGAGGAAGCGACGGGGGTGGCGGCAGGGATTGCTGCCGGGCACATTTCGGTGCCAGATGCAAATGACATGATGGAATTGCCAGAGGAGAGTCGGGCTGCAAAGGAGCGGCAGGTGCGCGCTGCTTTTCGTCCTCTGCCTGGGTTGTTTTGCGCCATCCTCCTCAGCCCAAAAGACTATCATTCTTGGATCTGGTCTTTGTTCCGAATTGTGCGCGCTTTTGAATGAGTGGCGTCCCATGTTTGCAAAAGGGTAGGTAACAAGGAGGTTATCAATGTTGGCATTGGGAGTCCATCTCTTCTATCAAAAATTCCTTCTGAGGCTGAGCGTTACATTTGAAATGTGTAATGTGCAGTCATCACATGAAAGGCTTCATGATGGCCTTCCTCACAAGAAAAAAGAACAATTGTTCTGCTGACAATTCCTGGTGTACAAGTGTGGGGGAAGGCGCCACTTCTGGTGGTCGAAGCTTTGCGAATAATATCGATCATATCTTCAAGCTGCAATCTCGTAGCCACATGACGCCTGCACTTTTCAGTGTCAGGGCCTAATGAGTGCTCGACCACTTCCGGCCTTATGTCAATTTCCTTAGCGCCACCCTCGTTTCTCCGATGGGAACATTCAGTGCAAAAAGTTGTTTGCAATCGTGCCGATGATCTCATATATATATTTATGTTCTGGATCGAATCTAAGCAGGGTGTTCAATCCGTACGGCGATTGTAGTCGCTAGTGCAAAATTTTCTGCTATTGCCGTAAACTTGGTGTCACGGCCAGAGGTGGAGCTAGTTGTTTCTCCGGAGTGGTCAATTGTGCAATCGGAGAAGATGACGGTATTCCCAGAAAAGAGTGGCCTAGAGTTCCTTGTCACAGAACAAGAATGAGGTCATCTTGCTCGCAGCTAGTGGTTCGGTTCCAAGAACATCTCAGTTGCTCACCTTCGCTTACAGGTCCTACACGTCTTGCTCAAAGCTGCGTGTCCCCGGTTTATATTCTTCCGCAATCATTGCTGATGCGTGCACAAATGAGTGCTGTCTGCAGGAGAAGCTGTTGAAAGATCTAGAGCTCGCTCGGCGTGCGGCGCGGTTGGCGGTCCCCACAAACGACCAGGCGGTGCGGCAAAGACTACGACAATTGGAGCAACCGATCACGCTGTTTGGGGAGAAAGAGATGGAGCGGCGGGACCGGTTGAGGCAGCTCATGGCGCGGCTGGAAACCGAGGTGAATCATCTTCTTGCTTTTAGGAAAGTCAATACACGGACTTCTTTGTGAGAAGCTGGAAATTAGTTTGGTTCTCTTGCATTGTGAACGCTTCGAGGACTTGAGTAGGATTTCAGGAATTCTTATCAAGTTTCTTTAGGTTGAGCGTTATTTCGATACCGCTTCTCTTCCAATCTCCGTGAGCGGGGTTGCCCCTGCGGTGACTTTCATGTCACAGTAATGCCATGGCTGCAACTTCCTCAACTGTTGCGTCTGAATGTAGATGCCCTCGAAACCGATCGGTAATTCGCGTCTTCAATTGGGACGTGCACAAGCTGTTGTCAACTTCTGCCGATCTTTTTGACAGGTTATGCATGATAAAAGAAATAGGCCATGTCGTACTCCGAACTCTTTGTTTCTGCGTCCAACTCGGTCGAGAGCATCGCCACTTAGAGAAAGAAGCGTCTATTCGGCTGCACCAGTCTCTTTTCAAGATCGTCGTGGCGTTGAGACTCTGTGTGCAACTTGATGGCTTCGTGCACTTGGAAGGGCGAGCCGTCGGACCGAGAGCGCCCGCTCGAAAAGAACAAGAAGCGCTTGAAATCTCGAATCCTGCAGATCTTACTGTTCAAATCAAAGCGGCAGCCTCCCAATAGTGAGTACGCAAAACTCTTTGTGAGTCAGAATTCTGTTTATGGTTTTTTGTCTGCACTTGCAGGGAGAGCTTCCTGATGTGGAGGGCCCGCTCGAGGAGGACGAGGAGCCGTCCGAAGACGGCCAGCCCAAGGTGGAGCTGTTCTACACGGAGGGATCCCCCGAGCTGCACGAGGAGCGGAAGCTCATTGCGCGGCTGTCGCTTCCACGGGCAGCGGCGCGCATCGCGGCGGCGAAGCGGCGGCAGGAGGACCCCGACGAGGACGAGGATGCGGAGCTGGACGAGGTGGTTAAGACGATGACGAGAACGGCGATGCAGCTCAGGTGGGGGTTTTGGGTTTGGCGTTTGAGGTTATCAGGGGTTTAGGGTGTGTTTTGGCAGGTTACGATGCAAGACATGTGGAAAGATGTGGAGCTGGACGAGCTGGTTAAGACAGTGACGCGATGCGGCGACGCAGCTCAGGTGGGGCTTTCGGGTTTGTGGACTAGGATTATTAGGGGGTTAACCGGGGGTTAGGGTGGGTTTTGGAAGGTTCCCGTACGAGGAATCGTTGAACGATGCGGAGCTGGACGAGATGGTAAAGACGATGACGAGAACGGCAATGCAGCTCAGGTGGGGCTACGGGTTATGTGTTTTGAAGGTTTACGATTTGAGTACTAGTGAAGAGGTTCGTACTCTCTGGTTTTGGGCTTGAAGTAAAAGATTTGGAAGCTGCTCCGGGGCTGGCGAAGATGCGACTCTTGGCGAGGTGGTAAAGACGATGACGCGGCCAGTGATGCACTCAGGTGGGCAATCTGAAGTATGTCGATTTTTACTTGAGGGCTTACTTCCGAGGGATAGAGGTTTCGTGCTTTAAGCTTTGGGTTTAAAGTTGGTCTGAGGGATTTATGGGAGCCGCTCCCAGGCTGGTGAAGATGCGACTCTTCACGAGGTGGTCAAGGTGATAACCAGGGCGGTGATGCAGCTTTTGTGCGGATTTTGTACTTCGTAGTTGTAATTCAAGGTCTGGGTCAAATTAACCGCCCTTTCACCCTCTCAACTCTCTTGCCAAACCAGTGGAGTCGAAAGCAAGTGCCCCGGATCTCCGTGGATCGATCAAGCTCACTTCTCTTGGTCGACAGCTTTTTACTCTTCTTTTCAGAAATGCGATCACCTCCCTTTTTCCACTGCACAGAGCACGCGTGCGCTTCTCTCCCCAAACCCGGGAAGATTGTAGACATACTTTGCTCTTTCAATATCATGCACGATTGTTTTCCCAACAGATCATCTCAAGGCCTTTCCCAAAATTCGCCCAACTCTGTAGAAGAGGACTGACGCTATCGGCCTCTAACCCTTGGGACCTTTATCTAGTCGCTATCTCCAACCCAGCCTTACCCGCCTTTGGGTCAAAGATTTTTCGCGTTAACCTGCAGCGAGCACGGCGACGAGCGCCCGGTATCCGCGTGCGCGCTCTCCCCCGACCCGGGCGCCAGCCTGCTAATTACCGGGGGGTGGTCGGGGCTCGTTAAAGTGTGGGGGATCCCCCAGATGGCCCAGCAGACGGTCTTCCGAGCGCACGCGGAGCGAATCACGGACGTGGCGTTCCACCCGAGCCCGGCGATTGGGATGGATTCGGACGGTCCGGATCTGGCGACAGCGAGCGCGGACCGGACGGCCAAGCTGTGGAACCTCAAAGGTTAGCCTTGACCCCGACCCTAACCCCTCTCGCGACTTCCGACCTGACCCCTTCAATACCCTGGTATTTTCAATTCACGAGTTATCAAGTTCCTCTCGTGTCGGACAATTGGCAGCCTCCACTGGCGTTGAATCCATGTGCCGTCGAGGTTCAGGTTCATATCCGTGTCCCAAAAGGCTTCTTGAGCGGTGCTTGGAATGAAAGATCCACCTTTTATATGAGCTGTGACTGCTTGTGGTATGACACGTTTCGCGGGGGGCTTTGAGCTTGCGTCAGCAGGAAGTTGTGGTTGGCAGGCTGCCTGGAACCCACGCAATCATCTCTTCTGCTGAACGGATCACGCTGGACCTTCTGTCTGGTCGTCAGCTAAGTACGGGTTGTGCACTTTGTGCCCTGTCTTAACTTGCACAATTTAATTTGCAATTGTATGGCTTCTCCTCGGTGGACAATTCCAGAGGAAGTTGTCCTGCGCGTTTCCAAGCGGTTTCCTCGGGACTGCTTACATCTTGGTATTCTCGAGGATTGTAAAAGGTAAACTTTTCGAAGGCTTATTGGCCAGCCGAAAGCATTTGCAAGCACACGGGCCGGCGATTCTGCAGGACGTTCCTCATAACCGTCGCAAGCTGACAACTTCAGAGGCAAACCACAAATCTCAGAAGTTGCAACCGTTTGTGGATGCGGTACTGTTTTCTCTAAACTCCGATGAAGCTGACAATGCAATATAAGAGAGCTCCTACAAAAGCTGGGCCGGTCGAAGATAAGAGCAGGTTGTCGCTCCAACAACGTCGAGAAAATTGGATTCACAAGCAAGCGTTTCCTCTGTAGGCAAGGAGGTGCGGACCTTTTCCGGACACTTGGACCGGCTCGCCCGGATCGCGTTCCACCCGTCCGGTAGGTACCTGGGTACCGCCAGCTTCGACAAGACTTGGCGGCTGTGGCACCTCGAAACGGGGGTTGAAATGCTGCTGCAGGTAACCCCCCCTTTTCCGATTGAAATTTGCTCCTTGCTGGGCAAACATAATTTGGTGTCAATGTCGCCCATTGGGACCTTGCGACGAGGTCTACAGTGCAGCGGCAAGTCGACTTGCGCTTGTTCGACTTTCGTAATCATGCTGGCTTTTAATCTCCCTTCCTAATGCTGCTAATTTTGTCCCTGTCTACCCACCTTGCCCTTCAAAGATTGACCTCCGCTTGCTTGTGGCTTGCACCTAACTTCCGCTCGACATTGACTCTCTGTTTTTCTGCGCTCCTTCTCACTAACGCCTCCTCTGGACCATTCAACCATATCAACGGTTCTCGTTCTTCCACGTGGCAGGAGGGCCACAGCCGCGCCGTGTACGGTATCGCGTTCCACGTGGACGGCTCCCTAGTCGCGTCGTGCGGGCTCGATGCACTGGCGCGCGTCTGGGATCTGAGGACGGGGAAAAGCATCATGCCGTTACAGGGACACGTCAAACCGGTAAGGCCCGCAACGCTCCCTCGCTTTAGGTCCCGCGTCGACTGAAATGGCTGAGCGCTCTTTTCGGGCCGTCAGTACCAATGAGAATCCTTCAACCGTCACGTGGTATGAAAAGTACAGACTTGGTACAGAGTCAGCCGGAGCGGAGCGGTGCAAAGCTGTACCTTGACCGGAGGTGCGAAGCTGGCGAGAGTTTTTTGGTCAACGCGGAACTTAACACTAGTAAAGGTTTTCAAGGCGTTCGTGTCTTTCGAATTCACGTTGTTGGTTCAAAGCGTCATTTCCGGATCTGACTCTGTTCTTGCGTTGATTGAGGAATCTTGCGGTGGCCTCTAAGATGATGAGCCCTTCCGCTAGAGTACTGTATGACCTTGAACTCCTTCACATGTTCTATGTCGATATGGCCGCTGGACCCAACTTTTCCGGTGACTTTCGTGGAAGTCACGCCGCTTAAGACCCTGAAGTGGCATCTCCGAACGGCTCAAACACTGTACTCTGCGGTGGTTAGGTGTCTGTCTTTTGAGCCCCTGCTTTCGTTTGTGGGCCGAGAATACTGGCAAGTTGGTTACGATGCTCGGACAGCTTTTCCTTCTTTGAAGGCAAGTGTCATTCTCCTTCACTTCTCGAATCCAATGTGTGCTAGCACCCAAGCCAATCTACTTTCATCTGCGTGCAGATCTTGGGGATCGACTTTTCGCCCAACGGGTACCATTTAGCCACGGCCGGCGAGGACCACACGTGTCGCATCTGGGACCTTCGGATGCGGAGGTCGCTGTACGTCATCCCGGCGCATTCACACCTCATCACTCAGGTAAGGCTCCACCAGAAGGGGCGCCTGGTTTCAGTGCAGTGTTTGGTAACGCGCCTTGTGGGCTTTTCATCCTAAGCACCTTTCAGTTGGTGGATGCGCCTGTGGCAGGAGAATTTGGCCCCCGGTTTGTGGGTAAAAAAGTGGTCGACGACCGGCGTGCGGCGTGTTTGTAATTGATCGATCAGTTATTTACGTGTGTTCAATCGGTGAGGTGACAGGATCGGTTTGTCTGGGGTTCCGGCCTGGTGACGCCTTGTCTGTAAGTTTTCGCTTGCCAGCACTATCTTTTGATCGGTTTGCGGTGTTGATGCGAACATGGAAAGGAGCGGGCAAGTGTCTGGTGATCCTTCGGTGACCTTGCTTTGGTTGGCGTGGAGAGGTCGAAGAAGCACGAAGGACCCTCACTTACACTTTTATCGACCCCTGAGACGTCTTTTCGCTCTCGAGGGCTGTACTTTGCTGTTCGAAGACCGTTCCGTCGAGTCGTGTACTCCTTATTCGCAAGCGGCTGAGCACCTACAGAAGTGCGCCATCAAAATTTGCTTGCTCTTGTTGTCTTTCATATGCCCTGCCTAGTCTCTGATTGGCGGGGGACTAGCCGGATGACCATGTCCCGGAAACTGCAACTCTTCTTACCCAGTCAATTTCCGCTCAAAGAGTCACGAGACAGCTGAACTGGAGCAACACTATCGCCCACTATTGCTGACGGTTGACGGTGGTAACGACTGGCCGATGAAATAAGCGATGGTTACGGGGGTGGAAAGCCTTCTCGTCCTTGGAAATGTCAGTTGACGTGATGTAACCGACGGGCATCTGACGTGTGCTTCACGCATCATATGTTGTTCGCCGGCAATTGCAGGCTTGCATGATCGCACGCCGCGTGGTCAAGCGAGTCTGGTTCAAAATCCGGAGTCACGGCGTCCATAGTAGGTCGCAACTGATGCCAAACGCTATGGCCTCAAGGCTGCCCCTTGTGGCCTTGTCCTTTGTTTGGATGTGCCTGATGTGACAGCTGGTACTCGGCGTTACGCGCAGTTTAAAACCACTTGTCGCTACCTGCGCAGGTCAAATATGAGCCCTCGCAGGGGTACTTCCTCGTGACGAGCTCCCATGACAACACAGCGAGGATCTGGTCTGGGAAAGACTTCAAACCGGTAAAGACGCTTGCAGGCCACGAGGGAAAGATCTTGGATGTGGATATAAGCGCTGAAGGGCAGTATATCACGACAGCAGCTTATGACCGGACCATAAAATTGTGGGCACCTGATCACGAAGCCAATGAATTGGATGCGTGAGTGCTCAAGTCACTTGAGGGAATCGATAGATCGGCGCTTGACTAAAACAGATTAACGTACAAATTCCGCCGCCGAGTCTTGCATGGAACACCTGGTGCCGGCCCCTACAATATAGCAACGCCATGAGAGATTGGGATAATTGCTGGCGTCGTCCAATGTCACGAATTAAATCGTGCATGTGCATGCGGATCTTCTCGTATAAGCCCGTACCCACGATGAAAGGCATGGGGCGGATTAGCTAGAGCTTTGTACGAGGCCATACATGAGTTGCGGAAGGCCGCATGATGCACGTGGACTCAACATGTGCCATGCAATGATGCCGCCGCATTGAACAGCTAATTTTAGTAGCCATAGGTAATACGAATGGCTCTAGAGCCGGAAGCGTCCTCACCACTTGCGGTCCACGTACAAGATACCAAGAACGATTCTATCTGAACGCATTCAGTTGATAAGACCCGCGGTCACACCGAGCTTCGTGATATGCGGTCTCATGCCAAGCTTCTTGCAAATTAATCCTTGTGTCGGCCGGCCGGTGATCGAGCTGGACATGTATACCGTACGGTAGTACTGTGGCGCAGATTAGATCCAGGGTAGGCATATGCACAGGATGAACTTATGGAGGTGGTGTGCCCGGACAGCGTTATCAATGTCGTCAACAAAGATCATATCGCACGTGGTCATATCTTGCGTCCACCGACAGCTTGATCGCAAACTGGATGCAATCCACCAATCCGTGTCTAAGAAAAAATGTTAAGTTAGTTGACTATCTTTCTGCTTCTTTACGCCCCTTGCAAGGTGTTTTGCCGATAGTCATCTACAGGTAAAAGCATAAGTTTAACTTCTAACATCTCTCGAGGCAGGACAACTTTGAGCAAGCTGGATTTGCAATTCGCTTATTCCTAAACTGCGCCGCAATCGCCTACCCACGCCTCTTCGCCCAGCTTGCACCAACCGCTACCTGTACCTATCCATTGTCCGACGCTTCCCTAGCCGCCAGTGGATTTGTCAGGTGTCTCCGGGCTTTTGCCCCTGCTTCGCTGTGGCTTCGGATAGGTCGGCATAAAATACCCCGTGCCTCCTAAGCTTGATTCGTTTTCCGGCAAAGGCTTCTCTTGTACAATGCCTGTGACGGGTCCATTTTCGTCAGGCCGCCCAGGACTTGTACCAGTCTGGTACCTTGGATATGCCTGCTGGTTCTCGATCCACACGGCCTCCAAATCTTGCATCGAACGGGATGTACAGGCGTGCATGTACTGCAAGCCACGGCTACCCGAGCTCCGACCGCTGCTCAGCGTTGAAGGGGGCCGCGACCCCGGCCCATCCGGAACCCCCTGAGGAGAACTGCCCAGAAGCCCCCGCGCATGTGGCGGAATGGCCTCCGAAGGCGTGGGATTGGCAGCCACTGCGGCACCTAGAGCGGGAGGGCAGAAGGTACATCAGTCAGGGTAGATTGCGATTGTTTCCTGCTTTCGGTTGGGTCTCGGGTTTAAACCAAAGGGGGACAAAGAAAGGGGCGACATCTTTCAACGTAGACTTTTATTGCAGCCCTTGTTTACTTGCAGAGAAAAGATACAGCTGAGAGTTGCAAGTTAGAACAGGAGGTCATTCAAATGTTGCAGACAGAACAGCAATTGTTGTGCACTTGCAGCTCAGGGAAACGGGTGTTTCAGATCTGCGAGGCACACAAGTTGCAGGGAAGGACAGCCGCCTTTCCCACAAGCGGGTTCTGAAGACCGTCAGGAACACGTTTCGTGCAGGAACTGTAGTATTACCGGAGCGAGGCGTTCAATAAAGGGGGACGAAAGACCTCTGGGCCGTCAAGCTTCCGATCACTTGGATCTGATGCTCAACCATATAACTTGTTACTGAGCTTCTCAGCAAATCCGTAATCACCAACCGCTGCGCACGCTTGTCCAAGGACCAATTGCGCAGGCCCCAACACTTCACTACCAGCACACAACGTCATCCCCAAGGGGGCACCAGTCCAGCAAGATGAAGCAGCGCCCGCCCCTGCTTCTCTTTCATCACCGCTAGCTCCACGGTATTGCCGCAACACCAAAGCGCAACTGCTCACCTCGCTTCTGGTGCTCTGGGCTCTTTTTCCCGGCCCGGCCCCCCCTCCCTGGACTTCTTGTCGGCGTATTGCGGCCCCCAAAGCTCGCCCGGCGCGAGATCTTCTCCTCCGGCGCCGGCCCTCGCCCCCCATTCCCGGATCCAGCAAGCAAAGCCCCTTCAGAGATCGTTCGATCCAAGGGCGGTGGGCCTGGCACGGGGGTCCCCATGACGCTGTTTGCGACCTGCGGTAGCTCCATTCCCCACCCCGGGGAAGGGGGGTAAGCGGGTGAGGAGGGGAAGACGGGGGAGCCTGCGAAGCCAGGGGACCAGGAGTGACCCGGGGAGTTTGCATAACCAGGGGAGTTACCATACCCGGGTGAGGCTACGTAACCAGGCGAGGTCAGGTAACCCTGCATCGGAAACCCCTGGTGCGGCAGATACATGACTTCCGGGGCGCTCCCATAGGTCTGATACGGGTCCACAAACTGCGGCCCCCCCTGGGGGGAGTGGTAGAACTCTGGGCCCATTTCTGGCCACGAGTTCTCGCGGGACGAGGGTTGCAGCTCGAAGGAGGACCCGGGGGATCCCACAACGCCCCGTGGATCTGACTCCTGGGGGTATCTTCCCAACACCCCTTCCCCAAAAGACGACGACCGCCGGCGGTGTTTCCGCCACCCCCCCCGAGGGGGCCGGAAATTCGAGATGCTGTTGCTCCGGGGGATCCCCCCCCAGCGTGCATCGGGGCTCGTCAGCAGAGGGGAATTGGACGTCGAATTTGACGCGCCATCCTGCGTGCCATGCCCCTCGATCTGCGATCCCGACGAGTCGCCCCCAGACGACAGGCTCGCCCGACCGTTTGGCGCTGTCCCGTTCTCCTCGTCCACCGTGATGCTCAGCTCCTTCCGGATAAACGTGTGCGCACTCGGCCCCACCCCCTCATCTGCAGCAATGACATCAGCGGCGAGACCGTTGATTGCCACCGCATCACCTGGCCCGCCTATATCAATTCCTGACACACCCTCCCGCCCCAACGTGGCGACGCTGCTCTCCCCCTCCTCCCCTTGCTCCGTTTCTCTTGCATTCCCAGGCCCGTACTCCTGACCAGCTCCCAACCCCTCACTCAGCAGTTCCCGTGCTGCAGGGACACCCCCGCTCAACTCAATGCTCAACACGCCCTGCTCAAGCTCATCTACTTGCCACTCGGCTGTTTCACTCTCATCCCCCGCTCTTTGCTCCTCTCCAATTTTACCCCCACTCTCGTTCCCCCCACTTAACCCGGCTTCCGGATTTGCTGCAGAAACCCCAGTAACCTCTTTTCTCCTCTCCCCTCCTTCCAGGGCAAGGCTGCTTGCCTCAACCCCTTGTTCCGTTTCTCTCCCTTTCACCTTAGTACCAGTCCCCTGACTCAATGCTGCACCATCCCCCTCCCCTTCCAATCGACTTGCTGCAGAATCTGCATTGCTCTGCTCGACCCCAGGTGCTCTTCTGCCTGTCCTCTCCCCTCGCTGCTCTTCATTCTCTGGCCCTGAACCAAGGCTGTTGCCCGAGCTTGCCCTCGATTCATCTGCCGGGTCGCTGCCAGCTGCACCCTCGCTCTCAGAAGCTCCCCCTTCATCTTCGTCGCCTTCAAGCCTGTCCCTTTCTGCTGCCTCTACCTCGTTCTCAGCTCGCCCTTCCTCCAAAACCTCAGTTTGCCTCTCTCCGCCCTGATACACACCAGTTCCATCATGCCGCCGTGCATCTACCCCCTGCCCCCGACCCAACGCCTCCGGCCCCTCTTCTAATTCAAATCGACTCTGGAGGTTCACCGGGCTCAGATGAGCTTCCCGAGGAGCGCTCTGGTCTGCGTGCGACAGCTGTGGGAGGATGTTCACAAAGCTCTGAAGCGTTTGGTGGAGGGTGCGGATCTCATTCTCGAGGCTGCCGATGCGGGCGTGCAGGTGTGAGCAGCCGGGTTCGGTGCAATTGCTGGTGCTGTGCGCTTTGGCCGAGTGCTCGGCATTGGTGGCGCCATCCGCGGCCTCGCTATTGGACATCAGTACTCCGAGATCACATCGACCTGAAAGGAGTAGAAACCCTTTCAGAATCGGTCACGGTTCTCTTGATGATTGACCACACGTTGGTGCAGAGGGACGATACAGCCAACGGCGATGCTTTTCAAACTAAAGCTGCCCTGGCCAGATGGATTCGGCTCAGAAGGCCATAGCTGACTAGATCCATCTGCTCCATTCTTCGAGCTCATGCGTATACCTGAAAAAGCCAATTTCCCCCAGCTGCACACAATGCCAGAGCACCTGTTTGATAAACAGGCATGGCTTTTGAACAAACACAATCTGGGGCTGGAGCCACTCCCTCTTTTCAATCTGATGGTTCAAATAATAGATTTTATGCGTGTTTGAGAGCATCTCTCCAGTGTCCCTGCGAATCTGCAGAGTATTTTGCATGATGCAACACGGCAAAGAAATTGCATGCGTTCAAAGACGACTTTGACCCTCAAATCGTTCAATATCTTCTGTCCCTGTGAGATCTTCGTTGGACCTGCTCCACAATTGCGGTGATCCTATTCTTCTGCACAATATTGCAAAGGACTTGTCCCTGTTGAGAAAGCAGTTACAGCGCTTACCCACTTGCAAAATACCTTGCCACCACAGGAATGCTGTGTTTCAATTTATGCTACAATGCAAAAGCTGCAACCTGCGGGGCGAAAAGAAACACGGGTCGGCACTGATACATGAATTGATGCATCCTAAGCCTACAGGCTGTGGCTTTGAGGTGACCACACAAGGCTTCCTGTGATCGCCGTCAGAAGCAGGCGCATGTCGACATGGGTGTCAGATTGCAAACCTGCAACCACTAACCTTCCATTCTGCAAAGCAACCGCCAAACATAGAGAATGCGTCTTACCCTGCAAGCGAGTGCTGTTTCCATGCTGAATCTCCATGCTGATCAGCCAACATAAGACAGCATTTCATGATAAACCTCAAAATGTTGGCAATGTGGCATGAAAATTGAGCCTGCTGACACTTGGAACAGACTGACTCAACAATTGATGTCAGCTGCAAAGGAAAAGAATCATGGAGACATGCGATTCCCGCAGAACACACAGATCTTAACCACTCACCACCGATTTGAATCCAATGCGAGACAAATGCGAAGCACCACGGTCTGCAAGAGTTGGAGGATGCCTTCAGGGGTGGTTGCCTACGCAGGAACAAGAACGCAATACCATAATGCGCCGCCTTCAGCCCTGGAGGTTTAGGCGCTTCGCCATGGCCGCTGATCGCCAGCCGATGATCGCGCTAGTAGCTACCACAGATACAATGCCGCGTGGTTGTCAAATTTCGAAGGTGACTCATGAGTCATCATGTTCGCCCCTCATCATCATGCGACTCCCGTCTCCGATGCAGTTGACATGCTGGACTTCGAACTTGGAAGTCAAACTTGAAGCCGCCCTGTACCGTACCCACCGTAATTGCAATGTGGAAGTTCACCGACGTACTTCCCCCCGCTCGTTCAAAATTTTGTACGCACGTACCGGGGCGGGTTGGTAGGACACCTCTGGGCGATTCTCCCGGCTTGACGGTGGTCGGTTGCTACGTTGGACGGACCGGGCGGTTGGAACTGCCCATGCCACAATCTACCGCTATGCACCATCGTAGAGTGACAACACCGTTGACCCTGCCCGGCCGAGGCCCGATGTCCCCGAGGGCAGAGTCGGCAGACTCGGACTCCCCAACTCCCGACTTTCAAGCTCAAATTTCAAAGTCAATGTTGGTTTGCGAAATTCAACTTTTAGTATATTGAATTTATACTAGGTATTATAGTTTCAAACCAACATTGCAATTTTAACCACTAATTTAGTTAAATGGCACTAGGTAGTAGGTACCTAGCTACGGTAACCGGTGGATGCATTTGTACGGCAAGTTGCAACTTGTGGCAACTCGTGACACAATTCTCGGACAGCGTTCACCGTCGATAGAGGTCAGCTGGCAAGACAAGAATAGTTCGAGCTCCGTCCGATAGCCTTTCGACGCGCAGACAAAAACCGTACAATACCTACGGCAGTACGTGCGTGCCGTACCAGTTTAGTGCGTCATGCGCCCAAGTAGATCCTGGAGGCTGAAAAGCGCGGGGGACTCAAGAACCTGACGCGCGTCGCGATGTAATCACACCGTGACCCAGGCCAGGGCAGGGCCCAGGTACCGGGGTACTGTATTATTAACTAAACTTCCTTGGGGCTCTGACCGACCGGACTGGAATGGCCGGGCGATGTCCGGAGCTCTTCGACGTCCAAGGCCAAGCTGTCCCTGCAAGTAATACCCGGTAGCTTTCGGCCGGTCGATTCCTTGCTACGGCCGGCAGGCCTGCTGATCCTCTTGAGGCCCGCCCGGGCACGGGGCACCAACTTCCAAGGCTCATAGGGCGGTCACATATGAGTTCTCGGGGAAGTGACGAGTGTTCCCTGAGGGAGCGCATGCTCCCCGAGAATCTGCTGTGGTCATATTTCCTTCAGGGACACATCGCGCGTAACGTTAAAGCTTCCCGATATCTGCGGTGAGGCAGACTGTCCGAGGAGTGACCGCCGACCGTCCCCTAGTATTTTTACCCGCGTCCCTGAGGGGCGTACCGTCCCCCAGAATATCGACTTGAAATTCTGGGGGACGAAATCACCGGTTTTCGGTCCCTGAGGGACGTAAATTCGGTCCCTGAGGGACGGTGCACCCCGAAAATGCTGCTATGTGACCGCCCTATCAAGCTCACTGCGCGTATGCAAAATTTAGCCGTGCTGCGCGTCGTAGCAGGCGTTGATGACGCTACACTGTCGTCAAAAAAAACTTAATATGACGTGAGCAACGAACATGTGCAATCTGATCAGCGATTTGATATGGTTCTGATTCGTACCAATTCGTACCATGATTTAATCTACCGTACCACCACCTGGCATGCTTTCGGATCTAAATCGACGGTCGCCACGAGCGGTTTTCAGGGGGACGAACCTTGTTGCTCGCCGTCCGATGAGCAACCCCGTTGAGATAACGGTCTACGTTGCAAGTTGCAGCAATGCGATTATCAGCGGAAGGCTGGTGACTCTGGACTGAGCCTGTTGACATCAGTCTGCGACTACCGGAGGCGATATGTTCTAGTACCCGGTTACCCGGACCGTACAGTACCGGTCCTCGGTGTCTTCGGTACCTAGTAGGGCAAAACGGACAAAGAAGCCAAACATATTTGGGAATAGATTGCTCGTCGACGCGCATCGACTTTCATACCGGGCACTGCTCACAATGATCGCACAATCGAGTGACTTTGGTGGGGTTGGTGGGCGGGTTAGGGTGGGCTGGGGTGGGCTGTGGCGGAACGACTTAGGGTGTTGGTTAGGGTTAGGTCACTGTCTTTAGGATTTTAGTGTTGGTCGGAGGCTCCCCGGTAGCAATCTGGCCCGGTACAGAGAGTGTGCATCGGTGGGTACCTTAGCTCGCACCGGTACTTGAAATCAAGCTTGCGCCTCATGGATTGCACTACGCATGAATCATATGACACAACAACATCATACTGACTGGATGAGATGAGTGGAACGGGGCTTGGTGGAAATCGTGGGCTGAGCCACGTAATTAACCTAGATGATATTTGAGTCAATTCGACTAACTACACTAGGTTAATTTCTAAGCTCAGTCCAATGCCGCACACAAGTGCACATCATTAACAATTCGCTAAGTCAATGTTTGGGCGCGGCGGACGGGGAAAAAGTCACTGCGCAAGCAATTTCGCTTGCAAGAGAATTTGTGAATGAGCTACAAATGGGGCCCTTGCATGCCCTTAGTCATTCACTACATTGCGATCTGCACTACGTTATGCTCGCTAGGTCTTCAATCTTCGCCTGGCTGATGCGACGTCGGCCGATCCCGCGCGTGCATGCATTGGATGCTCGCGGTCGCGCTGGCGGGGCAGCTGGGGGAAGTGCACTGGGCGTGGCGTCGTGTTGGCAACAGCTGGCGCGATACGCACGGGGTGCAGTACCTGGGGACCTGTAGATAGGAATTGATGTCGCGAGCAATTCGCTCGCGCATTTATTTGGCTCCGTTTATCGTGAGCCTTTGATTATACCGTCTAACTCTATAATCAATTAAGGTACCCACCTATTCAGGACAAACGCCGACTCTCGTGCGGTTCCGAAAAATGTTTGGCTTCTTTGTGCCCCTTGCCCTAGTAGGTAGGTTTGCTGGGCGTTTGCTGTGTAATGCAGGAGGCGCTGTTTGGGGTGTGAAACGCCATGCTTGTGTAGAGTGGTCGGACGCGGCGGCAACAGTTTCTGCTTGGCTGGTTTCTTACCGTAGTTGTTTTCTAAGTCGCTCTTTAGTAGGACACGGAGGCACCATGTAGGTAAGTTCATGTCTGACAGGTAAGCAAAGAGGACGACATATCTCATTTACGCTGTGGATGATATTCTGGTGAGGGGCCAATCCCCCACTCTTTGCTGCCTCTTTTCATTATTCATATTCTTGGTTTATCTAGCATCGGTAGCTCTCTGGAAACACCTTGTCAAAAGTTTATTCAGCTAAGTCAGTTTTGTGAAATTCTGCAAGAAGGACAAGTTGACAGCCCCGTTCCACGTCCTGTCCCACCATGCTCTCAGCTCTTGCAGTGCCAGGATGCTGCTGATGCAGTTGAACGCTTTTACAAAGTTTGGCAAAGCCTTTTGGCTGGTGACACTTCAAACGGGTTTGTCAAGAAATTCTGAATATACTTGGCTAAGCACGATTTCTGCAATGCTGTGTAATGTTGATCGCCTCTTCTTTGTAGAATAAGTTCTGTGGTGGTCTGTGGGTCTGGTCTGTATCACCAGAAAATTAGCGAAGCACTTGGAAGCCATATACTCAGTGATGATGCTTATCTAAAGCATGTGTTGGCCTGTTACATTGCAGCTGTTGTTGTTGTACTGACACCATTACCATGTCAACCGGCAGTAACAAATGAACAGAGCGGGGCTTTTGGTTGGAGTGCGACTCTTGAAGGCAAATTCTCTTCTTCATTGAGTAGTTTGGCGTACGCGTGAGTTCTGGTCTCAAAGAACGTCTGCCAGGGGTAATGCAGCTTCTTGGCTTTCCGTATCTACTGTGCTAGGTGCATTATCGTCCCTTATGCAATTTCACTTCGTCGTGTCCCAGAGTATTGACTACGACGCAATCGGCTCCGATCAAGTCTCTTCAAAGTACGTAATTGGCGTTCCGCAAGGACACATACCACCACTGGCACCAATGGTGTCCCGGAAAGCGCTTGGTTCTCGTTCTGGCATCACGGACGTCCACGCTGATGTCATGGTTGAGGAGGATCGTCATCAACCCCAAGGTGGTGACGATGCTAAGCTCGACAAGCTGCCGAAGATCTTAGCCTCAAGCAAGAAGGGCACCCGGCAGAGGGGGATGCAGGCGCTCGCGACGTGGCTCGCGACGCGGGACGCTTCTGAGGAGGATTTGAAAAAGGTCTGGAAAGGGTTATTTTACGCGGTGTGGCATGCTGACAAGGCGCCAGTGCAAGAGGAGCTGATCGAGAGGGTGGCGGGCTTAATGCTGAGCCTGGAGGCAGAGGCGGCTAGGCGTTTCCTTCAGGTAAGAAGACGACAACGACTTCGCAGGAATCAGTCGTGATTGGTGGACTCAATGCAATGTTTGTTGGCTGGCAGACTTGCCATGCTTCATGGATTTATTCCAGGTAATACTTTTCTTAGGACTGAAGCGAGTGTGAGTCGGTTACCCTGTTCAAGACGGCTCTTTCACAGATCAAGCGCATGGAGCCCGCTGTAATGACAATCACGCCAACCACATACTGCGATCTGGCGGCGGAAGCCTTTTCAATCTCCCTAGAACAACAGCTGGAACTGCTGCATTTCTGCCAACAGACAACAAGGCGATTTTTTCGCACCACCATTTTAGCCAAACCTTATTCTCCTCCATAAGCTACCACCGATCCAATAAGCTATTGCGGGGTTGGTGCAGGTCTTCCTGTGGACAATGCGGCGCGAGTGGTCCGGCATCGACCGGTTGCGCCTGGACAAGTTCTACCTTCTGCTGCGCACCTTCCTGCGCACTGCCCTGGAGTATATGCACCGCGCGCACTGGGAGGCACGCCTAGTTACCGCTCTCGTGGACGTGTATGCCCAGGGCACGCTGGAGGCAAAGGATAAGCACTCGGCTTTGGTGAGGGCTTGCGCTCAGAAATGGGATCGACACTAAGAAATGGGATTCGATGGAGGATATCCTGATGTCCTTCGATACAGGTAGTCAGGATTCGGCAGCTCTCGTGGTAGTTTAGTGTTTCAATCGCTTCTGTTGCGGTTGTAATTTGAGGGTGGTATGTGTCAATGGACATCTACGAGATTGGTTTGCTTTTGAGGTTCGTATCGCTTGTCAGCTTTGCCTGGCAGATGCCCCTCGGCATGCAGAGTCAACGGGCAGTTTGTGCTGGGAACACTCGTCTTTGCAAGAACCAGCGCATGTCCTTCTGCACCAAATCCTTAATTCCAAGCTCCTCTATTAGCGTACATTCTGTAGCAAAAGGTCGGCAATGGCGCATACATCCAGAACCTCAGAAGCCTCAATGGTTTGGAACGGATTTGTCAGCTTCGCCAGCTCCCAAACCCATGACGGAGGTTGTGGGTGGCATTTATTGGCGGTTCCGCTCGCATAGACGAGTATTGAGAAAAGTGCACATTTCCTAAGCAGGGCATCAGCCTCCACCTGACGGACATTTTCCTCGAGGAAGCAAGCCGCTTCGCGGTGCCTCCGGTTGCCGCACCACTTCTCCTCGAGCCGTTCCTGCGGATCCTCTCGCACTCCGCCGACAAGCTGCTGCTCCCGAGGGTCGAAACGGAGGTATTTGGGGCCCTCATAGACGAGCGCCAGCGAAGCGGAGGTGACGGTGAGTGCTATGGACCAGGATTAGCCTCTGAATATTTGCGCTAAAATCAATTTGGGATGCTTACGGTGACTGTTGTGGCGGCTGAGTGCAACGTGCTTATATCTTAGCTTAATAGCCCCGGACTTGTGTGGGTCTTTTTGATCAACGCTGTTCGTTTCCAGGACTGTTTGGAATTCTCTTGTGGTTCCCTTGATTGTTCAGATTGGAAGCTTGGCTGGGCGCTTGGCTTCGCATCAATGCCAAGAATCTTCGAAGTCTAGCTTTGTGAGTCCCAGACCGTTATGTCTTGGCTGCCTGACTGTGCTCTTGGGCCCTGCAAGTCTTCATGATGGAGTTGGTATTCACGGAGGGGTTTATGCATGTTTGCATTCAGCATGCTTTTGAGCAAAATTAGAATCTGTTTTGGAAGCGTGGAGTGCTGCTCAGAAGTCCCATCTGCCCAATGATGCTCAATCTTTGAGACCTGAGCCAACCCCTTTGCGGGCCGCTGCTGACAGCAACGCGTGAAGAACGCCTGAGGGCATCGGATGGAGCTTTTGATTGGGTTGAAAGTCCCCTCACTATTGTTTGACTGGTTTTGATTTGAGAGAAAGCGAGGTCGTTTTCTTGGCGTGCTTGGAATATATAGAACGTCCAGGGAACTTCACCCGATTGTTCCCGCTTGTATTGCCGGTTGACTATGTGTGATTTTCCAATCGGCTTTCAACTCTCTCCGTATTGGCCATTTTGTACATGCTTTCATCCGCGTATTATTCACCTCAGGGTGCGGGTAGATGGCTCTCAAATGACACTTTGGTCGGCAGTTCGTGTTTGGCCACCTCTTAACCCCAAGCTTTTTACCAATAGGGTTAGGAACCGTTTTAACGCTCAACTACTGCCCGCACTGGGCGGATGTTTGCAGCTTCCGAAAGGGCAACTTATAGAATAGTGGACCTTTTGTGAGCCAGTAACCTGGATCTTGGAGAAAAGCTCTCACCCTCCTCACTTCGCAGCTGAAGGCTCCCCTCTTTCGACGGCCCTCGACTTCAGCCAATTGGCCAGCCGCCTGTTTGCGCTCGCGTCCGCCCCTGAGACGGCCCCCAAGAACCGGGCGGCTCTTTATGCTGTGCACGCACGCCTGAAGAAACAGGGCGGCGACGCGCTTTTCCAAAACGGGGGTCAGACGGAACATGCAGAGGAACCCCCCACGAAAGAGAACGGGAAGCGGCCGGCCCCAGTGCTGGAGAAAGAGAAGGGCAAGAAGAAACGGAAAGCGGAGATTGTGAAGTTTGACGAGATCGAAGCGGGGAGCCTGGAGGCAGGGGATGCAGAGGGGAGGGGCGTGGTGCTAGCGGAAAAGGAGAAGAGAGGAACTAGAGGGGCGAAGGCCCTGGTCGAGTCCGGTCTCGTTGAGGAGTCGGCACTGGTGGCGGAGGTGAACGAGAAGAAAGCGAAGAAAGGGCGTAAGAAAGGTCAGAAAGAGCCGGTTTCGGGAGAAGAAAACGGACATGGTTTGGACAGAAGCGAGGGTGAAGACATGGGGACGTCAGAAAAGGGGAATCTGGAAGGGGGACAGGCGCAAGAGGGGGGGGTGCAGCCAAAGAAAAGAACCACTGAATCTGGTCCAGGGGGACTGATAGCTGGAAAGACAACTAGGAAGGGGAAGCGGAAAACGGACCGCGCTGTGGAAAAGCCGGACGTCACGGAAGCGTCCGTGTTGGATGGCGAGCTGCCTGGGAAAAAGAAGGCCCGAAATACTAGGCAAGCGTCTCAGGTGGGGGGGGTTGGGGAGGTGGAAGTAGAACCCCCGGTTGTGGCGCCGCAAAATGGAAAGAAGTCGAGGGCTGCGCTGGAAAGAGCCGCCGCCAAGGGGGGCGGTTCCGTGAGCGATGCGCTGACTGTCGATCCGATTCATGCCGGGAATGGGAGCGCCGATGTCCCGAGCGAGAAGAGGAAGAGGCGGAAGGCTGCGCAGCTCACAGCAGATGCTGAAATGGCGGCTGACGTCAGCGCTGTGGCCGATCCGGCCGAGAACAAGAAGCGGCGGAAGGTCGCAAAGGGCGCGGTGGCAGGGGCTGACGTCGCAGCTGACGTCAGCGGCGTCGCAGTGGGGAGAGAGGCGTCTACAGACGGGGTGCGGAAGGAGAAACGGGGAAAGGCAAAGGGGGCAGCTGGGTCTGCTAAAGTGGATGCCATCGCAGCGATCGAGAGCGCTCTCGAGGAGCTTCGGCGTGCGGCCGGGGACGCGTCAGGTGGGGCAGCCGAGGACGCGCCAGCTGTCACACCTGCGCAAGATGCGCCAGCTGTCGACACTGAAACCGGCCGGAAAAAGCGGCGAAAGAAGAAGCTTGCACAAGGTGGGGAAGAGGCGGAGACTCCAGGGACTCCAGTGGGCGAGGTGGACTTTCAGAGTTCAGCGGTTGAGAACGAGTCGGCGGCAAAGCGAAGAAAGAGCGGGGCAGGGGCCACGCCTCCAGTCGCATCAAAGGTAGGTGAGGCGGTTGTTTGACTATCCGTGCATCATTATGAATTAACTGGTCATTGCAGTAACCAGGCGGCAGCATACGGGCTGGCCGGCCTTTTGGTTGTGGTTTGGTTTTAAGAACTTCTACAGACTGGCCGTTTTGACGATCCGGTTTCTGTTGATAAGCCCCCAGTTCGAGAGTAATTGTTTTTGGTCTCGTGTTTGAAAGCAGTAGGGTATTTGGGGTGTCATATCAATTTGCTACAGACCTTAAGGAAAGTAATCCCTCTTGTGCCACTGCGAAGCTTGCTACCCCCGTTCGCCACTCCCCTCAACGCACGTGCTTACGCACATTCGCCTCGATCTGCAGTTGGCGGCCGCGTCCGACGGTAGGCGGGGTGGACACATTGGAAAGAGCAGGTTCGCCCCTGCTTCTCCCGGCGAGTCTCCGGGGGCCGTGCTAGCTAGCCGGTTCGCCGAAGCTGACGACACTCCAGGCCCTCGATCCAACTTCAAGAAAACCAGAGGTAGTTCAGCAAGCGACGAGCAGCCAATATTATTTCCGCGAACCCCGGAAGCGGGCTCGACGCCAGCCGCTGTGACTCCGGGACCTCTTTCCAATGGAGCATCTGCCCGGGGGAGTGCTCCGGGTTCGTCGGGGGGTGCCGCTCGGGGCTCGGGCGGGTCGCACAGGAAGAAAAAAGTGCGCTTCTCGCTGAAGAACAACTTGGAGTTCAAGGTCGGGAGTCCCCTCCCGGAGAAGACGATGCGCACGCCCCCGGCGGCGACTCCTCGAGGGAGCGCCCTGAAAGTGACCGGGCCGTCGCCGATCCGGAAGATGGGGACGAGCTTGGTGGACGGGTACGTGATTGGGAGCCGGCGGAACAAGAAGGAACGGCGCAGCCCGGCATTGATCCACGTGGCAGGCATGAGGGGCCGAGGTGGTGGAGGGCGAGGCCGGGGAGCAGGGTCGTGGAGGGGGTCAGGAAAGGCAGACAGGAGGGTGAGATTGGTACGATGACAAGGGCTGTGAGCTTAAGTTGGCAGCAACTATGGGACGCATCGATCTGATAGAGGACTACCGTATCTTGTGTGCAAAGCCAAATTGGCCGCCAGGAAAGGATGCTGAAAAACCATGGAGTATTTACCGTCAGAGCTCAAGCTAGCTTACGTCAATCACTTACTGAAGGCCCGAGTAACGGCCAAACAACGGACGACTTTGTTTGCTTTCCTTTCATCATGTCTCGGAGTCGTATGCTCATGTGACTTTGAATGTTTTCTGTTCAACATGTCTCGGAGTCGTATGCACATGTGTATGCATTGAACCGTCTACTAAGGCTGTACATAACAAGAAGCTGCAAAGCCTTGTATATGATCGAACCTGGAGCTACAGAAAGTACTCTTGAGAAGTCGATCAGGACCGAATCCTAGCTGAGTCCCTAGAAGAATGCACTTCCGTCATGGCGCGTAAAGTCACGGGAATTTGAGTACTACGCTACCGTCGTGCCCATGATCGAGGTCACTTACATGATTAGTATATCACTCGGTGCAAGTCAGCATGGATGTGCGATATGCATGTGGCCGGTGCCGTGCAGTCACTGCGGCTCGCGCGTTGATACATATATAGTACAGGCTCCGACCATTTTCGACTTTCTTTCAAGCGTGTTTCAAGCTATATGCGTTGTAAAGAATATAAGGCGAAAGCCGTATATATACCTGGCACCATGCATGCCAGATCTAGCTGTACGTTACCAACATGATATATGTGTGCGCGCATGATTAGCAGACATGTCTACGCACCCGGCAGGCTCGAGCTACTCCCACTGATTGACAGCCACACAGATTAGTCGTCAGCATACCTTGAATAGCGCTTATCTGAGTGTATACCTTATGTTCAACTCTTTGCCAAGTTGAGGACGTGACTTGCATGACCGTGGCACACTGAAGTCGCAGAACCAAAGGACTTGCGACGCAAAGTTCGGCGCTTGTGGAAACTAGTACAATAAGCTTCGATGACGGCCTAAGTTGCGGTAAACGGCCCTGATCACGTACAAGCAGAAATATTACCAAGCTTTTCATTAGCACGCATGCCGTGCTCAAGCTTCATGATTTGTACAGGGTTCCCATACACATGCTCTAAGTGTTCAATAATGTCTAGATCAATGTCAAATGGGGCTTCAACTAAGACACCTTATGTATATCTTCAAAACGCAAGTGCATAGGCCCTTCGGACAAAGTGCTACGTCTTCGTTCGAGTTTGCATTTACCTTGGCCACACCTTGGGTCCGAGTTATGGTCTCCAAAGCTAGGCAAGTCTACCTCAAAGCCGAACCGACCTTTTGCGACATCAAGCCAACTTTTCCTTTTTCGTCATCGAAGCCTTGACTCGTGAATACAGGAAGACGCCGGAGAGAGCCACGGCCGTACCTGCAAAAAACGAGGTACATCTGGCTAGAAGCTCATCTTTTCCAAGGATAGTTGATCTTCCTCTCGGCAGGATGCATTTGGGTTCAGCTTGATGTATCGGCACGATTGCTTGGATTCATATACCGGGCCAGCAGTGTTTGATACAAGAATATCAGAACCTTCATCTCTCTGATTGCTTACGCCGGAATATCGGCCTCTCATTAAACAGAGATGAAAGACGCCGAGATGTCGCCTTAGCAAGCGCTACTGATTCTAGTGATTGACGCGTACAGCATTGACATGCGCTCAAATGAGAATCAAAGGAAGCCAGAGAGGGCAGTCTAAGTTCCTTAATTGACAGTCACTTCAAGGAGCTTTTTCATCAAGCTAGGTTAACTAGGAGCTGGGCAATAACAAGGAAAGAAGGAAATCAGATAATATCACCGAAGGCCTCGAACTTCTAGTAATCTAAAAAGCCAAGACCGAGCGAGTGAGGCCGAGAAGATAAGACCCACAGAAAGTGAGGCCAAGAGACGCACCGACCGCTTGGAGAGAGACTAAAGAACCGCAAAGCTCCAGCGCACGCAGAAGTTGCGAGAAAGCTAAAAACTCTCATTGAAAGCCTGGATAGTTTCTGCACAAGGGAAGTCGAGGGGGGGACACGTACCGACTGCGTTGATGGCGGACACCGGCGTCTTGAAGAAGATCACTGACGTCACGATGACGACGACCCGCTTCACGCAGTTCCCGACCGAGTGCGTCACGGGCGTCACCTTGGACAGGATCATGTACGACACCTGGAGAGGCCCCGGGGAGGTCAACCGGGTGGAATCAAGGGGGCGAAAGCAACCGGGGGGAGCGAACCGGGCAGTAACAAATGTCGGCTTATCGAGTCGATACTAGAATGCGGCTTGGATCGCTGTTTTGACGTCATGTTTCGCGGAGAACGGACGAAGTTTGAAATTGCACTTGCGAAGTTTTGCTTTCTGGACGACTTTCCTCGTAACCGTCATATCCAATATTCAAAACCCAGATGTTGATGGGAGCGTGGAGCCAGATCGCGGCCGATCCCGCGATTACTAAATACCTCTGGGTATTGCCTTATTGTAGCTTACCTGTTGATAGGCGTGGAAGCAGAAGCCGGCGAGGAGGGCACGTGTCAACACCTGCTTCACGTCCAATCCCTGCAGCGATACAGGGCGACAATGACGTCATCCTCGTGAGCCCGCAACCGCCGGACGCATAAGCGGAGAGATCCGCAGACGGCGGAATGATTGTCCCATTTCAATCTACTCAAAACCCTCCCCTTTATGCCGTAAGAATATTCAAAAAGAAGCCAAGACAAGACGGACCCTGCATGAGCATGTCAGAAGCTTATCAGGACCAGACACCTGAACGCCCGCTGCTTACTGCTTTGCTTCAGGTTTGGGATGTATTGCTTACCGCTGCTTCCAGGTATGCTGGCGTCAGCTTGACGCCCTCCGTGGCAAGAGTCAGCGGAAGGAGGAGGAAGAAGGCGATAATGGTGATGACAGAGAACAGGTTGATGTTGTCCAAAGACCCCTGCAGAGCAGAATCATACCGCTGTATCAGGAAATTTCGACAGATGAGTCTTACATTCACGATGGAAGGGGATATGTTGGTGTTGACCGGAAGGTCCTGCAGAGCAGACGACGCACCCAACTCAAAGGAATGTCGACAGTGGACGGCTATGACCGTAATCGAATCGGACACGTGGCTGGTGTTCAGGACTTCTGCAAACAACGAACATATTCTTGCTCGACGAATGAAGGCAACAATTGCAGAAAGGACGGGCTGGCCAGAGGGTGCTGCAGAGCGTACACTTGCGATCCTATCAGCACAGAACCTCGTGGGTCCTGTCGATGCAAGTGTTCCAGCCTTTAGTTCCTATGGATTCCTCCCTTGCGGTGGCCGCGGTGACAGATGCGACTGGTTGCCAATTCACGCAACGACCAGGTATTACTTTAACCTCCGTTGTTGGGACGAGTTAAAGTTCTTTCAGTTTATACAGGCACTTGTAGCGACGGGAACAGCTCTGTACTACAAAAGTTTTCGAAGGTATGTCATTATCGCTCGAAAATGGTGGAAGCCCAAATGCTGACACGATCAATATGCTCTCCAAGAGCCTTTGAACCATTTCGGCGATTACTGTTCCCCAGGTAATTGGAAAGCTCCCGAACTTCAAGCTTGTCGTGTTGCAAGCAGAGACGAACCGATGCGGCTTCCATCCTTCTACTCAACGTGAAAGTAATTGGCGGCCGGCAATGGTCTTTTTGTTTTTGTTTTGTCTCTCTTTTCCATTTTCACCGATGTTACTACGAGGTACTTTGACACATCTCTAACAGATGCCAGTTTATCACATGGTCTCCTAGGTATGCATTTGAACATGCTCGCGAGAAGTCTCACCTCTTTCTTGACCATGACTTTCTTTGACAGGACGTTGCGCGACTGGAAGGTGAGGTTGGAGGCCATGGCGCTCAAAAAGCCCGCCCTGCGACGACGCAAGATACGAGTAAGCACTGGAAAAGCACGCTGACGTTGATTGCGTCCGTCACCTGCTTCTGGGTTCAAGTCTGGAGCCCGATCGATTCTAGCCTGGCGATAATTGCAAAGACGTTCAAAACGCAGGGAAAGGATCACGATGACGTGGCTACTTTCCAGATCCACAGCCTATTAGAGCAAAAAGGGGCTCGATGTCGAGCATTTGGTTGTTGGAAGCATTCGTATTGGTCCTTTACATCGTGTGAGTGGATTGTGGATCTCAGTCCACGTCTCTTCGAAATTGGACGAGAGGAAGTGTGACTGACAGAGTGTATAGCATACAGAACTATCAAAGTCTAGTCAAGCAGACACGCCAGGCTCAGAGCAAACCTGAGCAGACTGAAACAGTCCTCGTTCTATTAGTGCTGGGCTGAGCAGAAACAAGCAACACCTATGAGGTCGACTGACTAAATGACTCTGCAAACCTCCAAGACTGCAAACTTCGAAAGCCCTCAACTTGTCGACTTGAAAAGCTCAAAGGCGTGCTTCTTAGGCGAAGAACCCCTCCCGACAGAGATCTGTGTTGGGCAGCACTTGACTACATGTTGCGCTGCATCCCCGTCGAAGGGAAGCGGATGGCTCACCAATTGAAGGAGGCTTCCGTTGCGGATGCAAGCCCGACGCCGGCCACGATTGGCAGCAAAGACAAAACGATTGGTAGTTGCGGTTTCTGCAAGCACAAAGAGTTCAACTTTCTTTCCATGCTGAGCATTTGCGACTTCCTTCGGTAGTACAAGAACTGCCTGTCGTTTAGGTGCCAGCCAAAAAATGCAAGACTTTCAGAAACCCGACTGAAGCACGATTCGGGTGACTTGTTCAGGTGATTCTTCCAAGCAGTCCTCCAAGTAAGTCCTTCCAAGCCTCAGTGTTGCGATTGGCCGCTCACGTCTCCCAGGAAGATGCTGGAGAGTAGCACCGAGAAGAACGGCTCCATCGCTTTAATGGTGTGCGTGAATGAGACGGCGACCTTGCCCAGACTCAGGTTGGTAAACAAGTTCCCCAGCGCATGGACGAGAGCTAGCGGCGTGATCGCGATCAGCTGCAAAAGACAAGGGAGAGAGACTATCATGGTAAGAGAGACGGGTGCACGATCTTCATTGGCTGCCACAGAAAAGGGAAATGTGCGGTTGCAAGGTCAATGAAGAGGGGTATTAAAAGGCATTCAAGATCAGAACGCAAGCGCAGACGCATTCCACCACTAACTCATTGGCTTCGATTTAACCTATTTCAAGCTTCAAGTTTCAACAAATTATACTGTCCGAGATCGTAGTGAGGGTCCCAGCTTGACCACTGCGACCAATCCCCTTGACGTACATCCATCGCCCGCCTCCCTCTGAGAGGACTTTGTCTATGCCCCTCGCCAAGATCTGATGCTGGGGCTACAATCGGAGAAAGAGAGCAGTCAGATTATCCTACCTGGTCTCTGGAGATGTTGGGCTTTGGGTACAGGCCTGTGCCCCACATAAAGAGGGACCAGACAAGCCCCACGCCTAGTTGCACTTGCGTACAGGTTATGGGAAACTTGAACACCTTGAGGACCTGCAGAGGTATCAATTCACAGTATGGTTGGTGTGTTTTTCTCTTCAGTTACTTATTCTACTCTGACAGTGTTCCTGACAGCTCTTTGGGATTCGCGCTGACGGTTTTAACGGAGGCCAGTCCATTATGAGAAAGATATACGCGGCATCAAGGGCTGTAGCCTCCTCAAGGCAATCGAATTTGTGTGGCCTTGTGTTCATAGGCGGACCGAGAGTCGACTTGTGTGTTCAGGCAGTTTGCTGAGGTAGCAATGTGGCCACATGTGAGGGGCAGGGCATCAAGTCTGGAACAGCGCAGCAGAAAGCAGACTTGGTGTATCATTCCATTAAGCTGAGCGCTTATGTTGTTGCTTTACCTCAAGTTGAATGCTAGCAGTCCTATGATATCTAGTCGTCTGAGATCTGACAAAAAGCGAACCCGCCAAAGATTCTGGGCAAGTGCAGATCTTGCTGCAAGAGGATGAACTGATTGACATTTGAGAGTGCATCTCTCTCCAAGAAAATAAGCAGAAGCCGAGCGCCTGCGGAAGCAATCAATGGAACTGTTCAACTCACAGTTCCTCACTACTCCCCAACTTCAGGCCCTGCTTTTTGACAAGATCTCTGTTGAGCGGTTGATTGGGCATTCGTTATGTGCTGTGATTGCCTTACCTGCTTGTTATAGATGTTGAAGTAAATATTAAACAAGTACCACCCGCCGAAGAGGGCCCCTAGCTGCAGAGTCTTCGTGAGCTCGGTTTCCTTTGGGGTTTCAACCTTTGGAATTTCAAGAGGGGCCGCTTCTTCCCCTCCAGCTGCTGCCTGGCACCGAACTCTGTCGACTGCCTTCGTCTGTCTGCTGAGGGGCCTAGAGGGAATCTTGATTTCAACCCCAGCGAATGAGGAACACAAGACCTTGTGTGGTGAAACAGTCTGCTTGGCTGCAAGTGGTGGGGATCTGAAGAATGCAGGTGATGCCCTGCCACAGTTCCTTTCCTTCTGGTGCGATGCGGAGCACGTTGTGATCCCGGTTGCGGCATTGGACCGGGCAATTGATGCAACCATGGCCATGGTAAGCAGCTGCTATCTGCACCCACACAAAGCGGCTACCAATCCAACAATCAACAATGCTGATTAAGGCCGACGTGATCTTCTGTCACTTCGTCCTATCAATGCCAAGCAGGAGCGTGTGTGAAATGCGTAGAGAGCACACAGATTACCGCCCTCTAACAACAGGCTGTAGGAAGATATTGCAGCATCTGAGAAGACCTGCTTGCTTGCTAGCTTGCTTGTGAATTAGTAATGCGATCGATCTAAGATTGAACGTTGTGAACGCCTGGCCATTTCCAGGTCTTGCCTTCTGGGCTTGCCACTCGTCAGTTTTATCCCGTGCAGCTAGTCAAGTTTAACCTACCTGGTTATGGCTAGCTCGGGTCGCCGCATCGAAACCACGTGTTATAAAACTTTAAACATCACCCGTTCGATGATGAATTGAACGACTGAGATAGACGCTGAGGATTCCAGGAATCAGGGTTATGGTGACCCGTAAAGAGTGGTGCGCCTAACCGGTGCTTGCGCACACACTCGATCAGGTGTCCCAGTTGTCAGCAGCATCCAAGGTAAATCAGCATAGCGGCGGACGCCATGCGCTCTCATGTGCTTCGATGCATGAATTCCTGCGCAGCAACTGCCAGCTAGAGCTTCGATCTCGTGCTTGCATTCATCGGCCAGAAAGAGCATTGATCTTCTCTTCGAAGCCTTTTCATGCAGCAGCATGAGCAGTCTTCTTAACACACGAGCTTGCAAGCACTGCTTCGACGTCTACAGTAAGCGAAACGGATCAACTCTAAGTCGTCAGACAACCATATCCATGCACGATCTAATCTTAATCCATGCTTCGAACCTCGAGACGTACACGAGAAGCCGAGGCAAAGACCTGAGCTTTGGTTGTCCAAGTCTTGAACTCGACATAATGGTTTGCACTGGCGTCTGCGAGCAAAACAAGAGGACGAGAGCATCTTGTTGAATTGATCCTCTTTGCTTCAGATTTTGCCATCCAGGGATATAATGTCTGCGAAGCACGTAAGTATACTTCGACCTCGGACTTGTAGCAATGCTCATGCATCTTCAGTCAAAGGGCAGAGCGCTGGAACCAGAGACCGCAGGAACCTAATGCGCGCCTAGAGCAGCTTTCGCCATGCTGTGCTCTGCCAAGCGCTTGCTTATGAACCAGCTAACCGCGTCGTTTTCTCTTGGACAAGGAAGCCGCCTGCTGTCCGACTCAACTTTGGTACCTGAGAGGAAGTTCACAGCCAAATCTCTGCTGACGAATCAAGGGCTTGAAAGCAGAGCTACTGAAGAAGCAGGACTCGGAAGGAGCCTTCGAAGGGTGCTACAAGCTGGCTGGAAGGATATAAGGAGGAGAAGCATCCGACCTCGAAGTCAGCTGCAGATTGGGGAGCCTAGCTTTTCTGCACCGCGCCAAACGGCTGTCAGCCTGAGAGCAGCAATCTTTTCGGCTCTCGTTCATTTCTTCAGGTAAGAAGCATTTTATTTATACTTTCTTTCTGGAAATGCAGTGTGCATGGGACTACAGGGTACGTTCCTGGCATACCGCTGAGTGCTTTTAATAGGAAGATGTATGGAATAGAATTGGATTAAATCTTTCCAAAGCCAACTGGTGACATGCGTGTATGTATGAGAAACAGAAGGATACTGCTTCGCTGTCCGCTGAAAAGAAAGCATGCATTGCTAGCCGTTTCCCTGTTAAGAAAGGACGTCTGGCGCTGTTTCGAGAGAACCCTCTCCCTTAAGCAATTTGATTTCAGGATCAACGCATGGAGTCCTAGGCATGCAAGGCTTGCCGAATCAAACATCTTAGGAAAGCAACCGCACGGCGTTTGCTCTCAACAAACCGTTCCCTTTCCCTGTAGCTCTGAAAAAGAATTTGTGCCTCCTACTTTTTGCTCTCGTTACATGCTCTGTTTGTTAGTTGTCGACCTGCATGCTCATTGCTGCATGTGCATGTTAGGGGAAACGTAAAAGCTGAAGTGTCCAGCCAAAGCAGGACGCCCTACGGACGTCCGAATGGCGAAGCTTATTCTGCCGCACATCCTGGTCACCCCGACAAGATCCGTCCCAACCACAAGTTTCAATCTTTTCGAGTCATTTGATTGACAATTCCACCGTCCGCTTTCTCTGCAGCAAAGCAATCAGCCCTGCGGACGTCCATACGAAGGCGAAACCCAGCCACAAACTGTCCTGCTGTCTCATAATCACTGTGTCAACTTCCGAAGCCCTCCAACCTTTGCCGTTTTCAAAAGGATCTACAAAATCCTCCGTCCGAGTTCTTGCAGCAAAGCGATCAGCCCTGCGGACGCCCAGATGGAAGAAAAGATCTAGCCGCACATCGTCCTGCGGTCCGGAGACCCCAAAAAGATCCGTCTCAACTACCAAAGCCTGTTGGGCTTCCATTACTTTTTCCGACGTTGTCTTCGTCCGAATTCTCGTAGCAAAGCGGTCAGCCCTGCGGACGTCCAGATGGAGGAGAAGATCCAGCCGCACATCGTCCTGCTGTCCGGAGACCCGAAGAAGGCCTACGACGGACTGCTGCGCGACATCGGCGATGCGCAGGTGGTTCTGATCGGGGAGGCCAGCCACGGGACGCACGACTTCTACGAGGAACGGGCCAAGATCACCAAACGGCTCGTCGAGGAAAAGGTACGAGTTCTGCCGAGATTTTTCGTAGCTTTTTGTGATCCTGGAAGGGGGTGAACGGATCCCTTCTGAACTGGCTCCCTACGAGCAACGGGCCAAGATCACCAAGCGGCTTGTCGAGGAAAAGGTGCGAGGCTTGTCGGTTTGTGGTGGCTTCTTTGAAAACTTTAGGGGGTGAACTGATCCCCTCTGAGCTGACTTTCGCGAGTATCTGGCCAAGGTCACCAGATGGCGTGTCGGGAAAAGGTGCGGGGGCTCAAGTCGTGGATTCCATTGACGTCTTTCTGGGTTGGTGGTTTGTTCGGGGAAGTGGGTTTCTTTTTCTTCTGGGGGCGAGTTGGAATTTGCGAAGGTACAGAGAGCCGTCTGTTTCTCAGTTGCCTCCTCGATCCACGAAAGTTGTTCGACTTACGAGTCAAGCTTGGTCGAGCTTGGCTTCAATCTCTTTGAAGCGAATTCACTGACATGTGCACGCTCACCTACTATGTATCACCCCGCTCGAATCTCTCCAAAGTGCTTCATATCATTTTATGGATCCCACCAACCAGAACGCGCCACGCGTCGTGCAGGGCTTCTCCATGGTGGTGTGCGAGGCGGACTGGCCCGACATGGCGCGCGCGCACCGCTACGTGCGCGGCCTCAAGGGCGACGGCAGCGCCGCGGAGGCGCTCGAGGGGTTTAAGAGGTTCCCCACCTGGATGTGGCGCAACACCGTCATGGTGGACTTCGTGGAGTGGGCTAAGAAACACAACCAGTGAGTGAAACACGTGCTCTTAATGTTACTGAACTCAACCAGTGAGTTTTACGCGGAGATGAACTCACTAACTGCAGGTTTGGCAGAACCAGTGGGTTTCAACGGTGAACGAGATTGCTTTTTGTGGCTTTGGCAGAAGGAGTGGGTGTCTTGCGTGTTGAAATCTGACGATGACTGGTCAACCCCAGCCGCTCAAAGCAAAATGTCAATGCGCAACAGAACCTGATTTCGTAGGAATCTTGAGCGCAGGACTTCCAACCGACTTCGACTTGGTAGACTCTGGCTCTTTGATTGGCCAATGAAAGTTTTTAGCTTCAGCATTCTGCGAAGATTTTGTGCAGCACATAACTTTGGACCACGGCTTGGCCGGGAAGGTGCAGGTTCAGCTCGTCTGCATGAAAACGGATACAGAAGGTGTGATCAGAGCTATATGCGCTCAATTGGCTGAAAATACTGGATAAAGACCGTTCCCCCTAGCCATGGTCTGAAACTGGAAGCATTTGTCTGATCGGATCCAAAGAGTGCCTGCGATCGCAACTGGAAGGTTTTGCAGATTGAAGAGGTTGCGCGGTTCGCCTTTTACGCCAGGGCCTGAGGTTCTTCCTAACGATACGTAGTCCGACGATTTTAACTTGTGGCAAAGGGTTTTTGACAATGGCTGTTTCTTGTCCACTGTGCAGGGAGATCTTTGCGAAGGAGCGGGCCGGCGAGAAACTTGAAAACACGTAAGCTGATTGTCCTTGACAGCTACCGCCTTTGGGCTCTTGGTTCCGGCCAGGCTTTCCGGTTCCGGACAGGGCAATCGGAACATCCAGTTATTTTGCTCTCTGGTTGAAGCAGGTATAGGTGACCTCAAAGAGATTCTGCATTATCACGCCAGTATCGTGCGCACGTCTCTTTTAATCAAAAGGACGTTTTGGGTTCAGCAAACCAATGAGCGGCATCTTCTGCTTACAAAAGGACGTTTGAAGCTTTTCGACTCCTTTTTCCCTTTACTGTCCGATTCCGAACCGCCAGAAGAAAAGATCGTTCTACATGAAAGACGTCTTAAAGGTGGAGCCCTCACGAAGCTCTTTGCTCACGACTCTCTGCAGTGGTTTCAAGATACTTCAACTGTGGCGGTTAGCAGTCAGACTTTGCCTTCTGTATAATAGCCTCTTTGACACACACTATAGACCCACATAAATCTCTCGAGTCTTCGAAATTTCGCAGTTCTACGGTGGGTCTGTACGGCTTCGACCTGTACAGCCTGCACAAGTCGATGGAGGCAGTCATTGAGTACCTCGAGAAAGTCGACCCAGATACGGCGGAGCGCACCAAGTAAGTCTTACAGCACTTTTCCGTTGGACTTCGAGAATTAGGATGATACCTTCTTGAATTTTGGGTTTTCCTATCAACTTCAGCAGGTCAGCTGTCACCTCAAGGCTGACCAGGGGAGTTAGCCACACCAAATGCAACTGATTTCGAATAATAAGACAGCAGTTGGTGCGCGAGGATGTGGCGTCAAATCGTTAAGCCAAAAAACGTACAGCTGTATCGCTTCACGGGCCGTTCGTGCATGAGCACGCCCGATATCTAGAAGAGGTGCGCTTTGCATAGAAAGGTTCAGATCTGGAATTCAACCTTCTTACTGCGAGAATATTGTGAAAAGCGGACAGAATGGTTTCGCAAGCGCAGCGCGGATCACTTCAACCACTTTGAGCGGTGCCCACAGCTTCTCGATCCCACACCCTTTTCTTTTCTGATTTGGTACCTACTGTCCATGCTCAGCCTCATTCCTTACGCCCGCGGTTCAGTCGTCACGAAGCGCTACGTTCACATCTTTCCTTCTGCCTCGGTATGTTTCCCTTCATGCTCGTGCGGGATCTCTCATGCTCTCCACGAATATCCTCCTTCAGGAAGCGCTATTCGTGCTTCGACCACTTCGGGCACCTCTTTCAACATCTCTTGTCAGTAACTTGTCGCATGCTTCATGCAAACTTTCATCTCCCGCCCCTCCGCTCATCTCTTATGCTCTCCACGTCCACCGCATACAGGAAGCGCTACTCGTGCTTCGACCACTTCGGGCGCGACCCACAGCTGTACGGGCTGGCGACAACGGCCGGCGGAGCCGACCCGTGCGAGGACCAAGTCGTCCAAGTGCTTAAAGACCTCATGCGCCTGGCGCCCGAGAAGCTGCGCTCCGCGAATCACGACCGGGACGCCACGTGTCACGAGGACGAGCAGTTCTTCGCGGTGCAGGTAAGCGGGGGAGCCGTTATGGGGGTCCGAAGGGACTGATGACTACGACTTTGGGTCCAGGGCCAGGGAGGGAGCTGTTAGGTGGAATACACTCCATTTTTAGTTCAGGAAGTCTATTCTCGCTTCGCAGTGTTAAAGCGGCTGGCAAAAAGTGTGGGGAAAGTGAATTTGGGTTTGAGTTGAGTGTGAAATACAGATAAATCAGAGGCCAGATTGATCCACAGATCAAAGGCTTACGTATATATTCTGGCAGGCCCTTCCGGTTTTGACGTGCGTGCCTTCTGATTTCTTCACTTCCTTTCGGCATCTGGTTTCGTGAAATTCATCCGTCTCAAGAATGTACTAACTTTAATTGGTTTCAGATCAAGAAGTGCTGCCGCTTCTCCGCTGCAGAATGCCCTCGTGGTGAAAGACGCGGAGCAGTACTACCGGTCGATGTACCGGGCACGTGACATGAGCTGGAACCTCCGGGACAAGCACATGTTCAACACGCTCAAAGGTAAGAATTTGCACTTCGTCATCAATTCCCATCTTGTGACTACTTGCTTGGTATGACGCGGGCGACCCTGAACGGTTGAACGATCAGAGATCTGGAAATTCAGTACGATCCACAGTCTGCTGCTGAAGGCATTGAGCGAGATTCTGAAATCTCGAACACGTTGTCGATGACTTGGGTTCTTAACGCCCCGTCAACGCACCTTCTTCACGAGCAACAGCAACAGCATAAACGGGCTCCTGGAATCTACAGGGCTCAATGAGTCCGGTTACGAATTCTCGATCGGTCCACTTTCAGGTTGACAACCTCTTACTTCCTTCCATTAACCTGAAGATGGTCCCCTGACTAGCGCCCTGATCTCAGCGATTTGCGTTCTGCTTTCTTCCGACCAAAGAACTTTTTCAAAGATGGTTCAGTTTGCCTCTACTGACTTGCCCCCCTTCCATAATTCGTAGCAGAGAAACATCAGCATTGCTGGTTGGGATCTGACTTTGATCTTCTCAGGGGGAGTACTGATTGCGTGACTGACTTGCTGCGGATTTTGCCGATCCTCTATGCCCCAAACTCTCCGGATTGTGTTGATTCCTCGAAATGTTACTCGAGCGCAATGAATCCTTCTTTTGCAACAGCAATATTCTTTCTTCCTCTCGTTTCTTCCCTCAACTTCGTCCTTCTCTTGCAGCGCTGATCGCGCACTGCGAGCGGCTGAGCGGCAGCCCTGCACGCACGGTGGTGTGGGCGCACAACTCGCACCTGGGCGACGCGCGCGCGACGGACATGAGCTGGCGCCGCAAGGAGCTCAACGTGGGCCAGCTCGTGCGCGAGCACTACAAGGAAAAGGCGTTCAACATCGGCTTCAGGTGCGCGCACGGCTACTGTTTGAAAGTAAATTGAGTCTGCATCATGACCCCCAGATTCGGTTTGGAAAGCAACTAAAGGTCGCGCTTCTATGGATGAATTTCTTTCCAGGAGAAGGAACGTTATGGGATTTTCAAGGTTGCAGGAAGGAGGCTACTATGCAAGGGCAAAATAGGCTTACCTAATGTCATTCTGCAGACTTTTGGCGAAAAGGTAAATCACCGAGTCTGATCGAACCTGTCCAGCAACTTTTAGTTGAGTCAAGCGGACCCCAGATCATTAACTGTAGCGCCCGACGTGACGCCCGTTCCCGGTACCCTGCGTATGCAGCACGTATACGGGGACGGTGACGGCGGCCTATGATTGGGGCGAGCCCGCACACTGCATGAAGGTCAACCAGGGCATGGCCGGGAGCTTCGAGCGGCTCTTTCACAAGGTGGGTCCTTCTCCAAAACCCTCAATCAAGTTTTTAAGTTGGGGGAATAAGTCGTCGTTTCAACCGTTTTGAAAACGTTGCACCACACAGTGATCCCTGAAGCGCTGAAATACTTTCTGTAACTGGACTCAGTTACTCACCTTCGAGACCCCTTTTCCAACCCCCGGGACGTTTCCGAAGCGGCTCCCTGACCATACCAATCTTTCGACATTCTGCCAGGTGTCGCCGTCTCGCTTCCTGCTTGATGTGAGCAATCACGTGCCGAAGCACCTGGAGCTCCTGGAGCGTGCGATCGGGGTCATTTACCGGGCTGACACCGAGCGCTTCAGCCACTACTTCCAGGCACGGGTGAGTGACCGGGGATGCTCAACCGCCCACCTCTTACTAGTTCTTGAGCTGTGGCATTCGACTTTGCTGTCAGGGGAGGTTTCGTCCGTTCGACTTATGAAGCGTTTGCCGTGCGAGGGCGCAGACTGGTCTTTGCGCATTGACAGGGTAAGAAGAGAACTGAAAGGACTGAACACGCAGAAATTTAAACGAACTTTATTCACGGATCCCTGTTTGGATGCGGCAGCGTCTGACAGCGTTAGACGACCTGTTCTCTGCGCCCGACCTTACGAGAACTTCGGAGTAATTTTCTCAGCACCTGTCGAAGAGATTTTCAATGTTCAAACAATCACCAGCCGCCAGCAGAGCTGGTCAGACGGAAGCAGGATCCACAGGAAGAGCGCCCCTCTTTTACTTTCTGCTTGCAGCTTTGTGTCCTCTTACATGACGTTCAACCAGAAGACGTCCTCGTCTTTCAAGGTTTACCAAATCGATCGGGAAAAGTTTCCCGACTTTGGCAGCAGCTATCCGTCTGGATTTGCCGGGCTTCTTATCCGGCTTCCCCTCGGCTGTGGATCATGCTCCGTCTCTGACGCCGATCTTTTCGTACGAGTTTCTTCCGAAGTGGCTAGCGAAGGTCCCTTCCCCATGCGCACGGGATATCTTACTCAGTTTTCCTGATCAACCATTCTATGTGGCCCAGCAAAAGTAATTGCGTTTGTGTAAAAAAAGCTCGTATTATCTGCTCCTTGGCAGGTCGCCCAGCAATTCAATCGTGTCATTCATCTGGACTGGACCCGCGCCCTGGAGCCCCTTGAGTGGGGCGAAAAATGGACCATGCCCAAGGACGAACCGCCGGAGACGTTCCCGTTCGGAGAGTAGCGCCAATGAGTCACGGATTCACCCCGATGGCAAACCGGGGCCCTTCTGTGCATGCTCAATAATTACTGACTGCTGAAGATGCGCAAGAAAGTCCGGGATCGTAGTGTCCAATTAGGTACACTAAGTCACGATGAATTTATCACCTGCTTGGTAGGAAAGCGGTGTAACGCTAACTGAGGTCACAAGGGTAAGTGCATGAAATATGGTCTGGTTCAAGCCCTAGCACCATGTAGGTACTGATCAGCGGGTCTGCTGATTACAAGAAATGGCCATGATCTTTTTCTTGCTTCAGCCTTCAGGGTTCAGAACCTTGTCGACTCTGACACAAAGAAGTTACGTGCTTGTATTCTGACTTGATCTCAGGGACGTGTCCTCGTGGACTAGCTAGCGACTGCCGTTGGAACGTATGATCCCTGTATGATCACTCTTCGTGGTCAAAGGAAGAATTTCGTAAGTCGGGCCCGCCAGCGAGTCGATTGTTTCAACGATGACGGGCCAGATATTGTTCGCGCCGCCGCGCCACACATGTGCCAATGTCACTGCAGATTACTGCCATATGAATGATCTGCTGTATGCGTGGATAGCGGTTGGTTTTTGGTCCGTTGCATTGTGCGGACACGTCAAGTTGCTGAATCGTGCATGGCTAGCATAGTACGAGCCGACTAGGAATAATGAATGCTGGCTCTCGAACGCGAAGCAAAAGTCTGAATGTTTGGGGTTTTCGTTGATGAACAAGCAACCTCAGCTTCGTACGAACACGGCCCCATCAAGAAAAGTAAGATAACCTGCGCGCACTGGAAATCCAAAGCGAGCTCATCTTCCTCGTCAGAACAAAAAACTCAACGACCAGGCTAAGCAACGTTACCAGGCACTCAATCGTAGGCTTGCAGCCGATGATTACCGCTTGAAAAGTTCGTACAGACCCTGAGGGATGTCGGAGGGCATAACATGGTAGACCTGATCGAACAGATTCGTTTCCACGACAGATGAGCCGATGCCTACACCCTATGAGCTGGCTGATGTGCTTCGCATATGCGCAGTTCTTAGAAAGCTTGGAGAACTCGACCAGCGCAACGCTGAGCCGCTCAAAACATTTCGAGGATTCTAGCCAGAGAATAAGGCTGGCCCCATCATCGAGATAGTTTGGCTCCTTGCTGGTGAGCTCAACTGGGTTTCCCACCACCAAGGACCAGGTACATTTCGACATTTGAACCTTTTGATTTGGTCTTGCGCCTCTCTTGTTGCAGTCTCGTCTCTATGATGCACCCCCCCATCAGGTGGATCTCAATATAGTTCAATTCTCCGCACTGCCACTAGCACTGAGCGAATCGATTCACACGAACTTTACATGGTGCAGAAATGAAAGAGTTCAAAGCACTTCGGTTGATGACTGGGATTAGTGGTTCCATAGAACGGGCCTGCACAGTGAGGCGGAAGCCTTGCAAGCGGCCAACTTAGGCATGCCCAGATGCCCACTCTTCGCGTACGATTGCCCCACCAATGTACTGGTCATGTAGCAGCAAGTCTTCAGCAAGTGATTACACGCATGGGAAGCCTTGCGTCGAGCTAAGAAACATCTCATCAGAAGAGCCAGAATTTGAGATTCGGAAGGGTTGAAGCATGGCCTGGGTAATCAAGTTCAGCAATCTCGGGTACCATGGACACTTCTCTTATAGCCCGTGCGCATCAAAGGCATGGGGCGTGCGACAATACATTGGCAAAACATATGCCAAGTTCGCAAGGAGACATACCTACAAACAACGCTAACGATCCAAAGCTAACCACTACATCCAGGTTCGGGACATGCTGCATCAAAACGGTTCCTACCATCAGGTACCATCATACCAACTCGTCCATTGAATGCATATGTGATCAGAAGCTAGCTGTATGAAAGAAATTCGATGACATATCTGCACATATTTTGAATATAACGCTATTTTCTACGAGCACTATCTCCGCGTTAAAAATCGCCCTATACACTCTGTAGTCGCTTTGCAAATATACTACCATTGCATAAATTGCCTGTTGCACATGGTTAAAAGCGCACACCTCGAGCAGTCCGGATAAATTTCCGTCAACTGTGGCGAAGTGTGAAGGCCTTTCCTGGGCCTTCAAGTCGATCTGTCATTCACTAGAAATTGGAAGAATTTTGGAAGAGAGGTGTCTGATACAAGCCTTTGTTGCGCCCATGTCGTCCCTCCTGCGAAGAACGCCGGCCAATTGGCAGCATTGGACGAGGTTAGAAGCGGGCAGTCATGCCAATGCCAGGGAATGCTGTCCTTGTACTCAACGAAAACAGATTGGTGCTCGACCAGTTGACCCCGTTGGCGGTCAGCGGTGTTGCCTGCAAAGCCCCAGACTTTCCATGCAGCTTCCCTGGTGTAGGAAAGAGGACAAGGTCATCAGGAAAGCTTCAATTGATAGACTGAAGCTGAGTCCTGGGGATGGGCGGTGTCGAGAAAGATGCAAGTGTAGCCACCAGAATGCTCTATTCTGCTTGGAGCACAACAAAGAGCAGTCTCAGAAACAACATGATTCCATGCTGGGGCTTCGGAACCTGCAAACTTTGAGCAAAAGGCAGCTAATGCTGACCCTTGGGGCTAGCATCCTATCGCTGGTGGCGGCAGGATCTTCTGAAGCTGAACCAGAGGAAGAGAAGCAGCCGGCAGAAGTGATTCGGGAGCGCAATGCTGAGAAAGTCCGTAAAGAGGTTGGCAGCCAAGACCTGCTGGTCGACTACACAAAAGCAGGGCCATATGACATCAGAACGCTGCCGACAGTTCTTGAGCACACCTGCGCCAATTGCTACCCTCAATGTGTTGATGGTGAGCCAAGTGGCTGCTTCTTTCCTGTGTACGTGCACTGGTGTAAAGAAAAGTACTGCCCATATCAAAGGCTTCAGTTGCTTTCATCAGGTCATTTTGGTTCTGGTTTGCAGGCAGGTGGGACAGGTATCACGTAGGAATATCTCAGCCCCTGAACTTTTGGTGTTTGTGAAAGCTTGAGAAAAGGGAGTATCAGAAAGCGGGCTTACCACCACCACTGATGCTAGTCACAAGCACAAGCTTGCAATTGCTTCCACTTGAGCTTCACCTTATGCAAGAGAGGCAGAACAGTAACTCGGTGATTAAGCAATGTGCAGGGGGGTGCTTGCTGCGGATCAAGGTCACTTACCCAGGCAATGGGCGCTCAGGACATGAAGTGAGCGCGCCGGACAGTTCAAGCTTTGTACTTGTACAACAACGTTTGTACAACGCAGTCAGCTTGAGAAGTATTATATGATGGAGAGCATGTCAGTGGAGGGGCTAGTGGTAAATGACTTTTCCTTGGGAAGATATGCTTCAATATACTTTCTGGTGGCTGTCAACCTCATCCTGACACTTAATGAGGCTTCTAATGCTCATCTTTCCAGCTCCATATAGGAAGCTGAGGAAACGCAAGGAAACACCGAGGAACATCAATATGCGTCTCACTTATGAAAGGAGGTTCCTCGCAGTTTTTTAGGACCTGGTTTGCATCAAGCGCCAAGCCCATGCCCCTGCTTCATAAGGGTCACCCTACAAAGTCAGTTCTGATCAGTCACGGTGAAATGACTGTCTTACTAAAGTTTTGGAATTTTGAAGCACAGTCTTGGTAAACGCTCATCTGACATTGGCATCATCCCCCCCTTTCGTAGACTGCACAGCACGAAATTAAAACTTCTCCCTTTGCATGCAGCCATACCCCCTTGCCATTTTCTCAGGCGGTTTCCTTGTCAGTTCCGACCAGTACCAGAGCTACGCAGACAGACTGGCCAGCTGGGGCTATGTCGTACTGACCTACAACAAGGTACCCTGCTCGTTCGGTGTTACTTTGTTACTCTGAGTGTCTTCCCTTTCTCTCCTGCATATCCTCTCACATCGCAATGTGAATTGAAGATGCCCTTCTGTACATGGAACCTCGCGGTTCAAAGAAAGAAATCAAATTTCGTCCGGTTTTTTCCGAGTCTTCCGAAGTTGCCCCTCCATTTGGTATTGGCGTGCGGTGATGTCGTCAGCCACGGCCTCAACGCTTCTCCTGGTTTTCTCGTCCACGGAGCGCATCTTGCAACGTCTCTTCATCGCTTGCATCACGGTCTCTGCTGGCACGAATGTAAAGACTTTTCCGCCTGTGAAGCGTGACTTGAAAACAATAGAGACTGCTGTGATGATCAGCCCCAGCAGTGAGTGATCCGAGTGTGCCGTGAAGTTTCCGTCTTCGTTTCTAATCGGAGTATTTCATCAGCCATGCTTTTGAATGTATGCAGGCCGAAGGGCTGACTGGCCCCTTGGATGACGTTCTCTCCGCTCGCTTCATCAGTGAGCTCATAACCTGGGCCGAGCAGAGGTCAGCTGTCGACACCATTCCGCTTTTGTACCTCTTCTCCGTCTCATAGGAAGTTCTTATTACGAAGGAAAACACGAAACTGGTTCTACTATTCTACTGAGGTTTCATCTACGACCTTCTATTCGATAGGAAAATTTGAACGTCCTGGTTCGAGATGGTAAGCAGGAAAAGAAGAAACTGGTGTGTCTTAGTTGCTGTGAATGTTGCCTTTGGAAAGAAAAGCAGAAATATCAAAGTAGACGTCAGGTCCTTCTCGAGGCGTTTAGGTCTCCAACCTTTGCAATATTGGGTCAAGGGTAGGATCCAAGATGCAGTAAACGACCTTGTAAATCAACCGGCAACTTTCTCTTGTTGCGGCAACAATTGCACCGGTCAGCTTATGCCCACAAGCACAGTCCGAGTTGCCAAGGCGCTCCTTAGGTTCTGCGTCGACCGAAAACTGCTAGGCTCGCCAGCTTCGCATCCCCAGTCCGCGTACACCTTTGTACACTACCGCTCCAGCTGAGACCTGTACTAGGTCTGTACATTTAATACCACGTGATCGAAGCAAGCGTTCTCATTGGCCCTGACAGGCGAAGGGAACAATTCTGAGATGGCCGAAACGCTGTCACAGCCGTCCGATCTTCACCTAATGAAGCCAGTCTGAAAGTGCATTTGGGCGTTAGGTGTTAGCGACCAGGACCAGACTCGTAAGCTTGACCCCCGCTCTTGGGCTGGAAAGAGCAGGTCGGAGCCGTCAATCTGTTGACGTTGACAAGATGGACGATAGCGACAGCCTCGCCGCTTGTCCCTCAGCCATTTGGAAATTGTGCGTTCCGCCTGCTGAGGACCGCAGATGAGCGCTCACCCGTATCGGTCGACGGGGAACCTTAAGACATTGACACTTTGTCGGCTTTTCTCCGCCTGCAGTCGCATCCTCAAGTCCAAGATTGACACCAGGCGGGTCTATCTCTGCGGACACTCCAGAGGCGGTGAGCCACGTCACTCGGCACTCACGTTCATTCCCGAGGTTCTCTGGCCGACTGAATCATTCCAAAAGATGTGGACACTGTCTGCAGAATTAGTCAAGCTGTGCGGCGCCGTCGTAAGCTGCCCACTTTGCATGACGGAGAGCTTGCTCGAGCAAGGGGGATTTATGGAGTTCAAGGCCTTGTGACCTCGAGGAAGCAATGGCTCGTTGGTACGTCCGGCATCTTTGCGGACTGTAACGTCCGCAGTCCCGCATGAACCATTGTTGAGGAAGATTTGGTGATTTTGTTGGCGCATTTGCCCGCCTTGCTGGTTCTTAGTACTTTTGGTTTTCTAAATAGATTCAAATTGGAGGGTCGCGGCCCCTCGTGATTGGTATCCCCTTGTTGCATCCCCTCCGTCTCCTTATTACCTCGTCTGGGACTTGCATCCTATGTCAGCTTCAATTTTAGAAAAGGTCTCCCGCTGAATCGCCAGACGAGAGATTGCTATTCATTGTGACGTCAGCATCGTTGTGTCACAGGTAAGATCAGCGTGCTCGCGGCCGCACAGGATCAACGGGTGGCTGCGCTGTGCCTGCTGGACCCGGTCGACAACACGGGTACGTATCCCTTGGTGGAAGAAGTCAGCCAGATTTAGAGAATGACGTCAGCCAGATTCTGTGGATGACATCAGCACACAAAAGTCTTATTTCGAACAGCTAGTATGTTGCAATAAGCGCCGGCCAGGCTATCGGAACATACACAACGCGCGTACCAATGAGCTACCTTTAATAGGGTTTCGTACAGTGGACGCCACAAGGCGCACAATGACATGGCTTTGTAAAACGGAAACCCGCGATTATTTCCACTGCCAGCGGACGTCCTCTCGACTTTTCGCTGTCCAGTTCCATTCATTCCGCACTAACTCTTCGACTGCGCTCACTGGAAGATCACCCTGGCCTCCCGTGCCTTTCGGTCGATGAAATGCCAGCATCGTGCTTGCAAAAGGACTTTTACGCTTCGTGGTTTGGCGGCACTTCATGGACGATCGACGTCGATCCTGAAAAGAGAGGGACAAAAGCTTCTGCCATCTTTCTGAATGAGTCCTTCACTTCGTTATATGCTCCCCGTGCAGTATACGCTCCCCTCGCCCCCGGCTATCCGTCCGCTGTGGCTGCCCTGCGAGTCGGCCGGGACGGAACGGAATCCATCCGAGGCCCAGCGGGGCCCAAGACGGTGCTCGTCAAGGGGCGGTACCTCGCCGCCTCGCTGCCGATTGCCATCGTAGGGGGGGCGTTTGGGGGCGACTGCGCACCCCCTGACGCGAACTACCGGTGAGGCGTGTTTCAAGACCGGTTTCAGGATGCTTTCAGAGACACCAGGGCTGACTTCGTAGGCTGCCAAAGTTTGAGAGTTGCGGATGCGGATGCCGTGTGGATAACTGGCAACAAGAGGACGACTTCAGCAGCTCGAAGTCGTAGCCAAGCTTGTTGACAGCCAACGTCAACCGCAGCCCTGCGATTGGTGCGCTAGAGGGGCACGAAACACAATCAAGCTCCAAGCGACGCACCGCAGATTCTATGCGATTTTCGTGGAAGCCCTTCACGCGTTTTTTCGTTCCTTGTTCTATAGATTGTCTGGTTGTATCGGTCTCGCCTGACGCCTCGCCGCAACCCAATTCAGAAGAAAGAGCGCATGTAAGCGTTTGTGACTCCTTCCAGACAGCAATGACATCCCCCTTCGTCTCTAAACCCTGTGCACGTCCTGCAGGCAATTCTACAACGCCAGCTCGTCGCCCTCTTGGGAGGTGGTCATTCGAGAGGCCGGGCACTTCCAGTTCGTCGACAACGCATCAACCCTTCAGGTACACAATCTCGAACTTTGTTTTGAGCAGCTTCCGTTCAGATTGCTTGTCTGTTTAGTCCCTGCTTAGCTCCTCACGGTCGTTCTATCGAACGGGGCGGCTTGATGGTGGACCCCAGTGCTTCGTCGATTCGGCAGCGCGCTCCGTTTCTGACTCTCACATTGATCCCGCACCGACTCCCGCATGGTTGCTGCTCTCTTCAGAAGATTCGTTGGTTCCGTTTTTCTCGCGGCTGCTGGCTTCGGTACGGGTCCCACACCTGGCGCTTGGTCTCGTTTACGTCCTTCATCTGCAAAGGGTGCCGAACCTTTCCATCAACGATTCCCGCGGCTTGTTCACAAAGCAAAGGTTTCGTGCCAGTCGGTGTTGGTCACATCCCCAGCGATCCGGTGTTTCAAGCGTCGAGTAAACCTGAGATTCAACAAACGGACTGACTGTCGAAGTCGGGTTCGCATCCTGTCGCTGCGTGTGTAGCACCTCATCGATCAGCTTCTTTGAGGCTCAGGGTCTCCAGGGGGTAATGAGGATCACTGAGTTGAGGTTACGGTTCGAACCTGAGGGGAACTATGTAGGATTTTATCAAGGTTGCTCGCTAGGCTTTTCTCACTCGGATCTGCGTACCTCTTTCAGGATGCCGTTTGCGGGTCTGGCCGGGTCGACAGCAAGGTCGTGAACGACGTTTCCAAGGCCGTGATGGTGACGTGGGCTGAGCTCATGATCCGGGGGAAGCGGGCAACGCGGCGGGACGCTTCGCCGAGCCGCTCGTCAGAGGCGCCTCCGGATTCGGTAGATGCTTTGAGTGGATTTCCAGCAACTTCCACGAGTGGTCCGAGAATGACGAGAAGAGATCAGGACAGCATAGCGAGTGCGTCTCCGGACGTCCGATCTGGATCACTAGACGACGCCCGGTCCAAGGAAAGTAGACAGAGTAGCGACTCGTCTGCAAGTGGCTCGGGCAAAGTTTCGTCGTCGAAAGAGGCAGGACAAGCGGCAGTTCAGAAAGCGAGCGGAGGAGATTTGTCAATACCGAAAAGAGCACTGGCCGGGGCAGCGTCTCCGGCCGGTGCCCTCGAGGCTAGTGTACGAGAATCAGCACCCGGAAGTGTCGATCGGGGCACGGAGAACGGGGCGCTAATAGGTGGTCTGATCAAGGATTGGGTCGAAGATCACAAAGGAGAGGAGGCTGCACTATTTGGCAGTCGGATATGGTCGGTTGCAGAAGCTGTGGAGGCGATCACGAAAGTGGTAAGACAACGTGCAATGGTCAGCTCCCAACTTCGTCTCTAAGGGTAAGACGTTGATACGCACGCCAATCCGATCATGCAATTCATAATGCTCTCAAGCGTAAGTAGGCAAGTATTTTTCCTCGTTTTCCTTGTCGAGCACGGAAGATGTTGCTTACCATTCGCTAGCTCGATCAGGATGCCTATGCAACGCTTCCCAAGCCACTGCACTTGTTTCTGCGAAGTCAAACACGGATGACATGGTCCTATGCAAGGTCGAATAAGCTGAATTACTTGTGCAGAACGCGTCTACACCATGGCCGGACTGAACAAATTTTGTTCTAAGAGCATCAGACGATTGCATGGTCAAGCCGCATTGAGCTTTGCAGCAGTGACTGCACCCGGCCTGCCCCACGTTCTGCAGATTGACCCTAGCCGTAAGAAATATATCATCGCAAGCCGCGCAATCAACTCAGATGACAATCAATGATAGTAGTAATCTAGCATGACATAAAACCACCATATATTAGCTCCTGCATGTTTTGCCGAACTAAAATATATGTCTGGTTAATTTTTTGTATATATGCATCTCGATCGAGAGTCATGCATACTACTTGTACAAGCTGTACGTGTTAATCTATGTCATAGACTAGCTCTCAGATTGGCAGAATTTTCATGGGCAGTTCAGCTAAGAGCCGAAACATTGAGTAACTTAGCAAACGAGGGCCCGGCGATGACCTAGGCTCGATGCATGCGCGGACATACCTATGCATGTCCGGGCGGATCACAACAATTACCCATTGAAAGCTGCCTGCCTAGCTGGCCCGCCCTGAGACGGTGCCATGATTGGATGTAGTTCATATCGACTGGTACAAGAAACAAATTGCACGCCATAAATCGGTCCGCGCGCGAAACGACCTGGCGTGCACTGCATAGTCTCTTAATTACGGTATCCTGGCCGTCTTCTCGTAAGTTCAGGCTGGTACGGTCGGTATGTTGTTATGCTGTTGATTTGGAAAGGACGTGCCAACTGCTTGCCAGATTGCCAATCATCCAAGTCGATGATGAGTGCGTTTGGGTGCTTGAAATGCGTCACCTCAACCAGTTTCAAGTGGCGAATCTGAGCATTCCCCGCGCCAACTGCTGCCCCGATTGTTACTAATCTCTCGGCCAATCTACAGGGCCGTTTAACACCGTTAGCCAGCTCCCACGCGCGGCAGCAAATGGATATTGTGTCTGCTGCGGCATACTGTTTGCCCACCGGCACTGTTTGCTAGCATGCGTAGGGCACACTGGGGCCTTACAGGCAATAGCTGGTTGGCCTGAATCGATTGTGTTTAAGGCTAAGCTACACAAACGTTAGCCGGTCAAACCTATTTTTTGGAGCTAGTGTGCTTTTGCCAGTTCCTTTTCATGAACTGCTTTTGGACCCCGATGCCCCCACTCGACACTCCCGCTTATGCCCCGCTTTCCAGGCCGTTGCCTGGCAGTCCCTGCTACAGTACTTGAACCGTACACTGTTGCACCTGGCGCATTTCCGCAAGGGACCTCCCCCTTCCCACTCGAGATCACCGCAGACTTGACAAGCATCTGAAGTTGTTTCCTCCCTGGCCCTTGAAACCCGGCGCACTGTGGCACATGAGTTGCATAACCTGCGCGTTGGCATTCTTTGTTGCAGAACAATGTGACGCTCGTATGCACGCACTCACGGCAATGTCGCCGCTCTGTTTTTTCCTCGCTCTCTGTCTGGCCGCAATTGGCACAATTTTTCAGCACGGACGCCACAAGGAAGCTTGGCGACTTGAGCACTTTCTTCGTGTGAGTGTCAGCCCAGTACGCTAAGTCCAGTAGTAACATGTAGACGCGTGTGTTGGCAAGCTCGTAAACATCTGCTCGCAGAGCAAATCCTTTCGCCGCAAACGCCTCTATAATTTCCCGAAGCCATCCGTCCTTCCAAGTGACACATTGTCCAGTCTCCCAAACACCCTCGAAATCCGCCAGCACGACAAACTCGTCTGGGTTCGGTTTGAAGGAGTTGTTGGTCGTCAGCAAGTTCTCAGCCATCAGTCTGGCATGCTGCACGTCATCTTCTAGCTCGCTGTGTATCCACTTTTCGTAAAGAGCGATCAATGACCCCTCCCCATTTGACACCAGGTCCTCGACGTTTACTTCCGGCAACAGTAGGATGCCAAAGTCCTTCGCCTGCCCATTTGGCTTGTCAGTCCTGCTTCCAGGCAGGTACTCTACAATTGCTTCCAGATAGTCTCTTTTTGCGCTGAAACTTAGGCCTGTCCACATTTGCGTGAAGCCCTCAGAATGCTCCTGCCAGAATCTTTTTAACTTGCTTTTAAAGCTTCTACTTGCAACAACCATTCGCGCATTGCCTAAAAGAACGCAGGGGGGGCCGCTCTCAGCTGAATGCTTCGTAGCTGCCTCAGCGCAGGGCCCGACGTTGCCACTCGCTGGCGTGCCTTCTGCCATTGCTTAGGCTTCAAGGTTTCACACGCACACAACGACACAAGGTTGTTCTTATCCAAGTTTCTTATAGTATTATACACGCTATTCCCAGCCAACGACGATGGTAAATGGACATTGATGTCAACAACTGAAATGATCAAGACTCGAGAGTTTAACCATGATGGAGTCAAGAAGTGCTGCCGCTCGAGTTTGTTGACGTCAACAGCAAACACGTGGACCAGGATTCTGGCCAACATAGAACCAATGCATGCGCTGCTTTTCTCCACATGGGACACACATGTAAGAAAAGCTCGAAACGGGGGTCTTCATGACGTCAGCAAGCAGCACTAAACCTGAGCGACGGAAACATGGCATTCTTTGCCAATGAGACTCGGAGTCGGAGGGAGTTGAAAGTCGTTTTGCGCAGGCAAAGTGGTATGTAGGTAACACGAAGCGACGTGACTGCTATGTGAATCTGTTGGTGCGACTCACAGGCTTTGCAAGAACCTTCTGCACGCCGCGTACCTAGTATCCAATGAGAGGCGTTTTAGAGGACTTGGCCTTTGTCTCAAGGGAACTCTTGTCTTCACAAAATCGGAGTGTACTGGTGCTCTCTTTGGAGGAAGCAGCACAATTTGTCTTGAGTTTGTGAAAGAACGGTTTAAATGAAGGCATGCAGCTAGATAACAGAGAATTTTGGACGCACGCATTGATGGAAGCAGGGAAGGGCGGTTGAAAGGAGATATATTGCCTGGGGAAGGCGTGCACAAAGAGTTGGCAACCATGTTCAGTAACCTTTTGTCTTTGAAGAAGGCCTCTGTGCCAGGTCCTGAGCCTGCTCGGAATGTCAACCTGGTGCAGGAAAATCCTATCTTAGGTCAGTGCATTATTGGAGGCATGGTTATGGAATTGAAGTTTCTCCTGATTCACTGGTTGCTGGAATATATTGTGCTTCAATGCATGGGTTCAATCGCTTAGTGCTCTTCCTTGAACTTAAGGTTCTGTATTGGGACTTATGGGGATGTTCTTTGTCAGAAGACGAGTCAATTGCATGCTCGTTCCCTTTGCAGCCATTCTGAAGGTACTGGTCGACCGCCTCAACGACCCTTCAGTGGAAGTTGGAGAAGCAAGCGCAAGAGCTTTGAAGAACAATGCCCCCAGGCAAGTTCCCAGTAGCAGTTCCTGGCTGGAGTGGCAAACATTGCATCAACCACTGATCACAACTGTCTCAAGCCTGATTGTGACAGTTTTGATTGGAAACATTTTGCAAGCGTTGATGATATGTTAAATCTTCGAGCGGACAGTCACAGGGTTCATCTAAGTTGATGCCAGAACTTGTCGATGATGCCGAGCATTTGATTGAAAGTGTTCTGTGTTGAAGTGCATGCTTGAGCCTTTCTGCAGACATGCGGAGCTCATCATTGATTGCTGTATCATGGCCGTGAAGCCTGCAACAAAGGTGAGCAAATCAGATTCTTCAGTACGTGTTGTGTGCCACACAGCTCATCATGATCCACCTATCCTTTAGCCCACACTGCTGGACGTCCAGTCTATCACAAACATTGTGGAAGCAGGACTTTTTGGACGTATTGGAGGCCCAGCTAACCAAGTGGCGCTCATGCTCTTGGAAAGACACTAGGCTGAGCAGCCCTGGTGAAAGAAAGTTTCAAAGATCTGCAGTCATGTTCCAAGACAGACGAAGCCCCATCAATTGCATGATGTTCATCCGCTGTGTCACTAATGGAGTCACTCGGACAGAAGTAAAGAGAAACAAGGAGACTATCCCATCCCTGGGCTCTTTTTGTCGCAGCAGCGTGGAGATTCTGGCCCGCTTCCTGTACTGGCAATGCAAGTCATGGCGCACGCGGTTAAAGTCGCCAATGAGAATGTACTGGAGGCGGCTTTGATGAGAGACATCGTCCATGTGGCGTTGACAGGATTGGCTGCGGCCAGGGTGAGTGATTCTTTGTTGGTTTCCAGGTCTTGCAAGGAATTTTGATTCCTGTCAGGCTGTTTGTCTGTGATGACCGAGTCCTACGGCGGCCGAAAAGCCAGCCTGGGCAACACTGAAGGGCTGTCTGTATTCATGCTTCAGTGCTGAGATTGATGACTTGGCAGGGGCTCCCGAAACCATTCTGGCCGTTAGTCATTGATCTCGTCTGGCCTTTTTTCCATAAATGATCGCGGTCTCCATGTCGAATCTGAATCGCTGTGTCAGCATATGTCAAAATGCTGAAATTGTTTGACCTTTCCTCAAAGGACGTTTCATGCTCTCGTTTCTGCGATAAACACTTCACTTGTTAGTTCTATCAGACTTTCCTCGATCCTTGAAAACCGATAGACTGAGGCTTTTCGTCACTTCTACTTCCTCAGGCACTTGGTTCGCCGGAGCAAAGTGCAGCTTCAGACGTCCTTGTTGCTGTTGGTACACGCATGCCAGACGTGGTAGGTGCTGACAATCGCTCATAGCTTGAAAGAGACCCTCTGATTACGTGTTGAATCCAATTGTTGCAGCAATTCTGCATTTAGATCCAGCTCTATGACTGGTGGAGAAGCTCACGCCTTCACACAACATGCAAAAGTCTTCACAATCTTATTCCTGTTGGTTGTGGAATTCCGTTGCCACCTCTGTCTTTATTCAAATGACTTTGATTGATAGAAAATCTTTAAAAAGGACCTCAACAGTGACCGGAAGCCTTTCTTCGGCTTTTGTCACCAGAAATCGTTCAGGCATTATCAGAGCCCCATCTGCTCGTTTTGCAGATGTTTGACGATGTGATGGTGCAACTGAGAAAGGGTGCAGTCCCCATGCTGTTTGTTGCGACCATGTTTGCAGAGTTCGCTGAAGCAGACGGTAAGAGCCAAGTACTTAGCCTCGTTTGTACGCGATTCTTGGCAAGTATCTGGAGCACTGACAAGATGTCGTATCAGAGCTTTATAAGAGACTCTTCATTGCCGGCTGCAGGAATCATTCATTCAGACTGTTGTGCTTCGAAGAGTCATTTTTCTGCAGTGTGCACGGACCTGTTGTAATCTGTTCGACAGGGCGGATTCGAACCGAAGTCGTAGGAGCAAAGGTCATTAATTTTTCTTGAGGCTTACAGAGATTCATTCAACCTGCCTCAGATTGTAGATCTAAGTGAATGTCGATGTTTCAATCGGGCCAAACAAGCCATCTGCTGGAGACTACTGATTGAAGCTTTTCACAACGTGGGCACACATTAACAGAAATTCTTGCTGGTTTTCATTCCGCAGCCGCTCGTTTCGTCCCCCGGGTGAAAGCGGTCTTTGCAAGGATTATCCCCGCGCTTGGAGGCATCCGAGATCAGCAGCGGATTGCTTATGCCCAAGGTATGCAACCGTGCTGAACGGCTGACTATTACATATTTGGAGTTTGTACGTGTGTGCCATTGAGATTACGCTGATTACATTAAAGTACGCCCGTGCAAACGCAGAGAGGAGCTTAAGGGACCTATCAGAGTTTGGTTGGTTCCGAATCGCTTATTTTCTTCGACATGTCATGAGCGAACCCTAAGCGCACTCCTTTCCGTGGTTACTTCAAAATACATCTCTGCATCTCCGCACTGACTATCATCGTGGAACGATTCTGTTTGCAGCACTTACTGCCTGGTGTGGAGCGATCACGCACTACCAACACGACATACACCCAGAATGGAAGATGGACGCTGAAACTCGGTGAGGTTAACGTCCCTTTGTTTAACTGCAAAAGAGGTTCTATTACCTCTTGACAGTCGTGGAGTGGTGTTTGCTGGAGAGGCACTTCTGACTTGGACGCTTCAATCTTCTCTAGCCATAGTCTGTCGATTCCAGTTGCAATTGTAAAAGACTTGACTTCATATCATAGTTTTGCGGTAGAGTTACAACGTTACCCTCACCTGTCTGTTTGATCTTGATGCAGTGCCTTCATCTTTTCAGCCTTTGAGCTCCTGCAGTACTACTGGCTGCGAGCAAACGAGCCTCAGGTGAGCCGAACAACGAAGCTGGACACGATCCAGATGTTCTGCAATCGAGGAAGCAATAATCCAGGAGGTTTGGATTTCTAATTTTGATTCGCTTTAAAGCTCGACATGCTCGGAGGTCTTCTAAAGATATGACGTTCACTCGAATGTCCAGGTGGTAAAGATCCAGGCAACTTTTTTCATGGAAGCCCTGTGCAATACGTGCAGGGTTGGATAGCAATTGCTAGAATCAATCGACTTTGCCTCTCCTTTGCAGGTCAGAGGGGCGACCGTGGAAGCTCTCGGCGAAATGTGTGCACTCATTGGTCGCAAGGAACTGAAGAAGTCAATCCACAAGTTGCTCAACGCACTGCTTTCATTGTAAGTCCTCTGTGTCCTTATAGAGCGGACTTGGGCTTACAAATGGGCAGGCAGAACAGTGCAAAAGTCCGACGCTTTGAACGAGTCAATCCCTTGAAAGCAGCTTTGCTGAACGACCAGATATTTACCTTGCGGTTGAGAAACTGCCGTAAAGCACAATGTAAATGGGGTGTGCGAAGAGTTTGGTTCCTTCGCTGCCCCCAACCTTGTTGCTTCATGTAGACCCAGTAGAGGACGTTTCTCTCGCTTCTTCCGAGCCCCGACGATCCAAAGCCCTCATTGCCGGCAGCACTTCGTGTATAGGTACTCGAATCACGAGGACGATCCTCTGCCGGTCTCGAGGGCCATCCACAGCGTCCTAGCTGCAGCGTTGAGCGAGGCTGACTCCCCGCGCTTGCTTGATTACCAGGTAGGACGCTCTGCATGTAAGCAAAGGCTCCAACGCTTTTTCCGCGATCGCGTCTGTTGCTCGCTCGATCAGAGCTGGTACCTGCACGTCCGCTTCCCTAAGCTAGAAATCATCCGTTCTTCCGAAGATGTAAAGTGACATCGTAATGATGGCTACACACCTGAGAGTTCGTCGAAGTAATGCTTGCGGAAGGTGAACCGACCGTTTACTTGCATCTTCGCACAGGCTGTCGTGTACACCCTTACGACCCTCCTCCCCATGGCAGCGGCCAGAGGGGGCAGTAGCCCACACGTGAGCGCCACCTTGAAAAACACCCACGAGGTCCTGCGCAGCTTCGATGTCGTCGCGCAAGCGTTCCCGGAGGAAGTGTGCGGCTTCTTGCTCCAGGTAAGCATTGTCGCTGCCACGGATTTATCGTACTTTCTGGTTGAAATTGAGACCCCATGGAGCATGGTTCCCTGTTATGGGAAACTGCGCTATGTGCTCTTTCTTTTCGATGATTTTTTGTTGCATTCTGGATGATGAGGGTGTTTGTTGCTGTGTTGCAGCGCCTTGACAACCGGGACGAGATGATCAAACTCGGTGCCCTCGAACTTGTCCGGCATCTCCTGCCAAGGTGAGCCTGGAGATCGTTAGGAGGCTGTGGTTGTTCGCTCACATGTTTACGTACAGCCAGGAGAAGTACTGGCTCGAAGTCTGTCACCTCTGCCGGTACAGGCCGAGAATCTGCGAAAGACGTCGATAAGGGCGTTCTTAGTCGAAGGATGACACATTGGATGCACTTGCTGAGACCCTCTTCCTTGCAGGTTGACTGACAAGTGGCAGAACAAGAAGACAGGTTTGAGAGAAAAGCTGGGTGGCCTCTTGAAAGAGTTGAGCTTGGAGGTTCGCAAAGCGTTGGCCCAGGTGTGTCTCTGAAACTTTCGCAGTCAATGCAAAACCGTACAGGTTGTTGCAGTCCGCGAAATGAACAAGTGCCTGTCAAAGGTGCTCTTCTTGCTGCTGTGATTTATCCTGACTACAGGTCTCGGATAGCCTGCAGTATCATGCTTAAAGAAGGTAAGCAGATTGCAGTTCCTCGACAGTGTTCCCTTCCTTGTCATATGCGTCGGACTCGCAATCTTATTTCAAAGGTGAACTTTCTCTGGCAGGAAAGCTGCTCACCGTGTTCTTCACTGCTGCAGGTCGTACTAGTCGTCGCTGCGTCAAACTATCTCGATGTGGACAACGCAGAGCCGTTCATGGAGTTCCTTGTGCGCCAGTGCTCGTCAGAGGCCGTCTCGGAGAGCTCTACGTCAGGAAAGGTGGGTTTCCATTGAGCTACCATGAGTTGTATATGAGCCTTTATTGCCAACTGGGAATGTATGAGACAAACTTTTGAACGTGGACAAGCGCTGCCCATTCCTGGATTGCTCACTATCTTAGATTCGGAACTAGTCGGAACAGATCCTATTTTGTAAAGCTGGACAGTCCTTACAACGCCGTCACATTACCCCCACTCCTTCCCTTCGCATTTCCCGGTCGCTTAGCATACTGTGGAGAGAGTCTTTGTCGACTACCAAGGAGTCGCCTTCTTGCAGCATGTCATACGCTTGCTTAGATCAAGAGTCATTCTTTTCAGTCGCAGATGGCGCCCCCTGCCACGCCCTCCCTGGAGCTCCGCACCATATGCGAGAAGGGTCTCTTCCTCCTCGCGAGCACCGCCGTCAACGCCGAACCCTACCTGTGGCCCTACCTCCTCAAAACCCTCACCCCGCCCCAGTACACCCCCGCCGCAGCCACCGTCTGCCGCTGCATCGCCGAAATTGCTCGGCGTCGCACTGACGTCATCGCTCGAGATCTCGCCGTCCTGGGGGGGTCCTTCCCGACGCCCCAAGCCCTGCTGGCCAGGCTCGTGGTGCTGCTGGAGAGCCCCCTGGAGCGAGGCCGGCTCGGGGAGAGGGTGCTGAAAGTGCTGTACGGCCTGGCGCCCTTCTTCCACAAGAACGTGGTGCTGCTGTGGCGCGACGAGGTTCCCAAACTCACGGCGTTTTTGGAGCAAGGCGGGGAGGAGGACTGGTGGCAGGAGCAGTGGGAGGAGATGGTGCTCGACCTGCTGGGCGAGTCCCTCGAGGCAAGTAACGTCACTCAGTTCATCCCTACTTCCGGTATGGCGTAAAGATTTCCTCATTTTTGTGCCCTCTTTTCTGTGCCCTCACGTTTATGACAACTCCCAATTTGCATGGTGGTTCCGTGACCGACTGTCCATTACTAGCACTCTTGTGTCTACAGTCATTTGTGAGTCTTTCGCTTCTGCATGATTCGAACTTGCTCAAGCCCCCTCACGATTTTGTGACCGCTTTTTGTTTCCCCACGGCGCAGGTGATAGCAGACCAGGGTTGGACGCTCCTCCTCGGCTCCGCCTTTGAAGACCAGTTCCGGCTGTACGCCCCCTCGGGTACCCGCCACCCTTTCTGCTACCGCTGCATCGGGGTCGTCCTTCAAAAACTCTCCGACTCTAGTTACTGCTACCACAAGCTCGAGCAGCTCTACGCCCGTGCCGATCTCTCTCAACCCCTGCACCGCAAAAGCGTCGCCATGGCTGTTGGCCTTGCAGCAAACTCGCACCTGGAAACGGTCCTCGAGCTGCTGCGCAAAGTGTTCGCCCAGCAGAAGCGCAAGCTGCGCCCGTTTCTAGGGTTCCTTGGGTTTAGCTCCGCAAGCAAGCCAGAGGTCGAGCGCCACTTTGCATCGCTCGCGCTCATGTACGGGTACACCGCGTTTTACGCGCCTCCGACAGAGCTCCAAGGCCGGATCGACGCGCTCGTGGGGACCGGGTATTTTGCGGAGCTCCTGAAAGTGGACACGTGGGCGGCCAAGTATGCGGTCATTGCGGCAATCGACCTGCTGGCGCGGTCGGTGCAGGGGGCTGCGGACAGGGGCGTCCCGTTCCCCTTGAAGAAGAAGGAGGATCTGCTGACGCACGTGATGATGCTCATGGCCGGGTCGGGGTGGGCGAGCGAGCTCCTTGAAATACAGGTCAGTGCAAGAGTGGTCGGCCGCCAGTGATCTTGGAGATTTGGTTGCCGTGTCGCTGAGTCTTACCCCCAGTATTTCTGATTCCTAGAAACCCCTTGAGAATTTGCATGTCCAAGAAAAATGAAGCTTTTCGGGGCATGGGGAGGGCAATAGTTAGTTCTTTGAAAGACTTCGTCACGCGACTGGGCGTTTTGGCTTGCTTTCGTGGAAGCTTCCTTTCAATCACCAAGGGGGATGCACACTCAGAAAAGTAAGACATCAGCTCAGGCTTGATATCGGGTACAATGAGCCAATCCACCTTTAAAAGACGCTGTCCGTCTAGGGCTTTCTATTTTGCGCGCTGACATGGACTGACGAGATCTTACACCTGAAGAAAGGGCTTGCTGTAAACCTTTGGCATGAGGACGCCTGGATTCTCAGGTAGCTCGACAAGAAGTCTTGAATTGAGTCTTTGCGCAGAGGTAATTTTTTGTTACGATTGGTCGGAAGGTACTATCATGTTACTTCCTGCCAGCATCCTTTTACTCTACCTGTACTTCCTTTTGCAGAGTCGCGCCCTAGAAGCCTTCACCACCCTCATCTCGGTCGACCCCCCCGTGTCCCCCATTGCCCGCAACCGCCTCCTCGAGTCCGTCATCCACCTCTTCGCAGCTCCCCCAGAGCCGACACGTGTCATCACCCCACTCCTCTCAAGCCTCGTCACCCTCCTGATCACCATGCTGCGGGCAGCCGCAAGGGATCCCTCGGCGCAGGCAGAGCTTCTTGAGCTGCAGCTCTCGCAGCTGGACCGCTTCGTGACGTCGGCCGATGACGTCATTAGGGAGCGGGCGTGTGGGGCGGTGCTTTCGCTGCTTCAGGAGTACCGGGCCCTATTGTCGGCAGGCTCGTCCAGAAGTGAGGGCGCTGAGGGGTCTGGCACTGGTGAGTCGTCTCAGGAGCAGGGAACTGGGGCACCATGAGGTTGCTTTTCGGAACGTCGCTGAGATTGTTTGTCCGCAGGCAACAGCTGTCTATAAGGAACAAGAAGGAATTGTGTCAATCTAAAAAATGTCCTATCGGCTGCCCTTCATTTTTGCAATTGGCCGTCCACACTGCTTTCCGCAATCGAAGTCAAAAATGCATTCGCCCAAGTGTTGGGATTGTGATCTGCGCTGGCGTTCAACAGCCGTTCAGAGCTGTTTAGGAGCGGAAGCTTTCGTAAGTCAAGCCTAACCTCTGCTACGCTTACCCTGCACAATGATTCACAAATGGTTGCTTCCACTGAATAGCCGCTCAAGGTCCGCACGTGAGACTTTGGAAAGGTACAGAATGTTTAAACGTTCACAGAGGCGCGAAATTGCAATTGTCTGTCCAATCGTTCTTCCGCAGGCGGCTGCCGCAGCATTCTCCTCCTGGGCGAGCGCCTGGCGGTGTACCTGCCCCGCTGCACCGACCCGCTAGTCCACGTCAGGGAGCTTGCAGGCACCATTGTCGAAGAGCTCGCGAGCATCGCATCACTCCTTCCGGAACCACCCGGCCGTCCCGGCACTGACTCCACGCATGCAAGCAGCAGCAGTGTGCAAAGCACCTCCGCTTCCGCTTCACGTGGTGTGGAGTCGGGCTCGCGGGATGCGGCATTGGATGCACCAGAGGCCGTGACGTCAGGGCCTGAGGCAGCGACGTCAGGGTCGGGAGAGGGGAACGGAAGCACAGACGGATTGGAGCGGACGAGAAGCTCGGTTGGTCATCTAGTCAAGACGTTTGAGGAGGGTTCGTCGGACGGTCGAAAGAGTGGACCCCAAGAGAATTCGTGGGGGAGCATTGGAGGAAAACGAGCAGAAGGGGAGGTTGAAGGAGCAGGCAGCAGAGAAGAAGCCGGGGGTGAGAGTCGCAGAAACGTAGCCGTGGAGGAGAGACCGGTCGGAACTAGCTCCTCTTCCACGGGAGCAGGCGGGTTCCAACCGGGAGTCGGCGTAAGCACCAGAGAGCAGTCATGGATGAAGATCCGGGACCTCAAGGGTGGCCTCGCATCCCAGAAGGACCAGTACAAGGTGGTCGGGGACATCGTCCGGGCGCTGTGCGCGGACTTGTCGCACACGGAGGTGGTCTGTTTCCTGGTCAGCATGCGCATGGGGGAAACCCCCGAGGTCGCCCTGGGTGCCGCATGCGGGCTCGAAGAGATGGTGCGCTGCAGGGGGGGTCAGATCAGCCCGCAGAGCGCCCCCCTGATCGTAAAGAACCTGCTTGCAGCGGCAGGCGCAGCATCTGGACCGGCGAAGGAAGAGGTTCTGGGGGCGTTATCTGAAATGGCCAAGGGGGGCCATGCGGCTGTTGTTTACCGGGTGGCTTTGGAAGCGGCGAACGATCAGGAGGAAGAGCCGAAGCCGAGCATGTATGACCGGATGCTGAGGAGGGTCAGCCAGGAGGAGCGACACTCGCTGGACCTCCTGGAGGAGGTGTTCCAGGTAGGCCGCACTGGCTCGGGCTTGCAATGTGTGGGAGATTTTCTGCCCGCTAGAATTTGCCTGATAATATGGACGAATGGTTTCTTTGGAGGTCACTGTTTTGCTGCACTAAGCTATCCGACCTCAGAATGTTTTGCCGAGCATCTTGTTGCAGCTTGTGTCGGTGTATGCAAAGCTAAACCTCTTTACATTTGTCCCTTGACGATGCGCTGGTACCCCAGCTCACCTTCGTCTTCTTTTTACAAACAAGCCTCCCCAACTCCGCGATACACTGGATAGGGAGGCAACCTTTGGACGAAGTCTTTTTAATTTCATGTTGCAGGCTTTGGCGGACCAACCTGGATTAGCCCTCGAGCTCTGTGACGCTCTCCTGGCGCTGATAAGGCCTCCAATGCCCGGGGGCGCAGCTAAAGGACCCGATGGCGAAAAGAAAGAGGCGGCTGGGCACTCCTCAGACTTCAACATCTCTGACGCTGCCACGTGGGCGCTTGGCGTGGTTCTGAGGTGCGTTTCTCGTTCTGGGGCATGCACTTCTCTTAGCGCAGTCCACTTTGCAGGCCGAACCGCCTGATTTTTTGAACGGCATGCATCACAAAAATCTTGTGCAAGTCCAGACCGCTGGTGGCGACTGATGATAACCTTTGAGGTTGTTGAACGCTTAGATCATTGCACGAAATGTAGCTTTGACATTGGTGGTTTAGACACAAAGTCTGACTACTAAATCGGTTTCGTTGGCGGGCTGGCCATCTACACCTGCCTTTGCAAATTCCCAGGAGTTTTAGGTTGCGCCTACAACTTCGCTAGGCTTGTTGATCTTCTTCAAATCTTCTTCCGGTCTCTCTTTCCTAGCATCTTCTCGATCGGTCACATACAGGTAAAGTATGTGAACTTTGCTTCTTGTACAGGCCCGGAACTCCAATTGCCGCAGTATGCACCAACGAGCGTTACCCGCAGACAGTTGCCACGCTTCTCCTCCGCATTGCGCCCGTCCGCCGCACCCCGCTGAACCCCGTTCTGGCCCACGATTACGTCACCACCTTTCAAGCCTTCTGCGCTGCCACGTCAGACCAGAAGATGGCCGCCGCAGTCTCATCCAACGGCCCAGAGTTCATCGCGCGTAGCGACCGATGGACGGACCTGATCGACGAGATCGTGGTCTGCATCGCGGGCAGTCGACGGTCCAGGATCGCCCACGTGTGTAAGGAACTGTGGCCGGCGTTGGGGTGTGAGCGGGTGGAAGAGAGAGCAATCGCAGCGGCGGCGCTCTCCGGGTTTGTGGTACACGTGGCGGAGAACGAGGAGCTGCTGAGTCAGCTGGTGGAGAGGCTGATTGGGCACGTCAACGACGAGGAGCGGACGGTCCGGAAGTTCTGCGTGCGGGGACTGACACAGGTGCGTGTCCGGTGCTGTAGAACCCCCCTTTTGTGTGTATCCTGAGAAGCAAGTGGGGACGAGGCACTTCAGAACATCTGTCTTGCGATCCCCTCTATACAAATGGTCTGCATCCCGTTTCCCCGGGCGAAGGATGGGAGCTTTTAATGTCTCACTCTTATACAGCAGCCCACTTACGTTCCACCTCACGCATATCTTCGCCCGGGGACTTGTACACTCTGAGCTGTTGCGCTCATGTTGACAACCGCTTTCACCACCTGCTCTGCTGCTTATTGAGGTTTGTAACGAATGCAGAAATGTTTTCTTCCCAGGTTCCGTCCATAGCGATGGCCCAGTACGCCCCGGGCGTCCTTTCCAGCGTCATCCCGCTCCTGGACGACACGTCAGAGGACGTCATCTTTACTGTCCTCTGCGGCCTGGAGCCGCTGCTGACGGAAGCCAGCCCCGACGCGGTGCACCCGCACCTGCTCACGCTCGCGGAGAAGCTCCTACATCTCCAAACCCGCCAGCACACGCCCGTCCGCGCGGCCGCATTTGCGACCTTCGGCTTCATCGTCAGGTTCAAGGAGGGCGCATCGACGCCAGAGTTTGCCGACTATATACACCAGGGCCTGCCACGTGTCGTGTTCCACATCGAGGATCCCGCAGCGACGGTCCGGTCTGCGTGCCGGAAAACCCTCGAGACGCTGGCACCCAGTTTTCCGGGAGTGGACTTCTCCCCCTTGATCGCAGGGAGCAGCAGTAGTGGTGGGAACGTTCGTAATCCGCCACTTCAAGGCATTGCCGCGCAGCTGAGTGAGCATTATGATGAGCGGCTGAGTTTGTACATTGACGTCACCCTATCGGAAATCAAGAGCGTTTGGCCCGCGGTGCGCAGCAGCGCAGCGCTCTTTGCAGCCTGCTTGGTTGTCGAGGCTAGAGGCAATAAGGTACAAAAGGTACAGGTCGATCAGGTGGTCTCTGGATTGGTTCGGTTGGGTGTCGACGACCCAAGTGCGGAAGTGCGTTTGACCGTGGCTTCGGCCCTGAGTGTAGTCTTGGGCACGCTGGCAGATGAATGATTGTGGAAACGGCATCAGTACCGCTTAGCGTGGTTAGTGTCGCCAATTCTGTCAGAGCCGCGGGTTGGTGAAGCTTGAGTCTTCCGTTCTTCATATGATACCTATTGCAGGCCTACAGGACTCAAAAATAAATCTTACAGGTCATCATAGACGTGGCACAAAATAAGTGGTACGAATGAACAGGCCGTATATAATTTTGAGCATCCAATAGCTAGCATGCACAAGCGTCATGGTCCCAGGCCGCCATAGCAATATATGACCTGGACGCAGAGGTAGCTATAGTTCGTCCACATCTGATTGATCCTCGTCTAGCAAAAGGCGACTGAAGTACTTGGAACAGTTCCCTAGAGCTTGGTACATAGTAAAACTGGCCGGCCCACTGATCCTTTTTTGACAATTTAAATGTGCTACCATTTGCAGTAAACGTACTTACTTGGATGTTGGCGACTCTGCACGATCATGGCATCACTTAATTTTGAAGTTCCCACATTTGATTTCCACTTGTACAAATACAATGGCACTAACAGTGCAGGTGCAGCTGCACATGCCAGCTTCCTCATCGTGAGCTGAACTCCATCTCGATAATACAAGAGCTCGGTGTGGGCATGAGAAATCCTGTGCGTCTTTACATTTCAATCAGCTATATATAGAAATTGTCGACTGAGTATGTAACCAACGCATCGGATGTATACGTTATGATTTCAACTTATAACCAGCTCTAGCCATCTATAGCCTGCTTTCCGTGCGAATGCAGCCAATTCGAAAGCTCGGCCCTTTTTGATTCATATTCCTACCTTCACTGAACTTAAAAAACATCTTGACTACCTAATCATACCTGTATCTTAAGCACGGCCAAAAAAACGGTCTTAGTAGATGGATTGCCATTCACTATCCATGTGCATACTGCAGACGTCAAAGAGGCGGAATGGAAAGGCCGCTGCCTAGGCTCATGCATGCCATCATGCGCCTCAGCGGATGTGAGCACTCAACAGGATCGGACGAAAATTTGGCGGAACTTTCTTCTAGATCACGGAACTCATTGCATTTATAAGCAATACGAAAACAGCGGGCGGCAACCCTCAAGCGAGCCTAGCGCTGGTCGCTTGCGACGATGATGCAACGAAGCGACCTCGGCAACAATGGTCGTTCATATCTCTGTTTCGTCCAATCTTTCCTCTGGCGACACACGCCAAAAGATTGGACCAAGTCGCTACTTACGTCAGCTCGTTTTCGCAACGTCCTCCCATTTCTGACCCCCATTTGCAAGCACACTATAACCCAACCCCGCAGCTGCTCTCGCCTCGGCTTTTGCCGCTGCTTGCCGGAGCTCAAAGTCCTTTCTATACCGGTACCCCTGCACGCATACGAAACAAGATCAGAAGGCGTCGGATGTTATTCAAGTTGCACAAAAATGGAAAAGTACTCTGACTTCAATTTCACACAGCTCATCCACTTTTCCACTCTGATTCATCAGGTTACTCGAGAAAATAGTTTCCTCTCCAGAATGTGCAGGGACAGATTGGCTGCAAAAGCGCAGAACACGTTCTTGACTCCAACAGAGTACCCACTAGGAACAAGAAAGGTCAATGTCCCGTTGGCTGATCCACCTCAGCGGAAGCCCAATGAAGAAAACAAAAAGCCCACCTTGTCAGTCCCGTAGATATAGTCGCACCACGTGAAGACGGATGCGAAGTTGCCTCGGCTCTTTCCACCCACGAAGTGGTGATAGTCGTGATACTCGGCTCCGCCGTAGAAGGGGATGAGCTTGGTTGGGCTCCAAGGGAAGTGGTACCTGCAGACCAATGAGTCCTAGTGTTCTACTAACCGAAGAGCGCAGACTCAGGGTGTCATTATCGCTGGTTTTCGACGACTTGAGCGGTGCAAACGTTGGGTTGACGAACGAGGAGATACGCAAGAAGGGCTTGGGACGCTACAGCCTTTTCATCGGTGTATCCATCTTCCTGGTTCCAGAGGAGTTCAAGAAGCGAATCGTAAGGCCCATCCGCATGTCTGCTCATTTGTTCTCCGGACCATCCAAAACGTGCACTCTCACATCTGCATAGAGCAAGCTCTTTGCAGGAACAAGCCTAGTATCCTGGCGGGCGATACAAAGACAGCAGCAGATGATTGCAGGGATCAGCTCCATGCTTCCCAGCGGCACATCACCGTCCACAAAAGCGTACAGAGAGTGGGCCAACTTGGACAGCAGAACACTGGGCAGACAGACGAACGAGATCGAGGTCCTCCCTGATTGCTTAAACGTACTTGAAACTTCCTGGCATCGTTCGCACCAACGTAGCAGGATGCCCCAAATGCTCAACCCCCATATTGTTATTCAGAAGTTGATTTTATAGATCACGGCCAACAAAGAAAACAAATCAAAAATGACAAAAGCCCAAAAGGTGCGCTGACCAAACCCACCCGCTGTGCGTTTCTACGGCCTCCCACTGGCGCAGCACGATCCACGCCCACAGCGTGATGACGTGGCACCTCACGATCGCGGGCCCGGCAAACGACGGGATCCCGAGGATCAGGATCTCGAGCGGGTGCGCGTACGACGCCGCAAAACTCATGGGCGTTGTGAATTCGTGGTGCTTCCAGTGGATCGTTTTATAGGCCCACTCAGTGTGGAGCCAACGGTGCAGCCAGTAGTTGCCGAAGTCTTCCACAATGAAGAAGGTCGCGAGCTGGATGGCCATTTCGGGGAGGGTGGGGAGGGGCACCCCGCCGTTGATACCGGCGACCTGCGGGGGAAAGCGTTGCGTCTGTTGAATCATCTTTGCTTCTTCCTTATGAATAATTTTGCCGCAATCAGCTCATTGTATGAGTGTGCAGATTGGCGCGCAAGCTTTGGGTTGAAGCAACTATTTCGAAGGCCAGCTGAGGCTCCAGAGAACCTTCTGGTTGATGTTTGAGGAGCTGAGGAGGGGCGCTTGCAGACATTTATGATGACAGCTGGGAAGAGTGGGGAAGGGTGTGCGGTTTGGATCCAGAGGGCTGGCAAACCAGTCTTGCAATGAAGCAGAGCGAGTTGGAACTTTGGGAGACCGACTCAAGGCAAGGCCACTTCCCTGGCCTCGATGGTCTAGAAGAGGGCACGCTGGTTCAAGAACACGAAGAGCAACTGCCACCATGGCTTCTAACCAATTGAACTAGCCTTCTAGGCGTCCAACAGCGGGCCTTTGCTGCCCGGCAGACCAGCAAAAGTTCTCCCACTGCTTGATAAATCCTCAACCACCACAAACCTGCACCTTTGACTGTCCTTTTACCTGTTCCTTGCCACCTGAATAACAAGTATGCAGTAAACCCCCACAAAAGCAGGAGCAGCGCTGACTGTGGCTTCCTGAGTCATGTAAGGCTAGTGCAATCAAGCTGGCTGGTTCATGTGAGCTCCCCACGTCCCTTTCTGCATCGTCAAAAGACAGAGACTGCCCACTGCTGATGACTGGAAATTTTGCGGAGGGATCTAAGCTCCTGCCCACATGATGAAAAGGACTCCAGTTAATCGTAAAGATGGTGCGCCCAGTAAGAAAAAACCCACTTTCTGAAAAGTTATCCGGGAGGGGAGCAGCAAGGCCACCACTTTAAGAATGGTGATCAAGCCGGATCAATGACAAGGTCAAAGTGTTTGCTGGTTTACATAAAGGTAGATGAGAGACTCACGCTGAAGAAGGGGAAGGACGTCAGGTTGAGCGGCAGAATCACCATGAACATATCGCCCAGCACCGATCGGAAGCAATCGACCACCGCTGAGTAGCTGTTCCGGTACGTGGGCTGTATTCTATACTTCTCAAAGAAGGGGATCTTGAGAAAGTCTAGTGTCAAGAACGGCAAACTGCCCAGGCAGTATCCGGCGACGAGAATGAAGAATGTGAGGCAGTAAAGCTCGTAATCTTTCCAACCCCCCGTGTGAATGACCCATGTTTGCTCCAGCCAGGTGAGGGGCCGACCAAGCGCCGCCTCAGCTTGGTGGGCAGTTAAATTCCCAGGCATCTTGCAGAGATCTGCGCTTCCAATCTGTATGCGGATCACTAGGTGCCACCGCCAAGCAACTTCCACATCGATGGGACAGTTGCCTGAGTGAGCAATACGAAGATGATCGGTGCAGTCACAAATTGATGTCGAGCTTTGTTGAGGCTTCCAAGATTCACCACCTTTGCAGGAGCCCCTACTTCTACGAGATCTAAATGGGGGCACCACTGTCAATCAGTCCACTTTAAACTGATATCAGATGCAGCAAGCCCTGTCGCTCATCCTGAGAGCTAGGTAGTTGAAATTCTCTTACGATCAGAGGGGCACGATTCGAACAGGATGCCCCTCAACTTCAAGCCCTAGCTGGCGACGCGGACGGCGCTCTGCATGCCTGCAAAGCCTGCTGGCAGCGCTGCTCCGGTCGCCGGCAAGCTCCAGCTCCGGGCGGTAGTTGGAGTGAAGCTCAAGTGCGCGCATGTTCGCGCGCAATCTCTGTTTGAATCATGCAGTCCTGAGCAAGCTATCATTACGATGAAGCCTGGCAGCTCGCCGCTCAGCAGAAACATGGCGGCCAGGTACAGATCTTCATCTGAGGAGCTCTCCCCCAGCTCAGCTGGCTTATCTGGGGTGTGATGCTGATCGACAGGAAAGGGACTGGGTTGTAGAGTGGTGGTAGCAGGGATCTGAGTCCACTTTCTTCTCAGATGATGGGTGCCACCGCAGGCAATTCATGGGGCGCCGCCCAGACGGCCTTCGCAGTCCTGTCATTCTTTCTTTTCACCACATTGGACTGCTTTGATTGGGGCCTGGGCTGGTTTTACTTCTGCCTTGACGCCCTGCTTCAGGCTGACTACGACCCGCACAGCCCCCTTGAAACCTCCTTATCGCGCGGCGGCGCTAGGCGAAGCTCGTCTGATCATTCAGGAGGAAGAGCCCGTTCGCATCGCCACGGATCATACTCTGACGGGGTGGTGGGAACGTGCACCAAGGAGCCGCTGTCGGTGTGCGTTTGCAAGCAATTGGGGGAGAGCGGCAGAGCCCGCCGGCTGCGCGCCATAAGAGATGGCAGGTGGCATAAGTGCTCGTGCTGGGGGTGGCAACTAGATGCGGACCGCTCGTACCGTGAGCATCGGAACGGGCTGCATGCACCAACTGATGGTGGTGTGAAAAGCCCCCAGCCTACACTGCCCGCAGAAGTGGATCCTTTAGCGGGCGCCCCAGATGCTGGAGACCCCTCTGTTATGAAAGCCCAGAAAACCAACCCGGTGTTGCACTCCCCCGGAGAAACTCCAGATCAGAGTCCCGCTGCGCAAACCCCCCCAGTTCAGGATCGACCTCCGGCGCCCTCTGAATTCAGCTTTCCTGTGAACCTCGCCGGGTCTAGCTCAGATGCCAAAACTGCTGACTCATTGCTTCACGACGGGCAGGTCCGCCATAAATATGCTGCAACGTCAGGATTCCCCAACAATCCTGACAAGTCCGGCGGGCAAACACAAAAGTCAAGAGCAACTAGGAAAGGGAGAGGGTCAACCAAGCGTGTGTACGTGGGGCGTTGGTCCGATTGCCAGTGTCCGCACTGTAAGGAAGTTCGGATGCAAAGTCACCGGACGCTCTTCGTGCGACAGATTGGGCGGGGCGTAAAGAGGAGGGCTGACGCGGGGGCTAATTTGAACGCTACCAAAGAGAGTGGGCCCAGAACCGGGATCAAAGCGGCCAGGGGGGATCAGAAACTTGTCGACAGTCATGGCGGGAGGAATGGAGTGATTAGAAACGGGGAGCTGAAAACGACCAAAGTCGTGGCGATAGATGTCAGAAAGAAAGAAGGGGGGTTTGAATCTCAAAAGCTTCTCCCAAGCCCCTTGGGAAAAAGACTTTCTATGAACGGGGGCGTCTCACATATCTTATCCCCAAGCTTGGGCAACTCTGAGTCGGGTGGAAGAGAAAAGCCGGACTTGATCTTTCTGCACGGATACTGCGCATCGTCCAACTTTTGGTTGGACACAATCTTTCCGCACCTCCCTCCAGCCCTGCTTGCTGCACGGCGCATATTTGCGCCTGACCTCCTAGGCACCGGAAAGAGCCCCCGGCCGCATGACTGTCACTACACCCTCAAGGTGAGGCGGCGCTAAACTTCGAATTCTTTGTGCTGGAAAACAACGTTAACGCAGCTTCAACTTCTTCCTGTGCTCCTGATACAACAATTGAGCGGCTCTATTTGGTCTTACTGAGACGCGTGTGCCGAGCGGTGCATGTTCAGTCAGGCAGACTATGCACCCAAAAGCTGTCCAGCCAGAGATCTATCGAAGCTCTGAAAGGCCATCCTTGATTCTTGTGATCTTTCTGTGATGTGCGTGCTGTATTGCTATTGTATCTCGATGGATAGAAGCGGATTTGTCTTCCAAACCACCGTCTGAGAGAGAATTGGGTGGCGTTTGCCGTCTTCTCAAGCAGGCCACCTAATCCCCGTTCTCATTGAGTAGGTAAAGGCAAACTTCGTAGGGCTTTCAAAATTAAGCGTTGCCTGCTGCCTTCTTCAAGATCTATATTATTAGAAATTTGCGAGTTGTTATTAAGCTCACAGGCCTCCAGGGGATCATGACTTCAGCTGAGCAGGTCAGTGTCACAAAGACCAAACTGGAGTGAAAACTTTGGCGAAAGAATTACATTTTTCGGGTGTGCAGATAAGTGTGCTGGGTTCCAAACATGGACCCATAGAAATACTCTTGAGACCAGCCTGAAATGGCGATTGAGCAACGGAGGAAAGGATTCGAAGGAATATCTACGGAACGACGGGCAATCTAGAAGGACACGAATTACTGTTAATGTTGCAACCCCGTCGAACTCTCAAAACACAAATTGGGTTTCCGCTTCTCCCTTTTCATTCGTTCCTCCCAAAGACTATCTAACATCAGGCTGACGTCACAGGACCACGTGGAGGCCCTCGAGTCGTCCGTCCTCGCGCGCCACGATGTGCGCGCCTTCCACGTCATTGGCCACTCGATGGGCTCGCTGATGGCTGTCGTTCTCGCGGCGCGGAACGTTTCCCGGGTGCGTTCCGTCACATTATTAGCCCCCGTTTACGCGGACATGGCCGCCCCCGAAATCCCCCCCTGCGAAGCACTGATGAACATATGGGCGCCCGGGAGGGTGGAAAAGTGGGGGCGACTTCCGAGGGCGTTGTGGCAGCGGTTCTTGAGCTCGATTCCTCGCTGGTAAGACAAAGGTGACGAGCGAACGGTCAGAGCGTTCTCTTTTATACATGTTTTTCAGCTGTCAGAGTTGACTTTTTGTCATCTGTTTTTTCGAAAGCAGGCTTACCTCATGCGCGGACTTTGGAGCAGCTTCTCGAGTTTCAGAGAAACATTTGTAGTTTTCTAGATGCTCCGTAAGCAAGCTTGTCGTTTTTAAGGAAATTTGTTAAGCCGAAACGGCTTCAGCTTATGTATGATGTATCAAATCAGACATCCACAATATGCTGGTATTCTCTCATCAGATTGGGAAAGCTTAGTGGGGAGTTGCGTCAATCGGGATACTTCGCTCCATGCGTGCTGCGAAGTAACGACCGATTTCTGTTCTTCCTTTAACTTACCTCCGAATGAGCTTTTATCCGGGCAAACGCACGGGCAAAACGAGAATTGTCGGCTGAAAATTACGCTGCCTCTTCCACGTTTTTATAGATTCATGTGGGGACCAAATTCTTTGCTGGTTTGTGCCCCTTTCTGCGCGGGTCCCCTTCTGTCTGTGCTGATCGACCCCTCTTTTTTCTCGTCATACCCTCCATTTCTCTGTTCATACCCCCATCACCCATCAAGGCTTCTCTCCAATTCACCTTCTCATGTTCTTCCCTTTCTTCTCGTTTAGGTACCTTCATTTCGCGCGCTTCAACAGCCAGGTGCTCTACTCGCGGCACAGCTGGCTCGAGGCGGCAGCGCGCCACGTGTTGCCCCGGTCGCTGCCCACGAGCTTCATCAGCGACTTCCTGCGCGACACGTGGGACGTCCAGATCCACATGTTCAACAACACGCTTCTCGGGGGAGGGCACGCGCTGGACTCGGCATACCAGGTTGGTTAGCGTGGACACGAGAACCAGCGGTTAACTAGTTTTCTATCATTCAGATGATTATGAATCCGATTCTAAAAGATCTGTTTGGTGGACCTATCAATGCAAGAGCAACACGGGTTTCATCTTGAGGACTTGAGGATCCTCACTGGGGGCTTCCTTCTTTGGAAACGATCCCGGCCGCAGGACGACATGCGGCCTTTCCTCGGTTGTTCCAGCAACTTGCTTAGATCATTCCTTTCTTTCCAACCACCAATTAACCCACCTTTACTTTCCTATAGCCGGCCCTGTGTCGTGTGATGTTGCCGAGTCCGTTCACATGCAATTGGCCAACTAGCTAAAGAAAATAGAGAAGGCCCTGCTTTCGTAGTCCATCACCTTCCAACGCAAATTGAGAGGAGGAATGTAATTATTTTGCGATGCAAATCAATGACCGAGCGTGTCTGGAGGTCATTCCTACAATCAAACGTTTCGCATGCCCAATAAGAGAGGTTGAAGCAGAGATTGAACGGATTTCCTATCGCGCACTCTCCTTTCCGGTCGCATCCTCATTCGCAGGTCTTAGCGGACGCGGGCGTCCGAGTCCTGGTCGACCACGGCACGTCCGACGTCACGTGTCCGATCGTCGGCAGCGAAGCGCTCGCGCGCAAATACGCCAACGTGGAGCTGCGGCGCTGCGAGGGCGCGGATCACTTAGAAGTGGTCCTCGGACGGGAACGGGAGGTCATGATTGGGATCTTGGAAGAAGTGACCCTCGGAGAACAGCGGCGCCGCGCGGAGCAAGTCGAGTCGGCGGGGCGCAGCCCGATCTAGTTCTCTTCGCGCCGAGGATGGGGGCTCGTGATTGAGGTTTTAGGACAGTAGCTGGGGTGTGACGATGGTGGCGCGCCGCGCGGATAGAATCGGCTGAACGCAGCACGGTTTAGTTAGACTATCAAAGCTATTGTTTGTGATTCGCGCGGGCAGGGGCACGGGCTCGAGATTCCAGAAGCAGCGGCCGGGGCGGAGCAGCGGCGCAATGGCACGCCGGTGGAGTCAGCGGGGCTCAGTTCGGTCTAGTTATGATGGTCACTATTCGTACTCGCCATAGCCAATAGGCCATAGGCTTAATGATGTAACAGTGACGAGCGAGAGGGGCTTTATGTCTGTCGTTGGGCCGGGTGTTAGAGATGGTCGGCACGATGAGAATAGAGCCAAAAGCAACGGGTGCGGACGGTGGCGACTGAGAGGGGCGCTGCGCATTAATAAATTAGCTTCAAAATTGGTTGGAGTAACACATATTGAGCTTCGTCAAGTATTATGGTATATAAAGCTGAGGCGGTATTCGATAGCTGCGCCGCCCGCAAATTACCCGTAGTCGAGTCAAAAGCATTTACATCCAACCATTTTTTGAGGCTTGAGGTCTATATCACCTACTCTACATTACAAGTGGATCATCATTGGGGACGAGGTCGTATTGGAATTGTTACCAGAAGGGATACAAGATTCTTATGATTGACAATTGATCTATAGACAATGCTCGCTTAAGTAATCTATATGATATCAGTTCTTCGGAACAGTTTTTATAGTACATAACCCTAGCTCTCATGATTCCCTTCCTTTTGCATGATAGATTTGATGCTTGCGAAGATCTGCTGGCGTACAGGCATGCATTGCACAACCGACTGACGGTACCTCAATCTGCATGCTAAAGTACATCTCCAAACGCGTCCGGGTCAACATTACGCCGCATGCGCTGATGTCAGTGCGGCCCACATATGATGGATTAGCTCCTAGCAATAGCTGCATAAAAGCTAGAGGCACCTGCGTGCAGTCTGCGCACATGGCATGCGTGCTTTGTACGACAGCATGGGGACGCCGTAGCTCAAACTCGGATAATATGGATAATGCCGGATCTGCAAATACGTCCTTCTGGCCCATGTGAGTCTCAGGCATCTTGTGCACCCAATGATTCCCTGTCCCGAATAAACGTTGTTCACAAAGTTGCATGTCTTCCAAGTAGCTACACAGTTCGACGAAAACATAGGTCGTCACAACAACGCCTGTCATGTAAGGCCCTGCGTAGGGGCAGTGACTGCCGTCCGGCTTAGTCGGTTGCCATCCGTATTCACTCGTTTGGCAATCACAGACGAGCACTTGGCAAAATAGCCGATCGGCTTGGCGGGTCTACGGTCAAACCCCAACGCTCTTACTCCGCCTTGTCAACCTGTCTGCACCTCTGGCACCCCTGAGTTCGACTTTCTATACGGGGCCAAATATTCTGTATTCCATAAGCAGTACTGTGAGCTGAACTACTTTTGTATACTTGCGTCTGGAATCCATGCATTTGCATTTGAGCTTCTCTTTCGATCTTTCCATGTGTGAGATCTGCGGCATTAACGGACTCCCTCCTCTCACAATTCACTTACCAGTCCCCTCAAAAGAGCGACTCTAGATTGCTCTCGACAATCGCCTCTTTGATGGCAACCACCCAGGCGGCGCATTCGTCCGCCGAGCGGGCTTTGAAGGAGAGGGACCGCTGCTTCGGCCTGACTAACAGGGACAGCTTCCCCAGGCGTTCCGTCTCGGTGACGCAAAACTCAAGGGGAGACGTAGCCTGCAACAAAGCCTCGTTAGGTAAGCCTTACAGAGGGCAGAGTTCGGCTCCTTGCACGTTTACAGGTGTGCTTAAGGGCAAAGAATTACTCGGAACAGGTGGGCGATTCCCAGAATAGAAAGCTGTAGTGGGTTGAGGAGGTAACGGTGAAGGGCATTGGTACTGATTCGTGCCTGGGTAGGCTCTGCTAAAGTTACAAAAGCTACGAGAAGGTGCCAACCGACAAGCACACTTCGCACTCCTCTCTTTGGGGGCTTTCTGATCGGAGGACCATTGAGATCCATCCGAACGGCAAAATTGGTGACATACACCTGGCAAAGCCAAGCTAGATGACGCTGAGAAAGTGACAGCATTTTGGCGACTCACCTCAACACTGCACAGCGAGAGTGTCGCCCCCGCAACGGGTACGAGAAGGTCCTGCAACTCGAAAATTGCATGCGTCAGCCGTGATGTGAAGTAGACAGACGCAGGGCCGCTACAAGCTTTGCAGCAAAGTAGATGCTTTGAAACGGAGTTGCAACGAGAGGAACGTGCAGTCAGAACTGCAGTCCTGTTCAATCGCGATTAGTCGAAGGTTTTCGTATCTTTCCGGCTTGTTCACGTTGCGAGACCGCACGTGACCAGCTTGACAGCTGTGGACAAAAAACGCGAGCCGAAACAGATGTGGTGACGAACAGCTCATGTTCATCGCTACTCGACAAACGACAGCACTCAATCGTTACTAGTTGCAATCAAGAGGCCAGCAAACAACCCAGTCCCAGAAACGCGTGACCAACACAAGTCATTCCGCCGGTTAGTTCCGCCGGATTCCCCCGAATTGCGACCGGCGCTCTCACCTCCTGTTCGTGGCACCAGTGCACGAAGCCGGCCCGGGTTAGCACCAGCACGCCCTCCTTCCACTGCCCGGAGACTTGGCCCATCCGAAGCACCGGGCCCTTTTTCCGGACTTCGGGGCTCGTGAGGAGCGCATTTACACCTGGTTTGCCACCCGGGGCGGGGGTTTGCCCCGGGTTGTCGCGGGGACTTTCCGGTGCTTCGGTTGGTGGCCTCACGATCTGAGAACGGCTGAAATTGGTTCAGTCATGGGACTAACTGAGAAGAATACTGTGGTGGCTAAGTTGCTTATTCTGTGGTTTCCACGTGACGGCAAGAAGGGGGCAAGAAGCAAGCGGTCGGACGTAAAACGCGAATTTTTAGAACAGAGACCGACATAAGAGTAAAGTTTTCGTCGCAATCTCATTGTGTACGATTGCAAAAGAAAAGAAGGCCTTTGCTGAGTGCCGAGCATAAAGGTAGCTGCTCGGGAATGCTGACATTCGTGGACCATCATCACGCGTTGACGAGTGAAGCGCACTCTTACCGGAAGCGTCTTCTCAAAAGCTGCGATGTCGGTATCGGGCTCGATGGCAGCGATTGCGGCGGTTAACAAGTCGACGTGCTGAAGAAAGGGGACGGGTCAGTCCGTGTACCATTAAGGTCGAGGCTTTCGTTCTGGCAGATACCTACTGACGGGGAAGATTTACCAGCGAAGGGAAGACATACACCTTGTGGCGAGCGAATAAAAGTGACGCTTCTAACACACGGTAACAGAACCAAACCGGAACCCCGCCACCGCTAGCGAGTACAAGCTTGCTCAAGGACTCCGTTTCTTGAAGAAGCGTATGTTTTCTAAAACAGAGGGCTAGAAACACCTGTCTGTTTCGGGGACTGACCTTTTGGGTCTTCGCGGCGAGCGCTTGGACTGCGACCGTGTAGCACTCGAGCAGCGAATGGAGAGTAGCGACCAATTTGCCGTCCAAGATCTTAGCTTTCTGCAATTTACAAAGAATTCCCCTTCGTTAGCCCGTCGCAAGTTCGTCGGCTCTGTCATTCTGTAATGCGGGCCATAGATGTCCTCCTCTGTAGCAACGCCCTGAGCTAAACATTAGCTCATCGGATCTCTGAACGGGTTTCGATGTAAGATAGCGGGTATTGAGCCGAGCGGCCCGCAATCAGAGGGTCAAAGAAAGCGGGAGAATGCACATCAAGGTTGGGAGGTAATGAGGCGTCTCGTTCTTTGAGACGCGAAGAGCACTTTACAGAAAAATAGATCTTCCAAGAAAGCAACTTTTTTTCCCCCTCACGTCAAAAAAGTCGGACAGCCTGGTCCGGTACGTTGCCAACGCTTTCTTTAGTTGAAGGTGCGCTTCCGCTAGAGACCGCTCCGTCAGCCAAGGATCTTCTTTCTGTTGAGCGCTGGAAGAGAGGTGTATAATAATCAGGAAAATGGCTTTAAATAATGAGTCAGCGACTTGAGAGAACTACGAAGGTTGTGGGTCTTTAATACGATTGTCCGGCAGAAACTTTGGGAAGTTGAATGCTCTTCAATCTGAAGAACTCACGTCCTTGACGGGTGACGACCTGCAATACCACCGGAATGTTCCCCAAACAGACGTACAGGATGAGCTGAAATTGTGACCCCTTTCTGGCAAGTATCGAGCAGCAAATTCTGCTCCTTCGGCCTGCAGAATCTCACCCTTTTGGGCGGAGATCATCTGGGGCGCACGCGTCCCTGTGCGCTTGGAGCGCTTGGTTCATGCTTTCCCAGGCAGTCTGTACGTCGGTGTGTATTTTCCCAGACTCCTGAACCAGTTCCTGTTCCTCCTGCGCCAGTTCCGCCGCGGAACCGCTGGTCCGCTCCACGTCGCGCTTGACGGTGCTCGAGAAGTCGGAGTACGCCCTTTGCGCAGACATTAGCGCAACGTCAGCAGAACGGTCATAAAGTTCGCAGAGTAAATCCAGCACGAGAAGGATCAGACGGACGTTTCCCTGGACGCAATAAGACGAGGTTGCTTATCACAGCGGCAGCAATTCTTAAGCTGTCAATGGAAGGTCGGATCTGGCACCTCGCCCTTGATATGTGAACACAGTTTGTATTCGGAAGAATACCATTGCTTGTATTCAACGACCGCATTGCTCCGCTTCTCATCAAAAACAAGCTTGGATGCGCATGAGCTCACTTGGCGACCTCAGGCGCGTACGCACAGACGGCTTCAGTGGCGTTCTTCAGAGTCCTGCATTTAGGTCAAAAGAATTTGATGACTGATTGCACATCTCTGTAAGAAATGGTGCGCAGCAGGCATTCAAGACGCGTCTCTGGCTGACCAACACAGTCAGCCAGAGCCTCGCAAGTGGTATCCTAGCCTCTTCAAGGGCTTGAGCGTTGCAGTAGCGTGTTATGCAGAGGTCCGCTACCAGATACCCTTGTATACTCAAGATGTACAGGGAAAGGGGCCTCACGGTCCTTCCCCCTTGCTCAGCGACTCTTTGCCCAGCTTCTTGTACGCTTTGGCATATGCGCCCTCTGCCCCTGCCACTCCTTTCAGCAGCTGTGCAGTGTCTTGCAAGGCAGCCCGACCTTGGTCTGGATGCAACACGGACCGGAGTCAGCTTCGTGCCTTGAGATTCAGAGCCTGTGCCTGAATGGATTCATGTGAGTTCAAGTGGAGGCCCCTTAATCTGCTATCGACAGTGCAACGCCTTACATTGGTTCAAAAAAATCCTCTGCAAACTGTGTTGACAACCAATGGTAAGACATGGGCCAGAGGCTGGTAGACTAATCTCTTGTCTAAAGTATTCTGAAAGATTGCAAAGATTCTATTTGTGACAATGTTACTGTCAAACTTACTGCAGGGGCACGGTTCTGAGGTTAGGTTGCTGCTTCTTACCCAGTCTCAAAAGCAGATCCTTCACCAGCGCCCGTCCATTCTTGCACTGCTGGAATGACTCCCGGAGGAACACCTCTTCCAAGGGCTGTGGTTAGAAGAAGCCAGATGTATCCAGATTCAGCTTATGTTGGACCAGACATCCTCTTACGAGTACCGTGAGAGACCTCATTTGATGAATAGCGAGTTGGGGCGAGCTCAAAATTGGTTCTTGTAAAAGACACAAGTGGGCCAACCCATTTTCTTTGACGAGCTGGCCACTAGTGAGCTGGCGGTCGTTGAGAAACAGGCAATCACCCGCCTTTTCTGACTCCGTGCAGATTATAAGGCCAACATGTACACATGCATATATGATGGCCTAGGAATATTGCGGCAAGAGGAGGGAGAGGTGGCCAGCCTTTGTTAAAAGGTCTGAAGGCTTGTCCAGCCTTGCAGAGCTCCTTGAGGATCAGAGACCTCACCTCACGTTCATCACATGTTACATTTTCACGTCCAATCGTGTCATTGCTAGCCTGCAAGGGCGCCTCAGTCTCTTGTTCCATCCTGTCCCTTTCCTCAATGTGGGCTCCCAATCAGCAACTCATAGCTGGCGCTAGTGCCGCTACTGCAGAACCGATATTAAAGTTAACGTAATCTGCAGGACCTGCCTTAGAAGCGCTGGCACCTAAACTATAAAGTGCAGTCCTAGTGGATAAGTTGGTCTTATTTGCATTTGTTTGTTTTGAGACTACTTCATGCAGTCTGCAATGCCTGCCAATGCTGACAATTGGAGCTACGTGCTGGAACCAATGCCATTTGAGCAGCCAACGGTCGTACTTAGTACTTGGTTTCAACTCGACTCAGCTATTGCAGCACGAAGTTTCTTATTTTGAATCTTATAGCGCCAGGTCGATTGCGGATTCTCTTGACACGGTTCTTTCATTAGCACCATTGCCACTGCCACCATTGCATCCCAGGATTCTGCACAAAGTCGTCCGTCACAATATCGTAGTCCTAGTCGACCCACAACTTGCCCTGATTCAATTTGTAATGACGGAAGCTTCCTGATACCTGACATGTAACCGTATGTTCAAAAGTTGAAACGTGCATTATGCAGGAAATATTCATGAACGCATAGATTATTGATATTGTGTCGAGTTTATATCAATTGAGGCTTCAGCCTATTGGTGTATTGGACTGATGCAGAGCTGGCCACAGAAGCAATTGGTTGCCTCCCCGATATCGTTGGTACTAGTGGGTACTTGTACTACTTAGGTACTACTCATGGTACTGTAGCCTTAGGCTGGAGCGCATGCCCGCCCGCTGATTCGCCCTGCGCCGTCGAACGCGCGCGCATGATCCTTGCATTAGAATCCGAAGCCGCACAACAGTGATTTCGCAGCCACCAAGAGCCGCTTTCATATCGAGTGTGCAGTTTGAACGAATGTCACAAACCCGGGTGCCGGGCGGCCGCGCGCCAGCGAGCGGCGCGGCCGGCGCGCGACCATCATGCGGGCACCGAGCAGCATACCTCCAGCATACAAGCTGCCGTGCTTTCTGCTCAGCCCTCTGCTCATGCCAATGGCGCCACATGGCGCCTAGTATTAGGATTAGAATTTCAAACATAAGGTGGATGCGCCGCGCTCCTCAAACGTCCCAGAATTTTATCAACTCACATGGCGGCGCTCCCGCTGAGGCAGTTCCTTCTGTCCTTGAATTGTTGAAGCATCACAGGGTCTCCATCAATTGGCGGCACCCAAAGAACAGTCTGTTCGTCAATTCGGCTGTGCGGCCCGGATTTCATTCATCAGGCCTCTGAAATGCATGTCTAATCCCCTCTTTAATGGACGAGCTGGAGTTGTGACGAGCAGCTGTTCCAGCGATTCAGTAGCCTTTCAAGCTCCCGCTCAATCTTATGATCTGCACCAAAAGAAGTCCCCTCCACCACCTCTAAGATTGCCCCTTACATCGTCAAGACTTTGCTTCAGGCATGGAGGAGAGCACATGGTGCCCAAGCTGTCGAGCAGCCACAATGCACTTTGACCTGGTAGACTGCACCAGCGTGTGCGAGCGATGCGGGTGCGTACAAGAAGAAAGCCCGCTGGTGTCAGGAGAGTATGGGGGGGGCCAGAGGGTGGAAGATGACACCGGAGCTGCCACGGCTTGGAGGCTGTTGGACAGTTCCCAGGCGGGGCGGCTGGTGCGGCAGGAGGCATTCAAGATGCAGTCTGCGGGGCGGGTGCGCATTTCTCGTTTCTTGTGGTCGTTTTGAGATCCTGATGTTGAGCAGCATTTGTCAAAAGTGATCGTTTGCCCGGTCGTTTTGAGTTGATGACCACGTGTCAGCAACAATTGCGGTAGGTGCGGGTTGTGGAGGGTCTTCTTTTGACTCGATTGGAAGTATCACCTGTCACTGAAGCAGATTGCCCCACCACGAGGATCGTTCAATCACTTCTGCAAAACGACTGGCTGCCCTTATTTTGCCGATGCTACTGTCTTAATTGGTGACTCTGACTGAACAACAAGTGTCTGCTTCTATTATGGGGATCATAGCCAGTGTGTTGATGTTATCAGGCTAGAACAGAGACCGCCAGTTAATACCGTGGGCAGACAGGAGAGGCGACGTTTCGATGGCATGGAGGAGTTGGCCAAACAATATCAGACAGTCCAACACTCAAGCCTCGTCTCTTCCCCATAGTTGCCCCTCATCCCTCCACCCCAATCAACCCAATACCTTCATCTCTGCCCCGCAGCCCCACGCTATGCGACGAGTTGCAGACCTCTCGGACCGGGTACGGCTGCCGGTTATCTACCGGACAGACGTGGAGGCACTGGTCGACGACGTGCTGAAGGGGGAGTGGGGCCAGGGACGCTGGCTTGACGTCCTGGTCGCGGCCTGCGTGTACATCGTCGTCCGGCAGAGGCGCCTCGCACTGACGGTGGCTGATGTCGCAGTAAGGCCCGATTTGCCCACTCTCAGCGCCACTATGAATCTCCTTAATATTACCTGAGAAGTGGACTCTTTGGCGCAGTCGACTGTGACGCTCCTGCTCATGTTGTACTGAGGTTGCTATTGCACAGCCCTATCGTCTGTCTACTGATTGCATTTCTGGTTGTGCTGCAAGTGGTCTCAAGATTAAAGGTGTCTTTATTTTTGGACTATGAGACTTGAGTCTGGCTCGTGAAAGGGGACTTTTTGCCTTTCTTGGCGTGTCAATTGCGAGATTGACAATCCCGGTCTTTCGAGGAGACTCAGACAACCCATAGCCGTAAGAAACTACTCATGAAAGTAATGAGAACTGTGGGTCCCCAGCCTAATAAAACCCCAAGAAAGTACCGTAGACCCAAAAATCGAAGCAAAACCCGTTAACCCCAGCCCTGTTCTTGCCAGTCTGCAGTTCAAAGCAGCCCCGTCGAGCTCGGCGCCACATACCGGCGAGTCCTCCAAGTTTTAGAAATCCAACCCCCGGAGGCGGATCCAATGGCGTTCATCCGCAGCGCGGCTTCGCAAATGGACTCTTTGCGGGGCCGGCATCGGGCCAGGCTGGCGCTGGTGCTCGAGAGTGCGGAGCTACTGCTGAAGTGCGCCCAGCGAGCGTCGCTTCTCACGGGGAGACGCCCTCTTCCGGTGAGCATGGCAGATTGATTCTTCTCCTTGCCTTCTCGCTGTCATCTTCACTTACTTACTTCGAGAGTTTTGTTCGGATGCACTTGGTAAGGTGCGCTAAGGACGTTCTGAACGACCATGTGTCCTGCGTTCCTTGAGGCCCATAAGTGGTTTCCATCTTAAACTCGATGGCAGGGCAAGTCGTGCTGACGCGATTTCAACGCTCAGAAGGGCAGGTCGACAGTCTCTATATGAGGACTGGTCTTGGCAGGGAAGCTTTATGATGCCTACGACGGGTCGAGCATCTAGAATCCGTCGTGATTGTCCTCTTTAGAAAGCCGAACACCGATAACCTGGACCCCTTTTCCCTTTGCTGACTCTGCAGCTCGCCGCGGCCATCTTGTACCAGGCAGCCGAAGCCCACAATGTCAAGCTAACCTTAGACCAGGTTGCCTTAACCCTGGGTGCCGGGTCCAAAACCGCGTTGACCCGGCTGCGAGAACTACGGGCCGCCCTCGCCGTCGAGGGCCAAAAGCTCCCATGGGGTGCTGACGTCACCGAGACCAGCGTCAAAGACCACCTGCCAATGATCCTGCAACTTCTAAGGTTCTCGGACGGGGCCGACAGTCAGGACAACGCTCCGCCAGTGGAGGGGAGAAGGCTAGAGGTTCTTCGGGAAGGTGCGGGGCCGGGCAAATCACTGGTGAGAGGGGGCGGTACAGTCAAGTTGTTGACCGGGAGGCCATCGAGCGCCGTTTGTGCAGGCGCTCGAGAATCGACGGTTGGTCCTGGCACGAGAGGATTCGAAACCTCTCAGAGTTTGGAGGGGGCTGGCAATGACCGGAACGGGGGGGGGAGCAAAACGGGGGCCGGGCCAAAGAAGGGGATGGGACGGGAAGAGAAGAGGGCCCGGAACTCAAATAGCCGCCCGGGGACGGCCGAAGGCATGTATACCGGTCCGTTGGGTTCGTACCTGCAACAAAAAAAAGCCCGGAACGAGTCTACGGACGGGGCGGCTGCTGAGGGGGGCGGTGCAACTGTTGGGGTTGACGTCCAGAAAAGTGACATGCCGGGGCAAATAAATAATGCGAGTAGAACGGCAAATGGCACGGTGTTGAAGGATACGGCAGTGAAGGCGAAGCGTGTACAGATAGGAGCAGGTAGCAATGTAAACAGCGTCCAGCAGAATGCTAGCGAGCATTCAGCGCGCAGGAGTGTTGGAGTGGATGAGATGGAGGGCATTAACACCCCGGAGCCTACAGCGGAGCCAGAGGGTGTGAATGCGTCCAAAGACATTGCGTCTCGAAGAGATCAGCTCACTCTGCTGTCGTCGACCGGCAAGGAGACACAGACTTCAGCAAGTTCCGCTGAGATCGTCGTCCGGCCCGTAGAAACGGAACTCAAAGGACCGGAACTCGGCGAATCAAGCACGGGAGGAGAGGCGGTGCCCTCGTTTGACACGTGGCATGGGCTGCCGCCGTCGTTCCGGGCTCAGGCGGTCGAGAGACAGAGGTATGCCACGAGCACTTGTACTTGTTGCTTCCAGATGTGAATGGAAAAGTAACCAAAATGTGGGCTATTTACGATAGCTGGACTGCCTATTCTTCAATCTTTCTTCCCACGGGAAGTCTTCTTGTTTCTCCATCAGCGTGCATTGTGCTTGCCATTGGATTGATTGTCTTTCCATCTCGCTCCATTGTCTCCGCACTCGAGCAACGGAGGTCATCAGGTCCACTCATTGGTATTCTGGCTGGATCGCTTGACGCGGATGGAACTGTCAACGTCCGCCGTTCTCAGCTGTCGGTTTCTCACCCACCTCATGACTGGCAGGCGGGCGACGCTCATTGCTGACGTCAAGAAGCGGCTCGCCGGCCTCCAAGCCCACTTGGGCGTCTCGGGGGGGTCCCATGCCGCACCACCTTTGCCCCCCCTGCCAAAGTACCAGGCCCGACCGCCGGAACAGGTTCTGCTGACGTCCAAGCGGAAACGGAATGGGGTGGAAGATCTGGAGTGGGAGGCCAGGACGATCGAGGCGCTCCTGATACGCGGGGTGAGCGGCTTGCTGACGGAGCATGACGTCAGGGAGCATCGCTGCTATTGCCTCCTTCTTGCTCGGATCTGGGGTGGGCTTTCGGCCTGGGCACCTGTTCGGGGCCAAGATCCTGTGTCGGTCCGCATTGATCCGATCGGTAAGGGCGTGCGGCTTGCTGACGTAGTCATGGGTTCAGCAAAACCGCTCCCATCATACTTTCGGAATCGCAAGCTCTAGGGCTATTCGGCCTGCCGTCACAGTCAGAAGCATCACACTCTTTTTTTCAGGTCATCCGCAACCTGGTCTACCCCGAATATGCAGACGAACACCACCGATCTCAAGCTGGTAACCTTGTCGTTCCTGAGGTTTATTGTCAATCTTTCGTCGTCGCTACATACAGGCGGACGAGCAACTGCTTTTGGAGGGGCAATATGAGCGGGCGCGGCAGCAACTAGAGGCGGCGCGGCCACGGGCGGCGGGCGAGGACGAGGACGTCACGGAGTATATAAGGACGGATGCGGAGGTAAGGGGTCCGGCCAACGGTTTTGAACAATAAAGCGCTCTGCAACTAAAAGCCGTGCGAAAGGGTCGAGCCTAGAAAGGACAAAAGAAGGTTTCAAAGACTATCTTGTCAGCATTGGGCATTCGCCAAAAGTCTCGAGATCAGCTTTTAAGAGGTTCAACGTTTGGTCTTTAAAGACTGGGTCGATGTGCTCTTTGGATGCTGAAGAGATCTGATGTTCGTTCTGGATGACTGAAGCGAATTCAGATTCAAGGCGTGTCTGATTGCCTCTTTAGGGTTTTGTTTTCCGGAGCAAAACAAAGGCTAGTGAATGCTCTCACATTTCAAACGTTTGTCGCATGCAGATCCGGGCGTTGCAAGCGGCGGACATTTTTGTTGCTCGGATATCGAGAAAATCATAACGGCGGGTGCTCAAATGCGCGTTGGCCACCTCAGGCGCCTCACTGTGCGAAAGGAGACTTTGAGGACACGCGTCAGGAAGTTGAGCTAATTTCCTTTCTGGAGCTGTCAGAGAGGAAATTCAAACGCTCTGAAGCCGTTCCAAACTACGCTGAAACCTGATGACAACGTTATTAAAAGTTGCCTACTACATGATGGACTTTCAAAGCAGATTACCGTAGGTGTTGGAGGTGCTCGTTACAGCCCGGATTGGCGGCACTTTCTTGGCTCTCTGCTTCTGCTTCCGTGTACATGCCTCTCACTTGGATGGCTTACAGTAGATATTGAGTGAGGGGGATGATTGCGTGCATCTAAACTTATGAGTTCTCGATGCTATACGGACTGTTCATTACTGAGTTACGGCTCTTGGTCCTCAGTACGTGTACATCATTGAGAAATAGGTGCATGCAAACATCAGTAAATGTGTAGAGGGCAGGGTGCGGCGGCCGCTCAGTAGCATGTGCTGCCGAGCTACAAGGCTATCACTATGGCACTCCAAATCAGTATATAACGGCTAAAGTAAGTGCACGCATGAACTAGTGACTGTCATCTTAGTTGGGGTGCTGCATGGACGTTCGAGTACTCAGGCAGTGCGATGACCATGCGACCTTGTGTTGACTGAGTAGTCGGACCATTGGTTGCAAGTTGCCCGAGGCAGTGGCGCACACAGACTACATTCCCTGGTCACCCACTCCGACTGCTCATCGACTTCATCGGGGCCTCGGGGAATCGATCGGCGAGGGGGCCAATGATTACGACGGCTACGCAAGTTGCCGGGAGTAAGTTCAGCACCGTCGGATGGATGACATGTGGCGCAGTCGGACGATAAATGGCCATTCCGAAATACGTGTCGAGTTTTGGGTTGCCTGCATATGACTTGTCATGAGCTTGGCGGCACATGTCGCAGCCAGAACAGTTGCAGCACTTGCGTGAAGAATCCGAACTGGATCAGTGGATGATCGTGGGCCTCGTGACTCACATTGTCACATTGAGCTGGCAGTCTCGGTCGCTCATTCATTGTAAAGATCGAAAGAAGCAGGCTAACGATCCATCGTCTTTGAAGTCTTTAATTGGCTCATGTACCGTACTGGGGATCTTCTTCCTGCTTCAAGTTTCAGCATTGCAGGAGCGTCAACTTGTTCAAGCTTCTTCCGCAGAAGGTCGTAAAGCGGACTTTGAGGCCAGGCTAGCAGAGCATTGTCTAGCAGGAGCATTGGAAAGGGCGCGCAAAGCAATTGATACTTCACTGCACGACGGTGAGTGTCGTTGCGAACAGACAGATTTTTGGAAGAGCTCGCTGCGGGGTCTTTTCGACGTTATGCCATGTCCAGGTCATTGCTCTGCAGAATAGATCGCTTTGCTGATGTATACCTGCTGCTTACTGTGGAGTGTGTACTTTCTTATCCTGTAACAGAGATTACTAGCAGACTGCTCGCCTACAGTCAGGTACTACACTATGACAGGGTATCATGATGTACATGTCTATGCCACAATGATACAAAGAGGTAATTCTCTGCAGCACGAGAGATGGTCCTCAGACTATAACGAAGCGGGTTTGATTTGGCAAGCAAATTAGGCTTTGCTTTAGGTCTTGTCGACCTCATCAGAGTCCATGAGACCTCCAATTGGATTGTACTGACTTTAGCTGGCAGTCCGCAGGAGTGGCGAACAATTGCTGGTGACTAGGGGAAATCTGCAGCTGCTGTTCTCTCGGAATGTCAGAACGACGTTCATTTTGAAGGCAATTCGCATTGCTCATGCCCATGTAAAGTGCAAGGAAAAAAGAGTAGCTTGTAAGCTTCTGAATCTTCAAAAGCCACAGAGTTGTGGGACATCAGCATTTTATCAATGAGGTCAATCTCGTCTCAGACTTGGTTCGATAACGCCCGTTGATGTCAATCCCTTTTTTGCTCCATAGTTTCAAGTATTGAAATATCCTGCACTGAAAAGCTACCACTAGCGGCGCATCTTCAATGCATGCACTTACCTGAAGCACTTACTGGTCTCATCCCACTCCAAGCCCTTAAACTCTTTCCTACATCCACTGCAGCCCAATATGGTGCCTCCATCCATCTTCTCGGCTGCCATCTTCCTCTTTCTGGCAATCCACGTGGCATCTCAGGGTCCCGCCCCAGCCCCCGCCCCCGCAGGCACTGGAGTCACCGTGCGCTACTCCTTCAATGCCAGTTTGGTCCCCCTGTCTCCGGACGGTTTCCAGCGCAACACCATCGTTCTGACACCGGGGCAGACAGCAGGGCAGGGGCCGCTGATCGAGTGCAACTCAGGTGGGTGACTCTGTGGGCAGCATTTGTGAGACCTTGAAGGCCACTGGTTGTCAATCAGGAATCTGTCAACCAGCTTTGGACAGGACAAGTTCCTGTCCTGCCAGCCACAAAGGAAGTGAGTGCTATTGGTCTCTCGGGCCAGAGTCCTGACATTGTAGAGTGGAGGCCTCCCTCAGGCTCTTGTCCTTCTCATTCAGCGGTCAATCCGATTTCAGAGCCTTTGTTCGTTGTATGCTTTCAGCCCAACTTGAACCCCGTGTTGGCCTTTCGCTCTACCCTGCTCCTTGCAAGTACAGGGTAGAGCTGGCCTTTCGTGTTTCCTGTACTTGCAAGGAGCAGGGTAGAGCGAAAGGCCATTCGTGTTCCTTGGGGGACTCTGCTCTGTGCTCTTCTCGCTGCTTTCACTTTCCTTTGATGCCTTGCGTCCTTCTTCGTCTCAAGTCCTCCCCTCCGTTTCCCACCATAACACACGCCAATCTTACAATTCAAAACCCATCACTTTCTTGTATGTGCGAACGTTTTCCTGCCCTGGGGTCGCTCATCTACTCTCTTGAGTGGGAAAGCAAGAGGAGACTTGCTTCTCCACTCGAAAGTATGTGCTATAGCCAACTGTGATCAGCCTTGTGCCCCCTTTCCAGGCGACACCATCAGTCTCACAATCTTCAACAACCTGCCGTACGAAACAAGCATTCACTCCCACGGCCTGTGGCAGCGCGGTTCCAACCAGTATGACGGCGTGCCGAGCGTTACGCAGTGTCCCATCCCCCCGGGCCAGAGCTTCGAGTACAGAATACCCACAGTGGGCCAGCACGGGACTTACTGGTACGTACTTTCTTCGTCGCGGTACCTACCGTTTGGCTTCTTTCTAGTGGGTGTCACTTGGCCCCTAAGTACGACAGCAGACATCTGCATCCAAGCAGTGCGAGAGTCTTGGTTTGGTATTTTCCAGTGGGATTCTGCTCTGATGGGTTACGGCTGGTGTGATCAAGGCACGCTTCTCACAGCTCGTGCGTCTGCGTACGTCGAAGTTGACAGCGACGAAGGTCGCTGAAAGTAGCCATCGTAGAGGATCACGAACAGAGCTTCTCAGTAGCGCGGCTTTATCACGGATTTTCTCTCTGATTGATTTGCTACTTGATGAACTGCGCCGCTCTGAGAGTTTCGGTGAAAAAGTCTTCTCCGCCGACTTGGGTGCGCTTGATCGAGCTCCATCGTGGTGTCCCGCTGCAGGTATCACAGCCACTCGCATGCTCAGTACGTGGACGGTATGAAAGGTGCGTTATCCACGACCCTTGCGGCGCGGGGATCTTTATGAGTCTAAAAAACGGAAGAATGAGCAAAAGTTTTGCTCTCGTTGATCTGGCAGCTCCCAAAGATTGCTTGGGCGGACTCCCGATGGACCCGTCGAAAGGTTCGCAACCTCTGGCGGCAAGGGAGACTTTCCTTTAGCCAGATTTCTCAGTAACTTTGCCACGACCTTTTTCAAAATGTTTTACCTCCTCATTCAGGTTCTCCTCGCGAAGACTTCCCGGTTTTCGGCACCCACAGCGTTCTCATCTTTCCACGGATCTCCAGTCCCTTCTTGGTCCGCAGATCAGCTAAACACGCCCCTGTCTTCTCACAGACCTTATAGTCCCCCGCAAAGCCTGAACTCTCAGACCTGAGCCGTGGATGCTTCTCACAAACTTTGGTCTGTCCAATTGAACACAGTCACCCACATTCCCCTCACGTCTCGTCTTAGAGTACGCCGCAGTTTCTCAAAGCCCTAAACCCCTCCGCAGGCCCGATCGTGATCCACGCGACGTCCGAGCCGCAGGCCGCCCTATACGACGCCGAATACGTGGTGTCAATCTCGGACTGGTACCACCAGGAGAGTCCCCCGGTCGTAAACCACTATCTCCTGGGCACTTCCCTGGGAGCCGAACCGGTCGGAAGCTCGGTGGTTTTCAACGGGGTCGGCCGGTACGACTGCGGACTAATTGGGATTATTCCCGGGTACACGTGCAACACGCCGAAGAACGTGCCGAGCTTCCAGTTCCAGACCGGGAAGAGGTAAGCGGGTTGGCTGGGACTGCATGAGGGTGGTCACCGAGTGCTCTGAGGATTGCGTTTAGTCAAGCGGTTGCACATCTTTACCTGGTCGCATTCTGCTTTTGCCACGAGAAGCCTGTTGGTCTCAGCCACACCAAGAAACCTTCGACCATGTTAGACCGGGACTTCGTAAGTCTTACACGTGGATTCGCGATTGGCGGAAGGAAAGTTCACATTTCAACTCGCTCCATCACGCTCGGGCCTTGCGGGAGTCTCACACTTGGATTCGCGATTGACGGAAGAAAACTTCACATCTCAACTTCGCTCAAGCACGCTCAAAATGCCAGCATTATTTCGGTCCAGACCAATATCGCGAATACAGGTACCGGCTGCGCATCATCAACATGTCCGCGCTGTCCGCGTTCACGTTCGCCATCGCGAACCACAACCTGACCATCGTCGAAGCGGATGGTGAGGACGTCGCGCCATACACGGTGAGCTTTCCGGTGTCCTTGGGCGTCTTTGTTGATTCAGATCTCTGACCGCAATCACTGGCGTGCCTGAAGGGGCAAAACAATACCGCTTCTCTTCCCGGTCTTTAGGAGCTTTCCGTTGAATGTCGAGCACTCTTTGGCATCGCAGACGATTTGAAGGACCGCTCCACCGCTCGTCCGCTCTCCCATTTGCCGTAACGCAAGATCCACAAGCCCTATTAAGAATGCCTAAAGAGCCGCCGTCCATTCTGAAATCGTGTCCGTGAAAGTTTGGGACCTATTTCAGAGCTCTGTTTCCTGCCGAGGTTTTCTTACATGCATTCTCCTGGATTCCGTCCGTTTCATTGCGTTCCTTGGATTCGTCCCTTGTGTCGTAGTTCGCTTCTCCTGGTCTCGTCCAGATTGCGCACTCGATCGATGACGTCGACGCCCAACACTTGCGAATCCGTCATTCTGCTCTCACTTTCATCTCGAAGATTGTCTGAAGCTGTAACAGTCCTTTTCGCAGGTCCCCGCTTTGGGCATCAACATCGCGCAGCGCTACTCCGTGGTCGTGACCGCCAACCAGACGTTCGGAAACTACACCATGTTCGCCGACTACCTGTGCGCCCACAAGTATCTCATTCTGGTAAGCCTGCCGGGACCGCTTTTCTGGTGCAAGTTTCCAATTAAGTTTTTTCTCGTGTTCCCTTACTGCCGCTCTGTCTTTTCGTTGACGCCCTGAAAGTATGCGGAAAGTTGCCGTTGTCCTGCTTGCTGTCCAACACGAGCGTCCACTCGAGTCTCGTTTTCGACCGCTCTACCTGGACCCGCTTGTACTTATTGCAGCGTACTTTCTCTTGGTTACGGGCTCTAAAGAAAGGTCGAAGAACAAGAAAGTGCTGGCTTTTCGGATTGACTTTCAAAAGGCCGAGTTCTCTCTGTTTGCTACGCCGTTTACCCGCGCTTCGTCGTTCCCGTGCAGCCCGTCAAGGGCCGCGCCCTGGTCCAGTACACCAATGCCACGCTGACACCTGGCACCAACGCGGCCGGCAACCCCTCCCAAGTGCTTTCCATGACGTCAGCCCCTGAGTCATCCGTGCCCGGGACGTCCGACCCGACCACCAAGCTGACGTGCGACATGCTCGACACCCTGCCCTTGCGGAACCTGCAGCCATTATCGCCTCCCGGTAACGGATGGTCCTCGGCGAACAACATCACCAGCCTAGTTGCGCAGAAGTCGTACCTGGCGGGGAGCCCGAACGCGGACTCGCTGACATTTACGATGGACTTCAACATGACGCAAACGACGTTGGGGCGGCCGGACCCGCTCATCAACGGGGTGAGGAGAAGGAAACAGGGCTTTTGTTGTGAAAACTTTCTGCATTTCAATACGTTTGAATGAAAAGCTGCTGCGCCTCCAAAAGTGAAAAGCTTTGAACCGAATATGTCGAGCAATCAAACGCAGACAGGGGTTTGATGTTGTCGGGCTTTTGCAAGTCCGATTTCATAGCTTCTCTGGAAGTCTCGTTTCTGCGTCCGAATGTTGACAAGGTCCTTTTCACTTCACCGATAGCCCATACCCTTCGATCCGGAGAGGGCACAGATATCACCTTACCAAGCCCATTGACACGTTCGTATAGCAATCCCCATAGACGAGGATGGTGTACCGAGTCCAGATCCGTTTTTCGCCAGTGAAGTAAATGACAGATCTATTTCCCGCCATCGAGGTAAAAGCAACTAGGTTGTGGCTCCTCGTATCCTCCCAGGTCAACTACCAGCCGCAGCAGACGCCCGTGCTCGCGCAGTTGGCGACTTCGGGGCAGGCCCTGCAGACGGCGCTGTCCCTGCCCAACACTACCAATGCTTACGTCATCCCCAGCTCGGTGACCAGCGTCACGTTTATTCTCAACAACCAGGACGGAGGTGAGGCGTCGCTTAAGCTTCGTGTAACTTGCAATTTCTGCTTGGATGCTGAGTAAGAGTAAAACTTCTCCCTTCAGACGCTACTCAAGAAGAACTTCGACCTCACGTTAGAGAGATGCTGTAGGGAAGGAGGGGCTCTGCTTCTTCAGAGGCATTTGCACGGCTGTTCACATTTTCGAAGTTCACCGCTAGAAGAGCGAGACCTAATGAACGTCTCCTCTACGTTTCTATGATTGCCGACTTTCCATTCTGGACTTTGATATGGCGCTCCTTCAACCGCCTCGTTCTACGCGCCTGCCCACGTTCGTTGGTGGTTCTGGCAAACAAATCGGAAACAGTGAGAGTTTTTTAGGCTGGAACTAGACTTTGTTCCGCGCCATGCCCAACACGCGTTCTCAAGCTCGTTCTTGACGAGGGGGGCCCCTCGTATTTCCTCGTGCGGTGATAGTCGCATCCTGCAGAGCGAAAGAGATCCGACTTTGGTTGATGGCAGAGGTGCTGAGAACCCCAAAGTTATCGAGTAATCATCACTTCTGATCCTTGTTTGTACAGGCGAGCACCCGTTCCACTTGCACGGTCACGTGTTCTTCATCCTGGGCCAGGGCCCCGGGCTCTTCAACGCGACGCGTGACGTCCCAAACCTGACGTTCAACCGCACCGCCCTCCGCCGGGACACCGTAACGGTGCAGCCCAACGCCTGGGTTGCGTTACGCTTCGCCGCCGACAACCCGGGCGTCTGGTTCGTGCACTGCCACATCGACTTCCACCTCCTCGCCGGCCTCGCGTTTATGTTCGTCGAACACCCGGAGCAGCTGTATACGTATACGTCCGCCCTCCAAACGGGGCCGCCCAGCCTCCAGGGCCAGTGTAACTACACCCCCGAGGTTCCGTCTACCACGTCGCTCGATGCGCGGATTACGACGTTGCTGAACGGGGAATCGCCGATTGGGGGTCAGCCGAGTGCGGCGAGTGGAATCCAGAGTGGGCAGTGGACCGTTGTAATGGCTATGCTGCTGGCGGCTGCTTTTGTGGGTGGTTTGTGACGCTGTTTTGAGAGCGAGTCGGCCGTTTCGCAAGCGAGAGAAGAGCGGGAGACTTGGGATGGTCTGGTCGAACAGAGTGCTTCGTCGAACAGAGTGTTTGGTGGTGTTTTCAAGGTTACCAAACCTAGGTAACGAGCGAGGTGGTTAGAAGCTGAAGCTATAATGCGTCTTATAAGTAGGGAAACAGATGCTTTGCAATGAAGCTGGTTAGTGTAAGTTGGTTTCGAGTGACACCGTTTGATTGATTGCGTTACACAACCAGGTACATGGAGCTGCTCAAAGTGCTTGTCTGAATGTTCATTGCCGCGGCGCGCTACACATTGAACCTTAACTTACGATTCAAGAGGAAAAAGGCATTAGCTCTGGTTTCAAGAAAGGCAATGGAGACGGCTTTTGAATGAAATACTGGCAGGATTGGACAAGGTTGATACTGAACGGGGTCTTTAAAGGTTTCGGTACGTAGCGACGTCTTCTGACCTCCGATGTTAAATCTGCGCCCCACTTTCGGGCCGCTTTGCCGTCTTGCCTCGTTCGCTGGCCCAGACAGCGTGGCCTGTCAATAAAAGCTCAAATGAATCTCAAGATACTTGACTGCATGCACCTTTTAAAGTGCTTGAATTCAGGTTGTCAAGATAAAAGTTCCTTTGTTCATTCTCAACATGTGGCTCATCAGTGTTGGGGCTCACCTTGGCTGTTTCAGGAAAGTGTGGCGCATGTCTGCACGAAAATAAAGTTTGAAAGATTTCGTACTTGCGTGGTAGTGCGATCACATGGTAGTCCATGCTTCAATCACTAAAAACGTTGTTGCGTGTACGTAGATGCACGTGCTTGTTCGGAGTCATTCACGAAGTTCAAGAGCAGTATTTACAATCGAGCATCAGAGATCAATATTTACATGCATGTTTTGACCCTTGACAGTTCATGTACCAGTGTTTGAAATTCATAACTCGCTACAATCTGCTCGAGTTGCAAGAATGCCTCGCATCGATCCTGCTCATAAGCATGCTCCGCCGCAAGCTACGCCGTTTTGTTGGAAAGAAAGAGCATGGCATGTAACTTGACACTGAGGCATGACGCTTCATACAAAGCACTTCGTCATTAGGGGCAGCGAAGGTAAGCTTGCAGGCACTTTACTAGAGCAACTCAATATAGAGCCTCTTTCTTCTGTAGAAGATGACAAGGACTGAAGGTGCCAACAGCATTCCCTGCATGGCCGTCCACCGCGACCGCCACGGTCGCGGAACCGGGCCGGGCGCGCCACTCTGTTGACGTCAGTGCTGCGTACGTGCGGTTCTCGCTCAGGCTGCGAATGTTGAGTTCACTCTCGACAAACCCTGAAACCCCTGCGGTAACGTACCTCAAGTCGTGGGTGCGGCGCGCCGCTGCGCGCAAACCGATCTCCGGTCATGTCTGACATGACCGGACTCACATGACGGTCATTCACTGTCTTCACATAATGCAGATGAATGCAGCCGCAGAGAGTTCCAAAATGTCAAGGCGGAGCTGCGACGGTCAAGTAATTGTAGTTCAAGTATCCTTATCTTTTGACCGCTGGCCAACCTTTTACAAAGAGGTTGTTTTCAGGATAGCAACTCTGGCCTGATCTCCTTGACAGCATCGACCTCGGCAAGAATGGCTTCCGACTTGTTCTCTGACAAGCTCTTTGAAGCGTTCATACTGCGCCGGGGGTAGTTTACACAAAACTTTGACCTATTCAACGCACCAAATAATGAGACTGCTGCAAAGCTGGCCCAAATCAACGAGGTCTACAAGCCATACAGGTAGGCTATGTTCACCAAAAGATGTTTCTGCTCTAGGTCACCTGCCTCTCTTGTATTAGGCACTATCAGATGCAGTCAGCCCTCGGAATTAGGGTATGGTTGTTCCTTTGTGGAGGCCAGGAACAGAACTTTGTTCATCCGGGATGCTATCTGGCAGAATGCAAGGTGTCAGCTCGAGATGACAAATGAACCACAAAATCCAACCTTATTTTTTACAGGTCATAGAGCGTGTCTGCACACTCAAGTCTGACCACTAGAGAATCTCAAAACTGAAGCTCTTACAAACCAGCCGTTTTGCACAGCCGCTCTCGCTCCCCTTAGCTCCCATGAGTCCACGTGTTAACCTCTATGCTCAATTCGCTTCTCCCCAAACAAGTCTTCCGTTTTGCACAAGCTCTTTGGCGGACTCAATAGATGAGTACATCCGAAAGTCATGAAGCAGAGAACGGAAGTTTGACAGAAGCTGCGGTCGTGCAGCCCATAGCAGGAAGCCATGTTTGAGCTACGTGGCAGCAGTGGAGTCCTCTGCAAGGCGAGGATGCCGGCGCTTGGCTCTGGAACGAACTTCGACATCAGACGCATCGATGCTCATCCCTACCTTGCAACCATCGTGAAGGGACCAGTCAAAGAAGACCCCAAGTTATGCCAGGACTTTGTTTGGCGTCTCACAACCCAGGTAATACAGGCTTCTCTAGTGATCTGATTTGTCATTGTAAAGACAATATAATTAGACTTTTCGTCCTTTCCAGGTGGTCAGTAATGTTATCCAAAGAATTTCGAAGAGTAGACCACTTTGTGTTTGACATCTTGAAGTAATCTGGCGATGGACTGTCAGTGGGCGTCTTAACCTGTGCTTTGCTGGCAGGATCTTTCAGCTGAATATGCCACTAGATCTAGCTGCTCTGGCTAAAGCCTCCATGCTAGAAAGGCTGATTAATACCTGCTCTGATAGTTGTGGCTTTCAAAAGTGGTGAAATTCTCCATGCGAAGCTACGCAAGCAAGGAGTTGCGGAGCAGCGCTCCGAATGCGGAAGATTCTCACATCTTCCAACCACACCTGCATCACTACTCTCGGCTTCTAAACGGTTCATCCATGATCGACGCTTTTATCGTCAAGGCCCTCGTGCCTTGAAATTCAGCTTTGGCTTGAAGCTGTTCTCGAGCCACTTTCACGGAGACAGGAACAGTGTTTCCAAAAGGTATTTCTGCAGGAACACACGGTGCTGACGGCGTATTTCTGATAGAGCCAGCGCTGAGAATCTCACACCCACTGCAGATTGACTTCTTCTCTCCGCGGAGAAGTCGACCTTGGCAAGAGCAGATTGGGCGCATGGATGTCGAGCTGGACGGGTCAACTCACCGCGAGGTAATATTCGATTCTTGTCCAACGTGAATTTTTCCGTTATTCTTTGAAGCTTCGCGGCATATTACTGCCAATCATTCTCCCTCACAATCGGACACTTTGAAGGAGAGATTGCTCTTGTCTCTCAAATCTAAAGCTTTCATCAACGCCTTCAAGCTGGAGACGAAGCTGTTCCATTCACGAGTTTGGAAACCAAAGTCGACGTCGTAATTTCTCTGACGTCGTTGTGTGTACAGTCTGATGCAGCTTTCTAGATCCAGCGAGACAAGCAGAGGATGGACAAGGCTCTTTCCTTTCTGGCAGTCGCATCAAAGCACATTCCGCTTCTCTGCAGTATCGTCTGAAAGACAAGGAAGATAAAAAGGGTCAGGTCTACAAGGAGTGGGAGACTTATGACTCGCACAAGGTGGAGCGCTGGCGAGTCGCGCTGCAGCCAATGATGCGCGCGCGGAGGCACGTGGCTACCCATCTCCATGACAAACCCTCAGAAGCTGACTTCAGGAGAGACATCATGGCGGGGAGATGCATTTTCCGCAACGGTAAGCAGCGGAGCCCCTGAAGGAGGCTAGAGCCGGGGTCAAAGATAGTTCCGGGCCAGGATATTTTACGAAAAGATAGCAAAGGCAAGAGATGCATGACGATGTTTTCGCGCTGACGCTGAACGTGTTCCATTGAGATAGATGTCCTGAGGAGGCAAGTACAGTGGCCGTCGATCGCCTTGCCTTTGCACCTGTCGAATCGGACACTCTTTGCCGCACGAAATCGACCTTGCTAAAGGAGACGACGCCGGCCGGCAATGCGCAATGCGTGCTGCTGCTCTTTTGAATTGTCAGAGTCGTACTGCCACAACAATCTTAGTCCGACCCTATGCTTTGACCAGAACGCCAGACAACTCTCTTGCACCATTACTGTTCCGTCTGATTGCTGTTCAACATTCACTTCATTTCAGGACGGCCTCTCACCTGAGGTCGCTCGAATCAAGGGTGAACTCACTATCTGAGTTTTATTTTGCCGCGTGGCTTGCCAGGTGATTCATCACTGGTGGGGCCGGCAGTGGTCCAAGCTCCAGGTCCCCCCCGGCCAGCACATCCCCATGGGGCTGCTCGCTGGTCAGCTCTGCAGCCGTATCCTAGCCCCCTGGAACGTGCATTGCAGCCTCAAGCTGCCGTCAGACGCACCCATCGTCTCCCGCAAGGACTGGGACGACAGCTGGCAGAAGCTGGGAGCAGCATGGGATCTGAAGATGCGCTTCGCTCCAGAAAATGCTGCCGATGTGGACAAGGCCTTCCAACCTGTACCGCCGAAGCCTGGTGTCCACGAATGGGACCGCTATCCTGACTACAGTAACTCGATCGAAGCTTGGAGTCGACCTTGGAATGCAATAATGTTCGGCATCTTTCTTGGCCCTGCCTTTGGTGTCCTGGCTGCGGCGGCGGCGGCTCTGGGAGCGAGCGCCATGTAGATTGGTGGCCCCGAAGCACTCGTGACGTCAAGTACTGAGAGGTCGTAACCAAAACGTGGTGCTTAAGACACATTTTTCAAATTCAAGTTGGTGATCGGTCACAAGTCTGCCTCCCATGAGGAATTGTCGTGAGGAAGACACAATCAGCCAGTGGATCTAGCGACTTGGTTTCGAGCACGCACACCCAATCTATGCATCGAAATGTGCGCTTTTCAAGAAACAGAGGCGCAGGACATACTCATTGCAAATCTGCTCTGATCTTCTTGGCGCGCAAGCCTCAATGGCTGCTAAACGGAGAACGTGCCAAGTAAGGTCAAGATTCATGATGACTTGCATATATCTCAAGATGTCTATTCTGTAAATTTGTTGCCCAAGCAAAGGCTTCGGACGGCCAGTTCGGAATCCAGTTTGCTCGTGAGCATTTATCAGGAGATTGTTTCGGAATAGCGGCCGTCAGAATGGCGCACAGTTGTACGGATGCATAATATAAAGGCGTCAAACATTGCACACGTTGCATATAAGGGTCGACACCAAAAAGGTGCCATATGTGCTCTCGACGAAGGCGACTGGTTGACGCCCGATCTCGACCTGTCTTGTGAGCGCCTGTTTTTTACGAGGTCAACTCGAACCCTCACTGGAGGTACTGCTTTGTCCACAGTTCACCAGTTGCGTGTATGCATCTTGCTACAAGTACGCTACAAGCCTTGTGATAATGATTGCTTCTTGCATAGAGGGCGAGAGGTAGCAGCGCCTCGAGGAAAAGGGAAGCATACTTTGGACGCAGATGTCCATGTAGGCTGGGTACGTGGCAGGCAACGGCAGCAGCACGACGAACTCGCGCAGTTGGCGCGGTCGCTTGACCAGCTAGCCAGCGCGCCGTCGAAAACCTCTGTCGGAACCCTGTGTCGGAACCCTGCCTGGGTTACGTACCTTTATGTCGGCATGCGCGGCCGCGGCGATGAAGTCGACTCGGCGGCCAGCGCTCACTCTGTACGTGCTGAGCATGCACTAGATGTATCATTGACATTGTATGGCGCAGGGAATGCGTGGCGTGCCGGATTCCCCTCTGCTTCTGCCAAGGGAGTAGAGGAAGCAGAGATACGGTAGCAAGATCTTAGGGCTAGTGTGAATGCAATGTACTCTGATCAGCTCTTTGAGAGTTTTATTCTGCGGAGGGGATGGTTCACCCAGAATTATGACCTTTTTGACGAGCCAGACAACAGGGGTACAGCAGGAAAGCTGGCTCAATTCAACGAGGTCCTCAGCCCCTACTCGTAAGCATTCCTCCAGCTGGCTCATTACACTCTGGCCAGAGCTTGGTTCTGAAGCTCCTATGTCTGGTTGCCAGCCGACTGATTTCCGGGGCCGAGTACACAGACCTTTGCAGAGCAAGATAGTAAAGTTACTTCTTCTTTGCATTCATGAAGTGACGAACTCTCAGCACGAGAATAAAATCATCCGGCACTAAATCTCTCATGAGGTAGTTGTCGATGCTTCTTATCTTGGCAAGAATGGACACCTGGAGTCTGTGAGGTCGTTGACAATGCACACATTCTGGTTCACGTCCCCTCCGAGTCTGAACTCTGGCAATGAGAATCATGATCTGGAAGGAGATACTTGTAGTTGCGTCTGCAACATATGGCTAAGGCAATCACTTGCCCTAAGTAGAAGGTTGCCCAAATCTGCTGCCTTCTTACTATAGAGGGAAAGACTGAACATGCTGATATGAAGTGCATCAACTTTGTAATATTTTGACTGCTCGAATCCTCACTGTTCAGGGCTGTTTGAAGGACGCTACCAGTGTATGACTTGCTGAAATAAGGAAACTCTTTGGAATGTGTTGGTTCCAACAGAATCACAACCAGTTGTGTTTTATGGGATAGAGTGCTTGTTGACCGCAGATCTCGCTGATCATAGAAGGGGCACTTCAGATGTCACAAAAACGACACTATCATTGGCTAGGTGATTGTATAAGTCAGTAAGGCTTTTCAAAAAGTTAGCACATAGAAAGCAAGCATTATCTTGCAGCCGATTCTTGGACGCCTGGTTCGAGCTACGAGGCAGCGATGGGGTCCTCTGCACTGCCCGGATGCCGCGCCTCGGAACTCGTGGAACGACTCTTGATATCCGACGAATCGATGCCAATCCCAACACAAACGGAGATGAAGAGGAGCGAGAAAGACCTGCACTTCAGAACTTTGTGTGGCGGCTTACGACTCAGGTGATGTGATTAGAGGGGACGGCACAGTAGCTCAGGATCTGCCATATGACCGCATATTAGTACTTCTTTCTTTGCTTTGTTTCGTGTCAGTGCCTGACACGCACAAGAAAGTATTACCAGATATGAAATGGGTTCAAACCACGTTCATCGCTTCGCTTGGATGGGGTGCCCCCGAACTTTTCTAAATCCGCTTGAAGCTGCAGAAAAGGGAAACTGATACGATACTAGGTTGCAAGCAAGTCCTGCCAAATAGGTAGAATGCTGAGACGTTCCTTCGCTCTAGTTGCAGGTCAGCTTCTTTGCTCCGTGGCGTCTGAAGCGTTGGCGGGAGCAGATTGGGCGCATGGACGTTGAGATCGACGGTTCGACTCGCCGAAAGGTGAGTGTACACCCTCGAGAATTTCAATGCTCAAACAGCTCACTCCCAGCTCGCACACAGATGTACCGTACTGGGAATCTCGAATCGCTGTCATCTTCGGACGCCTGAAAACATCTCTTTCGTTGCAACCATTTTTGCACGTCCGACGTAGTTACCTTTGCTCTATTCGTTTTCGTGAGTGCCTTCCTTGGGAGCATGTGGTTCATAAATCTCTTTTCTCGTAATAGAGAGGAAGCTGTCCTGCATTTTGCCTACACGAGATGTATCAATTAGGGAATCGTTAGGCTGAGGTCACAGGCAGGTGCTCGATCGAACTTGGTTCATGAGTCTGAGATTCGAGCCTTGGGCTTTGAATGTCCAGTAACGACTCTTCAAGCTGGTTTCACACCGCGCAGGTGAGGATGCGCGGTTCCAATCCGTTCCTCACGCATCAAAAATACGCAGAGATGATGCCAGATGAATGATCCCTCAGAAACTCTTCACTCGCTTAGATCCTTTCACTTTCTGAAAACCGGCAGACATGCGAGAAAGCAGCATATAAGGACGCGCTTTGTTATGACCGTATGAAAGGAAGGGAGACTTTAACTCCAAAGAAAATCTCTCATTGCGTCCGCCCTTCCCTTCCATCCAACGCCACTCTTTCGCCCGGTCTACAGTTTTACTTGGACGAAAGAGAGGACCTGCAAGGGCAGACTTACCAGGAGTGGACCGCATCAGATGACCACCAAGTAGAAAGGTGGCGAGCCGCGCTGCGCCCGATGGAGTCTGCGGCCGCGGCCGCGGTGGCGGGAGGCACGTGGCTGCCCATCTCCATGCAAAAAAGCGAAGATCCGTGGCGAACGGAGTGGCAGAGCGAAGCCTTTTCTGCGAAGGTGAGGAGTCTTGTTGAAGAGCGTCTTTAGGTTTATGATGTCCGACCTGATGTTTGTAGGTATCCTTGAAGTACGATCAGCTTGGGAAAGGAAAATCGTTCTCCGATGTTGCATAAAACCCGCGGTCCAGGGTCTTGAGCCCAGGAAGTTCTTCGAGCCACTGTCGCCTTCGTTGTTTAATATAAGCTTCTGACAATCTAAATTGGTTTCGAGTGGAAACTGCTCCCACTCGGATGAATCAGCCCCTTCGTCGTCCGCAAATCACCTCAGCAACGGTTTCTCAGGCAAAGCCGTCCACTTCGGCCCTCTGCCAAAGTGCCGCGCTCCACTTTTGTCGCGTCCATGTCTCAATGACAGTCTTTCCTCGGTTGCCATTCTTCAGGTGGTTCACAGGTGCATCGGTCGAGAGTGGTCCAAGCTCAAGGTTCCTCCGGGACAGCACATCCCCATGGGGCTGCTCGCCGGGCAGCTCTGCAGCCGCATCCTGGCCCCCTGGAACGTGAAGCGCATGCTCACGTTGTCCTCAGATGCACCCCTTATTTCGCGACGCGAATGGGACGACAGCTGGCAGACGCGCGGCAAGGAATGGGCTCAACGAATGCGCCCCGTACTGAGGAGTGCTCGGGGCGCTTCCACCGGGCGGCTAAAAGGCTCGGCTGCGGAGGTGGCAAGGGCTTTCCGGCCCAGAGAACCGAGGGAGTGGGGTGGTGAATTCACAAGGTACCCGGATTATTGTCACCCGTTGGAATTTGCAAGAAGACCGGGGACGCTAATTGGGATGAGCTTCGTGGTCGGTTGCGTGTGGGTCCCACTGGCTGTGGCAGCGGCTATAGCGAGGCACGGCGGCGCCTACTAGAAGCTGAGTCCGTCGGTTCTTTGATGCAGCTCGTGCGGTCAGCCTGAATGCAGCCTCAGGAGATGCCCGGGAATCAGGGCTTCAGGTCATCAGTAGCGTGGAAAATTATCAGCAATTGATTGCTTCAGAGCCACGGATCTAGATAATCTAGAAGTTAAGTCGCGGATCGAATCAGCTGCCTGTCCTCGGTCAGACAAGCTCGGTCCGCGTCGAAATCTTCTATAAGTCGTCAAACGGATTCATTGTAGTCGGCCGTTTGTTTCTTCACCATCAGCGTCAACACAAACCATATTGCCATCGATCAACCGTTCAGAGAAACCGTCAGTGATGTACTGAAATGGTGTACTGTGATGTACTGCTCGCCGCAGGATGCAAACATCTGTTAACGCATGGGCCACTTTTCAGATGTAACGTCTCCTTCTCTCCTTCCACCTCCTCCCGTCCTGAGGATGCTGCCACCTTCTCAAGTTGCAATCGTTGCAATGCGTTTGGAGGATGTTGCTGACAAGCTTTCTAAATCAAAGTTTGGCACCTTCGCAAGCGCGGCGGGATACTCTGCGTTACAAACGGATTGCCGGGATAAGAACGCCGGCTTCCTACGGCTGGCTTTTGGCACGAAGTGGCGCGCAAGAGCTTATAAAAAATTGAAAATAATGAGATTGCTTGCTCCAAGTTGGCGAAAAGCCGTGCAGATGATAGATGTCATAGATGTATATATATGGTGGTGACGAAGATCAAACTGGGTAGCCGGAACTGGTTGTCACTAGCTTTTATGCATCTAGCTACCTGGATGCATCAGTCTTCCACAATTCCACTGTTTTACTCGTAGCACCATAACGTTTGCTGCTTCCCAACCTTCTTGTCTGAGCAAGCCGTGGCCTGGCAAAGCTCCAAAGGATCCAGAAAAACATCATATCATAGTGCGCTTCGGGGCTGTTGTGGTACTGAAGTTCATTCGTTGTGCGACTTAGTTTGGTTTGTTTGATAGTGTTTCTCTTTTTGTTATCATTACTGGCGGCCTCCCTATGTGTGGTCCAATCAGTACGTATTGTCAGAATGCAAGCGCCGGCTCGATCAGATCAGCTAACGCGCGCGCGGCCGGCGGCCGCTCCATTGACGGTAGGGGCAATTGAACGCGGGGTTTGGGCGGAGGTTTCGCAACCATACCGACGTCAAACGTGACGCTTCTGTTATCGACGGTCTATGTTGAAGATTGTAACCTTTGGACGGCTGACGCGAGTCGGTTGCGTCACCAATGACGGGTCACGTGGATCAAGTGTCACAGTCACGTACCAAAGCTGCAAATGAGGAGGCTCATATCGTTGCAATGGCCCGCCCGCGGCCCACGGCTCAGAACAAATGCAGCTTGCTCAGCTTCAAATGCAGCTGCGGCCCCCATTCAGTAGCAGCCACCAAGGAACAAAGCGCAACAGCTGACAAGGCGCCTGCTTTCATCTCGACAGCTGCAAGCTCTAGAAGCGTTGGCGAGGACAAGCGTTACTTTCATCCAGCAATCGTCAGCAGCAGCATGGCAGCAGCGCTTCCGGTGAGACTGCAGGGCGGCGCCAGTTCCAAGAAGAGGTCTCGAGAAGCCTTCAACTTCTCTTCAGTCCCGACTCCAGCTAGTGGCTCCATGTCAACTGAACACGAACCACTTGAGGAGAGGGACCTGTCCCCCATGATCAAGCGGAGGTGCAGGGAGCTGGGGGAGATGGTCATGGATGCGGTGTGTGTTCCAGCCGCCGTGGCGAATGGCAGGTTTCCAAGGGTGCAGAGGCTGGGACCGCTGTATGCTGCTGCCGCCGACCTGCTGGGACCTGACAAGGATGAGATCAGCAATGCACTTGCCCGGAGAGCAGCTACCAAGACACACGAGGCGCCAGCAAAGGCTCACCAGAACCAATGCATTGCCGCTTCTAAGACAACAGTGACAGTGACGATCATTTCCAAGGTCCGGGACACTGCTTCAGGTGCAAAGGACGACAGCGCTGTCAGGCAGAAGGTGTTTGGGGACGGGCGCTGCGCCTTCCGTGCTCTTGGCAGGGCGGCATTTCCAGACCTGCTAGACAGGTGCCAGCGTGACTCCAGGGGCCTTGCATTGGATGAAGACGTGCGTGCTGATGAGCGGCAGATCGCAGACCTGCTGCGAATGCAGGTGGCGGAGGCCTTCAGGGCGAACTCTGAGGAGATGGGAGGCCTGGTCGAAAGCCTTGACTTGGACTCTTACGTCAAATCTCTTATGGAAGTCACCACCTGGGCCGGAGAGCTTGAGCTTTACCTGGCTGCAAAGCACGTGCTGGACCGAGTGGTGGAAGTCTGGGTCTTACCTGAGGGTAAGGAGGAGGGTTTGAGGGAGGGTGTGAGTGAGGGTGAGAAGGAGGGTGTGATGCCGGAAAAGAAGAAGGGGTGGGGGGGGGCAGGGGCCCAGCCAAAGTGCATTCAAAGGTATGAGACCGAGGGTGCGGGGCAAAAGCTGGAGCCCCTCCGGCTCCTGTACAATGGCAGGGACCACTGGGACCTCTATGTGGGGCCCTGCAAGCCGAGGTGTGGTCTGAAGAGTTACAACAGAAAGTTGCTTCCCAGATCTCTCTTGCAGGCGGCTCCAATGAGGGTCTGTGGAGGGTCTGTGAATCACACCAACGGCTGTTTGCCTGGTCAGAGGGCTGCGAGTCTGCTGCTTTCTGGGGGTTGATGTGGGGTGCTCTGCTCCAGATTTAATCCTTGGTGCATGCTAAACTCTTCAGGGTGTCTTTGATGCTTCAGGGGTGTGAATGTGGGTCAAGGCCTGCCTGGCTTTGTTCAAAAATATACACACGCTGTGTGTACAGTGCTGCATAAACTGGACACGCTTGGAAGTGGACGGCACGTCACCGGCCACTTCTGAGCGGCGTCTTAGCGCACTGGGCCTGCCGCCTACTCCAGCCCTGCCACAAGCTAACCTACCCAAAAGTATAAGTACTGCAAATATCCACATAGTCGCAGGTATATGCAAAGGTTATGTACTCTGCTAGTGTGTGCAGCCGAATAGGGGACAGGGATAATCAAGGGCTTCGGAACAATGTTGAACAACTTCAGCAAAAGCAAAAAACGGGGCTGATCCATCCTAAAGCAGGACTCCATCTTGCGAGATGATGATGAAGAGATGGAGGGTTCTTTGAGACTGACTGCGTTTATATCGACCTTGCCAGGCAACCTTGCAATCTTTATATCTGCAATTGACCAGAGTACTCACCAAAGTTGCGAGGCAGGTCTTCAGACCTGAATCAAAGCTCTTGTTTCCTTGATTGGAAACAGGTAATGTACTGACACTGTAGCGTGTGCAGTTTGTCTTCTATTCCCCGTCATGATACCAGCAGGTCATGCATGTGTCAACCGGTACAGCGGCATCCGGGCCCTATTTCACACCCCAGTATGCGAGCCCGATTGTCCGAACTTACGAAAAAGGTAACATTCTCTTCCTCTGCATTGTACTTTCATCCAAAGCGTTATTCCTTTTGCCTGCCTTTGAACCTGTTCCTTGGTATTTGAGCACTTCTCAGAAGATCCGGAGTTTCTTCTTGTTCTTGAGCTTTCAGGAGCCCGGCATGTTTTGAGCAATCTCCAACTTAGCCTTCCGGATACTCCAGAATAGTGCATCTTGTTTATCCGACGTGATTCTTGCTAATATACACTTGTAGATTTAGCACTACGTTCTACAAAATGCCTCTTTGATGGCTCTGCTAAGGGCAGATAAAGTTCAGTACAGCCGGGTAGGGGTATGACGTTGTCACCATTTGACTGCCACTTTCCTCCGCCGACCCTTCACGAAACCGTCCCTCTGCAGGACCCTACACACCAAGCGTCCCGCCAGATTTGCATGTTTAATCGTGCAAATCGTGAACCCGTCGTCAACATGTATTAATAGGTGGTGACATAAAGACGGGAACGCCATGCCTTACTCTTCTCAAGTTTGAGACGAAGGGTAGATTGTATAGTTGAGACGCTGGGATTACATCAGGTCATACTTGCAAAGCCATCATGGCACATGGTTTGACACTGATCGATATGTACGCTGTCGAGATTGCCCAGAACCGAATGACAGCGTATACTCAAGGCTTGAGCTTAAGCTGGAATGATAAGTGGATTCCATGCTGCTTACACTTGAAAAGGTATACCAGAATGATACTGTAATAGCTGTTGACCACAATATCATCATGCAGGCTAGCAGGCCAGCATGTCATAAGTTGATGGGATATTGCTTCATGCGATGATTCGCATGTAAGCCACGCATATAAACAGTATTTCATTATGAGCCGCCCTGCATTGGCGTATGCATGGTCAGTCACTTCTGCCACAGACGGCGTCGATCATGGAACCTCTGACTTTGCACGCAGGCGTGAATGACTGATAGCGCAATCACACTGAATGATATTGCTGTCTTGAATTTCGGGAGCTAGATGGAACACCGTCATCAGCCTGTAGTCAAACAATGTACTTCATTGATCGAGTGCCGGTTAAGCATCTACTCCAGCTGCATGCATTTATACACGATGGCGTTGGAAATCGGGCGCATGATGCATTGCACGCGGACCATAATGTTGCACTGAGCGTCGGATGGATGTTTGAGAGACCAGGCCATCATGTAGAGTGTGTGCGTGCACTCGATGACTCGGTGCCATTCTCAGTCAGCGGCTATCGCATTTTCCCCCTGATCAACCCCATGCCGTTGATGCCGGGCACGGCCTTATCACAAGAGAACATCGACGGCATCCTTACATGAATGACATATCTAACAAGGAATTAACCAGGTTCCCATCGTCTGTTGCCCTTGATGCTAACCCGGTAGTCTGTTGCCCTTGATACTAACCCGGTAACCTCGATAGCCAGAAATTTTTCTTCACAGAGATCGTGAAAACGCGGGTAGCAACGTTGAACAACAATCCAGATTGTGCTGACATAGCTTAAGAATTGCCAGGCGGATGCAAGGGCGGGCACCGAGTGAGTAGAAATGGTTCCAAAGACGGCATCCTCTGCTGTTCGACTAGTTTCTTCTTTTGTTTGACAGTCAAAAGCTTCACGAAAAGGATGCTACTGATTTTAAATCTCAGTCGAAGACTTTCACAGTCTTTGAGGATTATTGTTATCATCAGTCACCCCCTCATTTCTTCCTTCTTTCTTACAAGCCCTTGTATTTGTAAAGCGCAGCAGTTTTGCGGAAGCGGTTTCTTCATGCTGGACTCGAGCTTCCTCTCAAACCTTTTTTAAAGCACCTCTGCACGCACGACACTCAGGCTATACCTATACAATCAGTTAGAGATGCCACTTACTACAATATTAGTCGCGTAGCGGGATTTCGACACCCTCGGTCACGATAGAATTATATTAGCAGCGCAACGTTTCGTTCATGCGGTATTGCTATGTGGCGTGTCAAATCCCGATAGCTGGCCGCTGTTCTCTTGCGACGGCGTTTGCGGCCGCCGCGCCCCGGTTGCAGAGGTCGGCCGTCGGGGGGTGAGCATGCCGGCGCCGTTGCTCTTCCGCTCTTTCAGAGGCGGCAGCGACTCCGGACTCAGCGAAGCGGCTCCCGGAGTCGCCGGCAAAGTCCCGCCCTTCGAAGCCGGGGAGGTCACGCTGCGGTTCTCCGACCGGGGGGAGGTCATCCGGGGGGAGGAGACGGGGGATGTCTCGGAGGGCAGGCGACCCTGCAAGTGGGATGATACATCTTGTCAACACACAGCTAGCCTGGGTTTGGTCCGGGTCAACAAACCTTTCTCGAAAACCAACTCGCACGACAAGCATTCTCTTGCTCGACGGCTGATTGTCTTCCCCCTTCCTCATTCGAAGGGGTCCCTCCTTTCAAGAAAGCAAACGTCAAGTCGGAAGCGTTTGAAATCTGTAAGGATGGCGATTGAGTTACTCGCAAAACTGTCCACCCGGCTGCTGACAAGAACAGAGTTCACATCTCAAACCTGTGTCCAGGCGCAAAGCGGAGCAGCAGCCTTTCACTTCTGTTCCGCTGCCAAAGAACTCTCTGGCCGTAAGCTGCACCACAGTGCATCATGAAAAGTAACGCGTCCACCTTCTGATCCCCGGGCATCCCCTCCTGAACCATGCACTTCTCGGCGTCGGAGGGAGCGGAGAGCCACACATTTCAAAATCGTGGCCGTGGGCACTAACCCAGGAAGCCACGAGTTAAAACCCAGTAGTTTTTCCAGCCAATCGTTACCCAGCCCACCTGCATCCCCCCTGCGTAGATGCGTTCCGCCGACATTTGCGCCCAGTTGGACTTCGGGAGGGATCCCCCCGGCACGTAGTCCGCCCGCTTCGCGTTCAGTTTCTCCAGCGGGTGGTCGCACGACATGCACTTGTACCCGGTCAGCGGCTTCCCGGCCAGCATCGCGTAGTCGCCCTCGGGCGCCCGGGACAGGTAGTCTTGGACCAACCGGGCCAGCTTCTGCGCGCGCACAGGGTGGTTCAAAAGCTTGAGACTGGACAGATTGCATACCCATGGAGTTTGAGGGTGCAAGAAAGCTAACGGCGTCATTTGAAGGAAGGGGCGCGCTCTGAGGCGGTGGGAAATCGTTGTGGACGTAAATTGGAAAAAGGTGAGGTCGCAAGGGCGAGACAACCGCACAAATGGAGACCATCGCGTCAACCTTGTAATGATGCATTCCAACCTTTGGCGCTGCCAAACGGCACCAGTTCAGTGCTCCAAAAAAACTGGACGGTTCGAAATTGTGTCGACCAGCTGGCATCAGGTTTGACGCTAACCCAGTAATTACAGAACGCGTCTAACGAATTCATGCTTGCGAAGCCTCGAGACACCCCAGCCCAAACACCATTTTGATTGCATGATGAGTTAGGTACTTGCCTGCAGGTCGGCCCGCCCCGCCTTGCCGAGCACCTCGTCGCGGAGCGAGCTCAGCAGTTGGTCGTATTCGTCCATGCGCTTCACCACCTCGCTGACGTCACCGCCCAGGTTGGCGACGCGCGACACGTTCTCCTTGGGCGCCACGTGGTCGCACGCGAGCAGCTCCTGGCGGGAGAAGGATTGAATCTGTGAGGATTGGTTACTGATAGCGAGGCGGCCAGAACATGATAAAGCGCGCGGGCAACGCGTGTGAATCAGAGAGGGCGAACGCCGCAAGCCTATAGAAAAGGAAAGAAGGCGAAGAAAGAATCGTTTGCACTAAGAACGATGGAACAGCTGCCAAGATTTCTTATCGATTGGCTACTCTGCCAAGGTCCTTTCCCTTTGCCAATGTCCCAAGGTCTTTAGCTCTATAGCAGGTTTCGTTTTATGGCCTTCAAAGTCCCTTTGCTTTCTTTCTTGAAGTACGTCAAGAAAATCCGCAGAAACCTGATTCATCCGCCTCCGAGATCGACTCCCCACCTCGTAAAATCGCATGATGTCCTCATAACTGATCGGCCTCTCCGCGTGTGTTGAGGATTCGTTTCCGCTGCCTGAGTGCCGCGAGGACCCGCTGTTCCTTCCGTTTCCGCCGTTCCGGTCGCCATCTTCCGTCTTCCGCTTGCCCGGGGTAGGAGGTCGTTGCGGATCGTTGCCGGACATTATGACGACACCCTTTCCAATGAGACCCACGTGCTTGTACAGCTGTGAAAATACGGTTTTGCACGTCATTTTTTCCTTAGGTCTTGCAACAGCTGCATCTTGAATCAGCATACGTCTTGCAAACATTACGATTGGATGGCTTGATAATCAGAGGCACCCGTGTTTGTTGAAAGCTACCAAAAGAGTCTCGAGTACGGTACTCGATGCAAACCAGAAATGCTGTTCCTCTAGTGCCAGGGACCCTGGAAAAACCTCGCGCCTTATGCACATTCTCAGCCGGCTCGTTCTTCCCAAAGGGCTTGAATCAAAGTTAAAGAAGCAATCCAACTTTGCCCTTCACGTGGTCGAGACAGTCTCTACCTATCTGATCTCCGGCCCCAAAAATCAGGTGCTGACGCACAGATTACATCACCAGACAGCCGCCCGTAACGGTCGGCCCAACCTTCGCCGGAGCGTTACCTGCTGGATCAGCTTCTGCTGGTCGCGCAACGCCTTCCGCAGCTCCTCGCCGCCCGCCGCGCCGCCCTCTTCGCTTCTGTCGCTTCTGTCCGTGTCAGCGCCGCTGCTGAGCCGTCCGATGAGGCTCGTCCGACGGCTGAGCCGCCGCGTGGAACCGCGCAGGGTGTCGAACTCGTCTTGCAGGTGCGCGAAGTCCGCCAAGCTGGCCTTGCCCAGCAAAACGTCCTGCGGTAAAAGCTGAGCAGGATCTGAGTGTGAACACACTACTAATGATTCAAGACCCGTAAGCTTTGAGGGTGGTAAGCTCCTAAGCCGAAACGAGAACCCTGATCTCCATGTACCCCACCCGTCTCAAGCTGGCAACCTTCGCTGAGGCTTGTTCATTCTCAACCTGAGGAGATTCACACCACGTTTCAAAAGATTCAGGGCAACCAGTCACAGTCCACCGCCCTGGCCTTACTGCTTATTCCGACACAAAGATCCAGGTGCGCCTATGTACGTCCACAACAGGGGACCGGCAGGGGACAACGAAAGGCCGCTATCTCAGGCATCAGAGGGCAGGCGTCTGGACCTCGCAAGTGAAAACAGTTTCTTTGAGCGCCCGCATGAGAGCTCAGTTGCTCACAAATCGTCACCATTGACTAAAACTACAACTGGTCGATTGGTTAGCAACCGATAACCATGCACTTGCCTGGATTTGGTCCAATCTCGTCGCCAACTCTCCAACCCTCTCCAAAACCCCTTCCACTCCGTTTCCGCTCGTTCTGCTCTCCGCAGTCAGCGAGCCCCCCACCCTCCGCGCCGACGACGGCCGCTTGGCGCCGCCATCCAGCGCCAATCTCGCAACCACCTCAGCGCCGTCCGATCCCAACTTGGACGGCGTTCGAGGCGCCACGTCAGCGCCGTCCGACATCGCTCTCGCCGCCAATGAAGCGTCCGAAGCGTCCGCTTTTGTCTGGACGAGCTTTCGGAGGGCATTAAGATCGTCTTGCAGGTGCGTGCATATGGAGAAGATCGTCTCGTCGGGCGCTCCGGACGCGGCCGCGAGCCGGTTCTTGAGCGCGCGCAGCTCCGCCAGCAGCTCGTTCCGCTGCGGAACAAGACGGCATTCCGTCAGTTTCCGAGGAGCAACAATCCATGTCAGAGTCTTCAGAAGAAGGGTGATCTTCTCTGATTTGTCGAAGGTCTTCATAGCTTCGAGACGCTCTTGAGGGAAAGCGTTGACCAACAGAACGTGCACGCAGCCTGTGTCGATTGTTAAAATGGACGGTGCGATCTGAGAGCGCCTCGATGAAGATCACTTGCAATGGACTGAAACTGCAAATTTCGAAACGTTCGCATGATATCTTGCATCAATCGTACGAGCGGGCATGCGCTATGACTTCCACGCAAACGGACAGCAAGGCCTTTCCGTCAACAGGCATTGTCAAGGTGAGTCGTCTCAAGGATACATATAGTTCTGAGAGGCTTTCTGACAAAGCTCCAGAGCGACATTCTAAATCCGCGCACCTGCGAATCTACCGCGGCCGCGAGCTGCCGCATCTCCTCCCGGTCGGCTTTCCCGACCACCATCTCCCGCAGCGCGACAAGCCCCGCGTTCGCGCTTTCCGGCCGCGGCTTCGCGCTTTTCGGTCGCGCCACTTCCGCCAGAACGGACGGAACGCTGGACGGAGCTGGGGCTGTGAACGGAACCGGCGCTGTGGACGGAAGAGCAGTGGCAGCGGACTCCTGAGTGTCGTCTGAGTCGAGGGGCAGTTCGAGGGCGGCGACTTTGAAGGCGAGGTCGTCCAGCGGGGCGCGCTCCGCTTTGGAGACGCCCAAGTCATCGACGCGTTTCAGCTGGGCGAGAGAGAGACACGAGGACGGTCACGCAGCTGTTCGCCTGGATGTGCTCGATCCCCGATGTAAGGTCTCACAGCCATTCGACGCAAGCAAAGCACTGCATACCGGTGCGGGTTTCCAAGACCCTCCTGAAAGCCGAGGCGCAGCAATCAATCAACCACAAAGCAAAAGGTTGTCATCTGCAACAGTCAAATTCCTCGCCAGATTCGTCAGTACTCATGAGCATTCTGCAATTCATGCGAAAGACAAAAGCGAGATTACCGTAACCACCGAATCCAGAAGATATTCAAAGAAACGACCATTAGAATCCAAATACAGGTGTCCAGAGCAGATTTCTGTGGAGCTAAGCCTCCAAGCCTAGTCGACCCACCAGCAGCCTCAGCTCGTCCTCAATCCTTTGGCACTTCCTTGCCACGTCAGCCGCGGCTGCCTGCGCGCGCGCGACCTCCAAGTCCCCAACGCGCTCCGTGAGATGGTCCACGTCGACCTCCAGCTTTTCGTACTCGTCACGGGTCACCTCCTTCGATCGGACGGCGGATGTTGGCCGGACGGCAGGCAATGGACGATTCTAAGAAAGGCGAATTCTGATGTAAGTCTTTCGTGCAGAAAATGGAACGGTTGGCTTCTTTCAATTCAAGAGACCCGTTCCAGTCGGCAGAGGCCAGAAATTGGTTCGTTTACCTACTCCTTGCAACGCCTTACAACCGCTCCAATCCGATCGCGCCGCCTAGATGAGCTCTCTTCCGGCCTACACTTTCTAAGTCTTGAGGTCCAAGGTTCGGGTTCCGCAGAATGTATCAAAGGGCAGAGATGGGCATCCCACCCCGCTCGACTCTGTCTCCGAACCAACTAACGATCTTCGCAAGTCGGTGAAACTTGAAGTGTACTTCTACTTCAAGCCCTTTTCAAAGCAAAAGGCATTGACTCATCGTCAGTAAGAATCAGATGGTAGAACGGCCTCATTCCACTATTGCGCTACTGCCTATCGAGTCCAGCATTCCCTCCGATCTCATCTTTACCTATGCAATGAGTGGAATACAGTCCTCGACGATTCTTCCAATTTCTTCGAACTCACCAACTCATTTGCATCAATGACGTCAACGCGGCCCTGCAACTCCGCCACTCTCGCGTCCACGTTTGCCACGTCAGCCTCGGCCCTCTCTACCCCCCTCCGCACATTCTCCACCGTTTCGGCGTCCGCTTTTCGCTCCAACCGCCTCTGCAGTTCCCCCAAGACGGCGCCCATCCCGGAGGGATCCCCCGCGGCCGCCCCGGCTGCCGAAGCGGCCGGTATTGGCAGGGGTTTACAGTCCAAGTCCTTCCTTAAACCCGCGCACGTGCCTCGCAGTGCGAGGAGATCCTCACCCTGGCGCGCAAGCTTCTGGTCAGCGGCCTGCAGCGCAGCCGCATGTTCCTGCAAAGGATTTGGCCCAAATCGATCAAGAGCCGTTCAACGCCTTGGACCAAGGGAGAACGGAGCACCGACTCTCTTATGAGCATAACTCGATACTTTTGACGTTTTCCAAGGGCGCGTGCGGCGATTTTGCAAGCAGCAACTGACCGCCAAATACGTGCCTATGACTAAGTCATCAACGAACTCCATAAAGTCTGGAGATTAGAGTCTTCATAGCATCAGATAGTTTGGTATCTGCATACGAAGGCCCAAAGAAACACGAAAAGAGGAACCGTTCCGCACCTTGACCTGCTCCGCCTGTCCCTTCTGTGCCGTCCCCTGCTGCTCGACCTGCGCCGCAATCCGCTTCAGCTCATCTTCCGCCGCTTTCAACCGCGCCCCACTCTCCTCCGCAAACTTCGCAACTCTATCAAGTTCTTTCCGCAATCCCTCTTCCCCTCCATTCGTTGGACTGCTTCCCGTTCCCTCAGCTTTGCCATTTGAGCTCCGCCTTTTTGAAGCTGCAATATCAGCCTCTGAAGCGCTCTGCCGCTTCTTCTCTGCCTCTTCCAGGGCGCTGATCCTCGGAGCGAGGTCGTGGGTTTCTGGAGGTTTGCTAGCTGAGCTCTCAAGCAACCTGGGGAAGGACACGTTTCCATGAGAAGGGTCTCCAACCAACCTCTATTATTCTTTGAAGTACCTGGGACTCAACAGCTCACATTCATGAGAGGCGATTTGGTTCGGTGTAGGTCCACCATCACTGGACATCACTAGACGCAATCAATGAAGCAGTTAGCCCGTCAGTTTTAGAGAAAGGAATCGGGTTGCAAGGCCCACAGGAATCGCAAGCCGCATCCTGTATGCGAACAATGAAGAGTTTCTTACCCCTTCTCTGCAGCTTCAACCCTCCCCTCCAGGACCTTCGTCTTGGCATCTGCTGCCGCTTGCTTTGCCTTCCCCTCTTCCAACGCTCCAAGCAACTTCTGCAGTTCGTCCTTTGAAGCGCCACCCTTGCAACTCTCCTCTGCGTTTGCCAACCGAGCTCCCTGCAAGAGGAAAGGCGTTTAAAAATCTGCTTTCGTGACCGCATGAGCCTGCAAATCTCTTGCACAAAAAAAATCCGTTTTCCAATCTTATCGACTAAGCCACAACCTTGTTGATGGTCAAGCAGATTTCAGCGATAGCATCTGGTTTTCTGAAACTACCATTCAATGGGTTCAACGAGGTGCAATTGCGTTACACTCTTCCGGGACCAGTCAACTGCTGCCCCTGCTTCGTCCAGGAGACGAACCTTCAGCTCTTGCGGAGTGTTTGATTCCAATTGAATCCTGGCGCTGCTGAGAGCATAGCTGAGCTCCTAAAGCAATATCGCAAAAGTCTTGGTGCCCGGCAAATCAGTCCGAATGGCGCCTGTTGTGTAGAAAGAAAGCCTTTCTCCTATTTGAACTGCAGAAACGATGCGCATCAAACTTGACAATTGCAGTAGCTCTTACCTGGTCCTTGACCTGATTTGCAAGCCAGGTCAACAGCACTTTGAGGTTGTCGAAAGCGAGCCCGCTGATGACCTGGACTGACTCAATCTTCAGAGAGTCGTCAATACTGACGGGAAGTTCCATTGCTGCAGTGGTGGTCATTGTGCAAGGGCACCACAGTCCTTGCTTCCCTAATCTATCTGAGGCCTCCTGTGCAACTGCGCGCAAGAACCTATAAGTTCCTCAAGCGGTCTGAGTGTTTGTGATCGTGCTTCCAATGAGGACGTGACGAACGTTGCGGTTCTTCCCACTCAGATCTTTTAGCCGCCTTCGCAGGTCGTATGTGTGCAGATGTCTTGACACGAACATTACGGAGCGACTCTCAGGACAGTACCGTCTACACAGGGGACTTGAGATCTCCCAAACCCCATCTGGAGCTACTAGTCAGCGCCCGATACAGCCCAGCCGGCCCTGTGGCCTCAATTTGCAGATCAATGAAGCATGCTACCAGTGACTGCATGTCGGGCGCGAGCGCAGCCGGCGCATCCGTGCTTTCCTCCTCTTGCGTGGTGGTAAGGGCCCCATTTTTCCTTGTCTGCATGAACGGTCTTTTCGTCTCTCTTTAGCATTTCCCTCAGGATTCTGCGGCAGTCAGATGATTACATAGCAATGACACATCTAAGCACCAGGCTATCAAATATAGCGGCCGGAACACTAAGTAAATCCTGTCTTCCCACATGAAGGAGTTGCTGTAGGCAAGCTGGTGGCAGCATTGTTTATCAGCAAAGCCTGACAGCTTTGACGGAGGCCCACTTTGCAGGCAGATATCAGTCTGCAGCGCCCTGGGTGGCAAGCGGGCAGAAACGTAGCGAATCTCCACCGTTAGACCAACTGGCAATGCCTTTGACATACGAATTGTGTGGCATGGCACAGACTCGAGCATCTTCCGTCCGCTGACCCATCAAGCTTTTCACCTTTCAAAGAACAGTACCTACAAAGCACATTCAGCGCCCAGTTGGCTCTTGGGTACTCAGCTGAGCAGACAAACCGTCAAAGGAACAGTCTGGATGTCACATGTACACATGTACAGAAATATGAAATGCACAGGCACCCTTCACGAAGTTGTGTGCGCGCACAACCGGTGCCACGTGCTTAGCAACAAATGTCCAACCGTCCGATCACTTCCGAGCATGACATGGTATGCCCTCCTTTCAACCGTCGATGAAATTGCAATCCGACGGACTCTGAGATTTCTAGTGTTGCTCGACCGTAGATTCAGAAGGTTCCAGAAATGATTGACATGTCCAGCATCTCGGCCGTCCGTTCCTCTATCTCGCGCAAAGCAGCGCCGGCAGGAGTTGCGCACTTTAAGCACAGTTTGACCTTGCTTCGTAACCCTACCGTTAGGGGGTTCTTCCACCTAGCGGTCGGTCTTCGTAAAATGAAAATGCGAAGACCAGCTAGAAAGACCGGAGGGCTGTGAAGGTAGCCAATAGGATTCCAGAAAATTGTAGACCGACCACCGCTGAAGGGGCCTCCGGTCTTCCTTCCGGTCGGTCTTCGTTCATAAACTGGAGGCACCAGTGCAGACAGGGCACCCAATCATTGGGTTCCGAGCCCACACGGTGCGCATCGTCTTCTGATTGGCTGAAACCACCGATAGCTTCGGAAGTCCACTGGGGCATTTTCTCTACCGCTGGAGTGCAGCGGTAGAGAAAATGCATTTCTTGACCGCCGACGTGGCACTGAAAATTCGGAAGACCGGTCAGTTAAAGACCGGTTCACCGCAGAAATAGGGGGTTTCAGCCAATGGGAATTTAGGGAACGAAGACCGACCGCTAGGTGGAAGAACCCCCTTAGCGACGCAAGTTGATCGATCTACCCATCTTGCTTTTCATTCTTCGTTCGAAGGTATTTAACCAACCAGATCACCAACCAATCGGGTCGAAGTGGGGCTGTCGCGCGATCGCGCGTCCTGAGGCTAGAGTGTGGAATTGCTACACTGCTGCGGCCTGCCAGCAGTGCCTTGGCGTTTACAATTGTACCACCATTTCCCATCAGGAGCGATTTGAGTCGTGGGTGCTGCTGCCATTGTCGCTGCGTGCTGTCGTAGGCTTTATGCTTCTCCACTCAGCGCTTTTGAGGCGGTCCTTAGCCTGTCCTAACCACCTCTTGTCCACCATGGCGGCTGCGCAGAGCCTCACGAGGTCGGTGGTGACGCCGCCAAGTTTGGCGGCTGGAAGCAGAAGCGGTGCTAAGGCACGGGTAAGAAGCAGCATTGTCCTATTTACACCTCTGAGTATTTCTGACCGTAAATCTACTAGCTATTCTTTTCATCCCTATATACCGCCTCTTTTACTGGTTGGCAGGGGCAAACAGCTGTGTAAGGACGTTCCTTCTATGTACACTCTGTCTAGGCGGTGAGGAATGGCTACCATTAACAGGGATCTATACTTCAAAACGAGTGACTGAAGCACTATTAACAAGATCTGCATTGAAGCCTATCTTCAGGAGGCATGCCAAGCTCAGCATTACCACCAAGTGTCATTCAACATTCGAAAACAGCTGAATCAAAAGCAGAGTAACAGCATTAGACCTCTCTAAAGGCCACGAAGCGTGTTTGGGTTCAATCGTGTCAGTTGAAGTGTGAAGACATATCAGTTTGTCAAACCATCATAATTTTCTTTGGAGGACAACCAGGCTTGCAAGCGTGTTCCCCCGGCCTAAGCCTTCATCTCACTTAAACTTTCCTGCTCATTAAGTGGTCGATGATTGTTATGCATTGCCGCCATATTCCTCTCAGAAGCCTGCAAGTCCTCAGTCACTCTTGAATCAATTACAGCTTTAAGCTTTTATTCAGCTTGATGGAACATTGGCAAACCCTAACCCCAAACAAACAAGAAACAAGGGAGTTTTTTCACCAAGTCCCCCGTGGCGCCTCTGGCGCTTTTCATATCAGGCCACGCAAACATCCTGACTGTCAAGTGTAGACAATTAAAGCTTACTCAAACACCCCCCCTCGTCTTGCAGACTACCACTGCCCCCGCTGCTCCTGCCCTTCGCTCTTCCTTCGTCCGCAGTCTGTGCACCCCTAAAGTCCTCGCCAGCAAAGCATATCTTGGCTCTCAGAGCCTCCTCAGTCTTAGCCAGGCTGCCGCAAGCAGCAGAGCATGGGAGAGACAGACGGGGGGCGCTTTGACTTGCAGGGCTGTTGCTACAGAAGCCCCAGCAAAGGAGGAGAAGCATGAGTATCAGGCAGAGGTAGGCCCTTCCTGACATCTGGATTTCGAAAAAGCTTTTTGATGATGTGGCAGCTTTTTGCCGCCACCCTACCTCTGTTTACTTCAACGGTGCCTCACTTGGTTCGTTTTTCTGCGCACAAAGGTGATATTTCAGGGATTTGAGCCGTGTATCCCAAACTCAGTTGCACCACCTTCTGATGCCACCGAACCAATTGTTCACCACTTGAGGTTTTGATGTCGGCGTTGCAGCCCTCGTGAGGTCCCCTTGCACTTGCTGATACATCATGTCGCTTCTAACAATTGAACTTCGTCCGGTGAGCGAGGATTCACCATGCTCTTTAGAGGTTTGCACAAGAAGGCAAGTCCATCTTCAGCAAGGTTTTTGGATCTTGTACTTTTTCCTTTTCCCCTCGATACAAAATCCCTTGATACAGAGTCGTTGACTCATCTTTCTCGCTGTTCCAGGTGAGCCGCCTGCTGGATCTCATCGTCCACAGCCTGTACAGCCACAAGGAGGTCTTCCTGCGGGAGCTGGTCAGGTAAGCAAAGCAGACCGGCGTCCTTCTGACATCGATCTTGTGCTGCTTGCCTGCTGACTCTACGTGTATTTATCCTTCTTTCACTTAGCAGCGTTTTCTCAAAGCACAACGTTGACGCGCCCGTTTCCGCTTATCAGACATGAAAGACACACTGCTATACTAGACGGGCGTCTCTGGTAGTGTCTCGACGGTCAACATCACTCGGTTTTCAATCATGGCGCACTTTGAAGTCTGGCTGTCGTCATTTATGGGAATTGGATTTATAATTTATATATAATATCCCCCAAATCTTGCGTTCCTCTGTGCAGCAATGCGAGCGATGCTCTTGACAAGCTCCGATTCTTGAGCGTGACGGATCAGAGCCTCCTCGGCGACTTCCCAGACCTTGAGATCCGGATCAAGGCCGACAAGGATGCAGGGACCATCACCATCACGTGAGCATCTCATCTGGTGGCTAGCCCCATGTACTTTCGGCCCTACGGCCTAGTTGCCTTGTGGCTTTCTGCAGATGAGGGTCTTTTGCACAGCAGAGACATCAAAAGATAACTTGCTTATTGATTGGGAGGCCGTCAAGGTGTTTTGTTTCGAAAGTTCACTTGACTCAGGGTTATTGTTAACGAAGATTTGCTCTGTACTCCGTCGTTTGAAAATTAGCCAGCTATCAATCCAAGTATTGGCCAAGAAGTGGCCATTATTTTGGCGCAATTTCAGAGGACCACGCCAACTGCGTAAGTCGCAGGTTTGACCAGAGAGTGTACTGATCAACGCTGGGCCAATGGCTCATCAATATTGATGACGACTGATTGAGGGTGATCTTGTTGCAGAGACTCGGGCATTGGTATGACACGTGAGGAGCTGCTGGACAGTTTGGGTACAATTGCCCGTTCAGGGACTGCAAAGTTTGTCCAGGCAATCAAGGTGAGCTGCTTTCTAAGGCTGAGAGATCTTGGGTACGTCTTCTTGGTTTGCAATTCGTACGGAACTCTCGTCAGCCCCTCACCTGATATCGTTGCTTTTCGTGAAGTTAAGTTGCATCAGCACATCTATGCAGATGAAAAGGCAATCACTCGAGCAATCAGAGGGGTCGCCGTTTCTCTTTCTTTCGAGAGCTTCCGGCTCGTTCACCAATCGGCTGCCGCCAACAATTGGGCCTATTCTGCAGGATAACAAGGATGACAACAACCTGATTGGCCAGTTCGGTGTGGGCTTCTACTCGGCTTTTCTTGTCGCAGATAAGGTAGGGCTTCAGGAGCTTGTCTACTGGTCATCATTTTGCTGTTCGTGTTGCTCGATTGCGTGTCTCCATCATTTCTAGGTTTCGTGATTCAGTGCGTTGGCATCAGCTTTCATGTCCCTTCCGTGCTGCACACCTTGTTTTTAACCCTGGCAACGAGACTCCTGCTTTGGACTGGGTCGGCAAGCAGAGCTCGCTGTATCCAAACGGAAGATAGTCCATCCCGACTCATTGAAAAGGACAGAAAGCATCGCCACGTCCTCCCTTGAATTGCTTCCGCACCTGATCCCGAGAGCTCTGAACTTGATCCGCAAGGTTGCTTCTCTCCCTCAGCATTGAACCACATCACGATGATCCCTTTTCAGCTACCTATAATTAACTCACTCACGAATTTGTCGCTCGGAAGTACCTTCACCCACTCCACCTTTTCAATTGAGGGCCAAGGTCGCCTTGACATGAGTCTTCGAAGAGGGGGCGCTCTTTAGTAGCGCCTTATTCACGTTTTTGTCCATGTTCTTGGCGCCAGATCACGGTTACGACCAAGAGCCCCAAGTCTGACCAGCAATGGATCTGGGAGTCCGAGGCCGACACCAGCACATACACCATCAAGGAGGAGATGGATGATTCCAAGCTGCTGCCACGTGGCACGAGCATCACCCTGCACCTCAAGGTGAGCCACTCACCTTCTGTAAGAGGCGGAAAGTTTTGACGAGCTTTCAAGAGAATCCATAGTGATTGAAGCTGGACGGAAGCAACAAAGCAGATGAGGTCACGTTATGGCAGATATTGAACCTATGTTACGGGAGTCGAAGAGCCAGCTGTCTGAATACTGCTTCTCGACGAAAGTTGGCCGAGGCCGCCGTACGGCTGTGGAGGACACGAACAGGGTGCAGATAAGTGGTAGAATTAGGTCGATTCTCTGAAGATTTGGTTTTCCAAAGAGCTGGGCACTGGCTCTCACAACTTACAACATTTCGCCAGTATCGCTTTGGACTGGATTGTCGAGGCCTGCGATCAAAAGATCGCAGCGAGAAGTCGTGGGACGATCTGCTCGTCTGTATTTCTCAATGCCTTCCATGGCATTCTAAGCACAAGTAATCTTAAAGTCGGGGCTTTCAATCGCCAAATCCTAGGGCCGTTGGGATGTTACCAATAAAACCGCAGCCATGGATCAAAATGGGTCCTACATATCTTGTTCTGTGCACTGTGAGTTTGCAGCGCACGATACCCGCACTTCTATGCATCGACAGCGGGGTAAGATCTCACGCTTTTTGTAAGCTGTATGGATGCGAAACGCTTATTGAACCGTACGCTATGACGTGCAGGAGGCCGACCGCGAGGAGTACTTGGACTTCCGGCGCATCAACGGGCTGGTGAAGAACTACTCGCAGTTCATTAGCTTCCCCATCTACACCTGGGTCGAGGAGCTCGTCGATAAGGAGGTCCCGGACACAGACGCGCCCGTCGAAGAGGTGCGGTCAACGATTCATTGTTCTCCCTCGGATAAGCCGGCTACTTTGTTGCCGCGATGCACTGGCGGCAGTGCCAGGCTACGGGATAGGCAGACCGTGGGCATATGGGCGCACAAAAACTCTTCAGAAATGCATGAGCTGTGAATTGGGTTGTGAATTCTCGTGCGGGATCAGGGTAAGAGTCTACGGATCATGAGCTCAATTGTCGACATTCCAGTAGGCACAGATGTTGTGGCCCCGTTGTCAACGCCCTGGCTACATGTTGTTGCAGTGCGCTTCGACTGTCTGGTTGTCCTGCTTCTTCTTGGGAGAGACGTATGTGTCCTGGAACTGGGAGCCGGAAGTTGCTCAGGGACACGCATCTTTCCTACCACGCTTTTCTGTCGCCCGTAGCAGCCCGGCGAATGTTCGTGAATATTTGGCCCAAAATGGGCTTCTGATTGCTTTCAAGGACGGTTAAGCGGTGTTCTGAAGAGTATTTATAAGTTGCTTTAGGTTGATTTTCAGAGAAACTTACCAGCCGCTTATAGAAGAGGGTTCCGAACAAGAAAAAAGTCGAAGCAAGAGATCGAGCCCATAAGATCGGTGTAGGGTCAGCTGAGCCGAACTCCGCCCTTTTCTGGTTCAGGGTCAGGAGCCCAAGATGAAGACCATCTCGGAGAAGAAGTGGGAGTGGAAGCTCCAAAATGAGACCAAGCCGCTCTGGGTAAGTTTCCGGTCAGATTGTTAAAAGCTTTGCCGGTGGCAATCGCCTGAGAAAGTCGCTTCGGAGCAGGGGAGAAGAGACCTTGAATGCGGTTTACTGCGTGGCATTGTGGAGAATGGGGTGATTAATGGCGGCTCTGTCGCTTCCCGCATGGCACGGGAAGCGAGAGTCCCTTCTTTTCCGTCATCCCTCCGGACGTTTTTCAGCTCTTTCCTGCCTGCACGGCTGCTTCACTTCTCAAAACACTTCTTTCTGTGGCTGCTCATGCCGTTGACGCATATCGGAAACTTGATCACGGCAGAGTTGGTTTCCGACGAGCAGGTATGTATCCAGGTAACTTTTGGGTACCCTCCTGGAAGCGCTCCATTTTTCATACTTGCGGGTTGCTTTGTGCAGATGCGGTCGCCCAAGGATGTTGAAAAGAAGGATTACGACGAGTTCTTCAAGTCTACGTTCAAGGAGTTCATGGAGCCTGCCGCGTACTCGCACTTCAAGACAGAGGTAAGCGAAGGGGATAGCAGCTCAGCTGAATGCTTGAAGCGAAGACGACGATACGTGTGCAGTGTCCTAGAGCTAGTTGCCCAGCTGCAAGGACAAAGTACATCCGCATTGAGCCTCCCATTTGCTGGATGGGGCGAAGCAAGGGCGCCAGCTATTCATCCTGATGGCAGCGCTGGCGCCGGCTGTTTCTTGCAGATGCGCAGTACGCAGCCCACTTCCGGCTGCTTGTGATGGAAGAACTCATTTGAAAGCGCAGCCCGTCAGCTCACTCGGAGTTGGGCCATCTAGGTACCTATCATGAGATCCAGATCCACAACCAAGGGAGACCTTTCACACAGGGTACTCGAACTAGCCTTCGAGCTCCAGAAACAAACCCCTCCCTAGAGTGCTAATTCAAACGCACCCTTCCTTGCAGGGCGAGATCGAGTTCACGAGCCTGCTGTTCGTGCCGGGCATGCCGCCGTTCACGCAGGAGGAGGCGATGCCCACCATCGCCAAGAACATCCGGCTGTACGTCAAGCGCGTCTTCATCAGCGACGACTTTGGCGGGGACCTCATGCCGCGCTACCTGGCCTTCGTCAAGGGCGTCGTCGACTCCAACGACCTCCCGCTCAATGTTTCTCGGGAGCTGCTGCAGGAGAGCCGCGTGGTGAGTTGGGGAGCTTTTGTTGGACGATCTTGCTTTAGCGCACTCGTTGTCGCAAAAGTCTGGGTTTGGTTTTGAGTGCCAGCGTGCAAGAACAGAGTTTTGTGATCAGCGGGGGTTTGTTGCGGGGAGGTTTAGGGCGTGGTTAATTTGAACGAACTTTCGCTCAACTTTCCCGAGAGCTACTGCTCAGGAGCCACGTGGGTTGGGGGGGCGTTTTGTTTGAGGAGGCGGAAGATGCTACGATATTCTCTCTATAAAAGTAAGTTTCGTTTGGTTTTGAGTAGCACCTTGCAACGTTGGAGGCAGGTGGTAATGGGGAGTTGTCATCGAGTAAAATAAGGGGAATTTGTCGTAAAGACCAGGTAGGTTCGCACGCTCCCGGAGAAGCGGGGGTGAGTGAAAGGAGTAATTGGGGGGTAGAACGAGAGTCAAAGATCTAGCTTGCGGCAAACACGTGTTGGAATTGAGATCAGAATGCGCAGGCTCGTGAACGGGCATGTTTGAGAACAGTTGAAAGCCTGCTGAAAATTGAAAGGTTGTGTTAAAACCCGAGAAGTTCAATCTATAAACCGCGGATTTTGGGTCGGATACAGTGCCGCTTGAAATAACACTGGTGCATTCTCCCCGCAGGTGCGCATCATGCGCAAGCGGCTGATCCGCAAGACGTTCGACATGATGGACGAGATCGCGAAGGACGGCGAGAAGTACGACACGTTCTGGCAGAACTGGGCGCGCAACATCAAGCTGGGCGTCATTGAGGACTCCGCCAATCACAACCGCCTCGCGCCGCTGCTGCGCTTCTTCACCTCCAAAAGCGAGGACAAGCAGATTGGGCTGCAGGAGTGAGTGCGCATCGGAAGTTTTGTGCACGATCAAATCATTCATATCCGGCGTTTTTCTGATGTTCTTCGGCGGATCAAATGATGTATATCCGTCGTTTTTCCGATGTGCTCTATCGTAAATCTAGCAACGGACACCTTACTACTTTGCGGTAATAAGGTGGTTTCACTCTACTATTCTACAGTACGATGATACTGCATCATTCTGCGGTGTGTATTCCTTTGCGTTGTTGTGTATTCCTTTGTTGACGTTGCTCATTGTGCCATTTGTTTGTCTGAAGCGGGCCGTCTATGCCTGCAGCCATTTCCTTGATTCTTTGAGAGACAGGTCTGTGCCCCATTGTGCTTCTTATGTCCTCTGTTGCGATGGAAGTTGCCGTGGTTTGACATCACAACTCATTCTCCACGACACACTTCATCACCCTTCTTTTTGCATCAGCAGATCGTACCATCACAGGCTGGTCACGCTCAGCATTCTCGCGTCGAACCCGCAGAATTTGCTTGACGCCAGAGGAAGCCGCTCACATCCAGAGTATTTTGCCTTGACAATTCTCTTCTTGTCCAGATACATTGACCGCATGAAGCCCGACCAGAAGGACCTCTACTATCTTGCCGCCGACTCGAAGAAGAGCGCCCAGACCGCGCCCTTCTTGGAGCAGGTCAACGAGAAGGGCTTCGAGGTCAGTCCCCAGACGGTTGTTCGCCTCCTGCCATTGCTTAACACGTGTTCTTGAGCTTGTTCGAATCGGAGGCTCTGACAAGTGGTGCTGAGTCGCTCCTTCCTCCGGTTGTTTTCCCGGCACAAGTCGATCTGAGACATCGGAAGCTTCCCTCTTTCTTCAACAGGTGGTCGGGCTTGGTTTTGCCGTCTCAGTTGTCTGCAAGATGTGTCGCTTGATGTTGCGACTCCTCTTGGTCGACCGCCAGTCTGGAACGAATCAGGAATAGGTTAGCGGAGGGAGGACAAAGCAAACGGCATAATGACCAATGTTGAAGAAAGGAAGTGATTGCAATCGTTTCTCCCCCATTACTGGTGCTGTTCTTGACAGAGGCCATCGAAGCGCTTTGTGAGATAAGTCATCGAAGAAAGGAGAAAGGTAAACGGAGGGAACGGATGATACATAAGCAAAGGAAACGAACGCCTCTCTCAATTCCACCGCAGGTGCTGTTCTTGACGGAGGCGATCGACGAGGTGGCCGTAAACGCGCTCAAGGAGTTTAAGGACAAGAAGCTGGTGGACATCACCAAGGAAGACCTGGACCTTGGTGAGCGCCCCGTGCACTGCCCCGCTGACGTCAGCGGGACGTCATCTTGTGCGCAGTGCCTCTGCCAGGAAGAGATTGCTCGCGCGTGCCAGGCCACAGCTGGCGGGCACAGAGCCAACCACAAACGGCGTCTCCCCACTTGTGTTGCGGCATGCCAGCTCATTTACCAGTTTCAGTATCCGCCAGCTCACCAACACGAAGCGCTCATGCTTCGCGGTTCAGCAACGGTTGCGTATTCGTGACTGGTGTATTTCTTCCATCTCAGGCGCCGAAATATGAGATAGCCGGTAGTGGTTTGTGGTGCTTTGTCACAGCGCATTTTCCCCTGTTCGGCGTATCGAAACTTTTGCATTCTGCCGGACTTGGCATCGCGAGCGAGTAGGAAGGAGGTGAATAATGCGAGTCACCATTACAGGGTGCTGATTTTGCACTCCTTGTGTGCGCGTATTACACTGCTTTTGATCATTCCTCCCCCTGCAGGTGAAGAGGAGGAGGAGATAGAGATGGGGAGAAAGATGGAGTGGTGCTTATTGGCGGCTCTCGAATGACTCCTGTAATGTCGCAACAGCGAAGTTGACACCGCTTTTCCCATCCCTTGTGCAGGCGACGCGAGCGAGAAGGAGGAGATGGAGAAGGCGGAGAAGGAGTACGTGGTGCTGTGCGACTATTTAAAGCGGCAGCTGGGCGACAAGGTGGCCCAGGTCAAGATCTCCAACCGCATCTCCACGTCGCCCTGCGTCCTCGTCACCAGCAAGTTCGGCTGGTCCGCCAACATGGAAAAGTGAGGGCAGCCCGCTGTTACTCCGCTTATTTCTCCGTCCTTGCACTTCGTTGCGTTGCCTCCGACCCGTTGATTCTCTACTTAGGCCTCCACTTTTGCATGTTTTGTAGCGTATTGTTGCGACGTTAGCAGCAGGACCGACTTCTGCTAGCATGCGTGCCCTGGCGAAGCAAAAATGTTTTCGTGTTTCCCCAGCTTTCACAGCTGTTGAAGTTCACGAGTTGAACTCCAGTTCTGGCCGGGAGAACCTGGTGTTCCTGTGCCAGAGGACTGGTTTTTGCTTGTTGCGGTACCAGAAGCCTCTTTACCGGAGCTCTTCGATCGTGTAGCTTGGACACCAGTTGGGAAGTCGCATTTGAGTGTCCCATTACCCATCCCAAGCCTGAGGGGAAACATGCGCTCTGGTGGGATTATGAACACGCTATCTAGCCCGACAGACCTTTTTGGATTTGTCCCTTCGACCACCTTTTCTTCTTCCTACCAACCGGTTGTTGGTTGTTTCTATTTTGCCCGTCCTCGAAGTTTTTGTTGCACCGTTGTCCCCCTGCCTGCAAGCCAGAAGCTCGAGTTACATACTCTTAGTTGGTTTCCGTGCTTTCGAATGTTGCACTCGAGACAGGACCTCACTAGGCAGCGCTGCTCGGTTTGCAGGGTGATGAAGGCCCAGGCGATGGGCGCCGACCCGCAGCAGATGGAGTATATGCGCGGCCGCAAGATCCTAGAGATTAACCCCAAGCATCCTATCATTAAGGACCTCGATGTGAGCAACCGCAACCTTCCCTCCTTTTTGTCCATTCAAAAGTCCTGCAAAAACATTCCGCCCATGAGGAACAAGTCTACATATGGAAAGGATAGCTGGATCGTTTAGTGGGAGATTAGGATCTTGTTCACATTCAAATGCAAACTCAAACAATGATGAATCGGGTAGTATGGTTGAGAGGTTACCATGTGTCGACTCTCGTGTATTCCGGAATTGGATCTGGCAGTGAAGAGTGCAGTCGACCCATCCTTTCTGTGGTTTAGCAGTATTGCCTGCTTTTGCTCATGACTGGAAGCTCGCCTTTTGCAAAAAGCTGCGCGATCAGGGGGTTGTCGTTTCGAGAGTAGTAATGAAGCATTATTTTTGGGTGTCCTTGCTTCGGACATTCATTGCCTCTTCTCTGCGGCGTTTGGGATGGAAGCACACCGACAACAGATGCACGGCTGTTTGTGCTGTTTTCTGACGCACTCTTACATCACCTGCCGTGCAGACGATCGCAAAGACGTCGCCGACAAACGTGCACGGCAAGAACATGGTCGAGCTGCTGTACGAGAGCTCACTGCTCACTAGCGGGTTCCAGGTGAGACAATCAGCCGCTACGCTGTTGTATGGTCTATGACGAGCGCCTTGTAGAGCCGCTGTGCCATGGTTTCGTTTCGAGAATCCTACAGGAGTAGGCAATACTTAAGAAGTTTACCACCTTTTTGAGTTCCCTGGTTTCCGGCCCTGGGCCAAGAACGCCGGCAAGTCGCCTTGGATGGGCCGTCCGCACCCTCGCAACGCCTTGCACAATTGTCGGTTTCACATTCATCGACTTGCAGATATGCACCTATAGAGGCGGCGTGGTTGCTTGCGCATCCGCCTGACCACTTTCGATGTACACGTCATGGGACAGTCTTAGTGTGATACAGAGTCACGTGTTGAGCTGCATAAGCTGTCAGGAATTCATAGCTGCTATCGGGTAAGGACTCGTAAAGGATTCTGCCTTGCACGAAGCACACTATTTTTACTTCGCCTTTGCCTGTTCCCATACTCCAAGACAGGCCCATCTCACCACTTTGTGTTGTCACCTGCCGCAGCCGGACAACCCGACCGAGTTCGTGTCCAAAGTGTACGAGATGATGGCCGTTGCGCTGGACGCCAAGCGGAAGCAGCGGCAAGAGGACCTAGAAAAGTTCGGCTCGCCCAAGGCGCCGGAGCAACCCAAAGCGACCCCCGCTGCCGAGGAAAGTACGAATGAAAATGTCGTAGAAGCGAGCCAAGTGCTCACGGAGGAGGACCCCTGGAAGCAATAGACGCAAGCGCGCGAGCTTGGGAGTCCGGTCGGAAGCATAGGTTAGCGAAATAAGGGATTGACATAGATAATTATAGACTGATTAAAGTTGACAGCGTGAGAAATACTTTTGCCCAAGCGAGTGGAAGAGCCTCTTGAAACGAGAAATGCAGAGCCTTGACCATCCTCTGAGCAGGGTGATGGCGTTTCATTCAGTCCAATCCTCGGTTCCGTTTAATGAGTCACGTTCTGCAAGCGGTCAAAAGTCCGTCGACGGCAGGGCAAGTATCCAAGTATGCATTGCATGGCAGAAGTTTTTTTTCAAATCTTCTACTGAGATCCATGCCTTCTTTCCAGTGCAGCATCACGTGTGTTTGCAAGCAGTGTGCAAAGATTGTGATGTCTTACGTTTTGCCAATAGCTGCAACGGTACGCATATACAGGTTTGAGATTTAGCTGTGTGCTGACGCGCGAATTTTCACATGCGCGATGATCATCATTGTGTCTATGATATGAAGTGCATTTATATCGACATGGAAAATTTGAAGTCTAGCTAGTATGCGTCATGCTTTGCTGTGACGTACCTGCATTATCTGGGGGCCGCGGGCCGTCGGACTATGCTTGCCAAGATGGTCCGCCGCGCACCAGCATGTGCAATCCTACACGCCATTGAGGCTGTAGCGCATGCCAGCTATAAAGCATGATTGTGCAGTCCGCGGTTGCTCAAGCTTGAATCTCGTCCAATTGTTCTCTTTGTGTTCGCGTTAGTGATCATGCAGTCACCTAGAAATGCAGTCTTGTTGAAAAGGCTCATCATGAGGGATACTTAAGACATATATGATACTTGCGGTAAAACGTGTGATGTGAGGTTTGAGCGTACTTGAGATCCCATGTCGGATTGCTCTGACGGAACCGGTGTTGTCTGCATTATTAATGCGCACGTCAAGCACTGCCTGCATGACGACTGTTTCTGCCAGAGGGTTTTGGCAGGACTGCTAACACGACCAGACCGGGGAACTCGAGTTCTTACTCTAGATTAAGTGCCTTGATTGGAGGGTCTCAATATCTCCTTTCATATTTTCACTTTGCCATCCTAACACTTGATTGCACCATTGTGTAGAGCAATCAGAAAGTACCATACTTGCATTGGGCAAGTCACTAGGCATTGCTTGAAAGTAAACTAAGCTCCCCTGGCCATCAGGGTGCCACTGTTAACTCTCCATCATGTCCTCTCATCTGCTACCAATTCTACCTACCACTAGCTGCCCTCCTACAGATCTGATCTATGTACACTTCCGTGGGCGGCTTTGCGCCCTTCCCCGCTAAAGGTATCGACTCAGCCACCTCGTACACCCTCCGCTTTCTTCCATCTTCCACTATACTAGATCCTCTGTAAAGGTGCACAGCATCCACCACCCAGGGATCACAGTCGGTCACCTTATACTCTTTCTTCGGCCACCCCCTCACCGTGTTTCTCTGGACCGTGAGATGCGCCTTCACACCCCTCCGCTTCTTCAGAATGTCCGCTAACTTCCCCACCTCCCTCAGATCAACCTCCCCCTCCGGCTCCTCATCAACCGACTCCGCAAACCGCTCCAGAAGCCCGTTCTGTATCCTGGTCAGCATTCCCCCATCCTCCACCAAAGCCACCGCAATGTTGCGCGCACGCCCAAACAGGTCAAAGTCCCCCGACAGTCTCAGCTCAAATGGTTCGAAAGTCTCCAGCACCTCCGTGGCGCGTGCGACTTTCCATGCGGGAAGATATGTCGGGCTGCCTAGGTATAGAAGAGTCATGTGGTAATTGCTCGCAGGTTCCCATGCTCCGGCTAGCCTTCTGCCGTTTCTTTGCTCGTGGTCGACATCGATTTCAGACAGACGCCGCTGCAGCTGCTGACCGAGAGAAGGAGGGGCGCCAACTCCAAAGAAGTAGGTGTAGAGGGGAGAGTCTTCAGCCATTCTTCTGCTTGACGCCCGCCATTGACCGTGACAGAAGACGCGGGAAGGGGTCAGCACATGAGCCAAGCTGACCATTGGATAAGGGCTCCGACATGTCCCTTAGGCAGCATTGCATTTGCAATCTGCAACTGTCTGCAACCTGCAATCTGCAAATTCTGGGAAGAAGTCGAAGCCTGCTTGTTTTACAAGCTTGGAGAGCCTTCGCAATGTCGTGAAACGTGCTCGGGTGACGTCTCCGGGCACAAGGGATACGAACCAATTCCTCTCTCCGAATCCAATCAAGAGTGAAACCCGTGCTTAACCAGGGTAGTCGAGGACTAACCTAGTACCGTCAAGTAACGTACCCCCAGACATCCAGAGCCCGGTACATTCCACTGGGTCTCCTTGAGCCTGTTGAGGGCTCGAACGAGTGCAAGCACTGCGCAGATTCTGTGTATCCTACAGAACTTGAAGAAGCAGCGCTGGAGGAAAGGAAGGCTAGCAAAGGTATTGATTTTGCCTGTGACAACATATTGGGGAGAAAAGGTGCAGAGCGAAGAAACGGGGGCGAGCTCCGGTGAACTCTATTCGTTTCTGACGTCTTCTTTTCCGAGGAGCAGGGAGTTCTGCAAGGAGCTCATCAAAGTGCACAAAGATGGGCCCGCTGTTGGACTCTGATCCCCCCGATGCCTCCATGGAGGCCGCTCTTCCCATCCTGCTTCCCTACCTTCCCCACCGCTCACTGCTGGCGGTCCAGGGAGTCTGCCGTTCATGGCGCAAAACCACGCTTGAAGAGCCCTCCTATTGGAAAGTTTTCAACATCACTTGCTTTCCTGGACGCGCCGCGCACTTGCGTGATGAGCACCTATTAGCATGGACAAAGCGTGCCTGTTTCACCGAGGGGGTTGGGGCTGACGTTGCTGCCGCGTTTGGCAAGACATCACGAGAGGAAGGAAGTAGTGCGGAGAACTTGTTGACCGTGGTGGACCTGACTGGGTGCGCGCGCCTCACCGGGGAAGGGTTGCTGACAGCATTGCGGGAATGCACAAATCTGTCAAAGGTACGTTGTGATCTGATGGCCCAGTGTTTGTACGAACAGGGTAGGTTTAAAAAGTTTTGGCGCACTGATTTTGTTGAGGGACTTGGGCTGACTTTCCTGGGCGGTTTGTGATCTGTTGTGAGCTTGACGAGCGCAGACGAAGGGTGGTATGCTACAGAGGGGTGTTCGGAGCTGAGCTTGAAAAGCAGTGGGTTGGTGTGGCAAGTGGAGAGGTCCCAAGAATCTTGTCAGTGTTCGTATGTCCTGTTTTTGCTGGTTAATGTGAGTCCTGTTGACGTGCAGTTACTTCTTTCACAAAGCGGCGCTGTGATTGTGCTGCTTTGGGCAGTTGTTTTCGAACATTGTCAAAGGAGGCAGCATCTGACAAGAGTAACAAAAGGATTCTTCACTGGGGAAGACAAAGAATTTCGTCCTAAAATGGCAGAAGCGATAACTTTGGACTCTGATAGGGCCTGCTGTCGCTGTTCCGCCTCTTTAAGTCCTGTTCCTGAGCTGCCTCTCTCAAAGGAGATATCGTGTCGAAGTTCGAACGGATTCGCTTTTTCCTTGCTGAGAGTTGGCGTCACACCAAGTAGATCTGGCCATGGTCGCAACCCAGGCGCATAAACCTCCGCAGATGCTTTGACGCCATTCTTGGCGTGCCACTTTCACCATGCTTCGGCAGGGGTCCACACAACTGCTCCGGATCTTTGCAAACCGAAGAGTTTGTTCTCGATTTGGGTTGCTCGAAGAGTCCTCTTTGTTGTCTCTAGAACGTGTTTGTCATAATTCGATCGAACGAGACAACGCCTTCGGCGCATTTAAACAGCTCACACTGATATGACTCATCCTTTATGTAGCTCTGCCTCTCTGGCTGCGGATCTGTCCGGCCCTCATCGGTCGTTCAACTCGTCCAAAGCCTCGCCCAACGAAATGTAGATCAGGGACGGCAACCCCAGCTGCGCTCCCTTGTAATCGGGGGCCTTCTGAAAGAAGAACACGACTGCATGCTCCAGGAGCTGCTCGAGTGCCTCACGCAAGCCGCTAGGAAAGAGCCCGCGAAACGGATCAAGGGCGCCAAAGGGTACGGTCAGGAGCGCGTAGACTTGGAGGAACTAGGGTGGCACTTCGACCACTGCTGCCCGCAGTGTAGGACTTGTTCGACGTTCGAAGTGAGCGCGTGCGAGGAGGGGGGGTGCCCCTACCGGGGCCTCAGCAGCCTAGGAAAAGATGCATGCGACGTGTGCCGGCTCGAGTGTCCCCGATGCGAGCGGACACTCTGTCAGGGGTGCCACTTTGACATGGCGCGCTGCCCGGTGTGTCACGAGAGCAAGTGCGCCGCGTGTGTTTCGGCGTGCTTGGAGGGGGGCATGATGGCCGGGGACGAAAGCTCGGACGAGGAAGACCTGACTGTGTGGCAAGCTTGAGACGGACTATGCGCGCAGGTTAGTTGACTTTGTACTTACCGTTCACTTTTGAAGCAGGGGGTCTCCAGAGAGCAATTGGCTCTGCAAGAGATGCTGGTCCTAAGCCAAGGTTCATTGAAGAAACTTTCAAAGTCGGACACCAAAGGCATCCTCCGTCGTTGCTTTCCGACAACGCCGCACATGTGTGCGCAGTGTATTCTGCGAGCTACCGCTTGTGCATGTACGATTTACATATTGACGGCATACCAGAGACCACCAGTAGATTAGCCAGTGCAACATTGGATCATACCACCGCCATGTGTCCCATTGAAGTAACACGCACAATGTGCATGTTCGACGAACTAACTACGGGGATCGAGTGTCCCTTGTATCATAATAGTGCATGATGTGTTGTAGGGCCAGTTAAATTAGAAAGAGCTCCAGGAGTCGACATGTGCTGTACCAGCAACATATACGAGGATGCAGAGAAGAAGAACGGGCCTGCGAATTTGAATTATGCATGCTTTGCACGTTCAGTGACATGCGATCATGCGGTGCTTGTCGATGGCATTCGTGTGCCGAACATTGCATGATCCTGGATTCTGCCACTAGGTAGCAGTGCATGTTGTTTCCGTGAACGTGCTGAAGGCCTCACCGGCCTAATATATCCGTTCGTAGACATGTCCTGCTGAAAACTCCACGTTAAGTACGCCATGAGGCGCATATGGCATCAACCGATTGTTCACAATTCAACATGTGTGTACCTAAAAATAGATCGATATCGTCTATATGGCACAGAATCTGCACATCTGTGTGTAAGTTCACATGGACGGGTCGAACAGATTCTATACCCCAGGGCCCATGTGCGTTTGGCTCAAGCATGCATGAAAGGCAAGTAAGCACAACACTTTTTCAGTAAATCACCCCGCTCTCAATCAACCGGCTTCAAAACTTGGGATCGCCCGTCTTTCGGGATGGTTCGTTGATCGACACTACAGGTTCTTGTTCAACTTGGTTACTCAGACTCAATGTACGAATTTGTTTGACAAGCGTAGGTAGCAACTCTTCGGCGGTCAAAATGCAGAGAACAGAAGCAGCTGCGAACTTTTGGCGCAGCCTCAACACGTTACAAGCAGCCAAACAGACCGCGCTCAACAAACCAAAAATGGTGCCCCATGGTCGCGCCTACTCGGCGGACGGGGTGGGCACAGCTTCTACGACCTCCTTGGCTACGTCCGCAACCGCCGCGGGTGCTTCCTTTGCTTTGTTTACGACAGTGGCCACATTAGACTGGATCTCTGCAGGTGCAGAGTCGCCAGCCTTTGCCTTCTCTTTGGCAACCTTGGCTTTCAGCTCTTCTAGTTGCCGGGCCTTCACCATGGCCCTCTTCTCCAACGCCGACAACTTCGGGTCATCCTCAGGAAGCTTTGCCTTTGCTTCTTCCACCTTTCCGCCCCCCCGTCGAGCGGCCAATGCAGCCGGTTGGTTGGCGAGGGCGACGGCAGCGGCCGCCGCGGCTAGGGACAGGGACCTGAAAGAACGCGATGGTCGAAACGTGTGTACAAACTTTAAGCGTTCCTGAGGCACATTTGATGTTGCACGTGTCCTGGAATTGCTTCCTTGAGACATGTGGCAAAGAAACGAAGCCACACAATGCCTGGTCGTCTGGTGGACGCGATGACTGGCGGCGGGGCTTGATTTGCAAGAGGCAGGTGGACTGAAAAGAAAGCAAGGAGAGAAGGGGTCTGAATTTGGTCCCGATTCTGTGTTTACGAAGGAGGGAGTAAGAAGTGCAGTCTCCTGTTTAACAAAAGAGCTCGGGGGAGTTTCAAGGTAAGATCATGAGTCAACTTTGATATTGAGTTTGTGGCCAACTTGCCCGCTCGTCTTTCAAAGGTCCAAATGATGACATGGAGCACACCAAAGGAGTCTCGATTTGCCACCACCACCATGTAGGCGTTGGGAAAGTCAGGAGTGGACACAAGGAGACAGCAAGACAACTGTGCCGTACTAAAGGACCGACAAACTCTTTCCATCTGAACCGCAATTTGATGCCACATGTGTGGTGCTCGAAGCCCATTTGGGCAAGTGAGTGGGGAGCGCCGTCACACCCGAGCAGATGCAGCCAATTTGTCAGCCATTGCGATTAGCGCTAGGACAGGAACTCTAGCTGTGGGGGCTGCAAAGTGTATGCTTTTACTGATCCCAAAACTGTATGCAAACGCGTGGACAATTGCGTAATAATTTGTGACCTGCCACCTGTTGGCGGCAGTGATCTCCGATGCCGTTCTTTCCAAAATAAGCAAGAACAGCGGCTGTATGTGCTCAACGTTCTTGGACCAACAATCAGGTCGACCTTTTGCAAGCACTTAGTGTCTACAATATCCAGATTCAGAAACAGTCGATGCAACGATAGGTGGGGCAGGGGGAGCCCAGCATGGAAGAAAAGAAAAGGCAAAATGACCTTTCTGATGGAAAAACCGTTTCAAAACAAGTGTGGCATCTTTCATCAGGAAGTGACCCAGAGATCCCTCGCTTAACAATAAGTCATTAATTGCACATACCAGTAAGCAAAGTAGACGGCTCTGTAGCAGACAGGTAGAGCAGAAGGCAAGAACGTGAATCTTAGAGAAGCCTTCACACAAGCAACTGCTCCTACAAGTCAAGCAGCTCAATCTCATTGTTAAGAAGCTCCTGAATCGTGGGGAGCTTGCCACAACTGGACTGCCAAAGGCTCCGCCGCATTGCATCGACCACCAGAATATACCTGAGCTGGGATTCGATTGCTCCACAGGAATGATGAGACTTGAAATACACCAGAACCTTGAGGATTGCACCAAAAAATTTCAGCTGTCAGCAGTTTACTGATCCATTTAGAACGCAGATGCTCACCTGCGGCTGAAAAGGTATCCCTCTTGTGGCACCTGCTCCCCCGCTCGAATGCAGGTTGTACGAGCGTCTCTGCATGCAATCTTCGTATTCGCAGGTCTTCGAGCTGAAGGTGCTTGAAGGGCCAAGCCAGAGAACGCAGATGCGGACGACTTCAAAGCGAGGGACGCCATTGCGAAAGTTGCTCCAAGATGCAAGTGACGACGTAGTTTTGCCAGGCCCTGCGCGGCCCTGCAGGGCCTGCACCACCTAGGCTCTAGCTGGCCAGCCTGAGGCAGGCAGGCAAGTAGGACAAAGTACACTATTATATTAGTGTCTCCGGAAATTCTTCGGTGTTAACACCCTCCCGTGCCGCGACCAATGAACAAATCTATGAAGCTGGCCGGTAGGTACCACACCTGCACAGCGGTCATCCGGGCACTTGCTATCACCGGCCGGGTAGCTGGACGACCGCCAAATCTTTCTGTGTCAATCAGGTTTGAATCTCTTTAAGCTACCCAATACGGTTATCCGTGGACTGTGACTGTAACTTTGAATTATGATTGACACTGTGACTGTGGTTGAGACTGTAACTGTGACTGAGACTGAGACACGATTAAATCTTAATTGTGACCGTAAACTGTGGCGCTTTTTTACCTGCCGGAAACCAATTGTGACTCATACTGTGCTTGACACTGGACACTTTAAGAGGTACCTAGACTGTGACTGTGACTGTGACCGGAACTGTGACTGAAAAGGCAGTGACTGTGCACTGTGCAGTGTCACCGGGAAACTGAGAGGTCCCCGGGAAGTAGCTTGGTACCATGCCGGTGCCCGGTCAAAGAGGACCGGAGTCCCGCATCCAAACAAACAGATCACTCTGACACATGTCAGACCATTAACCAATGCCTGCACAGATTGACGCCCTGTGAGAGTATTTACTCTGACAGATCGACCGGAGACACTAATAGAATAGTGTAGATTGTCCCTTTTGCGGCAGTGAGGGCAGCGCTAGCGGAGAATATACTCCGTGACGTCACTTTTGCCGATGTGGCGTGCTTACGTCAACTGACCCTATCCATTGACTTTCATGACGTCAGCCACGGACACTATGGGGAAACCCCTACTCCTGGGGTGGCAACTGGGGTCTGGATTTGTTGCTTGACGGAATGTTGTATTCAAAGAATATTTCTACGATAGTGGCTTTGTTTGAAAATTTCGTTGGCACCGTTGGATTCCTTGCATCGAGAGGAGCAGATATCACCCCTTATATGTGGAAATAGGTATGTGGGGTGGGTGCTAGAGCAGATATTGGACCCAATAATCGTTGAATAATCCTGAAGGTGGTGTGCGACCAAGATACGGGGGTGAAAACTGCAATAAATATATTTAAATAAATACTTTTTACCTCGAATATGGTGAAAAGCAAGCCCAAATGTGCTTAATAATCCAATAATCGGATGGGTACAAGCCCAATCTCATAGTCGCAGACCTTGTATACCAGCACCCCCAGTTGCCACCCCAGGCCCCTACTGAGTCCAAAACCTGCTCATTCGAGGGCGGGGCGGCCGGGCCGCCCGCCAGCTGCCCGGCCATGCATGCAGCTACAGGCAGACTCGAAGTTGACTCCATTCAAATATTACCAAGTAGGTACTAAAGAAACGATGTTCTCTTTTCAAATGATGACATGAACGTTCAAGAATCCCGGAACTTTGCAAAATTGACGCATGCAAGACGCAAAATTCTTATAATCATTCTTGATTCTCAGTTTCGAATTCTTGATAAAGGAATCACAGAAACTGACGGTTTTGATATCTTCAAGGAACTTACTTTTCACCACGATATGCAACTACGATAGAATCTTTTACAACTTCGTGATGCTCATCCTTTCTTGTTGAGCCTAGCTAGCTGCCACGTTAGGAGAGCCCTTACAAGACGTGCGATCGTCAACAGGCCGTTCATGCCGCTCTTGACAAATCAATCGTAATCCATGGGCGCCGGATGCAGCACATGAATTAAGATCGGGCAAGTTTATAGTGCCTGGCCTTGTTTGCGTTGTCTTGGCCGTCGCCCTGGCCTGGAGTACCAGGCCGAGCGGATCCAAAAATCTGTTCATAACGTGCCAACAATCACGTCTATGAACCAGGAATGCCGGTTTCAATGGTGGAAGTGTACCGTTTTTTTGAGCGGATCTTAATCGTTCCTAGAGGACCCGAATGCTTCTAGTGGTTCCTTGACATGCGAAATTTGTGCGCCAATCATGGTGAGAGTAAGCAGGCCACATGCACTCCTATTCCACGCAACCATTTCCACGCTTGGCCCGCTAACAAGTTGGCTTCAACCACTGATTGCATGATTCACTTACTGGAGCGGATGCGCGTTCAAATGGTCGGTTGAAACTGATGTTTGCGGCGACACTACTTCTCTTCCCCCTGCACGGGACTATGATACATGCGGCGCGACTCGGTACACAATCTGGGTTCACAAAAAGCTCTTGTTGCCGCCAGCCTGTGCCCTTTCTGACTCGACTTGACGAACCTATTCCGCCATGCTCGACCCTGCTCGGATCTTTCCTAACACGTTGTGGCGGTCACATTCTCGTTATACTCGGTCGAGTCCCAATGGATGGGGACCTCTGTCGCGTCTAAGCATGGGTTCCCCCATTTTGCAGCTATGAGCGTCAAGGCCGCCTGGTCCTGCCGGTGGTTTTGCCGCGAGCTCCCCTCTGGCGCGATACATTGTCGAATGATCGAACACTCGTACCAGTCCCTGCGCAGGTGGGAGCGCATGATCAAACGGCGGCAACAGCCAAAGAATGAGAAGGCGTATCACTGCGGCACGAACTTTAGAGACTGCATATCGCAAAACCGACCCAACTCTTGGTATGGCGTCCTTTTGCTGCAAACCGCCACAATCTTGAAGACAACCTCGCAGCTTGAGTTGCAAATCCACACCAAGGATGTACAAATACAAAAGATTACACAAGTTTCGCCTACGCGTCCTCTACCCTTGCCAGGCCCGGCACCTCCTATCATGGATACGGGGGCTTCTCCAAGTTGCCGCCAAGCAAGCAGGATCAAGACTTCAGAGCCAGACCAAGTTGGAAAATCTCGGAAAGTTGAAAACAATCGGGAGTAGGCTTGGCGACTTACCAGAAGATCGTCTTGTACGTTTGCAGCGTAAATCCAATAACTGCCGCGTTGCAGTTGAGGTCCTCTAGATGGTCGCCCATCCGAAGATACTTGATCTGCATTAGAAAGAAGCGGTCAGCTACTTCGAGCTCACGTTCGAAACCGTCTTTGCGTAGGGTCCGAACAAGCCTCAATCTTGGACTAATTTTACACCGTAAGTCTCCAACACAACTGCTTCAAAAGAAGCTGTTCTAGCAGCTCAGAACGATAATATTGTCGACTCGACCGATCCAACACCTTTCAGCCAATTCAACCCGACAGCTTTCACCTAAGCTAACCGTTGGCTACCAGTCAGTCCCACAAGAGCTAAACAGGCTCTGTATCAAAGAAAAATAGACAGGCCAAGTTAAGAGGAATAGAAGTTATGTTAGTCGACTACTATGAGGGAACTAGGGCGTCGTATTCCCAGCCCTATACGGTTCCAGACAACACTATGGTCCACTATTCATTACTCAGTCCACTAGATCTACTGGTCAATCCAACCCAAAAGCTTCCGCTGAAGCTACGTTGGCGATCTGACCTCGTCTGGGTGCGTCCAGTCCTTGACCACTCCCCCCGAGTGCCCCGGGCAATAGAAGCCCCCCAGCTTGTTTTCGTACTTGTCAAACACGGTTAGCAGGCCATCCACCGACGTGATTCGGTTGCCCCCGTCCATCCACAACGCGTTGCCCGTGACGTCCAAAACCTGCGGACGCAAGACGAGCGTGGGGGTTGGCGATGATGACGTGGCAGACGCCACTTGAGCTTGAGATACAATGGCTAACCTTTTGGTGTCTTCGAAAGATTCTGGCCTGTTTCGGTCTGGAGAATTTACGGGATGGATCCTGTTGTGCGGTACGCGGCTCAAGTCGAGATTGCACCGAATGAAAACAGATCAGCAACATGTCATAATGTCGCTGTGTTCTAGGTTCTCGAATTACTCCTTAGCAAACATGAAGTGAAAAGGAGCGGAGGGAGTACCACCAAAATGATAAATTTGCTCGATAATTGCATTTCTCGAATGTCGTATCCCTCTGGTAAGATCCCTCACGCAAGATCTCGTTGCTTCATGAAGTCCAAACTGCCAGGAAAGTTCTCTGTCGGATCACGCCCCCAATCCACATTCTAAAAAAGACCACACCTAGCAGCTTTGAATTTTGTCTAACCCACCTCCTTGACCATTATGGCCTTCCACGCATACTCCCCAATGGCGTTGCGGAGGTCCATCCACGCAGGATACTTGGAAAAGTCCCACGTGCGCATCTGGGGACGTGTATTGAGAAAGCAGGTTAACGATGGATGTGTGATCACGCGAATCTGGCTAACACAACCAGCTGAGAGGTACTCGTTTGCCAACACTTCCGCTCAATTTTTTGCTGCGCCAGTTCGTCAAGCTCAAAGCTATGGAACATCAGAAAGACTGAGCCCATGTTAGCAGACCCATGAAGCCTTCCGTGAAGTAGGAGCTCTGAAGGTGATCATCGAGACAAGATCGACTGTGCGGACTCCGCATTGCAAAGGGTCCTCAAATCTTTTGCCGAGGTAAAGAAAATTTCGCTTGGTTTCTGTTTGTTTACAGTGGCACACCTCGTCACATTTCTGAAGTCAAGACGGCAAAACTGTTATGTTTCAGAATTCTCAGTTTTCGCCCTTCTTACGACAAGGCATTTGGAACGAAGGTACAAAAAACCGGTGCATGCAGCCCAACGTCTCGAGAGATCTTACCTCTACCTTAACCCTCTTCATCTGGCTGGCTAGGCAGTCCAGCTTTTCCCGATACTCGGGCTTCAGATACATGTCGTAAACAATCAGGTCCCAGTTGCAGATGTCAGGCGGGCAGAAAAAGTCGACAGACCGGACGAACCTGCAGCAAATGGTTTCGCAATTTAAACACGCCTTGAGGTTTGCAATGTTATGACTGGCAAGGAAGAAGCAAATGACCAGAAGCTTTCGAGAACGAAGCACCACGAATTGTTCTTTTTTTTCTTATTTGTCCGCAGTTTCAGATGCGAAGATACACAAGCCGTTGGTCGTCTCCTCCTTCTCCCCTGGGTGCGCCTGATCATCCGCACGTGGGTGGAGCAACTCAAATCACCTCGGGGAAGATTGCAACGATTGCAGAACGGTAGCGCGCCTTGCTTGTCCTCTCTTAAGACCTCTGAGACCCTCTACCAGTCTGAAAATGTCCCTTGTAAGCGCAGCGCCTTGCTCGTCTGATTTCCGTTTTCTAAGACCCTCGACGGCTTTCCAAACGACTCTATTTACGTGCTTAAAACTGATATTTCAAGTGACCCGAGGGACAGAGCCATCTCGCTCCTGCGCACCTGAACACCGCCTCAAAGTGGTCGTCCGAGACCGACGTCAGCAGCGTCCGCCGCGGGTTCGGCACGACCGGGACCACAATCTCGTCCTTGTCCAGGTCCACCCACTCGAGCGGGCGCCCTATCCAGGGCCACCGGTGCTTCCCTTGAATAAAAGCGGGGTCTTGCCGCACGTACTTGGAGCTGGCGCCGACGACGAGAATGTCGCACAGGATCGGGTCCTTGTGCTTCCCGCCGGAGTGGTACGTCTCGCACGTGAACTCGGGCTTCTCCATCTCATCGCGGGCAATGTTGCACGGGATGGTCGGGTAGTCGACGCCGATGTGGATGCGCCGCTCGGCCTGGGGGGACCGAGAAGAGGTTGAATTCGTACTCCCTGTCGGTAGTCACATCGGAGTCATACAGCACCGCAAAACGTTTCTCACGGTTCCAGAAGATTGGGGTTCATTCAGTTTGAAGAGAGGAGCATGACCGTAGCCCACTGCTGTTCGATAGGTCACAAAGAGCGAGTAGCAAGCAGCCGGCCCGTCCCCGAGCATCCACTGCCTACTTCAGGGCCAGATTGATGGACTGTGGACCAAGGAGCCATAAACCTACTGAAGATGGGTTGGCCGCCACTATCTCCCTCGCCCGCCGAAACAGCCTCAGGATCTTCCCGTACGGCAATGCCTGCTCGCTCGGCATGTCGGAGTCATCACCAATCGTGATGGACACACACACGTACGCAATCGGCCGGAGATGGTCCGGCCGCAATCCGTCCTTTGTGAGCCCCTTCTCCAGCGCCCCAGGAATCACCAACCCCTGGGAACCGTTCGCCGATGAGAGCCCGCTGTGCAGTGAGTTCTCCTGTGAGAACATCATCCCGGAGATGGAAACGTGCACGTGGCACGGGACGTCTCGATACGCTTGCTCGTGCATCGGCTCCCCTGCCTTGAAGCACATCTCAACCGAGCCAAACTCCACCGACGCGATTCTGCAGACAAGCCCCGGAACGTCTGTACGGATATAGAGCGGCCGGCGCGTGAAACCCCCGGTTCCCGCTAACCCCTTTGCATCCCTCAGAAAGCGGATGAGGCGGTGCTTAGGGAGGGACGCTTCTTGCTGACCGGTGATGACGTCAAGGCAGATGGAGTCGAGGCCGGCAGTGCTGCTCACGAGCGCCTTGACCGTGGCGTTCATCCCCTCTAGGGACCATGTCTCCTGGAGGCACGCGTAGAGGGACGCATGCTGGCGATGGCTCTGCCGCAGCTCCTGGACGTCTGGATACCTGCAGGCATGAGGCAATTGGATTTGAGGCCTCGTTTGCCGGCCGCTCTCTATGTGTTTCCTTCGGTAACTTCATCAGCAGTTTGTTAGAAATCCAGAAAGCCTCTTTAATGAACCAAGGCCAAAAGGTCAGGCAGCTATGTTCAAGTGTGAAATACTCAAATGCGTTGAGGACTGGACAAGGGAGTGGGACAGATGGTCGACACACGGGCCAGATCACTCGCTAGAGTACATCAGTATTGATGTCAGACTTGCTGTATTTGAAGGAACAGGATACGACTTGCGGTCTCATGCAGAAAGTGTCAACCTTCACAAATCCATTGCCACACATCTAGTAGAGCTAGAGCACATACCTATAGTGCTTCTGACATCTGATGAGTTCAGAACAAATAAAACAGTCAGGCACTCCCCTACTCTTTCACAACCACTGCAAACGAACACTACATTGACAAGGATTGCACACAACGTGTGGTGGATATTTGAATCCACATGAAGGGCTGCAACGATCCACAGCATTGCTACATACAGAGCACACTTCTAACAGACCTCCAGTAGAAGTATTGCTGACTCTTTATGGTCCTCAAGCGGCAACTGGACCTAGACTTAATTGCAATCAACCAAGCCGCTTGATATGTGCTGCAACTACACAGCCATGAACTTGAAATGAACAATGATCTTCGACTTGACGAACAGACAGGTCACTCGCAACTGCGTTCATTCCCAAACAATCAAAGAAGCTCGCGACACACGTAGCGCTTCATTTAACAATTTAGACTCTAGATTTGTAGCTTTGATCTATCAGCGGAACGACCATGGCTATCAGAAACTCTGGGCCAAACCCGAGATCTGTTGCTAGCAAAAGTTTCAGCGTTCTGCATGCAAATGCTGATAAAATGGCTGCCCGAATGCCTTCACGTACGTTGTGCTCAGCGGCAAACGGATCCCTCAAACAGCTCAATGAGTGGTGTATCGCATCTTGTCTCCGGCCTTACTTGCAGTTGGAGTTCAACGAGAGGCCCGACCTCCCCGCCAACATGTAGAGGCCGAAGTAGGAGGTGACGGTCAATGCCAGGGCAATGAGGAGCACCCTCTGACTGAGGACCCAGCCCATCCTGCTGCTAATATGGTCCCCCTCGAGACGAGACTTCAAAGTTTTGCTGCCAGGAAAGAAGCGACTGGGAGTAGGACCGGGCAGCTCCGAGGCGCCTCTGATCCCAGGATTGCTGGCCCCCGCCACAGAACTCCTCCGGGGGCTGCTATTTGGGGCCGCCATTGATGCTGCAACAGCCGGCCCTGCAGCAGGCCTATGCTAAGAGGGGCTCATTGGATGGCTCCCTTCGGATCTGGATCCGACATACTCACGTCGGACACCTGCAGCACGCCTGACGCAGCTGCACCACCTGCTGCACCACCAGACAGAGGGACTCCCTTTTAAAACGTGCTCCACCAGGGCCCATGGGCATAGCTGAAATAGAAAGGAAGTGTTCGCAGGAGGCAATCAAAGCGCGCAATCAAAGCGCGCTGGGAGGGATCAACCGCACCATGCGGGCCGGTGCAATGCGAATTATTTTGGGCCAAGGTGGGTCCGGAGATAGGTAGGTCTCAATCGTGCGTTCAACCTTGGGCAAATTGTTTATAAGGATAGCACCCGGGGGACGGGTATGGTTGGTGTAGGGTTTAGGGTGGGTACCGGTCCGGGGCGCGTCTTCTTTATCGGGTTAAGTTTCTACATAGGTTTGTTTGTGCCAGCCTGAAATAGTCAACGTGAAACCGAGAAGCATGAATGAATGGCCCGAGGCCGGAGGACATGTGAGAGCCGCATTGTGCATGCTCTCAATCCGGTGCCATGAATCCGGTGCCATGAACTTTTTCACACATGACCAGTAAATCCTGCTTGGGATGCTCACTCCTGCAGGCGTTTCAAAAGCTTTCAGAGCTGCAATAATTTGAAGGGCAAGCTTCAAGTTTTGCCAAGCTAGCTGTGTCATGGCGTCGGCAGGGGACACAGGTAAGTTTTGCACAAGCCAGATCTTTCTTCTACATTGAACATGCAGGATCATGCCAGCTCGCATTTAAGCATGCCATGTCATCTTGGGTGGTATGGTGCACCTAACCTGCCACATTTGGTCATTTCGAAAATGTTTTTTGATTCATTCCAACAATGCTGCCTGAATTCCCAAAGCTAAGGTATCTTTCTTCAATTCACAATCAAGCTCACGCTTCCACAACCTCCAGATCTGAAAGCTTGTTTGGAGGTCGCTGTCGCAGCTGCTAAGCAAGCGGGTGAGGTGAGTGACAAGCAAAGATCTTTCATCGAGGGTCCGGTTGCCTGACCAGTTTCCACTGATGGTGGCAAGAGGATCTGCTCATACACAAAGAGGTCTAAGACGGAACAAGGTGAAAATGCTGTGAGCGTCAGGGCTGTGAAGCATGTTTTGTAGCATGGCGGCTGCAATGCACAGTTTTAGTGGTGCGGGTACATGCCGAGCCTTTCTGTAGATCTGGCCTTGAGTCCTTCTTCTGTTTGAGCACTTCAATGGAAAAACGGTATGTTAAGAGAGCATGAGAGTGCAATCTGGTGCTTCTAGAGTTGGGGGACCTCAGACTACCGGCCTTGGCATGTGCAGGTGATCCAGAAGTCCTTCTATGAGACGAAGAATGTCCAGCACAAGGGAAAGGTACGAGCCCCATTTCGCACCACCATCAAGCCTCCCCCGTTTCATAACTAGCTATCCTTGAGGAGAATAAATAGCCCACCCGACAATCATTCCATTCCACAACAGTAGACTGATCACGGAAGGCATTTTGAAAGGACCGTGAATCGAATCTTCGGAGGGAGATCCTGGCGTCAATTTCCAAAATGACTATCACGACCCTCTTGCCTGGGAGATCAGTGACCAACCGCTGTTTGGCGTTAAGGTGCCCACTTTTTGGAGAATCTGAGCACCGGGAGTCAATCCTCCAATAAATCGACCATTCTCCAGCACTCAGCGCCTATATACAAATTCAGTGTTTTGAGGAGGAAAGTGTCGCAGAGCACACTCTCACATAAAATGTATCTCTTTCAGGTCGATCTCGTCACGGAGACCGACAAAGCCTGTGAGGACCTCATCTTCAAGGCCATCCAAAAGAACTTCCCCTCCCACAAGGTAGGTGGCAGACGCGCATGGATCCTCCTACTTTGATTGCAAAGAACGCCTAGCGCAAGCTGATTCTTACCTGTAACAAGTGCTCTGTATCCCACCATGCGTGCGTTGTTCCCAGTGGAAGAATTAGAAAGAACCGACCTGCACGGCATTGCTTCGAGTGAGTTGTTTTTCCCTCTGCTTCGGATCTGGTCAACTGTCGAGAGGCACTTCCTATAAAGGGCACTTCTGTCCGTGCGGAAATTAAGATAGAAGATGCTGCACTTTGCAGTTTATAGGGGAGGAGGGGTCCGCACTGTCGGGGACCGCGGATCTGACCGACGAGCCAACATGGATGGTTGACCCACTGGACGGGACGACCAACTTCGTGCATAGGTAGGCCCCCAAGCTGTTGATGAACCATCTCGAACTGGACAACGACCAATTTAGTGTTTACTGTTCTTCACGGAAGGTTTAGTACGCGTCGTACTTGAAAGAAGCTGCGAATGGTAGCCGTACGCGACGTTGAGTATACGCAAGTGCCAGGAAAAGTCTATCCAGCCCCGATAGCTGCCCTTGAATGTTCCGTCTTCTTGAGGTTGTAGACTCTTCCGCATGTAGAATCTTGAGAAACTTCTGAGAGAAAGTCCAAGGCGTCTGAGTGGTACTTTCGGTGACGGGCGCTTTCACACTACGTCTCGCTAGTTGTCTGCTTCAAATCAAGGATGCGCCTTGGTCTTGCAGGTTCCCATTCGTCTGTGTATCCATCGGGTTAACAATTCAAAAAGAGGTGGTAGTTGGTGTGGTCTACAACCCCATCTTAAATGAGGTACGTGTTTGCCAGCCAACATCTGCAAGCCACTCTTGGTGTTGCAAACCCCTTGGAGCAGCTTCTCCTTGTTTTCGCTGCAAAGTTGTTGTACATTCGCCTTTCTGTTGCTTCTCTACAAAGGAGCAGCGTTTGTTGTGGTGTATGGGAATCAACCGAGTCAGTTCATGAGCACGCCTCGTCCTGCAGCTGTATACAGCAGTCAGAGGCAGCGGCGCGTTTCTGAATGACAACCAGATTCACGGTGAGGCGGTTCAGATCGACGCACGTTTCGTATCGAGGCAATGCTCGGAAGCACGTGGTGTCTCTCTTCTGAGAGTCTCGGACGTTCGTCTTCGTACGAGGGATCTAACTACGTTCTGGTTGTGCAACTTGACATTGTTCCACTGGTGTTTCCATCATGACGAATCGTATTTTGAAATTTGGCAGAGTGACGGTCTTGCGTATGTTCTTTCAGGGGAGTTGCGCTTGAAGCGGCACCACGAAGGCTCTCTTTCTGGGCTCCCGATCGCTCTGTTCTTCCCCCTTGCTCCGTTGAGCTAGCCGCATCACAAAGTTTCGGTGCTTCACCTACGAATAGAATGATGAAACGATGTTCCAGGCGCAGACGCCAGGTACGGGGTGATTGAGAACGTCTTCGAGACACGTCGTTCTGCTCTGAGAAGTCGTACCCGAACTGCTTGCAGTGACGCAAACGACGGACATTGGCAATGCGCTTCTGGCCACGGAGGTGGGCACTGCACGGGATAAGGAGACTGTGGACGCAACCACCGGGCGGATAAACCAGCTACTTTACAAGGTCAGCCGACTTTTTCGACAAGCCGAAGCTTCCTTCAGTTCTCATCGATCACCGTCTACACGTTTGAGTACAGCTCTGGGGCTGAGCGGTCCACTTGAGCGACTTTTTCGCAGACGAACAGCCAAAGAGACAGGGGGGTCGTTGCTCGGCGCTTGAGAGTATTTAGTCTTGCTTGTGGTGTTCAGATGTGATTTCGGTCGTAGGCATCGGACTAGCGATTCCGACTACTCAATCCAGTCGAATAGTCGCAGAGGTTCGCTTGTGAGGACTTCTCGTGAGCGCAAACTCGACCGAGCGCTTTTGTGAGTCCGCTTAAAGATCTGCGTGAGAGGCCTTCGTAGTCCTTCCTCACTAAAGTAAGGTGGGAGGCTTCACGTTTCAACCGCCCCCATTGTTTACATGCGGCCAAAGGCCCTTCGTAGTCAGCTTGCTGATTTGCTGCCGTGCAAGCTTAACTCTTACTTGCAGTGGCGTGTCGAAGTTTGAGCCTCAACTCTTGTTCCAAGGACGAGATTCTCATCACAACACTCACTTATTGCCAGTCACAAGCGCTTTCACTTAGACTGCAATCCTCAGCGTTAATGCCTATCAAACTCAAGAAGATATTCGTGAGCCAAGATAATATTTAGCTCCGACTAACACTATAAACCCTAACCCAAAAAGACACCCGCTCCGCACCTGTACCCACCCTAGCCACCAACCTAACCCTACCCGCCCCAGTGCGGTTACCTTATTATTATCTCGGCTTGCAATTATTTTTCTTGAGTTTGATTTAAGGCCTTCCCACGGTGCATGACGCGGTGCCGGGCATCACAAGACAAATCGGAATAGTCAAAACGTTCCGAAGCGCTTTCTACAATTATCTGAAGAGGCAGCCGTCCAGTGCCGGCTCCCCCGCCGATCGCAAGAAGCTCTTGTTCTCGTCCTTCAAGCACGAGCTTTGTTCCAAGAGAAAGGCGTACTTGCTTTGAAGCAGCGTACTTTTGTACGTCTTTGCAGGTCCGGTCGCTGCGGTGTTCCGGCTCGTGCGCCCTCAACCTGGCCGGCATCGCGTGCGGACGGCTGGACCTCTTCTACGAATACAACTTCGGCGGGCCCTGGTAAGCTTACCAGTCTTTGTTACTTTTGACGGAATTTACGTTGGCGGGAAATCGAGGCGCTGGATTGAAGGCGCCGCGTTTAAGAAGGGGAATGTTGGTGACAGTTCGTCAGAACAGTATATTCTTTAAGCTGTAGAGGCATTCATGGAACCTGCAGAAGGGTTTGGAAACACAGCGATCAAAGAGGAGACAGGTCTCCTGGACTCTCGAGAAGGTTCTATATCGTATTGATCGGGACTGTGTGAGATGATTTCGCGTTAGCCGGCCCAGTGCATGCACGCACTACGGTGCCACACGGCTCGAAACAGCTTTTCCATCCCCGAGCAGTTTCTGTCTTCCAAATAAACAGCAACTTGGCTTAATATAAGGTGTATGTTGAGTTAGATCGGATCCCACGGGCTCAAACAAAATAAAAACCTAGATTCGAAGTTACTAAATTGCTCCATACCCGTACCCACCTCAAACCCCCAGACCAATCCCACCCTTTCCCTGGGCATGATTCAACTCAACATAGCCGTAACTCAACATAAGATCGAGACTACTTTTGGCCTAGGGCTCTCTTTTCTGCCTACAGGGACGTGGCAGCTGGGTCACTCTTGGTTGAGGAGGCGGGAGGTCGGGTGGCTGACCCGTAAGTAATCATCTTCGCTCCTTGCACTTGCTCGCGAATCGCAAGGCCGGGGCACTGCTTCTAGTCCCCTCTTGCGCCTCCCAGCCATCTTCTGACTGCGTTTGAACCAATTAGTGAATACAAGTATGAAATTCAAGCTTTGTCTAGGTAAAAGCAGATACTTTCACTGCATTTTGCGTTTGATTGCTGCCGTTTGATTCTTACAGACTTCTCTGCTCTCCGCGTTTCAAGCGCCTTCGTCTGGCAGAGGGTGTGGCTAATAGAGCATTGCTCTGCCATAAAGCGACTTTTACATTAACGTCCGGAAAGGAAACAGAGTCGCTTACTAAGTATGCACGCATACTTCGTGATCAAGCTATGGTTAACCCGCCGTGGGGACGGTGATCCTGCGGCACTTGGTGCGGGTCTGATCGATAGTTCTGCTCTCGAAACCCCGCTAAGTCCTAGTATCATTCTCTACGCAACCGACTGGAGGCGAGCATGGAGACCTGAACGATGGTTCATGTGTTCCGCAGGAGTGGAGGGGCTTTCGACGTGATGTCAAGGCGGGTGGCTGCTGCAAATGGGTCCCTGATAGAGGACCTCGTGCGGAATCTGCAGTATCCGCAAACGCGGTGACGCCTTCTCAGTGCAACACCCTCCAATTTTGACCCTAGATCGTAGAATACTTGCTTTCGATACAGGCACGCGTTAGCAAGCTAGTAAAGTGACCAAAGTTCCTACTCTTCGCTCCGTACGATTTTTCGGAGCTTCGTGGACTTGATTCTCGTCCACCGCGTTAGCTCATCACGCAGAATGTCAAACCCGTTCTTTACATATTGGCCGGAGTGGATGCCGTTCGTTGAAGTGCTCTGGAAGATGGTGATCCTTTTTGAGAAGGACCCGCAAGAGCGTAGTCCACCTGTGCTCTTCATGCGAGTGGAGGATCAGTGCGGTCGAGGTATACTCGGGCCATTGTTAATTCAGACCTGAAGCATGGATTAGTGCAATCTATATATTTTTGTTTCTAAATTTGCCACTAGACGTTTAACTCCTTAGCTCGAAGAGCTGTACATGCTCCAGGAAGCGTTGCATTTTTGTCAAGGTATATCGGGGAACTCTTGCAATCATTACCGTCTTGATGGCCCGATTTAAAATATAACCCCTGCCTGTAATGTAAATACTGCATGTAAGTTGTTAGCTTCAGCTATATGCGCACCGTTCGCAAGCTGCGGTATAGGCAGCTGTCATGCGTTACGTGACTATACACGCTCGGCGGCCCGACATGGGTATACGGCCATTGTGGTGGTCATGACCCGATCGAAAGTCTTCGTACCGACGGTCTTGACCGAGGTTATATACCTATGTGCGCGAACTTTGACGAGGCTGGTCATAGGTTCACTGAGCAATTGCATGCAACGATGAATTCTTTTCAACGATGCATGCGCTAGATTTCAAATCAATCATGCTAGAGCCGGCCCATGCCTCATCCACAAGCTCCGGGCCGGAAGCTCAAGGATTACACAAACCAAAAACTTTCCTGCATGCCAATGACTCACACATATACTAAGGCTGCGTATACGTCTAGCTGCATCCGGTCGATGCAAGCCCGGCCAACTGATCATGCATCCATTATAGGCAAAACCTCACGTGCATCAAATTGGTTGGACGGTACGTATTAGCGAAGCTTGAACGCAGACAATAAATAATCATGTAATCATGACGGTGAGGGATCACGCCCCCGCATCGATGTTCGTGTTTGGGCCGAAGCATCGTAATTCCGCATGTCCTCGAATGATACTTCCATTCCGAGCCCTTCATAGCGGGTCAACGCTCTACCATCACAGATGTTTGTAGTTTTTCTGCTCTGGCGTCGCAACCAATCACGACTAGCCAATTAGCATCGATGCTGAGGTCAACGTTAGCCAAGCTCTCAGACCGAATTTCTAGAAGGGCCGCAATCGGAAGTCACGTCTCCATGATGTCGAAGGGTTTGAACATTTCTTTGAACGCGTCAGCCATCTCGGTCTCCTCTTCGGTGGTCAGCTTGCATGCGCGCCAATCGGCCCTCTCAGGCGTGCCCCGCAAGTCAGCCAAAACCTGCAGAGGAGCGCATAGGACAGGACGTTCGAGACAGGACAATCATGTTAAGATGCCACTCCCGACCAGCTTCCAGATAAAACATCAGGGTACACAAAGCGTGACGTAACATTCCCATCTGTGAAAGAATATCCGACACAATCATTCCCACAACCGTTTACTCTAAGTACGCGGTGAGCCCACGCAGACCAGAATTGGCAATGCAACGCTTGCGAGCCTTTCGCTTCAAGAGTGAGCCGACATTACAGTAGAACATGCTCAGAAGAGAACACCGCGACGACCCACGACGATCCCACACACAGTGAACACCCAGAATGACGAATAACAGGTATTGGATTTGCCCCGGCTCTTCCTGCCGAATCCTTGAACGAGAGGCGCCTGTGGCCCCCGCCTTTGTATGTCTCTCCAAACCGGGAATAGAAAGCTCCTACACGAACACTAAGACTTAACCCACAAGATCACCTGCGCCGCACCTATTCCAACCTAAACCGCCGAAATAACCTCACCCGTTCCAGGCTGGTAAGCTTACTATCACTAAACCAGAAACTCAAACCTTGTGTCTCCAAAGGGGATATTCCCCGGGCACTTTTGCCCGTCGTACCTCACGTCCAAACTGCATGGGGAGCTTCTCCCCGGGCTTGATGGCGTGCAGGAGCCGAGTCTCGTCCGGCAGCTCCACCATGAAGTAGTTGCCCGGCCCGCCCACAGCGTTCCGCAGCTGTTCCGCCCCGTTCGCGCCCTCCTCGGCCGGAACCGGAACCAGCCGGAACCCGTTCTTCTCGGCAGCGGACTCGTAGTGCAAGCGGGCCTTGTCCGCGGCGCTTCGAGAGATGGGGCACACCTGCGCGGGGAAAGAGAGACCGTCAGGGTACGGGCAGAAAGCATCTCCCACGTTTCTTTTCAGAAAAGACAGACGGAGTGAACTCAATTGGTTGTCGAAGAATCCAGGCGGGGCAAACTCGTGCTGGTTCGCAGGCCGTCAGGAAACCTGTCGAAGCGCCAGCAGGGCCTCTCAAGAAACGCTGATTAACGGGCGAGACCCCTTGATCTGCAAAATCTGCGGGACATTCGTGACAGGTCTATGGTCTACAAGTGCTCCGAAGGTTGCAACGAGTCGTGCCAGCATAATCATGTTCGTATGCTTGTCAACAAACTGGCCGCCGGATTCTCGTGTAAAAGTTTCGGCGGAGACTAGAGAAGTTGTGATTTCATGAGCGGAAGCTCGTCGGTGGTGTCATGGACTCCAAGCAAGGTTTGAAACCAGGCGACATCAATCTGCGGTCCTTTGGGAAAAACTCACAGCGTCGAACTTTTCCAGAGACAAAAGACAGGGCTCCCTGTATCAGCTACATACGCTACTTTATCCCAGAGGTAAACCTTCTGTCAAACCCTATGTGTAACTGCGAATCCCGTGCTAGCATCCGTTTCGAGGGAGCCGTCGCAAGAGAAGAAAAAAACACCCAAAAGGTGGGAATCGAAAGGTGGGAAACACCGACAAATTCCAGGCGCAATACAGACGCACTCCGGCCGTACCTGCAGGTGCGCATGCGTGCCCGCGCGCAGCTGGAGGTAGCGCTCGAAGCAGATGGACGCCCGGTTCTGCGCGGCGAAGCACTTTTGCAGCGCGTCCTTGTAGCGCATCATCTCGGCGTAGACGTCCGGCGGAAGCGCCGCCAGCGACGGGTGGTGCTCGATGGGGAGGACGAGCACGTGGCCGGGTATGAGGGGGCCCTGTTAGAGGCCGGAGTAGCGAGTCGTCAGAGCGTAGAAGGGAGCCTTTGGATGCAAGGTGGAGTTCTGAGGAGCAGCTTTTGGTGCAGAATCTGCCGCTGCATTCTCTGGCTTTTGTCCGGTGCTTTTTTCTTTTTGCTCGAATTTTGTAGAAATAAGGACCGCAAGGAAACGAAGAGAGCATGATTGCTGCCGTAGTCCGGCCTGCAATCTTTGTAAGAGCTCTGTGGATCAGAGAAGAAAGACGTTGGGACAAGCAACCAAATCCATCCATGAGAAAGGGCTATGAAGCCTGGGTAACGTGCCTCGCCAGATCTTTCACGTAGATCGGCTTCGCATCAGCAGATACTGATCCCGGAAACGCAAGGAACAATTCGAGCACTCTGGAAAACTGGTCGCAGAGAAACCTCCCAAGACGTACTTTTGCTAGTGCGACATATGAGTGCTCCGCTATGCTGATGACGAGATGCGTCTCCACGTCCGGCGAGGACAAGCAGAACCAACACGGGGCGGGAGGGCCGGGCGGGCCCTTGCTTGGACCCCCGCTTTCAGAACCCCTGCCTGTCGGGCCCGCACCAGACAGGTCGTGTCGATACCTGAGCAATAGGCACAGGTTTGAAGTGAGACCTTAAGCAGCTAGGGCGGCAAGAGGTCGCTTGGTCCGAAGGCTTTGCAAAAAGGCGAAATGAGGACTTGATGCTCGCAGTGGCAAGAAGGTGTTCAATACCTAGGGCCTTGCAAAGTAGGCGAGGAAAAGCTTGAATTCTACTTGGATAGAGGGCTGTGCAACGAAGAATCAGCCCGCTAAGGAACGCGGACCGAATTTTCACCGCTGTTAGGTGGCAACAACGAATTAGTCACCTACGAGCTCCTGAGGGGACGATGTCGATGTAAAGCGGTCTCGACAATTCCGACGCGAGGCGGGACTCTTGTCCCGCAGTCAGGGCCTAGGCGACCTTGTCTTCAAACCTGCTAAGCTGACCAACTTTTTTGACGGCAAAGGAAGGCACCAGGCAGCAACGGAAGATTCTTGAACAGAAGCCAAATCGCCGACCACGGGAGGAAAGCGACAACAATTCGGTAGCATCCTTGGATGAGACTACTGGTTTTCTGTTGGGCGGCCCCGTCAGGCACAGCAAACAAGCGGTCGTAGATGCTAAAACATCCTATTACCAGAAACCATCAGCCTACACTTCTCCCTCCTCGGATGATTCACAAGATTTGAGTACGTCGTGCACAGCGACCCGTATTCTTCTTGGCAGAAATGAACACTGGATTGGAAAATAACCAAGCCCACTTGCCTGCACTTGTCCCCCCTCTCGCAGCGCCCCTTTTGAAAATCAAAGCAGACCTTGTCCCCCCCGTCGGTGCGCTGCCGCTTATTGGGCTGCTCTTGCCACCGCCAATACTGCCCCCCCTCGGGTTCTCCCGTGCTTAACACAGACCCCGGAACCGGGGGTTTAGAGTTCTGGGCGGCGGGTTGGCTCGTGGAGGGTTGGGGCTCGTAAGGAGACGGCGTCGTGTTCGGGGGGGCGGCCGCTAGATCCGCGGGGGAGAGTTGCGACGAGGGGGTGGGGTTGAGGGCGTGCAGGTATTTCTGCGCGATGATGGAGGAAGAAGCGGGAGTCGTCAAAAAATAAGATGCTCGTTTCGAGAGTAGGCGGATCAGATGGGTTTTGAACGTTGGAGGGCTACGTGGCCTTATGAACTGGAGGCATGCGCAACAGAAGTCGCAGAGGAGGGAAATCGCTTTTCGAAAGCAACGTCGGATCAGGGTCCCGAGATCCTTGAACAAAGCGGCACAGTCTGGTAACGAGGCTCTTGTAAAAACAGACTTGGCAAGATGAGATTCCCAATGGTCAAAGAAGGACCAGATTCGACCATGACGTCGGAGGTTATTGGCAGGAATTGGCAAGCACATGTCAACCGTGCCCCTTCCACACGGCTGAGTTTCCGATAAGTGAAGCAGGCCAGATCTGGAAACCAAGGAATGCCTGCCGTCTTCGTTTGCAGACCATAAATGGAATGCCGTGACACGGGCTTGCCTGTTTCTTGTCGTTTCCAACTCGTGCGAGCCCGATGAAGCGAGACACGTGTTGCGAAGGGCCCCGGTTTCGGTACGGCGCTCGAGCGAAGAACACATCCTCAGTGCCGGCAATATGATACCTACAGAGGACACGGTGTGTGCGTCAGTCGGAGGGAAAAAGCAGTTGAATCACAAAAGCGGCTTCTGGAGCCTAATCTGAAGAATCTTTTTTCCGGTCGATTTCTGCACGAACTTGACATCCTAACAAAGACTGTTTCAAAACTCCGAGTGTATCCGCATCCGATAGAGGGTCATCATGAATGGGTGAAAAGCTGACGTCAGAATGCAGCGATAGTACTGGATTGCATTCTCTACAAGCAGAGCGAACAGACAGAGACCCGTTCCCAAGGAGACCCGTTCCCAAGACGCCTGCTGACGTGTGCTCCTCTGAAGTTGCAGCTGTTTCATACCATCAAGAGCTTGTCAATTGACATGATTGAGGAATCACAATAAAGCCCAACGACCAACCATCGAATATGACTAGCCCTCTCTTCCCGGTCGAAACCGATTGAGCATAAGCCAACCTCAAGCCGCTTCATCCAAATATTTCTTAAACAAGACAAGCAAAGAAGCGCACAAGTCGGATTGACGACGAGCCTCCAGACTTATTGCAGACTCCTTTCCGGTAAGCTTCAGGCCCTATCTGGACGGCCCAGAAGTTGTAAAAGCCTGACAGAAGATCTTTCAAGCCAGACAATCCATGCGACATTCCAGGTCCGCAATCCTGAAGAACCAGATTGTGAGGGCAACAGAACAATTCAAACAAGGAAACCACTTACCGCGGTTTCAAGTCCTTTGCCAGTTCCGCCGCAACGGGGCTCCCGACCGCGACCGGATCCAACCCCGCCGGTGCCTCCGCCTTATCGACCCCCTCGAGAATCCCCCGGGGCCATTCATTGGTCAGCAGAAAGTCCACTGGACGTTCATTGTCATTCGCCAGCGCTGCAAGTGCTTCAAAGTCCTGGTGCCGCTGACTGGAGGGTACGGACGCGTCGGAGCCGGCGCCGGCGCGATACGAGAAAGGGTCGTACTCTCCAGCGAGAAAGGCTACTCGGAGACCTGCAGATGTTGTGGGAGGCGCAAAGGGACGGATCATATTGAGAGGCGCGGCCGGGAAGTGCGCGCTTGAGAAGGTGAAAGGTTGAGCGCACACGAGCTGGTCTTGATCAATGGGAGAACCACCTGCGCTTGATCTTTTAACACAGAGATGGAAAACGATGCCGATCGGTGCACTATCAGATTTGAGAAGCATTTCGCTTCGTGATTGGGTACGGCGCGTGTCAACGACCAAAATTCCTAGGCGTTGAGAGATGAGGAACACCAGCAGATGGTCGCCCTTTCAGGTCCAGTCTTGCCGCCCCAAGCTCTGAAACGCTCTGATTCAGAGGTGCAGCATTGGAACAATATCAATCTATTATCTAATGCTATCTATCTAATGAATCACACCTTGTGACCACAAGTTGATACAAAGGAAAGGCTTGATGAAACAGGATTAAGGCAGGCAACTGATAGGTACCCCAGCGAAAAGCCCTGATGCTCATGTGACCACCTCTTCACAAGCGCGCTAACCCATTTACTCACCGGAAAGTTCGGCGATGCCAGCCCTGCCCAAGAAGTACAAGTTGGGGCATATCTCGACTGGGCCGCTTCCGCTGCTCTCCGCCATCTTCGCCTGAACTATTTCAGAACCAAACCCATAATCTCCAATGAAGTATGTAGGCAGTGGAACAACTTTTCGCCCCCCTAGATATTCTGCCACCTCAGCGCTGGCGTCACCGCCCTGGCTGGGAAAGAACTGGCCGACACAGAGCAGCAAGTCAAACGGACCGTTCGACTTGTTCACCTGCAAAAAGGTGGTGCTAGGCCCGTCTTAAGAGCGGGACAATGAGCGAGGCAGCAGAATCGAAGGATTTATAAGAATGATTCATGTGCAGCTTTTCCAGATGGTGGTGCCTCCGCAGCACAGAGAATGAATCGAGCTTCAACAAACGAAGGCAAGCGAGCAATGTGCGCACATCTTCTGACTTACCGCTGCCACCCGCTTGAAAAGGGTGGTGAGGCGGCCCAAAGGGCTCCCAGACAACAGGACCCGGGGCGCCGCAGGCGGGCTTACTGGGGCGCCTTCCATCCTCACTAGCTAGCAAAAACCATAAAAGAATTTGTAATCAACTAGTTTTATGGGGGGCTAGCAGGTGGCGGAGAATGCAGGAACGCCGCTGCTCTTTGAAACAGTCGACCTGATGCAAGCGGCCCCACTGAAGCGAAGAACGCGCCCCCCTTCTCCAAACTAGAGCCTTTACAGAACTCTGCCTTCCGGCAGGAAACACTTTAAGCACACATGCTTCCTGGCCTGTCCACTTGTACCACCTGCATGTTCTTCAGCTCCTGCCACTGCCGCTGGCGCCTCAAATTCAATGTCATTTCTTCGCAGCACTTCTTGAAAGGTTTGTGACCTTTGAAAACACATGCCTCGATTCGGGACCATCCTACCCCCCTCCAGTAACGTGGGGGGCAAATTAACCAGCAAAAGAAGTTTGTCGCGCTCGGAAAATGCCCCCTCACAGGACTTTCAGGGGGCTCTGAGTGGGGCGACATGTCTATTGGAGGCTCGCGAGATCTAATGACAATGTAGAACTGCTCCACATTGTCATTGATTTGCAACGCATTTTGCCACCATCTGAGTCTCTGCGCTCTGATGCTGGAGTGTGCAATGTTTAGATGTTGAGGGGACATGGATTTGCAGGAGCGGCGAAAGAAGGTTGCCGAGTATGAGGCGTTTGTTGAGCAGCGCCTCGTGGTGGACTTAGAAAAAGCGAGCAATGAGAGGTGATGTCTACAACGTTGGACTCCATTCTCTGACACAAGCGTTATTGAGAAGACTCACTTCATTTTCATGAAGCCCACTGCACTTGTACCACCACTAAGGGCGTTCAAGAAAACTCACGGAAGCTATGTTCACGCTGAAGGAGGCAGTGTCTGGAAGCTAGCACAAAAAAAGAGCGCAAGAAAACTTAGGCAGTTGCTTTAGGAAATGCGAACAAGGCTTATGTCGATCGGCGCAGATCAGAGCCTGTTCTACGGAAAGCAAGGGGTCAGGCAACGGGGAACTTTTCTGTCGGGCACACTTTTCAGGGACTTGCACTGAGTGGAATGTCTGACCACCTGAAAGACGGCTTAAAAGGGGGTTCAGGGGCAGGTGTTCCAAATCACCAGAGCTCATTCATTGCGGAGCTGTTGCCTACCCTGCTCAATCTGCAGATTGGTCTCATCATTGGAAAGACTCAGCTTTCAAAAGCAGTGGGGAACATGACATACCCCAGGGCTGGTTTCGCTCTTCAACTTCAATGCTTGGCTCCAATACTTCTCCCTAGGATGATGCATGATTGGCTAGATTGGTGGTAGGAATTGGTCATCACCAGCAAGTAATTCACAAGGAGCGAAGTTCCTTAAAAAGCTGCCTGCCTCCTCACACCGTAACTTTTTGCCTGCAGAGAGAAGCTGCTTCAACAGATACAGGACTAGTATCCCATGGAAAGCAACGATGCTGGCCCCTTTTGATGAGTTGATCAAACCTCTCAGGTGATCGATGCAGCATAACAAATGTCCATGAAAACAACTTGTGAAGTTCTCTTTTGAGCCACAGTATGAGCTCCTCCTGGTCCAATGGCTCCAGTGGTCCTGTGATGATCTGCATTTCGCTGCCCAGCAGCCTGCCCCTTTGACTCCACTCCTTGACAGTGCCTCGCACACAGCACGAGCCTTGCTGACAGTGTCAGGCTCCTCCAAACTGACACCCACCAACTCCACACCATGGTGAACCTTGGTTCTGACATCCTTGCCCAAGCCAGAGTGTGAGGACCACCTTCTCTGTCACGACTCCAGGTTTCAAGTGCCGTGGTGCCTGTACTTTGTCCTTTTCGTCTGCTGTTCTCAGTCAGTCGTATGTCCTTGCTCCTTTGACCCCAACCTGCGGCGTCTTTAGGAAACCAATCTCATCTGTCTTGCTATCGGATCCTGCCCCTTTTCTGGGTCACTTCGAAACACCAGGTCTTCTCAAAGCAACATAGGTTAGAGTACGAGATGCCCATCCCTTCTGCAGGCGAAGTTCCTAGGCTTTGACTTCTCGTCTGAAGCGGCATGATTTAGTTGCTGGCTAAGCAGACTCAAGCTCTAGTAATTCAAAGGGGTCCTCTAACGTCCTGTCACTGGCTTTATTTTCCATTGTAACGAGTAGTCTTGTAGATTGGCCGCTTTTTGGGAGTCAATGGAAGCGCTCTACGGACAACGAGCACAAATTGTGATCTCATTGCTGCCCTTCAGAATGCTTTTGGCTGACACTGGATATAAAAATACGAATGCGGGCGGGCTGGGATGGATTTTGTAGGGCTTCCTACAGGACAACGCACCTTAACCTGTTTAGTTCGTCATTGCAGGCCTGATGCCACCCGAATTTTCGTGGACATTGGCCTTGGTTTCCACGCGGAGCTGACGTGGGATGAAGCGATTGCGTTTTGTCAAAAGAAGGAGATCGAACTTAACAGGTGATTCAGCAAAGCTTTGTCTTTTAGAAGGTATCAGCCTTCGAGTGCATCGTCGGTTGCCTGCACCGACATAGTTTTCTCGACTGTCTCATGTCCGATCCGATTGTTGAAGCACGGGAAATATTCTGAGGAATGAAGGTTATTGTTTGCTGGCAGTTTTGGATGTTGCTCGTTCCTCTCTGATGGAAAGCGAGGCAGAGTAATCGAACGAGCGTTTACAAATGTCTTTCCGATGCTTTGGCGACTAAAGTCAGACCAGAACGATGCATCTTAGCAATTGACGCCAAGTCGGCGTTCTTGCTCCTAGTAAATGGAACATCTGGTCAAGAGTGGAAACGGAAGTCGCTGCTGAAAGCGGGGAAGAGAAGGAATTTGAGGTCCCGAACAGTAGCGATTATACAACGTGCAGGAAACTGGACGATGACAACCGGCGCATTGCAGGCATCAAGTCGAACATTAACCTGGTGAGAAAGTGTGCTCCTTCTTTCCCAAAAATTTCTTCGATACTATTCGCTCAAAGATTTGCTCAGCTTCTTTGATAGTCCCTTAAGCTGTTCCTTCTGCACTCGCCTTTTGTGTTCTATGCTTGGACGAGTGTTCGAAGGTAGCCACTTCGGCGGCGCTGTTCATTTCTGTTGCTCTCACTAGGTATGACATGTACATTTTGTCGCTGAACTTTTTTGACAAACCTCAATTTGACTCGAAGCAATGATGGTGGCTCGAGGGGCCCACAAGGTGCAAATTCCCTTAAAATTAGGCCTTTCATCCGACGTTTTGTGCTGACGACTCTTTGGCATTTGCTTTCAATTGCTGTTGAAGACGAGTGTTCACTCTGGTGTGGTGTATAGTTGGCCTAATCCTCGCTTCGGGTCCCGTACTGCAGGTATTAGAGGGCATCCGAGAACTTTCGCAGCTCTGAGGACTGTCTCTCTCAGTGCTATCCGCTTACTTGCGCCACATGGATGAGCCTTTTGAAAGTCACCCTCCAGAAACACGCAAAGATCATCACGGTGAATGTGTAGGGAAGATTCCTCTGTGGCACGGCAGCTCAAGATACTAAACTTGATTTGTGTAGCTATTAGACAAGCGCTAGAAAAGCTTAGGACAGGTGCGGCGGCGCGGCAGGTAGGTCCAGAGACGAGGCGCAGGAAGGCTACTTTGATTGCAATTGGATGTGGCATGCTTGTGGGGGAAGCGCTCCCAGGTGTTACTTTTTGCCACTTGAAATTAGACGAGTGATATCTCAAGGGCTGTGATAAAAATGGATTACGTGGTGGCCACGGGAATAATTGCTGGCTAGCACCTGCGCTACACATGCGCATGCACTTAGTTCAGTTGGCAGGCTACAGTAGTTAACGTCCATGTGGAAGGCACACATGTGCCGAGCTTGATAAAGCTCGATCTTTTTTCCAGATTGGTCATGGTATCCAGTCGAATATCTAGTGTAAGATAGCGATTCCAGGGGATTGCGGCTTTACCTAGTAGATTGGATCCTAGCTTGCGATGTTTCAGAGTTTGGTTCAACCTGTATGTTCAACAGCTCAGGTACTATGCAACGACTGCATATACACTGGGACGCCCTATTGGAATGAACCCCTAGACTATGTGCGCCTAATTTGGTTCTCACTTTGATTTGAAGCCGCGCACATGGGGTTGCATGCGCGCAGAGGGATCGACATCCAGCTTGCATGATCAACACGTTGAGATGGAGCTGAATTCAAGAACGTGGGCTTATGAGCCCATGAGCTAGCGCGATAAAAAACACGGCTACAGTATAGTACAAGCAACGCATTTAGATTCAATAAATGTACCTAGCTAGCTAATAAGTTTATAGATATCACCAATTTGGACATGATCTCAACTTACGCATCTATGTGTCCTTGCGGATCGAGTCCAGCGCGTCGGAGCTAGGCCAGCTAGCTACATACATGCATATAATCTTTCATGTGGCTGAATGCCGGATCCATGACTACTCAATGATAGACCACATGCCGGCCCATGTAAGTTTTGCGACGGGCGCGCTTGCCCAAGCACATGTTCTTGCATGTCATTTGCAGGGGCCGCGGCCTGCGCCTAGGCTGAACATCTCAAAGCCGTGCTGCTGCTGCATGCACACTAGTACTTTTGCCAGCACGGACCAAATGCATGTAAGGCTACACAAATTTTAAAGTGCCAGTAATCCTAACGACGTGCAGTGACGGACCAAGCTCTTCGCTGCAAAGAGCAGAGCCGGAAGCAATCTCGTTCAGCAGATCAGTCACGTGCAATCATCGAAAACGGTGCATCCAATGTTGGGATTAAGGGGAGGCCTTTACAAAGTTGCGGAAGCTCCGCATTCAGAGGCCGCAGACTGTTCCTCTGACATACATATGTCAGCAGTCGCCAGAAGCTTTTCAGATTGTTGCTCACACCAATGGACTAGTCATGATGCTGCAGGCTCTGTTTTGCGAGTCATTCTCGAGACGTACTTCTTGATTACGGACGGTCTCGTCGTTGACGACAGCACCCTGAACAGATTTTCTACGTCCTTGCCCAGCGAGTCCTGTTCGCCGGGCAAATCGAATGTCGCTATCTTTTGGATCACCTGCAGTTACAGAGACAAGGCGGCTTTGTATGAGCGTTAATTGGTTGCCATGCGACTTACTCGTGACCTGTATCTTCATTTCACTGCAATGGAGATGTGAAAAGTGTCAGCCATTTAAGCACGGTCTTTTCAGCCGCTGTGGCACCGAAGACAATCCCTTTCTCTTCCTTCCGCTTCCAAGGACAGAGGCTGCCCGTCACCTCCCTGAGGGGGTTTCATAAATAACGCAAAAAAGAACACACGAGAAACGGGAAATTCAGAGACGCCGTCCCGTGTGACCTCATTTTTCTTCCCAATGCATAATCGAATAGAACTCTGCTCTCCACGTCTTAAAAGACCGCCAAGACACAACAAGATGTCAAAGGGAAGGTTCGAGGACCGCTGCCCGCTGCCTGGCTCACGGATGCTCACCTTCATCTCGTCGGGGAACTCTTGGATGGGGTCCCACTTGTAGCGGGAGGAGATCTGCTTCGCCTGCCGGAACCATCAAAAATAGGATCAACTTTTGTTTCAAAAGTGGTCCAATAACAGATCTGAAAACACGAAGCAAGGAGATTTGCAGTTGCTGTGTCGGCTTACGAGGGCCACGACTTTCATGAGTGGTCTAACGCAACCACTTTCCGTTTGCCCCAACTACCGTTGCTAGCGCTCCTAGACCAATCAGATCAAGCAACCGGGGGGGATATGAGTTAAGCAGACCAAGTAGATAAGAGCGCAGCATCGAAACCGCTTTGCAAAGGAGGGTACGCCTTTACTCACGTCAACGTGAGGAGGACCTTGGTAAATTCTCGGGTTGTCCGTCGTCTGCAGACGCAATCTTATGTCAGGTCGTGTACTCCTTGTCACTACAAAAACTACTCAGTAACTTTAAACGTTGCGGATGCTTTGGCCCCAGTCAGGCTCTCCTTCCTGTTGACGACTTGCTTGTGTTCATCAGTGCAATGAGAAACGAAGGATGTTAGATACTTCGAAGGGGAGGGAGACGCGACTTTCGGATAGACCGCAGTACATTGCACGAGTTAAACTGCCACAATTGCGATGGAAATACGGGTCTGAGAAGTGACTTCATTGGCTTACTTCGACTGCAACAACCAACGGGTCAAGCGGACTGATTCTCATGGACGAAGTCACGTTCCCGACCCTTTTGCAAAGTCTCGAAGCGGGGAAGATATGTCGGATTCAATACCCGGCTTACACACTGCTGTGCGCAGTTCGACTTGGATTCCATCGTTTTCCGAGTTAAACTAGTTGCCACAGGGACGTTCGCCTGCAACCAGAGACTCAGGGCTCAGGGCTCAGGCATCTACTAACCAAGATCTTACCAAATTTTCGGTTTGCCCAACTCACCTCCCTGGAAAACTCGGAGGAGTCAAAGGTGCCCGGTGCCGGCGAGTCGAACGAGCGCCGCGTGATGAGGGTCTCTACCCCAAAACCGTGGTCGGTCTTCCTCCCCGCGGAATCGACCGTCACCTCCAGGCGCATACGGTTTGCCTCGTCCGGGTTCCAGATGCCGCGGAATTGCATGACGCTCCCCTCAATCAACGACTGCGCCACACGAGATTCTGTAATGTTACCACGTTTCTCGTGAAGAAGGAGTTAGCGATCGATTGGATTGCAATGCGTCAAGATCATAGACGGAGCCAGCGAATCTTTCCAAACGGTTTGCAGACAGGACCGATATCTCCGTGTGAAGCGAGCGGGAGAGATGGACTTTTAACACTCACCAGCGTGTTGTACACTCGATCGGCTATGATGTTCCCCTTGTGGTTGATATACCTCACCTCCCATTTCTCCTGCAAGGCCCAAAAAAGTGCGGAGCTTCAATGGATGCCTGCTTCTCAAATCTCATTCTCGAGTATTCTACTAAACGCACGCATCTTCTTGAAAATCTCTCCAAACTGGCCAACACGCGTTTGAATGGGGCATACCTGATGCACCACAGTAGTTACAAAGAAGTTTTCCAAAATGTCTCAAAAGCTTCTAAAAACATCTCAACGAGCCCTGGATAAGCAAAAGGCGGGCCCTGCCGTTTTTGGAGAGATCCAAGATGGGGCATGGAACCGGAGCCTTCTTCTCGGATGCATCGTTGAGAGAAATTTACCAGTTTTCACCTACTTTCGATCAAGTCGAGAATTATGGGGTTGCTTACGTGTCTGTCTAGCATGTCCCGTATGCTGGCCAAGCGCGGGAGGCTCAGCTGCTCTATTCCACCAGGGATATCGACGTCGACCAAGACAGAGTCTACTTCCCAGTAGCCCTCAAAGAATCTGCGAGTGGGATGAGACGTACTACGCTTGGCGTACTTCGCGAGATTGCTTGTGAAGCAATCAAAGAAGCCTCACACACCAGCTAGTGTAGACTGGCTTGACCAGTACGACCAGATCAGAGAAGGAGAAGGGGCGTTGTCTGCGATGTTTTTGACATCAAGTCACAAGTCAAAAAGAAAATATGTCGAGAAACAGATCGCACGTTTCCAGTCTTGCTGATATTGCCTTGATGCGAAAAGCAGCGAGCCTCACTTTGGGTAGTAGATGTCCGGCGCGCTGATGCCAAACGCCCGGAAGAGCGATACGTCCGTAGGCGCCGTTTTGGGCTGCACCTCCGCTGCCGCAGCCATCGTAGCTGCAGATTGAGAACTTTATATTTCAAAATCTGGAAAGTACCACTCTTCGTAGATGCCGGAGCTAAACACAAGACGTCACGAAGCTCCATTTGGAGGCAGCTAACATGAGAAGGTCATTTCTGTGGCTTCCGCAGCGATGCAGCTCTGAACACTTTTAGCTGCACAAGTCGGGCAGCTTGCACAAGATAACCATTAGTGAACTGCGTGTCCCTTCGTGCGACCAACAGAACAAGATGACCCCTCACCTGCGACCTGGCACTCTGCACCAGTGAACAGCATCAGTGCCACCACGTTCCTCCGCTTAACGTCTGACAATTGCTTCAAGATTTTCCCCAACCGCCCAGTGCTTTCGGCCGTTGAGGGCGCCTCATCAGCCCTGTCGTCCCCATCTCTATCATTGCTTTCATTGTCTGAATATGGGTCCACTAACTTAGTATAAGGAGGGTCCCGATACTCTTTGAAGAAGTCGGGCTCAGTTGTTTCATGAAAGGACTCCAACACGCTAACAACAATCTGTTCTGTCTCCGACACGTCTGGCTTTAGCGAAGGCACCTCAGGCGTATGAATATGGGCGGGGTTGCTCTCAGCATAGCCGGCCCTAATATTTTGAGGCCCTTTGAGAGAATTCTGGCGTCCTAAATCCCCCCTACGTGCTGCACTAATGTGTAAGCTCTTTCTTGCTTGACATAGCGGGAATGTCCTTTGTGCTCGCTCGCGCAATTCTGCTGTGCTTCGACTCTGTGGCGTCCTCAAAATCCAGGGAATATGATTCTTTTGGAAGGGGCATCTGGTAAGCAGTCCTGAAGCCAGCTTGGTCCTACTTTGCAATCTACTCCTAGAATGCCATTGACGAGGCGATTGGCTGCATTGCGGGCCGCTAGCATGAGATTGAGGCAAGTTCTGCCTCTCAAGGGGCGTTGACCTGGTCGATGGCCGCACTTGCCGCAGCGACATTTGTTGCATTGTAGAAACAATGAAGTCTAAGTTGCCCTGGCGTTTGCCAAAAGAACTTCAGGTAGGAGCTCTCGTTAGCTCTAAAAAGACACCGGGAGATCTCAATATGGAATGTAGAGCCAGCTGCCAGCATGAATTGGAAGCAAGATCAGCTGCCCTGGGCGGGCGCCTCTCCGTGTCCAAGTCCAAGTCAAGAGTCAGGATCGAGACGGACTGAAGGAACACAGGAGCCTGAGGAGGCGCTCTCTTCCTAGATTTGAACAGTGCTCATCATGGACACATCTCTTATAGCCCGTGCGCATCAAAGGCATGGGGCGGTGTGCAGGTACAGGCGCATTGTGAATGCGTGGGCATGTTCTTGCAACGATATTCGACAGCCTAGAACCGAACGAAGAAATGTCATCAAGAAGTACACCCATGAAGCAGATCAGGCCCAGTGAACGGTAATGGTGGACCTCAACTATTATCGTGAACTTTAAGGTACTTGGCGAGCAAGGACCGGCAGAAAGCGAGTAGCGACGCGCGTAACGCTTCTGCCTGATTAACATATGCGTTACTGATCAGTTCATCCGCGTTATGCATTGCGATGAAAGCCGGCGTAGGCACAAACCCGGTTCTCCTCCTTTCCCTTTATGCTCGTCAATCCCATGCACAACGGGCGACGTGGCCAAATCCATTTGACCACGACGATCTACCTAGCCAAAGTGCAAGATCTCTACCTATTAGTATTAGGTAGTATGATCTCCGCATTCTCACCAGATCCATCTAGGCTCCCTTCACGCTTCTTAAGCGCTTCATTGTTGCTGATTCTAAACCCTCCTCCAGGTGGCTAAGTCCATTCGCATTTTCCCAGCTTTGATTGACTCCGCAGCTGAGCCGTTTTGCGTTTCGGCGGTAGATCCTTTCCAAAGCAGCAGCTTCTCGGAACCAGGAGAGATGGCTCTTGCAAAATGCATGCACAGCCAGGCCCTGCCGCTGTCTCACCCGCTCTCTACACCCTCCCTTTTGCGGTCAACTGAGTGTATTGCGCCCACCATCCCTCTCCTGCAAAGATCAGCAAAGAGCGGTGTGCGTAAGCAGCACAAGGCAGCTTGCAGGGCCGCTGTTTCGACGGGGGCGGAAAGGATTGTGAAAACTGAAGACAGAATCCAGCTTGGCAAGTCTTCAGTCGAGGTGTCTCCCATTGGGGTGGGCGCTTGGGCCTGGGTAAGGAGGACCTGCTGTTCTTCAATGCCTGTCCTGTTAGGCCTTATGTTCACAATCCACAGCTCAGGTTTGTTGGTTAAAGAACAGGTGTTTCTACTGGTCGGAACATCCTCTCCTGTCTGGCCCCTAAACAATCACATTCCACAGCTCAGACTTGGTTGGTCAAGAATTAGGTGATCCTGCACCAACTAGCCTGGAGCAGCTACCGCGTCCAGCATGCCTTCAGATTTTGATCTGTTCATGTTGCTTTAGCTGTTTTCAGCAACTCTCAAAGAGCGATTGTCAACTTGGTGCACCAGCAAGCAGCTCAGATGGCTAGTCGTAGTGCTTGAGGGCGTAAAGCGCTCCAATTCATAAACGACCTCATAAAGTTTGAAACATGTGTGCCCTGTCTTTTTGCGTCATTTCTGGGCAATCTTGAATGATTGTCTACCTGGAAGTGCGGTTCAGCTCACAATCACTGCCAGCATGATTTTTCTCTCACCTGTGGTACTCATTTCTTGATATTGTTATGGTGGGACTACTTATCTGCACAGCTCATGCACACGCATGAACGAAGGACCTTTGCAAATCGATTGATGGGGGTAGCCAGACTGGTTTGAACACAAAAGATTGGAGCAATCAAAGGATACTTTGATAGGGGGCATTCGGACAACGGACAGCTTCTGCGGATAGAAGATCTCAGAGCCTTTCAAATGTTAGGCTTTTGTCAACCACCTTCCCCTTCTTATGAGGAAGCTTGATCTTGCATAGACCAGATCACAATATCCCAACAGGAGGCCCGATGATTGATCTGCACTCTTGTGGTTGCAGGGAGACAAGTTCTTCTGGAATGATGGGAGCTGGACTGGTGGGTCTCTCTTCATGATTTGGCATACACTCAAGTGCACCCAAAGTAGTTTGTACTCTTCTGCCCTTTGTTTGTGCTTCAAGAGGACGGTGTGGATACTTGTACACTAACACCCACTCGCTGGTTTTTGGTGCTCAATAGATGAGGCGATTGCAGTTACGCGTCAAGTTAGCACCTTATCCAGTTCCCTGACAAAGCAAAGGACGCAGGGTTCTGACTTTGCATGTCAGAAGCAGGCGTTGCATTGGCGACTACGAATGAGCACGTCTATCTTGCAGATGAGAAGATTGAGGGAGCACGTCAGGCATACGAGACCACTCTCAGTTCAGGCCTCAACTTCTTTGATACAGCTGGTAAGCAAGTCTACAGCCTGCATCTTTGTTTCTAGACTCTTTCCTCCTTGTCCTCCACTTTCTCATTTTGTTCCAAATCGTGTGGTTGCATCTTTGTTGAGGTTGTAGGCAATTGCATCAGCACCAAGTCATGTGTGCAGGCGTCTTGGCAGACCCAGACATGTTTGATTACAAAGGAGTCGACCCAGATTATATCCAGCCAAACTGCTTGCTTAATTTATTGATCGATATTCAACTTAATTCGCGTTAGTTACGGGAACGCATTCTTCAACACAATCTGCATTGAAAAGTTGTTGCAATCTGCGCCTGGCTCTTCCTATGCCTTTCTCCTCCTTGTCTCATCTCTTTCCCCCTTGTTGTCCAGAGGTTTACGGGACAGCCCAATTCGGCTCCGATGACTCCGAGTCTCTCCTTGGCCGCTACATCAAGGAAAGCAAGCAGAATGTGAGGCCCATTGTGGCTACCAAGTTCGCTCCGCTGCCTTGGCGCCTTGGAAAGGGGTCCGTTGTTGCTGCTGTCAAGCAGTCGCTGTCGCGGTTGCAGATGGACCAGATCGACCTCTATCAGCTGCACTGGTAAGAATGAATTCGCCTTCGTTGGGCTCAGCTCCTGTTTGGAGTTTCCTGCCGGGTGCGCAGCACACTTCATACAAAAGCAAAGTGACACTTGTTTGGACAAGATGGATTGGTGGTGAGCGTATTGCATCTGACGGCGCTTTCCCCTACCGCACTCGGAAGTACTTTCCGTTGCTTGTTGGAAACTTGAAGCGAACGTTGTAGGGTACGATCACTTTGAAAAAGCTTCTTTTGGTATGCGACCTGTTCAGCTCGTTGTTACTGGTCGTCTCTGAACGGACGTATTCAATTCTCGGGGCGAGAGTAGTGGTATCGGTTGGACGGGACACGATGTTCGACTGATACTGTAGCGTTCTTGATGCAGGCCGGGCATCTGGGGGAATGAGTGGTACCTTGATGGCTTGGCGGAGGCCGTCAACCAAGGTCTTGTCAAAGCTGTTGGTGTGTCTAATTACAAAGGTGGGTCGAAGGCCGAAACTAATGATAGGGTCTTAGTGCTTGAAGAATCTACAGCAACAGAGTGTCCGCTGCCCTCCTGAGTCGTCAGCTGAAGTGATGCAACTTGTTGTTTACAATAAGGTTAGTTTGAGGGCCTTCGCTAGAAGGCACGATTTGATCGTACTGTCTTCACATCTGATCTCTCGAAAAGCTCCGAGTTATGGTTTATCGTTACGAACCACATAGCAGCGTCTATTATTTCCATCTCCTATCGAGCCGTATCACTTTCCGCACTTCTGAAATACGGTATGGTTTCTCGAAGGAGCCGTCCGCAGCTTGTTGTGACGCAGACCCAGGGGCAGTGCCTGCGTAAGAACGGTTTTCTTTCTCGGAAACACTGTGAATTCGTATTTTGGTCGTAAGTCCCGCAACCAGGGTTTTTAGTCTGTTGTGCGCGTCTGCTGCTTCGCTCTTTTTCATCCGCTCAACTTCCCACTTACCTGATTGCCTTCATATATTTACAAACAGTATTCCTTTTAGCAATAATAAGAATTCTTTTAGCAATAATAAGAATTCTTTAAGTGTAGGACAAAGATTTATAGTGTAGGACAAAGATTATGTTTACGAACATACGAACCCTCCCCTGTGTTTCCGCAGAGGACCGCCTGCGTGCAGCCCACGCACGGCTGGCGGAGAGGGGGATCCCCCTGGCCTCCAACCAGGTACACTACAACTTGCTCTACCGGCTGCCCGAGAAGAACGGCGTGAAGCGGACCTGCGACGAACTAGGCGTCACGCTCATCGCGTATTCGCCGTTGGCACAGGGCATTCTGAGCGGGAAGTATACGCCGGAGAAGCCCCCGAGCGGGCCCCGGGGGACCACGTACGGCCGGGAGTTTTTGAGCCAGGTAAGGGAACGTTTGACGATTCTAGGTGCCAGGTAAGGTTACGTGTGACGGTTCTAGGTCTCATTTGAGGAAGAAAGACAGTTTCAGAAGTATGCGGTGCTTACTGTTTGAGCCACGTAAGGGCGTGTGTGAAGGTGGGTGGCGATTGTAAGTGAACGCCGGTACAGAAGTAAGGAGTGGGTTGGTTGAGTAACGAAGCGCTTCGGTACGTGCGATTTTGTGTGAGAGTTGCCAGCGCCTTTGGCTTGCTTTGCCGTCAGTTCGGATCTGCGAGGGGTGCCTGTCGACGATGCGATCCAGTTGCTTCAGCGCCAGTTGTTCTGACGTGTTCGGCAATAGTGGGCGCTTCATCTTGGAACGGAATTGGGTTAGAGGAGGTTGGTCTGTGCTTGTCACGCCCAAAGTTTCAGGGATGGGGCAATTCATTGACGCAAGGCGAAGGACCTCAAGCGCAGTTGCGTGTCAAGACAAAGGAGGCTGCAAAATCAACTGAGAATTCGTAATTCTACCAGAAACTCGACACAAGGAGTAAGGAGTCAAGCCCTTTTTCACAGTAGCTCACTGGGTCGAATCTGGTTTCACATTCTGAGCATATGCGATGATGAATTTTGCAGAGCTTGCCGCTGCTAAAGCGCCTGAAGCAGATTGGGCGGAACTACGGGGACAAGACGTCAATCCAAGTGGCGTTGAACTGGCTCATTGCGCAGGGGAACGTGGTCCCTATCCCCGGGGCGAAGTCCCGAGCACAGGTACGTCTTTTTGAATCCGCCCGGTTTTCCAGCACACGAGCGGTGTGTCAAAGTCACAATGAACATTTTTTGGAGTTGAGTGGCTTGCGTCTGATGCCTTTTTGACTTTGAAGGTATTTCTTGCGAAGGACTTCAGTGTGACATCCACCTTCGTGTTTCTGCAAAAATAGATTTGCTGCGCGCTGAATCTCGTTTGATCCCAGTGGCACCGTGATAGGCTGTTCCAGGAAAGACGCCAAAAACGATCTGAAATCGCTCGAAGAAGGATTATGGTATGATGCGTGTGAAGCTGGGAGGCGGGCCGAGGACCTTTCTGTTAAGGAGCAATGGACACCCGTTGTTTCTTCCGTTCAATCCCATTGTTCGGACACGTTGCTTCAAGATGCTGATTTTAGGATGCTGATCTTTCGGAGAGATCAGCGTTGTAGAGGCAACGCCTCAAAGAGGACTTTGCCGGTCGAATGGACATTGTTGTCGTGGACGTATTTGAGTGAGTATGTAAATAGGTGCATGGCACGCATTCCTGGGAGTTCCTAATAATTCTGAATTTCATCTAAAGGCGGAGGAGTTTGCGGGTGCCTTGGGCTGGAGCCTGTCCGACGAAGAGGTCCAGGAGCTGAGGGAGTTGTCGGAGCGAGTGCCGCCGGTGCAAGGGTTTCCAGTAGAGGCTTGGTGATTGGACGGCCAACACATTGTTTGTCGCGGGTTATTTTACCCTGTCCATTGGACGAGTTGACAACCAAATTGAAATCTTTCCGGCCAGCAGTAAGTGGGAGTCTACAGTTCTTCCTGAAGTCGAACCAGGATGGGACAAGCAGCAAGCTGTGTGTAAATAGTTGTGACAGGCTTGCGACTTTTGATATAATGGAGATTTTAGCTTATGAATGGAATCGGTGTTGAATTGAATCTGTGTGACAAATACATAGGCTGTGTGAAACGGACATGTTCACGAAGTGCACGGCATCAAAATATGCACGAGTTAGGACGTGCGCTGATTAGCATGTTTAAATAAGTGGTGATAACGCTCATGCATTTCGTGCATTGACTCATAAAAGCATGCATGACAGTGCGGTTTGCGGCGGCCCATGTAAAGTAAGCGATTACCATACATGTATACACAGACTGCAGGCTGCCTGCAAAAGTTTATGATTTGGATAGCGCCACTGATGCGTGCCCATGTATGCATACAGCATTTTGCGGTAAAGTGTATCTCACAATGACGTCAAGGGCATCGATCATTGCACAATGATCGAACACATCACATGCATGGGGGATGCATTTCTGCATATATACGTACACTCGTGCTAAATGCACCAGCCGCCGTATCATAGATTGAATTGGGCCGCCCGGCCGCCTAGCTTCTTTTACATCTTGCCACAGCTACGGGCCGTATTAGTCAGTCGGTTTGCATGAGCAACATACACGTGTCATGAGACGGTAAAGCGTGCATGTGTAATTGCAGAGTTGAATCTTCACGCATACCCCTGGCTGCCGTTCAACAGTTGCCAATATCATGCATGCTTGCAGAAACTATGACTAGTCACCAGTTAAACTGAAAGGGTAACCGCAGGCGTAAAATCCAACCGCATGATGCAGTCAGATCGACCTTCATCTCAAGGGGGATTTTCCATAGTATCTTCCATCAACGATGGCAAAGCAGCGTGAACGCAACGCCTGGATTGGTAACCGAGACTGATGGAAGAAGGGTTGGAGAAGAACCCTCGAGACCCAGGCAGCTTTCCTCGTTTGCTCCATGCGGCTGGTATGACCGAAGCCCATTCCCGCTTTCTTATTGCGCCTGCTGACAATTGATCTGTGGACGTTGAGTGTACAAACTTTCAAGCAGAGCTCTTCAAAGAGAGGGACTTGATCATCGGGTCGGATCAGAACTGGATCGCCGACTCGGCTCGTTGTTTGAGCTTCTCCGACCGCTGGCTCTTCTTCATCGCCTCCACTAGCCAGAGGACCCCGTCCCTGACCCCAGACCTGTACAGGGGAAAAAAGAAGCGCTCTTAATAAGAGAAAGCGCAAATCTCGTAGACTGCATTGCAAGCGAAAAGCAAAGGATGCATGCTTTTCGTCGACAAGTGCTTCATACACGCGGCTGGCCACAGGATGACTGAATCTCGAACTCGCACTGGTTTGGCGTCTCTCTGTTCCTCACAGTCAAGCTGACGAGGCAATATTTGAAAGAACAAGCAAACAGTCAGTGCACCCAAATCAGTGCTCACCAACGATGTTCGTGCCTTCCAAAAGCAGTAGGTCTCGCTTGCTATAACAAGAAGGAATGCACTCTCACCCGTCGTATGCACACGCAGCTTTTACAAGACATGGTCGGTCATTGACGTCGATCATGTCGAGCGTCCGAGACATGTCCTCTGCGGATATGGCTCCCGGAAGATCCTGAAACGGACAGCAGACAGCGCCTCAGGCTTCAAGAAAGCAAGGGCAGCAGCTAGCGAAACTTTGACTTTCAAGCTCAAGTAAGATCGGCTTCTCTTGACCAAAGAGTACGGGATCGTTGATGTCTTTCGAGTCAAAATTTAATAAGATGCAACTCAGTTTAGTACCTCTCAAACGGTGGTCCAACACTATTGTGTGAAGCAGGACAAATGCAAGCAAGAATCGCCAAACTGATGCACTAGTCATCGAACTGAAGAAGCAAGCACGCACCTGCTTATTCGCCAGAACCAATATTGGGGCTCCGTCTAACTCTACATGCTGCATCACCCGGGCTGCAGGAGAAGACGCGTTAAAGTGAGCAACTCCAGTACCAGCAAAGATACCGACAGATCCGAGGTACTAACCAGTCATTCCAAATGACAAGTATGACAGAGAACCGCATGCGTTCCAGAAACTAGAATCGGATTCTCCTCAGGAATCAGAATCGGATCCTCCTCAGGAATCAGGGGCCTAAGTTCTCCTTCAATCTGTTTACGCTCAATGAGCACGTTTTCCAACCACCAATGTAAAGCTTCTTTGGACCAACTGGAAGCCCTTGGGGAACATAAAGCTTTTCAGATGCTCAAAGATATTGTCGAAAGTAGAGGTAGGAGGTGTGACATCTGCTCACCTAGGGCGTTCTTAACATCTTCGAATCGACTTTGACAGGCAGCGTCTACTACATACAACACGGCATGCGCCTCCTCGTAGTACTTCTCCCAGATTGACCGTAGACCCAACTGCATGTCGAACGTGTTGGCTCCCATCAGCCTACTGCAACTTCTTTTCAACAGAGCCTCATCTTCAAACGGAGAATTGCAGAGCAAACAACAGACAAGGAAGTCACATTCAGACGGACGAGTCTGTTCTGGATGTAAGGACAGTCTGATTCAATCAAACAAGTCTGATTGAACCGAGAGCTGCTAGCTGAACCACACAGTATCCTGCTTGCACAGATTTTGGAATCTCGAACTCACCTGGCCCCCTAGATCCCAGAAAATGAGCTTGCACTTGTGCGCATCTACCCGGCCTATGTTCAAGCCCACCGTGGGCACTATCCTTTCCGGGGGAAGCGCTTCTAGGTCCGAGTATATGGCCTTCACCTTCTCCAGAAGGGTCTGCCATAGCGGAAACAAAACTTCAGATTTGGCGGAACCGACGACCCAGTGCAGTATGTTGATAAGATGCCACAAACCTTAGCACTTGCCAATAGGAGGGGGATTGCAAAGGAGTGCGAGCGAGGACATGAAATTCAGATATTAGTGGTTGCAGTTCGCTTCTCCGATCCTGGAACCGCTACAGTAGCTCTAGATTTAAATGAAGCGTCCCAAAGGGAAGGAGCATCCAAGAGTGGCTTGTTCGCTCAACAGCCAGTTGCTAAACAGACCTGCCCACGCTCCAAACAAAGCGTTCGTCAGGTCAATTCCTAGGCTTGTAGATTTGTAAACCTTTTGCCAGATCATACATTTCAGTTCGGCAAGCTCCGCTTCAGAGTTTAAAAGTAGAAAGTTGCACAAGACTATGATGGACCAAACAGGTCAGACCTCTGAGGCAGCTGAAACCATTAAACAAATTTCAGCGGAGGCAATCTAAAAGGCTCGAATGGGTGCACAAGCAGATGAAACTGCGAAATCCAGACCTCTGGCCAGTACTTAAAAGAGCCCCTCGCAATAGACTCAACGGGTAAAACTGGACCCAATCACATCTGAACGTATATTCTGCCCGTTCAAGCTGCTTAAAAAGCTCCAGAGAGCTTGGCGTCTCTGATTGCTGCCATCTACCGATGTTACATCAGAACAACTTTTTAGCTCATGACTCCTACAATAGTTTTATGCCAATGCTGCTGCCTTGACATGGAGCTCCTCAGAACCCTATAAGTAATGCCAAGAGTCGGACCTCACCGTCTTGCCCGCTTTGTCTATCCCCAGAATCAGCACATGGTACTCCGCTTTTGCAAAAAGGTACTTCCACAGACCAAAGAGAAGGGAGAACATAGTAGACAACTACCGCACAAGCAGCAGGGCTGGATCCAACTGCAACCACTTCCCACCTGTGTCTCTACACTGTGGCACGCTCATTTAAGAGTGACGCTTTTAGATGGGACCCTTATGTTCTCCATAACACTCAGGCTGCAACCTCCTTTACTTCATGCACAAAAGCTCGGTTGATGCGTGCATAGTCCGTCACATAACTACTTTATGCCGACGGGCCACTTTCCCAGTCAATTTGGTGCTTCTGCCGAGCCAATAACCTAACCACCTAGTTAGGTCTTTGCATCCCCAGATCTGGCTCTGTACAGAAGCGTGGATGACAAGATACCTCTCAGAAGCCTCACACTGATGACAGCTGCAAGCGAATCCCAAACCTCGATGCTCGATGGAGATACTGCAAGAGCTGGGGAACAACAGACGTCTGAGAGTCGGATTCAGATGTCTACAAGTGGAAAGATCGCTCAGAAACCGAGCTCACATGCTTTGTCACTGTGCTGTTGGAAATGAATCTGATGCGTGATCTGACCTCAGGTCCCAGCAGGGAAGCATGCCCTGCAACTTCAAGCTGGCATCTTTTTCCCTGGAATTTTTGAAAACATAAAAGTGCAGAAAGCGAACCCGCGTTTAGGATACAACTGCAACTGCCCAGCACTACATTCATTTTTGGTGTACATACTTACTCAAATTGATGAGACTAGAATCTGCAACACAAATCTCTACCGGCTAGCTCAGATTAGCCAAACGCGCTCTCCGGACCACCTCATATAAGAGGGGTTTTTCTGCCAAGGCAACTTAGAGAATCAGAACAAGTCAGAAATAAAGGAAAAGAATTTGAAAGACGAATGGAAGCTGTTCTGAAAAGCATCAATTGTTTCAAGATTGGAATTTTGGATCTCCCTGCAGTAACCGCTCTGCGCTTTGAAGTTTTAGCTGCCCAGAATTGTAGGGTGCGCTACTTTAATAGCTTCCTGCAGCAAAGAGCTTTGGCGTACAGTTTTGCAACAGCTTAGTGGATTGAGCTCTGCAACAATAGCTTTGCGTTTGCTGCCAGGACAAAGCCAGGAGAATTTGAAAGCACCATGGCGGGCATGAGTGAAGCGGACATCTTTGATGATGATGTGGTGGACGAAAGTGCTCAGATGTCAACAGAAGACCTGCTCGTGAGGTCCAGGTTGCTTGACAACGAGATTCGTGTCCTCAAGGTATGTGACCATTCAAACAGATGATTAATCTCTGGAGTGGCTCTCTGAGCATTTCATCTTTTATGCCGCGCTGGGGACGCTCGTGGAAACAAGGGTGATTGGTGGTAGAACGTGCGGGTCTGATTGAATTGCATGTTTTGGTTTTTCAGGATGATGCGCAGCGGCTGAAGCTGGAAGAAGACGCAACCAAGGAGAAAATTAAGGAGAATCAAGAGAAGATCAAGCTCAACAAGCAGCTACCGTACCTTGTTGGGAACGTCGTCGAGGTATGGGTTTTCTTTCTTGCTGCTTGCCTATTGTTGAACCGGCTGGAAGCATTTGCTATCCTAAATGGACCTGGATAAACTGTTTCTTGCCCATCCTGAATTGCTTCCTGCAAGAGTCTCAGCAGATTTTGAGAGTAACTCAATCGAAGTAATCCTTCTACAAAAGATGTGTGTGGAAAGCGCCCTGCGTCAAAAGCTTCCAGCACAGATTGGTGCACACTTTAGATGCTCAGAGTTTTCTGCTTCTATTCTATATACTCAGCCAGCAGGGCTACTTCTACAGATCCTTGATGTTAATCCTGAAGACGAGGCTGAAGAGGATGGCGCCAACGTCGACCTTGATTCCCAAAGGAAAGGAAAGTGCGTGGTACTTAAGACATCCACCAGACAGGTGAGCATGTTCAATGATCGAGCAATCTGCTAGCTTGATCAGGCAGCACTCAGCCCATTCTGCGCTGATCTCTTAAGCTCTAGGGTTGTTTCAAGTGCTGGTCAAAAGAGTATTTGGAGTTTGCCCAGCTTTCAAGTGGGCTGTTGCACCAGTTTGTGATTGATCTCATAACGAAACATACGCCACAGGTTTGATGAGCCATTTAAAATCATCTTTCTTTTTTTACCATGTAGAGGGCACTAGTTGAACACCCTGAACATGATGTTAGCCCTGCCCCTTTCGATCAGTTGAGAACTTTGACTACAATGTCCCAGAGCTCTCCTACTGTCTTTCGGCAGTCTTGTTTGATTCTGGCAAAGCTGGCGCCAATTGCTCCTCCTTGTTTTGCCAGACCATCTTCCTGCCGGTGGTCGGACTGGTCGACGCGGAGCAGCTGAAACCTGCGGACTTGGTTGGTGTGAATAAGGACAGCTACCTCATCTTAGACACGCTACCGGCAGAGTATGACTCGCGGGTCAAAGCAATGGAGGTGGACGAGAAGCCGACTGAGGATTACAGCGACATCGGAGGCCTTGACAAACAGGTAGGTTTAAAAGATTGCCTTGCACAGACCTGTGTGCCCTTACCTTCTATAAAATGATCACAAAAGTGGAAGTCCGTCTGGAAGTGTCTACGTTCGCAGTCAACACCTGGCGATCATTTCTGCGAAACAAACATATGCTCACGCAGGCACCAGAATCTTTCTCCCAAGTCAAACAGCCTACAAAGTGGGAGACTTCGAAGGCGGTTACCTTTCGCAACGATGTTTTCCCCCTGCTGGGGATATGCTGGGTCTTGACCCTTGGTTGCATGACAAAACTCTGATCTCTTCAGAGGCTTGGGCTCAGATACCGCACTCATGCCTGCAGATCCAAGAGCTAGTAGAGGCGATAGTGCTGCCCATGACTCACAAGGAGCGCTTCGACAACCTTGGCATCAAACCCCCCAAGGGCATCCTTCTGTATGGCCCCCCCGGCACGGGGAAGACCTTGATTGCAAGGGCGTGCGCTGCCCAGACGAACGCCACCTTTTTGAAACTGGCCGGGCCGCAACTTGTACAAGTGAGTAGTTGCAAGAACTTCTTTCTTTCGTGGGTGGTCGGTTCAGCACCATGCGCAGATGCCACGCTTCAAATGTTGGTCGATTACGAGCGCTTATGGGCGTTTCAGGTGCGGATCAGGTTGCATATGATTCGACCAGGTCCTCTGGAAGCTTTCACTGCACTCTTTGAAGGCTTCGAAAAGAAGGATGCAAGATGTTCAGTTTCGTGGCCAGTGTTAGGGCCGGGTGCTCCAGTGGTAGAGACCTGGTGCAAGTGTAGCTGTTTAACTACTACTTCGAGACCGAGTCTTCAGGATTTTGCTTTACTGTCCTCCGTTCAACCACTTATAGTGCAAGCGATCTCACATCTTTGGGTGATTTGACCTCTGCAGATGTTCATAGGGGATGGTGCAAAGCTGGTGCGGGATGCGTTCACGCTGGCGAAGGAAAAGGCACCGACAATCATCTTCATTGACGAGGTCGATGCCATTGGTACAAAAAGGTTTGACAGGTGAGTTTGTGGAGGGATTAGTAACTGAATAACGGTTTGCTGCGGCTTGTTCCCTGAACATCAGAAATCAGTAGAGTAGTTTTGATACGTTCCGTAAGAACGAACTGACCTTCTGTTAAAGACTCTTACTTAGGTACGAAAGTCACTGTATTATGAGGGCTGTGAATCTCAGAAAGAGTCAACTTTGCTGAGGCACTTCTCTTGGGAAGGGTTTGAGATGATGAAACATGATTGAGCGGTAAGTAACATGGGCGTAGTAAGTTGCGGTAGCTCCGAAAAGTGAAGCTACCGAGCTACCGCAAGTTACATGGGACCGCGGTGCGGTGCGGTAACTTGAACTTTTGACCAGGCAGCCGGTGGCTACCGTAGTTTCCCCGCTCACCGCATCAAAATCGATGCGGTGAGCGCGGTAGCTCGCTGTACGTCACGGGACTTAGCCAAATTCCGGCATCGAAATTGGAGCTACCGTGACTTACCGAGCTACCGCGCTTCTCCATGTAACTTCGCTCATTGGGTCAGTCATTGAGGGACAGGTCGATCTCTGCTTCAGAGGTTTCTCATCTGCTGGCAGTGTGCTTTTTGACATCAGTGTTTGGGCCCTATAGGATATCGCTCTACTTAATGAGCAAGAGTCTTCTTGTCTCAAACTTGTCCCTTCCGGAATCAACAGCTAAGATGAAGCCAGTGCTGACGGTATATGTGATTGCCTGCAGCGAGCTGAGCGGCGATCGGGAGGTGCAGCGGACGATGCTCGAGCTCCTGAACCAGCTGGACGGGTTCAGCAGCGACTCCCGGATAAAGGTGCGCCGACTGTAATTGCTCGTTTTCCAGAGCTTTGCGGCATTGCATTCACCTACTCAGTAAGCTCGCTCTGTCCTTTGACGCTGCAAGTTCTCCGTTCTGATTGCGCAATGCCTTGTGGCTTCAGAGGCAGGCCGTTCAGTTCTGTTCTCTGACCGTTTTTCATGCCAGGTGATTGCTGCGACCAACAGAGCGGACATCCTCGATCCGGCCCTCATGCGCTCCGGACGGCTGGATCGCAAGATCGAGTTCCCGCACCCTACGGAAGAGGCCCGCGCCCGCATCCTTCAGGTAAGGCGGTTCTGCGCCGCGCAGGAAAAGATGCTCTTGCTCTGGCAACGTCGAAAGGGTTTCAGCTGACTTGAGTTGTCTTATTTGGAGATCTTTCCACGGATGTCGTCCGGTTTTCTTCTCACTCTCTACAAAGCTTGTTGATGTCGGCTCAGTTGTCATGCAGTATGTTTGTTGCTTTCAGAAGCTGCCCACTTCTCTTGCTGGGGCAAAGGGTCTGTCGTCTTCGTATGTTGAAAGCTCTTTGTGGTCACACTTTCTCTGATGCCTCCGTTCGGATTAAGACACCGTAGACCTCAGATATCGCCGTTTGCGTGCCTGCTTTCGTGCACGGGGCCAAATGACATTGCAGAGTCCAAAGCCGTGCAGAATGATGGGGCTTGCACTGCCACTCGGTCAAAGCTCCGCAAGACCTCCCCTTTTCTCGCCCAACAAGATTTTTTACAGTTCTGCGTCGACCCCGCTCTGCGCAGATTCACTCGCGGAAAATGAACGTCAGCCCGGACGTCAACTTCGAGGAGCTGGCTCGCTCGACTGACGACTTCAACGGCGCCCAGCTCAAGGCCGTGTGTGTAGAGGCCGGCATGCTGGCCCTGCGACGGGATGCAACGGAAGTAAGCATCTCCTGCTGCCGTGTTGGCACAACCCGCTGTTGTTGGATGGTATTTTCAACTTTCGTTAGCAGGGCGTGCTTGTTACTGGTGTGTCCTGTCCAAGAATCACCATACCGATGGCCCCCATGAACGGTTCGAACTGTTGCTGGCGTGCGCTTTTTTTTGACATGTGACGAAGTATCTTGTCTTGTGCCAAGTCTGAGCTCGATTGAAGCCGTGCTGCGGGGGCATTTCATCTGCTGAGAACAAAGAAGCCCGGCATGATCACGTACGTGCTCCTTAGACAATATGACCTGGGAGCAGAGAATCAGGGTTGTTCTCCATGGTTGCTTCTTGGAGCGTCCCGCAGACAGGTCACGCCCTGTTGTTGTCTGTTTTTGAGTCTTGAATAAGTCCTTGTATATTTTGCAGGTCAATCACGAAGATTTTAACGAAGGTATCATCCAAGTGCAAGCAAAGAAAAAGGCCAGCTTGAACTACTACGCTTAAGTAGAGCTGATGGATTCGTATCTGGCGTTTCCTTCGATTGGATCGAAGTGCAACCACTGGATAGTCTCCGAGTATGAGTCCCACTGCAACTTTGTTGCATTCGCCTGTCACTTGAGTTTGGCGTCTCAGTCTCCAAGCGTGTTCTCACTCGTTTCTACACGCAGTACTGAAGCCTGTTCATGTTGAGTGGAGGGTCAGGAGTTAGTTAGTTCTTGCTTCAAAGCAGGTTCCTTGGCACCTGACCACCCATGCAAGTTTACATGCTATAAGAAGGTTGCCAAATCTGCGCATTGGGTGCATCGAAGCATTATGAGACCGTCTGACGTGCTTCCTAGGAATTTGCTGCATGAATTGCTAGGGGCTCCGACGTGCACGGCGCATAATAAAGGGATGTATTGAGCCGCCATCTATATTATAGCACGCGCCATCATGCCTGCAGATCTGTCCTGATGAGATTCATCAACTTGTCGTGCGGCGGTCAAACTCAAGGGCACAAAATTGCCACCGGCCAGAGACGAGCGCGTTGCATAAGATATGCTCAAGTCTAACATATCTTGAGGCGTTCAACGTTGTGCATGAAGTATATATTAGCTCGCAGTCAGTTTATGTTAGTATACGGGCCATTGAGTGCAAGAGAATCATGATCAAGCTGGATGGAATAATGTTGCCGCTCATATTGCCGGGCTTGATCACTCAGTGAAGCTAAACGGTCATAGTCGCATAGTTATTGCATGATACTCGAGCCTGCCCAGCCTTTTGAACGCGGAGAGTTCGGCTGAGGCATGCGCCACATGGCACATAATGGCAACGATGTTCTCACTAAAGATGGCGTAACCACATGGGCCACAGGCTTCCATATTGCTGAATAGCTTTGCCTTGGGGGTTTCATCAAGTTGCAACAAGTTCCTAGTACTGCCTGCCAGGCTTTTTAATAATGCTTCAGCCTAGTATGACAACAGAATAGTTGACCCACTCGTGGATCATTGAGGACTATATACAGTTGACAGCCTTTCTTTGTGCCAGACAATTCTTTGCGATCCTCATGAAGCGCAAGCTCCTGCTGTGCATGACAGGCTTATGCAGACTCTGCCGATTACGAGTTTGTCCTACTAGTACACATACCGCAATATTGCATGGCGTCAGCTCTACGTGCAGACGACATCATTGATCATCAATGCTACTCTCTGCAGGGTTGGCCAAGTCCACAACCCTAAGGCGTAGCATGTCCCCAGCCGTCAGCAAAACTGCCCTCCAGCCTTTGATACGGTCCCGACAAGCATCTGCCTCCTTTATGGCCTTCTCATACTGACTGATTGCATACATAAAGTCGTTGTATGCCTGGCGTAGCGCAGGAGATCTGCGGTCTTCACCTGCTATCGCCCGTACCTTCTCCAACCTGACACATGCCTTTTCAGCGGCCCTCTGCGTATGATGTAGCTTCACCCTGGCAGCATCATATTGTTCAAAGACACTCCGCTTTGAACTCTTGTTAGACTTTTGTTCAATAACAGCTTGTTAGAAAGTAAGGGCTCAGTCAACATTTCGCTGACGGGGTTGGATAACGTTTAAGGCACAGCTGCTGACAAGCCGCGCCCTGTTAGCTGCCCCATCAAGCTGACTTCGTTTGGGCATGATAATGGCCCAAGCTGTGTGCTAGCTGTTCTCGTCTAGCTGTCACGGATTCGCTGCACCATGCCGACCGATACGCGGCCGCCGCATGCAGCTGCACGGCCGCCCAGGTTTAGCGGAGGTTTGATGTTGACAGCAGCGAATTTGGGCCGTCGATCGCTCACTCAGGCTGCAAGTCATGCGCTTCAGGAACGAGAGGAGTTGAAAACCGTTGGATGAACATGATATGCCAATAGTGACGCGCGCGCGACTTGCTCTGCTCCATTCGATTTCAATAGATAGGTACATACGGTATGTGTCCACTGACTTTGTAGCCTGAGCCTATTACTTCTAAGGTTGAGCAGCTAAAGTAGGTACCTACTTTGATGCATTGTGACCAAAAATCCCTCTTCGCCCTTCTTGGTGACAGTGACTCCACACTCCGCATGCTCCTTCCTAGCGTAGGTAGGTACTTCCTGCCTGCTTTGAAAGTTGCGCCGGCCGGCATTCATCCTGTTGGTCCCGATCGTGACTACCCGACTGCTGGACTGCTACTTCCTGGATCTACCCTTCTTCTCTTACCTACTGATGTCACATCACAAATTGGCCACTGAGATACCCACGGGCCAATGGTTTGCTCTCAGTCTGCGAACAAAATCATTGAAAAGAAGAGAAGAATCGCCCATCATCCCGAGATTTGCCACGCACGGAGGGCATCAGCTCAATTAATTGGAGCTCTCTTTCAACTCGATTCTTGCAGTGGCGTTTTGCCGCTTGATGACCTCCGAGAGCTAGGAAAAACAGCTAAGCGGTGACAAGGGATCAGCTGTCTCAATGCCTGTTCATGGCCTTGTACGCGTCTCGCCCTTCGCCATTGCACTCGTTCTGATCACCTTCAGCGTCAATGGGGCCGAGGCGGGGAGCGGCCTGTCAGGGCGAAAGCTGCTTGACACCAACCTCGCTGCTGGAGATGTGGACGTGAGCTGCAATGGGCTGGCACCCATCAGTATTCTCCGCTCGGTACAGGTGAGGAGCTGTGAGAGCTCGAAAAACACCTCACTGAGGCTGCGATGGAAGCGGGGTCATCAATACGTGATGACCTCGAGTTTCACTTGCTTGGTGGCATTTTTGTTTTGAATGTCTTACAGCAACTATGCGCTCGAAGTTTTCTCTTGGATTAATGGACAACCTCCAGTTGCTTGCGTGTGTGGAGAGTGTAGCGCAACGGTCTGAGGCATGCCGCTTGGCTTGGGAGCTCTTAGAACGACTTGCATAAGCTCTTCTGTTGTGAACGAGCACGAATTCGTAACACAGTCATGCAATGCTGATGCCCAAGACCATCTATTTGAAATGCAGTTTGTGTCAATTCTTTCGAGAGAGCTAATCCAGGTGGCAAAAGTCCAGGTTTCAGCGTCAGAGCTTGGCTGGGACTGCGAGCCACGTGATCTTGAGTGTGCGCTGCGAAGATTTTGAATCGTGAAGCAAAGACTTCTTTGTGTAAACCCGAGAAAGATATGGAATGGCCCACATGTGCCCCAAGACTGTAGGTTGCACAAATACGCTAGACCTGGTGAAGGTACCTTATACCCGTTTCTGAATTTTCAAACAGCTGAGTTCAACCCAAACCCTTACGGGCACTTGACACCACACATTGTTGGATGCAGGACATACCGGCTGCCGTGCAAGATGTTGTGTCAGCTGCGGTCCCCCTTTACAACAACAACCAGCACGGCGCGGCTGCATGCGTGTATGAGTCGCTACTCTGGGAACTCATACGCAGTCCCTGGCTAAGTGGTTCTGATCCAGTGTTTCTCCTAGCCACCCGTACGCTTAACGTGAGCCAGACACTGGCTAGGGGACGACTGTCCGTTTGGCCAGTCAAGCAGGGGACCGATTTTGTGGGCAGTGTTGTAGTTGGTCGAGGGGTGACAGCTGGCGGAGTCAACCCAACAGCTGCCGCATCCGGAACGACACCTGGCAGCAGTAACAGCACTAGTATGGTTTCAAATGGGATTGGATTGGCGCAAGCTCTAAACGCGGGGACAAACAACGCTTCTCAAACAGAAACGAATCAAGGAACAAGTCAAGGAGCAATAGCAAACGGGTCCTCATACGCTTCTACCGATTCGTCGAGTTCTTCAAATGCGGGCCAAGTCGAACCGTCGGACCAAACGAGGTCCTGGGTTATTCGGTGGGCAATGGAGGCCCTGGTGGGGTGGGGAGACGTGGTCGGGGCATGTAACGCCATGGCGGGATCAGCCCACAGCCAGCAGGCGTTGCAGATCGCGGGTTATCTCCGGGAGAAGTTCCCCGAGCAGTGCGCGCTCTCGCTCCTAGTTGCCACCGAGCAGCTCCGAGTCGTCTGCACCGCTGCTGCCGCCGCCCTCAGCTCCCCAAAGCCGAGGATGCCTGCGAATCTTGCGGCGATTCTCGCGGCGGGGGGGTCGAACCCCAGCGTTTCTTCCCCCACGTCTCCATCGAGTCCTTCCTCTACGGCGCAGTCGGCTTCTTACCGTAACATCCAAGCGCTGGTGTCAACACTTGCGGACAGGATCGGCCAGACGCCGTCGCAGTCACCCGGGGAGAGAATGTACGTTCTCGCTGACGTCATTTCATTAGCTTCGAAAGCGACCCTCACGGATACGAGCGGCACGCAAAGTTCACCGGGGGTCAGGGCCCCGCCGACTGCTTGGACCTTCGGCAACTCTCCTACAAACAACTGTCTCAAGACACAAGGGGTGAGCTTGACTATTCCTGCTCGAGTTTGATGAAATCTCCAACCTTTTGCAACAGGCAGCCTTGGTCCGTTGCGATCGAGAATTCAAGATCGTGGACCACCAACCAACCGATACTCGAGAAACGAGTTTCGACCGCAAAAATTCGCGATTCCAGATCGAACTCGGAGGCTGGTCGCACAGAGTTCCTGACGGCCTGCGGCTTCAGCCCGCTTCCGAACTCTGTCCAAGGAGCTTTGCTTGGCAGGTTGCAGAACGGACAGAACTACGACGGATCTCAGAAATCTCGTGTGCTTCTGTGCATGCAGTGCACTTCTGCAAGCACGACCAGCATTGTGGAAACATGGCTCTTCTCTTTCGGGGGCCTATTGGGCTTGTTGATACTCGGGCTGGCCATGTGTATACTTATAAGGCGCCACAGGAGGTAGGAAGCCCTCCCTCACGTTCAAACGGTCCCGACTCCGGTTTGTCTCTTGCTCTTCATTAGCACCAGTCTGCCCAGTTATATCCAGAAGTGTACCGCAGACTGTAGGGCGGTTTCTCCCGAAAATTCATTGCTCCTTCAAGCGAGATGCTTTGTTACCGTTCCCGGCGCATTGTTTCCCTGGTGCAAAACAGATTTGGTGCTGAAAGATTACTCCCTTCATTGTTCAAGGGTTGAAAGATACGCAAGCAACCCCTCCCTGTCATCACTAATCCAGTCTTCGGAAACAACGCAGAAACCGATTGCTTTCCGAGAGCAGCGGAGCGTCGATCACGCCCGTCGACGTCCCTGCTGTTGACGGCCCTCCAGAGGACCCGACCGTGCTGAAAAGTCCGCTGGCAAGGGCTCTCCGAGCCATAACCGTCTGGCTGCCGGGTGGGCTGGCGGCCATAGCGTATGAGGAACGCAAGCCTCAACCAGACCCGGAAGCAGGGTCACCGGCCGCGACTCCTCGCACGCCAAAGGACCCCTGATTTAGAATCAGCAATGCGCGTTGAAATATATTACAGGTGGTGTGAAGGTAGTACGTAGACGCTACTTATTATTGAGAGTCAGCAGAGAGTAATCGTTGCCAAAGTTGCTAACGGCTTCCGCTGATCCAAGCGCGCGATTCCGTTGCTAGCGCACGTCGGGGACCCTTGTATATTCTTTCCCGGTCACAGCTGGCATGAGGCGTAAATTGTATGATAAGGTTAATCAGCGCTGCACAAGAAAGCGAGACAAAAAGGTGTGGCCTATCCAGGTTCGACCGTGACCTTCGAGCACAAATAAGGCTGGTGGTTTGCAATAGACGCTGCAAATGTTACTAATGAGCTAGAACCGCTTCGATCTAAGATCTGGAAGGTGCTTGAAGACGGGTCCCACCGCCCTGAACTCGGCACGGTACTCGAGCAGCAGGAAACTTAAGGTGTAAGTCAGCTTGAGCGGACAGGATATTCAAGCGCAATTACTTTGCAGAGAATGGAAAGTTTCAATTTAACACGCCTCCTGTTAGGCAGGACGTGACTGGAGCTTCGTTAGACTCTCCTTAGAATCTTTGCTCGACTCCTTTGCAAGAGGGTTGCAGGAGTGGACTGCATTGATGTGCATGAGATTGTCAAATTCCTGAACAATCATGCTCACGTGCAGCGAGGTCGCCCTTTGTGGATCCCCTGAAATACTTACTTGAATGCAGAGTACAACGTGTATTAAACACGATGGGAATACGACTGTGTACTATGCGAGCATGCAGCCAGCTGGCCTGCCAGGTCCCGATCTCTCAAGACGCTTGTCAATCATGTGTGTGAGCTATGGCTACACATGCTATGGTCAATCAGTTGGAGGTGCCAAAGAAGAGAGGCCATCAATCAGGGCGAGGCAGTATCAAACCAGAGCGCTTACACTTGGCGGCAGACCTAAGGTGCATGCTCACAGTGGCTACCAGTCTGAGGAAGCAGGCTTGCAAAGCCTACTTCAGTATGTGCGTCGAGGAAACAATGGACATTTTATCCACCCGCTATAACAGGAGAAAAGTGGATAACGCTTGGCAGAATACTGTCACAATGCCTTTAGCCCTTCGTAAAACTCTTGACAGTTTCTGTCATCCGCTCATTGGGGTTAGAGTGCAATCAACTAATCACATTGACCTACAGCCTGCTTACTCTGGCGTGCTCTTGATGTTACTCGCTCATTGAGGCGGGCATGAAACAATCCCTCCTTCTGGAGCAATATTTAGTGGCTACTATAGAACCTTGTTGATCTGCACTATTTGAAGAACACCTGACTACGGTACTTAACTTGACGTCGCTCAGACACTGGTGGGTCGATAAGAAGCTTTCTACGCGGTAACAGTCCTGGTTATGCAGCTGCCGGTCTAGAAGCAACTCGCTTGAACCAGCCAGCTAGGTCAACCTTTACGCCGTCAACGTCTCTGGCCTGCGAATTCAGAGTAGCCTTCAGATGTAGAGGAACTAAGTGCAGTGCGAACAACGCAGGCCTTCCGCAGCGAAGCTTGTTTTTCAGAAAAACAACAGGTCCAAGGAGGCAAGTGTGAACCGAACCCGCGGTTTATTAAAGGATGCTTCATATGAACCCTCAACAATCTCGCTGATCATACTACTTGGATAATACTTCCTTACATCATGAGCCAGGGAATCTTAGCTATCAGCAGCCTCAATATGAGAATTAGCATCCCTCCATTTCTGAATTGATAATCAGATAAAGCGCGACAATTTCCTGGAGGTCACGTTAGCGAAGCACAAACCAAACTCTCAACCCTGTGTTCCCACCTTCCCTTCCCCTTCGTACACCAGCTGTTTGGTGCTGTTTGCAGTCCGCCCCGCTCCGTCGTCCTTCCTTCCTTTCCCCCAGTTTGCCCTGCTGAGGTCAGCAATGAGCCTCTCCCTAAGCTGCGCCGTGCCCTGTTGCTCGCGCAGAAGGTGCTTAAACCCCTCGAGCGCGTTCCGCTCCTCCAGGATCCTGCGGAGGTCCGCCTGGAGCGCGCCCAGCTTGGCGCGGAGGTCGGCGGATTCCGCCCGCGCTCGCCTGCGGAATCGAACGGAACCGCTAGTTGAGTTCGATGGGCGTTGCAGTATCCTCTTAATTTGCGGATTTGCGGATTGGACTGACGAAACCGGAAAGAGGAGAAAACGTGTCGGCTCACTTTTTCAGTGCCTGCTTCTGTGCGTCGAAGGCTCGTGCGTCGGTCCTTTTGATTCAGCTTCGACCCAGATTGCGGTCGCTCTACGGTGCATTGCCTAGTGTGCAGAAGACACGCTTCACGGATCGGTGAACCTTAAATTCATAAAGGGAAAGCGACCCGCTAATGGGGGGGGACGATGGCACTCACTCGAGATCCACCTGTCGGCAGTCCTTCTCCCGGTTGGCCGCCCGGAGGTCTTTTTCGCACTTGTGGAGCGCTTCTACCAAGAAGTCCCGGGGCTGCTCGGTGTGCTGTAACCGAGCCCTGTAGTCCTCCACCTGCGGGACGGAGAAATTACTTGTTTTTATAAAACGAAGAAGATTGACTGACAACAATCTTTTCAACAACTTTCTGTCTTGTCTGGGGTTCCAATCGCAGAACCTCCAGATAAGCTCAAACAATGTGGCACCGGACCCATCAAGTGGTGTTCGACAACGCACGACATTTGGCTGCAGAAAGAAAGTGATAAGCGCTCAAAAAGACAGGGGGATCAAGTCCTATACTAAAGCGTGCGAGCCGCGTATGTGGGCAGAATTAGGACAAAAGGCATTCAGATGAGCGAAACGGCTGAGTTTTACACCTCAAGCCTCCAATAGACATCGCGACTCGCTCCTCGGATTCGACATCTCTTTCAAAGCATACTAAACGCTTCCCTTCGGACGGGTTGCTGACGTAGAAGCTCGCCAGATATCAAAGAGGGCGGCGAAGGGCCGGTCCTTCAGTGGCAACCTGATAGCAGCTTCATTGTTGTTGGTCAAATTTGTCGGTGTCTCAACTTACAGTGCCTCTGCTTTGCAGACGCCCGCGGTTCGTTTTGCGGACGCCTTCTTGTGAAAGGCCTCACCTGTTCCCCCAGACTCTGGATCTCGCGCTCCTGCGTTCCCCCGAGCGCCTTGAGCCGGTCTACTTCTTTCTCCAACGCCGCGCATCGCTTGGCTAAGTGTAGGCTCTGCTGAATTCGCCGCCGGACAGCGATCGGTACGGACGTGCCCAGTTGCTCCAGCCACCGGACGGACGGCTCGTCCTTATAACCTGCAGGGTTAACGGCCGGTTACTGGCTGGTTATGTGCAGGTTAAGAACACGAAAATCGGGGGCTTTTGGGAATTGCCGGTTGCGCGGTCTGCCTAGGCTTCTCGCCGTCTAGGAAACGGAAGGAGGGGAGAAGAACGTGGTGGATCTCGATCATTATCTAACCGCAGCTGATTCGACATTCCCCGTCAACTCCTCTACCTTCCCTTTGTTCATGCTTTCCGTTGCCTGTTTAGCCGAGAAGCACGGAATGAGTAAAGCTGATTCCGCCGTGCGCACTCAAACCTTTTCCCATCATTGAATCGATTAACTTGCGTAGTTCCATACGGAATGTGAACCGATGCAAGAAGCGACAGCAACTGGGATGTGAGTTGTCGACCTCACCTTCCGCGGCGCTCACAACGGCCTCATCTAGTTCCTTCTCCAGCAGCTCGTAGTGGGCGAGCCGCTCGCGCACAAGCGCCAGCTCGTTCCGCGCCTCTCCAAGCTGCTTGTTTAATTCCGTGTCCAGCGCCCGGTAGTTCTCCGTCAATACCTGCATGTGAGTGAGTTAGCTTCTTGAATACCTCATAGTTATTTGTTGATCTACGATTGCTTCTGCTCTATCAAGAAAGAGGATACGCAGGACGACAAATGGCTTCCCGCATACACGTACATCGGCGACAATTGCGGCAAGAATTGTTTCCTCATTCTCATCTGTCTCTGCTTTCCAACATTGAGAAGACCTAACGCAAGCCCTGGACTCATTCAGCAGCCCGGACCAAACTTTTGCCATCTCGAAGAATCAAGGACTGTCTGGCTCTCCGTTTACGAAGGGTCGGCACACAAGTCAAGTCGCTACAGCTCTCGGGTCAAGGACCCACCTTGACCTTGGCCTGTAACATCTCGTTCTGCAGCTTGAGCTGCTTCATCTGGCTCGTCGTCTCCTCCTTGAGCAGCTGTGCCCGGTCCACCTCAAACGCCTTCACCTTGACCTCCGCACGCAAGTCCGCCTGAGCTGCGTCCGCCGTCTTCTGGAGCTCCCGGTACCTGCGGAAACCCATCCACTGACTTCATGTCAAACGCTCCTAGAACCTGCTTTTGAAGACTTCGGCTTGAATCGTAAATAAAGGGACGAGTAACCGGACCTATACTCTAGTGCAATCTCCGCGCTGGTGCGTGTAGCTTTTTAAACCATGCTCGCTTAACGAATAGAAGCGTACTAAGCATGGAGCACAGGGTAACTCAGCGGCGAAATCTTTACACCTGGCTGAGATTCCTGTCTGGCGATCGGGAGCCGCTGTTCAGCGCCACAAACATCACCCCTTCCCCTCGCACTTCCACATGTAACGTCCCCTTACAGATCCACCGATCCGCCTCTACATACTCTCATCCCGCTTCCCTTGGTCCCCACCTGAGCAGCAGCTCGTCATAGACTGCCGTCCCCTCGCGCACTTTCGCCTGCGCCCTCTCCGCCTCCAGCGCGGCCGCGTCGCGCATGTCGCGCAGCGCGCGCATCTCCCGCTCGCGCACCTCCTCCGCCTCCCTCCGGATCTGCTCCAGGTCGCCGCGCGCGCGCGCCTCGATGCGCGCGATCTCCGCCTGGAGGCGCTGCTCATGCGCGGCCGCGGTGTCCTCGCGCGTCGCCAGCAGCTTGTCGTACAGCTCCTGCCGCGCGCGCTTGAGCTCGCGCACCTTTTCTTGCCGCTGGTCGCACATAACCTCCAGCTTAGCTACCTGGAAAACGGACGAGAGGAGAAACAGGTTGACTACCTGGTTGCGCCAAAATGGAGCCAATTTCAAGGGTGGCAGGCAGCTTGGCGCGCTTTACAAGCGAAACGGCTCTCCTTTCATGCACTTCTATGCTTTTTACAACCAATGTGTGGGCTGTCGACGAGTCTTAATTGGTGACCCGTCAAAGAGATACCACGAAGATGCAAACGCCTCGACGCACCTTACAGCTTCCCTGTTCCCGCTAGAACTTCCTCGATCTGAAAAGCATCCGCCGTTTCATACGACCACTTCTTCGTGAAAATCTGCCTCCCCATCTGTTCCTCGAGCCGCGTAACTTGGATCTCCACTGTTGACTAGATCACATCCGCATTTTAAGCAACGGAAACATTCTGAGTATGGCCACCCACCTGTTCTCCGAGCAGCTTTGCTTGATTCCCCAGGTATGCTTTGTCCATCGTCAGCAGCTCCACCGTGTGTTCCTTCTCTCGCAGCGCCCCCGCCAGCCGCTCGCGCTCTTCGGACAGGACCGTCGTTCGGGTGTCCGCGAGCGTCCGCTCGCGCGCGTCCGCATCGGCCGCCGTTTGGAGCCTGTCCGCAGTGGCTTTCACCTGCGGGCGTATGCGAGAGGTGAAGTCAAGCGGACTCGTAGGATGAATTTAGACAAGTGGATGCGGACGCGTGCTCAAGATTGATGCCTTAAGCATTTTATAGGAGCAGTGGATAACACGGTAAGGTAAACTCTGAAACAGGACAAGGTGCTGGCTTCCGTTCGCATCTCGCAGTCACCAGCTTCGTCTCCAGCAATTGCTGGGCATGAAACTGTACAACTGAGTTAAGTTGGCCACCTGCCGAAAGATCGACGCAGTTACACTCATTGAGAGCGACGAACCTGACAACGACACTTCCGAAAGGCGGGTAGCTTATTCTGGTGCCAACGGAGCACAACCAAAACCCAGCTGTGCTCACCTCGTCGTACATGGCCCCCTTGGCCTGCAGCAGCTCCTTCTGCAGCAGCGCGTCCGCGAGCTCCGCCTCGAGCCGCTCGTTGCGCGCCGCCACCGCCGCGGCTTCCTGCTCCACCGCGCGCATCTCCACGGCGTGGTTCGAGGCCGCGCGCTGCGCCTCCCGCTCCACTAGTTGCAGCTCGTCGGTCGCCCGGGTCAACGCTTCCCTGCCGGGCAACGGAACAGTCAGAATAATTGTGCTGACGAGGCAAACGTAGACGAATGTACAGGTCGAGAAGTTGGCAGCATGCCAGCTGTTCTGTACCGGCCCTTGCTGGAATGGGAGCCTTTGTTCTGAGGTAAGAGGAGCGGTTCTTGCTTTGGGATTTCGCCACCTTCTTCAGCCTTCACCAGGCCGACCGCCACCAAATCTATCGCCGTTTGTCGGAAGCCCGTTTCTTTCTGATGTCAAAACAGGTAATTTAGGATTGTTGCGAGCTCCACACGCCGCTTTTCTTATCGCAATGATCTTGTCTCTTGTTCTGTCGCTCGCTGTTCTCCGTAGGCCTCTGCAAGGCACTCGTTGTACCCGGTTGGCTCAATACGACTCAATCAATCACGAGCAGAAGAAACGTACAGGCTCCCCGGAGAGACCCGTGGTCACCCCCTCACTACGTCCTGCTTCCTTTTCAGCCGCTCGCCTCCTCTCAACGATTCGGCAACGCACGCCCGCTTGTACTCGATGTGCTCAGAGATTTTAAGCTCTACTATTTTTGAAAAAGCCGCTTCTCGTGACTAGATTCTTCGTCCCACCTTGCCGTGTCTTGCTCCCTGTTCAGCTGCTCGCACTCCTCTCGATGCTTCGCGACGCATATGTGTGGCTCGAATCAAAACTCTACGGTAAAATTCCAAAATACAGACCCGCGCGAAATAGTAGTGCCAACCTCGCCGTGTCCCGCTCCCGTTTCAGCCGCTCCGCCTCCTCTACGTGCTTCTGAAGCCGCTCGTGCAGAACAATCGTCAGCTCCTCCCGCAGGCTCCGCCGCTCGACCGGCCGCTGCTTCGCCGCCACGTATGCAGCGTCCGAGAATGGCAGATCATGCAGCTGCTCCTTGGCCTGACTCACCTGCTCGTCCAGCGAGGGGGCGCCGGCCTCTATCTGAAGGGGTGAAAATTTTCGTGGATAAGCTGTGGTTTTCCGCCCTGATTTTTGGGTGCCCGAATAATGGTTGTCTAATCACTTTACCAGTCAATCACATCTGGATTGCCATCTTGCCCCAGGGTTGCAATGGAACGTTATTGGACAGCTCAAAGTACAACCGACAGAGCAAGCCGTAAACTTCCAGAAGAGATGCCTCTGTCAGCGCAGTTTGCCAAACATTGGCAATGAGCCTTGCAGTCTCGAACTGTATTGTGATCTGGGAGCTGTCCTCGTCTAGAAAAAAGTCTTTTCAGTGAAGCTCCCGTCGGTCTAACTCTAATGTTCTTGGAGCTTGTCGATGGAAGAATGCCTTGATGTCATTCACAATCTGAGCGGACATGTATTGAGGCCACCCCTTCTCCCGAGATCGAGCCTTACCTCTTCCTGCCTCGTCTTGAGCTCCTCAAGGTCTTTCTCTGCCTGCTTCCGGAAGCTAGCCAGCTGTGTCTGCATTCTGCATTGACACGAAGGTGCCTATTTGAGCCAAGGTTTACGGTTGCATCTGACTGACATAACAGCAGACTATTAGGCATGAGCATTTCGATTAGACTTGCTAAGCCTGATTCAATGTCTGCCTGAATAGAGCGGGAATATTCATGCACAGGTGTTATGTTGGTTCTACAGACCTGTTGCGCTCATGAGCATGAGCTATTTCAGCCGCATCTCGTTCCTCCATGATGCGCGCCAGCTGCTGTTCCAGCATTTGAACATGGGACATGTGTGTTGCGTCCATTGCCAAACCTGGCCCCGGAAGGAGCCTGCTGTCCACAGACTCTGCGAGGGAACAAAGAAAGGCTAGTTGCTCTCATCCACCGCTTTCAGATATTGGTGAATTTTCGACATTGAGAAGTAGGCATACCACCACACAGATGCCCCCTCTGTATCAGATAGCACTTCTGTCTCATGCTTGAATGTCTCTGAATCTCTGTTAGTGTGGGTCTGCATTCAGTGTTCCAGATTCTGTGATTACTCAGTAGTAGCACAAGCACATTCACACATGGAGAATTTTTCAGGGGCGTTCCACGTCATGAGAGAAAGTACTTAATGGCACCACTTACAAAACCGATTGTCCTTTGGGAGGATTAAAACTGCGGCACCTTGACGTCTCGGCTCACCTTCATCGCTTGTTGTATGAGGTATCGAGCTGCCCGTCTCCAGCTCCTGTGACGTTGACATGGTCACTGGAGGTCTGATTTACATTCTAGGTTGAAGTATCTGCGGAGTGCACATTGCATTAAGTAACTACTCTCCTTGAAAGATTTCTATCACGCTGACTCTGTAAGCTGTCAGCGTGATAGAAATCTGTAAGCAGTCAGAGTGGTTGGGCATGATGTTTGCCTGCCTGGTAGCACCTGAGCTGGACCTTTGCAAAGACTGGCGTGGATTCAGAAGCCCCGTCCCACCCGGCCTATAGGAAGCTAAGAGCTTTTCCGCAGCTCAGTCACGACACTATGCAAGCTATGCGTGTAATTCGGGCAGCAGGTCCTCAGCCTGCACTAAAATGACACTGGTTGCGTCACGATTCCAATCAACCTGCTGCGAATGGACTTCCACTTTTGTCAGCGACGTTTCAAGCTGATGAGAAAAAGAAGCCGCGATCATCTCTGACCACTCAGCCCTATTTAAGCTGGTGTCACTGTAAGGACGAGTCTGTCAAATTTCCTCAGAACGGGCAGGCAAAGCTATTCAGTGGCGCCAGCGGTCGTTCCTAGTCCCTCCAAGGAGAACTGGCAAGAAACTTCTGAGACAAGAAGACCAAGTTGAAGTTCCAACGTACGTCAAAGCCTAAGCCTAAGGTGCTAACAACTTTGAGTTTGGAATCCATTTTCCAACCGTCAGGCTTGTCCATCGATTGGATCTGAAGTCCCCACAGACATTCAACACCCTCCGATCCAACTGACTTAGAGCCTGGACGGTTGCGATGTCTCTTAAAGAGCAAAAGTAGAGGCCAGGTGTCGCCCTGCCAACTACTGCTATGGACCCTCCTGTCAGAAAAGCCTGACATTGACCGCGGGTGTTGCGGAAGATATCTCAGACTTCAGTATGGAGTATGCACTGTGCACTGTGAAGTACCTAGATCTGACATGTACAGGAACTTTAAAGTGGGCGTAGGCGTCACGCCGTCGGCATCGCCGAAGCGTGACGACGGCACAGGTTAGCATAGTGAGCATCGTCCGATAGATTCAACTCGTGCTTCCTTGCCGTCCGATTGCAAGTGCACTCGCGAGTGCAGACGCCCACTTTAAGCGCCCTGCGCATGTCACGAAGCTGCATGATTGGCCGCGGCAGCATTCTTTCTGGTTTGTGCGCAAATTGATTGCATGCTTCACATGACACGCTTCTCTGCCTGAGCCACTTCCCCTGCAGCCTGCTCTCCCACATGGCCATCCGAGGTATCTTGTTGGGGACGTCCCTCTCCAGACGGCCAAGAAAGCTCTGCAGTGCTTCACTTACCTGATCACTTGCAGTTGAATAGAGCGCATTGAGCTTGCTAGCTGCTTTGGCGCTCACAATGGCCTACAACGAAGTGCAGCTCTTTGTTGTGGAGCTAGTGGGCACTGCCCTTTCTGTTTTGTTCGGGCTGGGGGCCGTTGCAAACGCTCTTCTGCCTGGTACAAAAGGCCACGGGTTTGGAGTCATGGGCATTGCATTATGCTTCGGGTTTGGAGTATTTGTGGCGGTTCAGGCGGTGGGACACGTGTCTGGTGAGTGGTGCAATTGATGTGAAGGTGGTGTGCTTAGCGTTTGCAGTGTTGCCCCGCCCTGTTTCTTACAGTGATCTCATGTCTTTTCATTTCATAGTTGTGAAAATTCTGAAACTTTAGTATAGCTGGCAAGAACCGGCTTGCAATCGTTGCACATGCCGCAAGCTGGGAGCATTGACAGCCTCCTTCTATCACCAGAAAGCTGAAAAAGGTCAGCCGCACTAGTATTTACAGAAGTTACATCTTCTTCAACAGAAGCAAGACTATGTTCTATGATGCCCTGCTGAAATCTAGAAACTGCCCCTGTTCCAGTAAGCTCCTGCGCTCTGGTTTGCAGCTTGTAGAGTCAAGTCACCAACCTCGTGAGGCTCAACATTCTTTTCCATGCCTCTGCTTTGCAGGCCTTCTCAACCCCGCCATCACTTTTGGTGTCGCCGTCGCAGGCCGCATGACATGGAAACGAGCCGGTATCGCCATCTGTGCTCAATTCATTGGGGCGTTCCTGGCGGCGCTGATCACATGGGTGGTGTACCTGCCTCACTTCCAGCCCCTTACAGGCTGCATTCAGGAGTCCATCTCGGACGAGATGCTTGCGCGAGAGCATCCCGAGACGCCGCGACAGAAGAAGGTGAGCTTTGTCGTCTGGCAGCAGAGAAGCCTGGCTGTGATTTTGGAGGTAGTGGATAATGGAAACAAGCTTCAGATCTCAGGTGCTTGGAGTTGAGTAGCAGCTTTCAGTTCCATTAATCGAGGAGTGCCGCCACTATCTTCAAGTGGACGCTAGCTGAGCTGATCAGAATTGTCATGCTGTGCTCATTGAGCCGTGAAGGGATAACAGAAGTTGCTTCTCTGGTTCTTTGGAAAGGCCTCCACAGACTACGGAATTTTTTATGGAGTAATCTGGCTGGTGCCATCACGGGGAGAGTTCCTCGCACCTGGAAAGCCCCTGAATCATCTGGTGCCCCCGCGGATGTTCAAACATTCGTCAAAGCGGTGTGCAGCAACACGTGTCGTTTAAAATAGTTGTACCAAAGAATTGTTCGAGGGGCCATGTTGGCTCAGATTGCCTCACCACTGAGATTTTCATCTCCTTCACAGGCTGGAACTCTCCTAGATGCCCGAGAAGTTCCTATTGTTATTGACCTGTACCCTCCTCCAGTCAAGATGCAAGCATTTAAGCTGATGATCGACCCACCATTTTTACATGGCCCCACAGCCCCTGATTGGCAATTCTCAGCATAGATCAAGGTCGTCTTCGTTTCTCCTTCTGACAGGTACACGTGTTTCAAGAGATGACCTCAAAAGCACGCAGATACGCTTCCTCAGGGCGGGCGCCCTCTACACGTGACGTGCTTCGACACGATTCCGAGGGAGACGTTTTGAAGTAAGCTCTGACGTCCCTCCTGTTTGCCCTGTCCATTGCCAGATGGGGGACGTTTTGAAGTGAAGCTCTTTCACCCTGTCCGTCTGCTGAACTATGTGACGACCCATTCTCCTGTCACTATGTCAATCAAGTTGAAGGCAGCCTGTCCGTCTTCTTTGTTACTTAGCGATATGCGCACCGCAAAAACTAATTCCATTGACTCCTCACGCAAGGCCCTCGATGCTACTCTTATGTGTCTCAAAAGTTGGCGCGAGAGTTCTGGAATCAGTTGCAAGAAATCTCCGCGCGTTTTTGCAGAGGAGTCCACATCCACTCAGGAAAGCACACGTGGCACGTGTTCCAGTCCCTTAACAATTGCATAAAAGCACGGCCCGAAAAGAGCGGCGCGATCGAGGACTTGGAAATGACCAGCAAGCCGGGGCTGCCAGCCCCAAAGCTCGACTTAGATGCGACGGTGAGGCATGAGCGCTGCTTTTGAATATGTTTTTGGCTCATTCAGTGGAGTTGTACGCTGGTCGTGGGCAGAGACTGAGGTTAAGCTTTTACAGCCAGTAAGAGGTTCATGCTCCGCCAGGCAGTCTTTCTGTTTTGACCCTTGTGCCTGTCCGACTCGGAAACTCCGCGTTTTGTTAACGTAAGGAAGTTGTGGCCCTAAGAGAAGCAGTGCCGCCACGCACTGACTAAGTCAGGCAACGCACAAGCAGCGCGTCAGAAGGACTGGCTTTACTCCCATCCTAACGGCCATGTTTCGACCGTTGATTTTGCCAGGTGGCACGCAAGCAGCGCATCAAGCTGGACGAGCGCATCCGCGAGGACCAAGAGGTAAAGCTGGTGGTCTTCGCAACGAGGCCCTCTACGCTGGAGCCTTTTCACTGGACGGCCCTGCTCGCAGAGGCGGTGATGACGTTCGTGCTGACGTACGGGGCCCTGGCCATCATCGACCGGGAGGTCGTGTTTGGCGCAAACGAGGTTGCGAAGACGGCGTACAAGGCGCAGGTGCCGTACCTGATAGGGGTCCTGGTGTGGGCGTGAGTAGCCGTTTACTCAAGCAGCTCGGCTTCCATTTCTCAACGTTAGGACTTGGTAATTGAGTTTTGCCTATTTTGTTGGGACCGTTGCCTCACGTGATAGGGCGTGACAAGCTCCGCGATGGGTATATGTGAAGGAGATGGAGGGGCTTGCAAGCCAGATCGTAAAATGATCGAGGGGATCTCATAAGATGCGAGACCATTCCCGTTCTAGATTTATCTATTGCGATTCATTAGTGCCGAAGCTTTCCTGTATTGTAGATTCGAGGTGCTCGGCCTTCTGCCTAGCCTGTGCCGAGTACTACCGGTGCCGCCGCTAAAAGAACGTTGGTTTGCACTAAAGTGAATCCCGGAAACAAACATCGTCACTAAGAAGAGAAGGGCACCGCTTTGTAAAAGGACCTTTCGATCTTGAGCGTTCGTCTTTTGCGAGAGCTTGCTGATATCAAGCCGCATCCTGCCGACAGTTGATCAGCCTCCTGTCGCTACCTCCGGCTGTTTGTCGGAACTTATATGCCAAACGGGAAGTTCGTCCACTCAACCGTAGAAGCAGGCCTACAGTCTCGAGACGGATCAGCAAGACCACGTATGTGCTCTCGTGATGATCTCCTGAAAGTACTGACGTTCCTAGTCCGATAATGCAGAGTCATCCTGGCCGGAGGTGGTGTGACGGGCCCCGCTTTGAATCCGGCGCGCGACCTGTCGCCCCGAATTGCCCACTTTCTCTTGCCGATCCCTGGGAAGGGGTCCTCCGAGTGGCACTACGCCTGGGTACCCGTCATCGGGCCTGTCATCGGGGCAACTCTGGGGGCTTTGTTCGCTGAAGCCATGAAGAAGTTGCACGAAAGCGGACTCTGATACCGGGGGAAAGCGTAAGGATCGTCAAAAGTTGGTTCTCGACTGTTGAGTGAAGACGGAGTGTCCCCTTCGTGTCCCTCAGTCGCACTCTAACGACGATATGAGAAGGAGATCAGCAATCAGTAGGGACACTTGCAAAAAGTCAAGACAGTCACGCTATACCAGATACATTGGTTTGGGTGGATACTTATAGATGCAGGGACCTGGTCCTATTGACCAGGAGCAGCATATGAAATGCTCTAAGTGACAGCATTTGTTAGCAAGCAACAGACTCGAAATGTTAGGCGCCCAATACGCGTGCGTCTGTGCAATTCTTCAAGGAGTACAGGTCAGGGTATCCATTACTAGCTAGTGGACACCTCCGAACAAAGTAGCTACATGGTTAGGATCTTGTGCAGACCATTCATATACGTTTGACTTCCAAGAAACATGGACTCACGGACATCACAATATAACATTATCGTACGTCCAGCAGGGCCGGCGCCATCATTCAAGATACTGAGCATGACTTCAATTTATTTTTCTCGTCGATGTACATCGATGTATAGCTCTCATATATGCCGACACTTGGAACCGGCGTACACAGCTTCTGTCGCCCTTATATGTCAATGTATGGCCCGGGCCAGGCCGGCTTTCTGAGTTTACGAAGTTGTGGATCCCTATACGGCCATGCGCATGTTTTGTGAAAGCTATCATTACATTGACGAGGAATCATGACCACGTACCTCTTTAATTTCGTGTTAATTGCATGATAGCCAAATAAGCCATTCATATAGGCTAAGTAGGTCAGAAGAAGTCACTGACAGAACAACTCGAAACAAATTGAATAGCTCAGGCCACATAACTAGCAAAATTTTCAAATGCTTCACCGTCGGCACATGCTAGGACTCCATAGCCACCGACCATACATGCGAACTATCCTCATGGTGCACATACCTAGTTCAATGCCAGGCTTAGCAGATGGGGCGCGACTCAGTCATGCACATGCGCTCCAATATAGGCACACCATGTCGAGCATGAACAGTACCATCTTGGTGCCATGCAATGCCAAGTACAAGGTCTACGAAGGACTCTTGTGATACTCCAAGTTACATTAAAATAGAATTCAAAAACCACAATACTGGATAGATCCGGCACCTTTGAGATACAAAGGTCCATGTGCAGCGCAGCAGACTTGCATATCACCTCGATGGGCTCGGCCGGAAAAAAGAGAAAGTGGTCACATGCACCCAGATATGTGTGGATGTAGTGCAAGTATCAATAGCAGTCCGTTGTCAAGGGAAATAGCTAAGCTGCCCACTTGTGAGGTGAGAATGCTAGCCGGTCGACAACCATTGAGAGGGATTGATCCACAAGCCCAGCCCAAGGCAGACCAAGCTATCTTAAACCCCAGGTCATCTCCCGAGTTGCATGCTTTTAGATGGTTTCTGCACACAACACAAGACACAGTTCAGGGAAGTAAAGGTTGACGGGGGTACAGCTGAGGAGAAAACAAAAACAACCTTTGCATCAGCAATCAATCGCACAAATAAGCTTCACAGGCGAAGCGCTTGGGCGGAATCTTCGCAACTTCAACCGCACAGCTGATGGTAACCAGCATCAAGGTGATTTACCAGGTTGAAATATAACTTTCAAACACAAGGCTAAACATGCTCTCTTCCTTCAGCGGACCGGCACTCCTTTTCGTCCTAGGCTGAGCCTCCCCCTAACGTCCTTAGGAAGAAATCATTTTGCCCAGCATTAGATAAGAGGGGCTTTCCCGCCACCAAGACGTAACATCATTTCTGCTGCGCTATTGGCATCCGGACCAACACCTCACAACGACGACAGAGGAAGTTGGCGCACTTACCTCAATTTACACCGCTCTACTTGTCAGACGAGTTGGGGCCCCGCTTCTTGCCGGGACCAACGACTGCAGAAACAAAACCACGTCAGGCGAGCGCCAAAAAGTCTCAACATCCGGAATTCGGGGATAGCAGGGTCCCCGACTGCGTCAAGGTATACTCGGCCGCTTGGTGATTCGCTGGCTGGTGGGCAGCTCTCTCGACGTCAAGACCAAGACTTTTGTGGCGCTTGAAACCTGAGACTACAGGCCAAGAAGACTTGCCGACTGTATCTCCATAATGCTCTTCAACGTCTGCCACGATAGCAATAGGCTCCGCAACACTCTGCCGGAGTGACGACCGGCAAAATCCATGGCCCTTGCGCCCTGCCAAACTACCATCTCTGGTTGCGGCCGGGAACCTGATAAGACGCTTCACGATACCAACTAGATATCTTCTTCCGGAGTGCAGTCCTTGTCCTCAGTTCGTATGAAGCGAAACCCTAAACGTACACTACATATAGCTGACAAGGACAGATTGAATTCTGCAAGATACAAGCTTGACTGACTCTTGTCCTACTGCTTTCAGTGGCCTCTACAATGAAGTTAAGCCCTTTTCACCTGCCCCAAGCCCTTCTCAACTGCCCGACTGCAATCGGCAACCTTTCTTGGCAAAATCAAGCTAACAAGAACCTCTCTGCTTTATAGCCCCTCAGGCACAGGCAAACCCTGCCACTGCTAGAGTACCAATGATCTCCTCCATGACCGAATTACGCTTCTTCTAATGTTCTTCAGATTTGATACTCCCTGCCTAGGAGACGATGACATGCGAGAGCTGCCTCGATGGGCTGCCCCAATCATATCCCACGATTCCTTCCTGCCCCAAACCCCTTGCACATACCAACCCTCATCGCAAGAATCGGCAGATTTTATTGCCCCCCGGACTGGCCCCGAGGACTGGTCCCACAAATGTCTGTCTTCTTGTTCCAATCACGTTCCAACAAAGCACTTGCTGCTCAGTCGTGCCCAATAAGTTACCATTACCAAGCGTATAGCAATTTGCTGAAGTGCCCAGAACAACCATTACCCCAAAGAAAAGTTGACGGCTTGCCTCTAATCGCCATTTGGATTTCTATGCTCTTTGCCCATGCTTATCGCAGGCCATCCGTGCTAAATCTGCTTGCCCTCGTGATGCTCTATGACTAAGCAGGGTTGTCGAGCAACTCACCAACGTTCACAAATCGCCGGTTGTATTGCAGCCTCTTGTGCGCCCTGCCCTTTGGTGTCTTCTTCTTGTCCTGCTTTGCAACCTTCGGCGTCTGGCCACGCACCTTACCGGCACGAGCCAGAGATCCGTGCACCTTACCTGCAGATAAACAAAGAAGACCGTCAGATGTGCACAGAGATGGGCACAAAAAGGTTTTGGCAGACCAGACGCTAAAACGCGAAGATAAGCATAGAGTTGATTTCGAAGCCCCAAAGCCGTGCAGATGCATGTAGTCCTCAATTTGGACTTCTGTCCATTTTGAGCGCCCCGGCCAAAGCTCCATTGCTGAACGGTTCAAGAAGGCGGCTGAAAAGGAGAAAAACTCACTCATGGCTACGTGTGCTGCTGACAAAAGCTTTGCCTGAACAGTGCTTGGCTAGCCAAGCGACCTCCGCCTGCGCCAGGAGCTTTTCTCCTCAGGTGGATGCTGGAAAAGGAACGATGCAGCCGCAGGGCTGGGGATTCGTGTAGGTAGGCGTATAGAACAGATCTACGTTCCGTACGCTCCGTGCGTCCTTGCAAAAGTCGAGATGAAACGGGTTTCGACGCTTGTCGAAGAAGTTAGCCTCTTTGGCGGTCTACATATTCGCACGATGATGTGCATCCTCGGCTTCGGTTACGGTTCGATAATGGCTAGAAGGTAGCGGTAATGGCTACACAATTTAGGGTTCACTTGTCATCAATACATTAGCCATATTGCCAGTTGGCAAGCTGGCTGCATGGCATCACCTCCAACTTGAACTTGAAGTTGGAGTCCAAGGTCCAGGAGATTCTGCAAAAGTTTTAGTCTTAATGTGCAAGCAGCAAGAGGATGCCGGCAAATGCGAGAGGGAGCCTGCGGTTTTGAATCCTCTTTCTGCAGCCAGCTGAGCAGCTTTGTGAGCTGAAATTTCTGCTCTGACCATGGTGGAGATTGTGTGCTGAAGAAAGACGAGTTTGCAAGCAAGAAATATGCGAAATAACCCGACTAAGTGACACATCAGCCACTCTTTAAACTGACTTGGATTGACAGGGCGTTATCTATTCAAAGGTGAGTAGAAAACCATACTTAAGCTTTTGTATGCGCAAGACAGTTGTCTACATAATCTTGCATCAGATTCTCCAAATGCGTCTATAGGTTGCTTGTGGACCCCAGGAAGAAATGTTGCTTGTGGACCCCAGGAAGAAATGCTGGAGGAAAGAAAAATTTGAGCCAATATCAATGTGATGGAAGGCTTTCTGTAATGATGTTGCTGGTGCTTGTAATGATCAGTGAACCTCCACAATACAAGTAGTGGTTGCAACTGTGTACCTCCAACAGTAAGTTCACTCTTCAGAAGCCACCGGCGCCGATCGTACTTGCATGCAAAGCGTGCGCTGGTGCATATCCCAATTTTCCAAGTTTATCTCCTGGTCTCCCTAAGAGAAAGACCAGGAGGTGAACTCCCTCTTTGGCACCTTCTTAATCGATTGTTCCACAGAAACTATGCTCAGCGCAGCCTAACGCTTGCAGTGCTCCTTGCATCCAGTGAGCAATGGCGCTCCAGGAGTCCCCGCTGCTCAACGAAGTTCTTGCGAATGTGACTCGTTTGTACCACGGCACCAGCCGGCAGGAGCAGGCGGCCGCAAACCGTTGGCTAATGCAGTTTCAGAGAGAGAACAGTGCCTGGGAGGTGGCTGTATCGGTGCTCAGCTTCGTGCAAGGTCTGGACGAGAAGCGACCGGAGCTGTACCTGTTTGCAGCACAAACGCTGCGGAAAAAGGTTGGTCTACCACCCCACTGATTCTTTTTCTCGCTTTATTCATGTCTTCGCTTATGAAGTTATTCTCTTGAACTTTAAGTGCCGCTTGGTATTGGCCAACCAGCAGTTCCAGAAGGGCATCTTGCGGTGCTGGCAACTAAAGAATGAAGGACTAATCTGGCGGTGAAGTGAAACAACCTGATCCGCTTGTTGTCGTTTGAAGTCAAGACTCACAAGCTTGAAACGATCTTCAGGGGGACAGTGTATCATATATTGGGGATGGTGTTAGAAACCCATGAAGAAGACTTTACATGAGCAGCATGACGATCTCCAAGCCTTCTCCAAGACGGAGATTGGAGGATGCTCTGTTTCCATAGTACACTGCGCTGGCTGGAATCTATGATTGACGTGAGGCAGGAAATTTGTTTTTTTCCCGTGCAGATTCAGCGGGATCTTGCGAGCTTAGCTCTGGATTTTCGGTGGAAGTTACGAGATGCACTCCTCTTGTATGCTGCACAGTACGCCCATGCAAACGCTCAGGTAATCCCATTCCCCAAGCCCAAATCCCCCACCTTCGTTATTCCTTCTTGCAATTCTGTGGACACAAATCTTGTAGTGTTACTGTTCACTGCTGTGAAAACATTGCTGATGTCTTAGAGCGGCCTCAGGCTCGCGCTCTTCAAAGTCGATTTCAATCAGCAGGTTCTGTCTAGTCTTGCAATAACTACGTGACTATTCCATCTCGTTAGAAGCTTGAGCACATTGAAAATTTGAAAAACGTACAGACAACCACTTTGCGTGCAGGTGTTGACTCAGATCTGCTTGTCCATCTCTGCCCTCGCCCTTCGCCTCTCCCAATGGCATGACCCGCTCAAGGACATTTTCGAGTCCCTCTCGGCAGAGAGTTTGCATGGGGCTCTTGTGAAGCTGCTGGAAGTGCTTCCAGAGGACTGCTTAGAGGAAGGGCCCAGCACGTTCCGGAGGATGGAATACATGAAGGAGGTACAGAAAATTTTCCTTTCAAACTGTCCTTTCCTCCGCGGATCTGTCGAAAGAAGCGCAGTCCTCTGGTCTTCCCAGTGGCCGAGCATCGCTGGCAAAGAAAGGTCAAATGTTTGTAGAGCAGCTGGACCACAGGGACATCCTGAACGGCTCTCAATCTTGAAATCAAACAAGGTGTCGCAAAGTCCAAAGTAGCAGATTCTTCATCTGTCCCGAAAGTAAACGTGTTCCGCAACTCAATTTGGATAAGTCCGAACTGAAAGGCTTCAGCTGCATCTCTAAAGCGGCATGAATACTTTAGTTCCTCCCTGCAGTTGCTGGCGAAAACGCCCCAGGTACTGGTTTTCCTGCAACAGCGGCTCATCCAAGGGGGAGGCGACATCGGCTCCCAGAGGGGCGTGCTCGACTGTCTTCTCGGCTGGGCAAGTTCCCTCTCGAGATGCCTCCGAAATGTTCCTGATGTCTGATGTGGCCCTTCGATTGGCTTCTTGTACGAGCTTACAGCCCTCTAGCTGCATTCATATGGAACGATTAAAGATCAAATAGCAAAAGAGAACAGGTCTGCCTTCAGTGGGGTTTACTTGTCCGACCTAAGGCTATTTAAACTCAGTCCCTGGCCATGACAGAGTTGCGTAGATTGTTTGATAGATTCTTCAGAGCAGTTGTGCAGGATCTTTGACAGCGAAGCTGGAATCTTTTGGCAAGTCTGTGATAGGAAAGGATTTTCTTGAGGGCCCGAGTCGTCACGAATCCGGATTCGACCATGTCGTTGCGTGCCTTAGCTTCTCAGACACGCTTCTTCGTCCTGTTGCAGGTTCGACTGGGTGGCATGAGCGAGTTGCCCCAAGACAGTCTCCCGGAACACCCTCTGATAGCATACTCTCTGGACAGCCTCGCGAATCCCGGCCTTGCTGACGTGGCCGCATCCGTGGTCAGCGAACTGCTTCAGCGGCACGCGGTATGTTGGTAACCAGACTGATTCTTGGTTCCCGAGCTTGCTCCCACTCTTTATGTTGGTCCTTTTTGTTCCAATTTTTAGATCATTCAAAAGGATGATCACCAACGGCCGCTTAGGATTCTCCGGCTTGCCAGCTTCCCGCAAACATACTTTTCGCATTTCTTTTCGCCTCGTGTGTGGCAGGCAAAGTGGTGCTCCCTTTGCAAAAGAATCAAAGTTTACAGGCAATCGGTTTGCTTTTCTCGCGAGTGCAAGTGGTCATTCAGAACGACTGGCTCAAATACGGTTGACTGACCGGCTCACGTTTGCGGCAGGTGATGGCCCCTGCGGTGCTCCGTCTGGTTCCCCACTTCCAGGCCACCGTCCTCCCGCGCTACGTCCAGCAAGAAGAAGAGGAGGGCGTGTCCGCCATCGTCGAAGTGCTCACGGAGCTGGGGGCAAGCGTGAGTGACACCCAGCCTGTTAACTAAATTGAGATTTCCATTAGCAAGGTTGCGGCCATTGGAACTGTCCACTTGAACAGGTCTCTAAGAAGGACATTATTGAGTATAGAATTTCGCCACTCAACTACCATATCAGTCGTCCATTCTCTGTCTTCTGAAGAGGATTCGTTCTGCAGTACTTTGCGCTTGCAGTCGCTTCACTTGAGCCATGTGATTCAGGACGTTTAGAACAGAACGGAAACACACATAATTATCCCGGTCAGTCCAAGGCTCAGAGAAACAGCAATTGTTCGTGACCCACTTTGAGGCCATTCCCATTCTCCGCAATTATACAGCGATGCGGGGTGACCCATTGAACCATTCACACTCGTCTGCAATTCTTTGTTTCCCTTCAGGCACCCCAACTTATTGCTCAAGGGATTCCTGACGCCATGGCGCTGTGCACCACACTGATCGGGTAAGGGAGTTTCGCTTTCAAACCACCTGAGCTTTACTAACTTTTCCACGCTGGGCTTTGTCTACTTCCCTTTCCAGACATTTGCAAGCAGGGACGGGTGCTAATTTGATGGTTCTCGATAGGTCTCGTCTTACTCTTGGGCAGGCTCACAGTTGAAAACAAGATACAGAAAGGGTGTAGACTACAATCACACTATAATCACGTTTAAAAAGTGTTTCCTGACGGCAAACGATGAGGGTTGGTTTGGGAGTCCGTACATTGCAGTTGGAAAGTGTTTTGTGATCGCAAAGTCAGACTTCAAAGTCTATATTTTGGACAATAAGAATGAATAAACCACTCTGCTCGACACTGCCTCAGGGCATCTCGTGAATCTCACGTTTGCACTTCGAGGTTACCGTCATCTCATGGAATGTCTTCCATATAGGCTGGAGGACGGTTCAATTTTTGACCAGTGTGTTTTGCCTCTTCCAAGCCGAAACTCCTCCTACGCTCACCCCATTCGTGTCAAGACTGTCCTCAAGTGGCCCACCGGTTTTGGTTGCAGTTCAATAACGCTGCCAGAAACATGTGGCTGGGACCCATACACCCTGCCAACCACTTCCCTTTCGTTCTGGTGAGACGGCTGAGTCCCTCTGCCTGGCCGACGAGGAAGTTTTTATTTGCTTGCCGCCGACTTGCTCGCTTTACATACAATCCCTTCTGCCTCAGTAGCCCTCTCTCCGCTCTTGCAGTCTTGGGTAGAATTCTTCCCGAAGTCGCTTCACGTCTTGCCTGAAGGGGTCGGTTTCGACCTCTTGAAAGCAAGATACGAGAGTTTACAAAGGCCAAGCTGTTCATGCACATGATCAAACTTTTGACGGGAATTGTTATCCCCTTGGACTTCCTGAGACATCAACGAGGCTGTTCTTAGCGTCCTCTTAGCGGTCCTCTTCGCTCGTGCATCATATGCTTGCCCTAGATACTGTTGTGGCCTTCCTGTTGACTCCTTGGCGGCCGTAATTGCCCTTTTCGCCAGCCCACCTGTTCGGAACTCTTCTTCTGCGGCCCTTGTCCTCACCATCCAAAAACCAGAGGTTTGAGCACTCAGTAATTTCGACTATCTCGAAGATCCCATTTGGATACAATTTCGTGCTTGGTTACGCAGGTCAAATGAGGCCTTGGTCAGTCGGATAACCAGCGAGCAGCAACAGTCGCCCTTCATCCCCGTTTATCGTCAGCTCTTGGGAGCGCTACTCATTAGCGTACGGGTGAGTCGCTCATTTCTTTTCCTCACCCGGAGAAGTTAACCATAAAATGAAGAAAATGTATGAGGCGATTTCACGAAGCAGCGAAGTTATATTCCGCCCGAGCCGCTGAAGCAATCTGGTCTGTTGCTTATCCAAGATCTCTTAGTTGCGTCTCAGCTGGATGAGAATGAGCTAACGGCTAAATGGTGAGCTGGGGTCTTGATAGGACTGGGACCGAAATCTCTGAACAACGAGAGGCAGATTTCTGTTCAACCACCAGCACAACCTGCTCGCTCGTCAGCCTAGTGCTTATCGTGTTCGCTCATTGATCTTGTCGGTTCGCAATCGTAGGGACTCGACGGAGAGCTCGCAAGCAGCTTCCCTTCACTCTTGGGCCGCTGATTTGCCCGATCATGCAACATTGGCTGCTTCGAAGACGATTTTTTCCACTGCGCTGGAGCATTTCACTTTCACTTTCATTTGTATTGCTGGCTTGTGCAGAGCGATAGCGAACCGGACGAGAAAGACGGTCTCGTCCATTTAGAGGAAGACCTGATCAACTTCCGGTCGGAGTGTGAAGACGCTCTGTTGGCCGTTTGTCAAGTGCTGGGGCCGCAGCAGTACTTACAGCAGGTAAGGTTCGTCTTCTCGAAGCTCTGCTGCGGTGCGCTTTTATGCTGTGAGTCGTTGGTCAGTTTGAGGAGGGAGGACGTCATGGCTCATTCCTCCGGCATGGCAAGGCTGAAGCACTACAATCATTCCTGCCGGACTATTACGGTCTATTCTCATCTTTCTGCGAGGTGGAAACATCATCTTTTGGAAGTATCCAGCCCCCGAACTAGAGCCTTACAACCCCGAAATACAAGAAGACGAGCTACAGACCAGCTTTCTCGGTCTTTTGAAACGATTTACTCGAGCATAAAGCTGCCTGACGACGTTCAGAGCCTGCAGGTTTTAGAAGGTGTCCAGGCGTGGAGCACCGGGCAGCAGCCAGCCCGATGGGAAGAGATCGAAGTGCGCATGTACCTGTGCGAAGCGGTGAGCGAGCACAGGTCCACCTTCAGAGACATGCTTGCGCGGCTCGATTCATCGGCAATGCTCACCGGGAAACACACGAAAAGAATCTGTCTCCGATCTGGCTTGACCACTGGGATCGCTTTGCTTGCTAGGCCTTGGAGAATAAGTAGGGGGGGGCAATGCAATCCAGTCGGCTTTGTTGTTCAAGCAAGGACTAGTCTGGTGGAGGAGGCCTTCCGCCGGATTGTGCGGGAGAGCTGCTCTTGTGCGCAAGTTCCACACTATCGAGCTTGTTTGCAGTCAAGTAAGTGCTCGCGTCTTCCAGATTGCCGACGAGACCCAGAAGCTGCTCAAGAAGGACCAGCTGCCCAAGATCACGCCGCTCTTCCAGTTCATCGCCGGCCTCCCCACCAACCAGCCGCTGAACCAACAAAAGGGAGGGCCCTTGGTATGTCTTTCACGCTCTGGCTGACGTCAACCAACTCTCTTTCTGTTGGTTACGTTTGAAGGGTGCATCTGTTGACGGCCACCGACCCTCCCCTGTGGCGAGCCTTTCGTCGATCGTCGGGTTCCACTTGTGTTACTCGTTATTCCTTGGTCTTTCTTTCCGTTCGTTCTTTCCAGGGATTCTGAAACTGGCTCTTGAGAGTGTTGATGGCGCTAATGCAGACAAGTACTTAATGCTTCTAGACGTCGTGAGCGACCAGAACCAAGAGAGGAGGAGATTCGAATAGTGCTGGAAAAAGCGGGGAAAGGGAGGACAAGTGACCCAAAAGCCTTTATGGAAGCCCTCCCGCTTTCTTGCAGGTTCATAACGCGGCTGCCAGAGTCACGTCCGCTTTCGCAAAGTGGTTGTATTCGCACCCAGATGCGGGCTCAGCGCTGCTGTGAGTCGTGCGCTCACGTCCTCTGTGCGTTGCTCTCACACCAAGGAGCTCCTTCAAATTCCGAACTTGAGTCCGTCCCGTGTCAATCGGAATCGCATGGTTCAAGTCGTTGTTCCACCACTCTTCAGCAGATTCGTGCGCTCTCTACTGCCTCCTGATGTAGGACGTCGTTGCATGGTATCCTCATCTGTGCCATGGACTGTTCTGGAGACCGTTGATTGGAAGTAGTTCACCTACTGAGCTACGCGCACCACTTGCAAACTTTGGAGAACTCTGGTCGATTCGTTTGCTGTCCTCCTTCTGAAATTGACTCGCTGTTGTCCCTCCTGCACCCCACTTCGAAGCTACTTCTTGTCCAGCGAAAAAGCGTCACTCATAAACTCCTTTCTGTTGCAGCACGTTCCTGGTTGGAGCCCTGCAGTCGCCGGTTTCCGCGGGCGCCTCTGCACGTGCCCTCAAGCACGTGTGCGAGGAGGTGACAGCTGTCACCAGCGAGACGTCCTCTCTGGAGGGCCTCCTGCATATTGGCGAGGTAACCGGGGCGGATCTTGGTCGTCGAGTGTTTCCTGGATGCTAGCGTGCCCTTCGCAGGCGCTTATGCAGAATAAGGACTGTGAACACAGAGGAAGGGTGCGAAAACGTTCTGGGAAGATACCAGTGAAACATGGCTAGAAAAGAAACTTGAGTCGCGCGTGCCTCCAGCTACTGTTGGGAGCTGTTGTCTTTTGGTTTCTCTGCCAAGCCTCACAGCATCATATCACACTTCAAAGATATTTTTCCGTCTGTCTTTTGTCAAGTAATCACCAGCTCAGTCACTTTACCCGACAAATCGTCGCAGTTGCTTTTCTGTAGACACCACCGTCCTTCGTGTGAATCTCCTGTGAAGCATCCATTTTTCCCTTCCGAGTCTGTTGGTTGGGACCCTTCACCTTCTTAAAAACGATCTTTGACACCGCCAACTTGGAAAGCATCGCCATACCTTCTGAATACAGCATCCGTCTTGAGCTTTTCTCCGTCTTTGTTTGAGGGTACGGATGTCCACCCCTTTGCAGAACCTACCGTCGTTCCGACTAACCGCTGAGCAAGAGGAGGACGTCTTGAGCGCAGTTGGCGCCGTATTGTCTGAACAGCCCGCAGACCGGGTTGCCCAGGGCTTGCAACGACTACTCCGCCCCAATAGGCTAGCACTAGAAGCGTTGGTGAGCTTGTCCGCGTGCTTGACCTTTCCCCGTGTTTGTATCTGTGCAAAGAAATGTAGAGACCGCTTCGCTTGGAATTGCTAGCACGATCCCTTTTGATAGTGCATCGCCCTTATCTCACTAAAAATATGGTTTGAGTGCAAAGAGAAAGTGCCTTGATCGTGATTGATGGCCTAACGCTTAGCGCACCTCCTAAAAAGGTGCAACATAATCGCGACCCTCGTCAGTGCACTGCCATCGAAGCAGTTGATAAGAACGCTTTCCTGCTTGGTCGATCACTTTTGTTCTGCATGTCTGATCGCTTCGCAGACATAATCCCAGACTTCGTCGGCCAAACTTTCCGTTCGTTCGTTGGCATGCAGATAGAGAGGCCCGGGCCCATCTCATCCTGTCCCGTCGTAGAGCTGCACGCGTATGTCCAGGCGATCAATAGGTAAGCCCGCCCCCGCATCTGACACTCGCACTCCCCCGCTCCTAGTTTGTCCATCGCGCGTTTTCGTCATAGAGGAGGGCCTCCTCCCTGTCCTTTCCTGGTTTCCACTCGCTGCTGACCCGCTCCCAAATTGATAACAGCAGCAGGAAAGATTAAGTGGTGAAAGAGAAGGTTGAGACGGTTTGGGTGACGAGGGCGAAATGAGTAATACCAGCAGCCTGTGATTCTCTTCTAATGACGTTGCTGTCGGCCTTCGCAAAGCTCTTCTTGAGAACTTCCGCCTCTCGACTTGCCCTCCAATCACCGCCGCTACTCAACGGACCCAACCCCAGCCGATTCACTCTCCTCCCCTCTTTCCCTCCAGATTAGGCGCCCTCTTCCGGCACGTCCGCTCCTTCCCCGAAGGCTCCGACGACCCCCTTGCCGCCATTCTGTACTCAGAATGGCCCCTCTTAGAGCGCCTGCTTGCGTCCCCGCATGCGGCGGAGGACAGCATCACAGGCGCGGTTTGCCAAACCCTCCAGGATGCGGTTCGCGCGACCGGGGTCAAGTTCGGCGCGCTGCTCAGCCCGTTCCTGCTCGCGATGACACGTGGCTTCGCCTCAGCGCATCCGCACCCGGCGTATCTACGGGCAGGTAAGCGGGACGGCCGGTCGTGATTGTGATTGCTTCGGCTTGTCCCCTTATGATTTGTGGCTGTGCAATCTGCATGCTCACCGGAATACTAAAGCCTACACACCCAAAAGGTTCATCAACTTTCTGCAGGTCCTACCCGCTCTGATTTTGCTTTCGAAAGTACCTGCTAGTCCAAGAATCCCCACTTCAGAACGTGTTACCCTTACTCTCCGTCGACACTTCAAGTGCGTTAACAATTAGTTTTCCAAGGCCGTCCACATCAGGATTCCACCACGTTTCAGCCGAGCAAGATTGATCCACTTCCAAAATGCCTTTCGTGCTTTGTTTTCTCCCAGCTTCCGCCGCCTCAGAGGAGCTGAGTAGCGAGCCCAGCATCGGCCCCATCAGCCTAGAAGCGTTGCGGGTTTTCTCAGCGGCGCCTGCGGTGGCTAGCATTCGGGCGGTGGAAGATGCGGACAGAGAGCCCGAGATCACGGAAGCGTACCTCCACTTTGTTATCACGTTCCTTAGGTCGAGCAGAAGGGTGAGCATTCCTTCTGTGGAAGTTCTTGGTCGTGATTCCAAGGTGGTTCCAAGGTGTAATCTGTCAGATATGGTGGGGATTTCGGCAGCTCACGAAGTGAAAGTGTTCCACAAAGCTGTCCCCTGCTCTAAAGACCGGGTACGATCTCCTGAGTCGAGACTGCTGCATTTTGTGTTCCGCCGCTTTTCATCATTGACGTCACCAATCACTCCTTGCGCTGCAAAATGAGCGTGTATTTGTTATAATCGTGGACGGCAGGAAAGAAGAGTTGTCCTGAAAATCGTGAGGACGGTATGTTCTCTGGCAACGCTTGGCAAGCATCCAGCCGCCAGTGCGTCCGACTAGATTCGACTTCCCGAGAAATGCTAGACGAGTTGGCTTCAAACCACACCAAAAGGGTGCGACTTTGTGTCGTCCGAAGCAGCTGTGTCAACCACTTACTTTGCTCTGGCGGTGCGAGCAGACGGATTAATGGGAATGAAAGACAAGTGATCCTGGCTGACGGCTACTCCACATCTTTTCAGGACGTCGTGTCAGAGGCACTGGGCCAGGTGCAGGTCGCCCTCAGCATCGGCGCCGGATGCGCCTGCGCGAGCCACCGGGGGGTGTCGGCCTCTGCCCTTTCTCTAGTAGCAGGTATGCCGCCCGCTGAAGCGGCCGCGGAAATTCCCGATAGCTGTGCCGATGTTCCGCCCACCAACTGTAGTTGCTTACATTATAAGCTGCTTTCTGCAGCTCCAGAACACGATGTTTCAAGTTTGTATTGCGCTGCCGTGAGTCAGCATCTATTGCGTACCCAGGCGCCAATCTGAGTTACGACGACGTCGTGGTGGCGCATCGGCGAATGCTTCTGACGATTCAAGCTGCCCTCGAGTGAAGCCGAGTCGCCTCTGCCGTGTCGTTCAAGTACTGCCCAGTGACACATCCTAGTCAAAAATGGAGCGCACATCTTTCTCGCACCACTCAACCGTCGCTCGTCAGCTCAAACGCCAATTGCCAGAGTTGGCAGATCTATCGACGAATTCTGAAAGGAGCCTCTTGGAATTTTTGCAGCGGTCATGGAGGCGGCCCTGCCGTCGTCGGACGAGACCTCTGCGGCGGTCGTCCCTCTCGTGAACCTGGTGGTCCAATCGGGGCGCATCATCGTACACGGCCTGGTGCAAGCGCTGCTCGGGATCTCGCCCATGACTAAGGTCAGCCTCAGGGGCTTCCCGTGGCATCTTTGTACTCATTGCAGGTTAGCTGGGATCCGAAGCCAATGAGAAGACACCATGTTTGGCTTTCGCTTGGTTACAGTCGCCCATCGCTGGCTGTTTCGTAGGTCCAACAATCTGTCGTTCGGTCCGGCAGGGAAGACCGCGAAAACGGGGTCACAAGCTCTGATCGCTTTGCTCGTCACAAACTGCTGCCGTAGTGGCTGCTCCAACCGCCCCGACGATAGGCTGCGTACCTGCCGTGGGACGGGAAGGGAAACCCCGCTCGTAGATTCTGGCTAGCTTGCGTGCTGAGCGAGTGTTTGCTGCCTTAAGCAGCTATAACGGATCAGAGCAACTGCGGGGACCAGCAAATCGCGAGAACACTTGAGCCATCTCAATGTGCTCAAGCCTTCGAGCGTTCAAGTCGCCTAGTACCTCTTCACGTTTTCAACCGACGTGATGGTCACGGCTTTTCAACCGACATGATGGTCCCACTTGACGGCGTCTTCTCAACCATACCCCGCTCCGTGCAGATCCACAAGATCGCGAGCATCTTTCAGCAGCTGGCCGTGCTGGTGATCCAACACAGCGGCCAGCCACCCGAGGCCGGCCTCGCCCTGCTGCAGCACTGGCTTGCGTCCGTAGTGAGTTCTTTACCTTTTCGTTTGTACTGCCTCCTTGCCTTTTAGGGAAATCTCTCACCAGACTGTACTCGTGCTTTTCGGAGTGTTTGCACGTGCAAAGCGTTTGGCCACTTCGGGATGCACAGAAGTTTTGGCCGCTTACTAGTTTAACCCGTTACTTGTGCATTCGGGTCTTTCTTCTGCACCTCTTGTGTGTGTTTGCTACCCGGGAGCTTGACTTGGATCCAGGCTTTCGTGAGCTTTGGCAGAAGTAAAGAAGCCAGGGTCTCCGCCTTTTCCTCTTTGCACAGGCTCCATGGATTAAGAAGCGTTGGTAGTTGAAGGTCCGGCCCATTCCTCAATGATGCTTGTTCTTGTCCTTTTGACGAATCTGGATGTACGCTGACGTACTTTGAAGGGCTAAGCTTCGCAGGGAAGTCTTGTTGTTTTCTTTTCAACATATTTTCTGGTTCCTGGTCCAGGATAAGAAGATGCCTTGCTGCATCTTTAGATTCTAGTACGTTCCGTTACATCACTGATGATGGGTTGCTATTGGAAATGCAGCTTCAAGCACTTCCAACTGGATGCCTCCGACCAGATGAAGCACAAGCGGTGCCTCAGATCTGGGGAGATGCATTCGTGGCGGCTGCAGCCGATGTTTCGCAGCATGGGGCAAACGAGCGAGGACGGGCGGGTGGCGGTGGTTACTTGGGAGGCGATGGCGGACGGAGGATCAAGCGTGTGATTCGCGACTTTGTGGATGGTCACAGGGTATAGAGAAGCGAGAAGAGGAGTCGACTTAGACACGAATGTGGTGGGCAGGAGTCGAGATAGACCTGGACCTACATGTTTGTCTTCGGGACTCCAGGGTTTCAGCACGGGATGTAGCAGGCTGCTTCAGTACCAATCGAGGCAGCTTATATCTTGTGCACCATCTTTGGAGTCTATGCGCGCATGCACATGAGCTGATGTCAATCATGCTGTCCTGGATGTCCGATCATGAATTCAGGGTCAGTTGCTCTTATCTACCGTGAGTCTCCTTGAGCCATCGGGCGCCACGCTCCAGTGAGAGACTGGATCGATTGGAAATCGAAGAACAAGCTCAGTTGTGATGCTGGTGATTTCGATCGAGTACCTGTTGAGCAGCCTCTTTGCCAGGCCGTATTATGGCGTCCAGTGTACTTCAAATACTGACAGTTGGAGTACAGTTTGGCAATTTTGAACAAGACAAAATATATACACAGACCACATGTATGTGTACGCAGACCACGTACATGTATGTACGCCATGAGAAGCTTCAAAATCCTCAGTATTTAGCTTAGTACAGCAAGCACGAAGAACAACGAAAGCGGGCAGGATCGTTGTCTGGCAATTGCAATTCCTGTTCGGTTGAAGTGTGATTCCGTGTATGCATGACAATTGCCTGACCATCACCTTTCACACAGCTTTCTTTTCTATTCAAAATTCGGATTCGTTGGAGAAAGACATCATGCTTTTACCACGTGCAAGGAAGAGGATTTCGCAACGTGCTTCCATTTCGTTCAAGTACCCTACTGCTATTTGGCATAGGAACATTCTGTTATGTAGCAGGGCAGCTCGGGATTCCGCTGAAAACATATATGATGCACAGTTGGCAGTTGCTTAAAATGTTTAACTAAGAGCTTTGCTTTCCAACTGTGGCATTTGCTATTGAAAGAGGTATGTGCAAGTAATGATCTTGATGATCATTTCCGTCAGAACCCTGTTTTTACTTATGGTCATCCACCGTCAAAATGTTTTTGTCGCTCCTCAACGCGTTCTTGACGCAGCTATGCATTACCACCTTACACGTTCACAGTTCTCTTGTGCTCTCAATATGCGGAGCCAAGTTAGTTATATCCAAGGAGTGTTCAGAAGCAAGAGGAGAAACCACTCTCTCTTAACCTTGAACATCATCACCTGCCTGCTCTGTGCCGCAGAATTTACCATACAATTATGATCTGTTCTGTCTTGTCGATCTATTTCGAAATGCAATGTAGCTAAACCCTCCGTTTCAAACATAAGCACTTAAAAGAAAGCCTGGCCCGGCCTCTGGACGAGGAACCCGGAGCACTGCACTTGCCTCTTTGCATCGAAACCCAAGACGCGGATGTAGGCATTGGGGTAAGTCCTCTTGGCCTCAGCAACCTCCTTCAGGACCTGGCTGGGGTCAGTGCAGCCGAACAAGGGGAGCTTCCACATGGTCCAGTACCGGCCATCATAGTACCCGCAGCCCTGGAAGTTCTCCCTGGACACGTAACCTACCTGTAGGAGGCAGGAGAGCAGGTGGATCAGGCTAGGTAGGGACAGTACATTGCAGATACTTGCAACCAGAAATTAGCATAGCAGACCTAGGTACCCAATCTAGACCTAGGGTTTAGGAAAGAGAGGCCAAAAACATCAATCTCTTAGGGTTCATGGCAAACGATAGTGAAGGGCATTTGTCAACAAAGCTATGGATACGAATGAGTGTGGGTACTACTGCTTCGAGGAGGGTTGCACTGCAATGTTCAAATGGTGAAAGACTTGGGAGGCCCTAGTCTGCAAAAATCAAGGGACTGGTTTTGAGTGTCTGGAAAGACAAGCTCAACCAGACAATCAAAAGATCATGGCTTCTTACCTCGTCAAACTCAATGCAGGGGGTCCAGCCCTTGGAAATCATGTATGTAATCTCCTGTAACAGAGGGGAAGAAAGTACATGAGTAAAGTTTCTGTATCACCGTAAGAATGCAATCAATGAACATGACAGACATGGAGGAGTGGTGCATGTAAGGTTCAGGGTTGCAAAGTTGACATATGCCGCGAACATCTCCTTGATACTAAACTATGATCGTGTCCCAACCAACCACCCCTTAAAATTCCTTGGTTGATCTGCTTTCCATTCCCAGGTCTAGACTGTCAATGGAGCACCAAGCCCGACATAGCGTATGCTTTCCATTCGCAAGTCTAGACTGTCAATGGAGCAGCAAGACCAACATAGCATAAAACATCTTTTGACCATTGCCAATGATCAAGCAGTCACAGGGACAAGCACAGGCAATCGTGAGGCCCTACCTTGGCAATGGCATCAGCGGAGAGGGGGGGGAGGTAGGAGAGGGTCTCGAACTTCTTGTTGTTGAGGGGAGTCCACACCTGCAACGAGCAAAGCAACGTCAGACTTCCATCTGATGAACCTTTGCTGGTTGGACAATGCACTTGCGCGCTAACTTTGCTTAACAAGTTAGCACTGTTTAAACAACACGCCAGACAGCGGCCTTTTCTAAAATCCAACATTGCAATCGCGGCAGTAAGTTTCACATCTTCCCTGCTCACTTCTGAATGGAGTGAACTGCAGTGACGATTTTGCTATTGCATTCGTAAATGCGTGTAGACTACCACAACTTCTCCCATCGCCACCCAGATCCATCAGTCCTGGTTGTGTGTCAAGGTCTTTCTGATCTTCCTATTGCAAACTGTTGTCACTGTCAAATGCATTGTCCAGCTGTTGACAGCGATAAAGATCCCTGCTATTCCCAGTGCAACACTCCTCTGTACTTCCCTTCCACCATCAACACTGCATTGCATTCTGCAGCAACAGTGGCCACGATCACAACATCACCTTTCAGAACACCAGCTCACCTTCATGCACTGCACGCGCCCGCTGTTTGACACGGTCTGGTCAGCGAAGGTGGCGGCCTTCTTGGCAATGGGGAGGCCAGCGCCAGCCTTCAGGCCAACGAAAGGCTGAGCAATGGAGCTCTGCTTGGTGCTGCCAGCGCTCGCTGCAGTGAAAGCAGCGGCGGATCCCATCTTCACGGCAAGAGCGGAAGCCATGGCGTCTGATTGGCTTCGGAGGTGGTGAGGTCTGGATGGAAGGGTGGAGGTTAAGGAACAAGATCTGTGAATGAGGGGGAAATTGCGGAGGGCCCTTGCTTTTGAAGATAGCACAGCTAGAGCCTGAATGCTGAGGGAGGCAAGCGCAGCCTGCGAGTTGAGAGCCGAGCAGATCTATTAATGCAGAGTCGCTGACTGCAATGCATTGTGCTATTTGAGGTCGGGTATTGAAACCCGAGCGCTTAAGGAGAAAACACAGCCGGGAAACCGAGCGGGAGGTGGTATTGACGGGATAAATGCACAGTCCCGGGCTCAGATCGACACCCGGAACGAGATATGTGGCCGGGGGGGAATTTATGTGACTGGGAACCACTGCAGGTGCAATTTTTCTGTATGGTACGAGTACCCTTCAGCTCATGGGGCTGCAAATCAGCCGCTTATCTAAAGTGGATATGGCGCTTTTTGGAACGTTTGTGGCCCACATCAGTGATGTGAACTGAATCTCCGCCGTCGAAGTTCCAAAAGCGGCAAGATGTGTGGCCGCAACCGCAGGCCAGGTGGATACCAGAATTTATCTGGCGCATGCGGACGGTTGAAATTGTGCAGTTCGTCGAAAAGTGATGGGCAGCTTCGAACTTCTATGCGATGAGCTGTTGCATCAAAGGCCCCGGATTGTGCTTGGTCGTCGCATAGCTGGCGCTTCCGGTCACCTTTTACCTGCCGACTCAGTGCCGGGGGGTGTTCTCCCGACAAACGTACTTGACAGCCCCGGCGATCTCGATCTTTCGAAGTCGGTGTGCAAAACCGGAGCTCAATCATTGAAAAGGCGACTTTCACGTAAAAAGTACCCGCAATGCCTACCGCAAGTACGGCCCGAAAATGTGGTGAACACGATCCGCGACTCTGACAAGGTACCTACGCTAGTAGGTAGGTACCGGTAGCGTACCGGTTTAGACATCTGAGTAGTGAGCAGGCGAGCAACACCGTCCGATGAACCTAGTCCTAGGAGGACGGTGCTGGAAGTTGGACCTTGGATTCTTGGAAGTTGGATGGTCAGAATTTTGGAGCGTGCAAGAACTTCGATCCGGAATTTACGGGATTCTAAGCTTGAAGGAATGATGGATGATGGATCCTCCGATCTAGCAGCGGTTTCTGGAATCTGTACGCGAAATAATGAAACTAGGAAGGGAAGAAAAGAGGGATCAGGGCGGGCCGCGTTTCTGTATGCGAAGTTGCGAACTTCGAAGACGCACGAGGTTGCAGCACGTGGCGCACCGACATGGCAACATATGTAGACTGCATTAACTCCGACTAAGCTGATCTGGCGCTCCGGAAGTTCGCGGACTGGCACAATGCGGAT